CAGCCTTCCCAGAAAAACATAAATAGCCGCCTCCCCTGAGCTCCCCACTTCCTGATCCCCCAGCAGATCAACACCAGTTCTTCCTAGTCTTGTTCTAGTTCTTGTTTCGGTCTGAATACCATTACCTGTCAACAACCTGCACCCCAAGCCGCCTCTATTTCCATCGGCTCCGCCCATTCATAACACATACCTCGTTTACCACTAACACCACCGTCGACCACAGCGAGCCCATGCAGATTGACGCCGCCCGTCCCCGCGGCCCTCTGAGCCCCCAGGAACGCCAACGCCGCATTTCCAACAACCTCTGCCTTTACTGCGGTGGCGCGGGGCACATTGCAAAGGCCTGCCCAGCCAAGAACAAGACCACCACCCGTGCCGCCAACGTCAACATCAAAGAACCCTCCACGGAACAGGGGTTTCCCAAGGTCCAGCCGCAGTAAAGCCCCAGCAACTGGACAACACACACTCCTCCGGGCCTCCTAACCTCGCAGCTCCTGCAACGGAAGAGGCCACCCCCCTGGTTCCCGACTCCGTTATAGCCGACACAACCCTCCTAGCCGCTGCCCATGTCAAGAACTCCGAAATTAACCCACAAGCCATGCTTGCACTGGGTCCTGCCAAACCCTTCAACTACCCCGTTACCATCATGGTATCATCCAGCCGTGCCCCGATACCTACCTCAGCCATGATCGACAACGAGGCCCTGTCCTGCTTCATCGACGAGGACTTTGCCCGCAAGCACCGCATCCCCCTAGTTCATCATCAGCGTCCCCTGACGATCGAACTCTTTGACGGTCAACCCAGCTCAGCTGGGCCAATCACCCATCACATCCAACCAGTAGGCATGTGGGTCGATGACCACTTCGAAGAACTCGTCTTCCATGTCACCAAATCACCCCATGCTCCAATCCTCCTTGGTCTCCCCTGGCTCCGCCTCCACGACATTAACCTTGGCTTCAAGAACCTTTCGGTCGGTTTCCGTTGCGACTGTCAGTACCATGAATTCGCGAATTGGGACAACTCTCCAGCACCCCCGAGCCCAGCACCCGCCAGAACCCCCGAGCCCTTGATCCGCATCCCCCAGGATGAAGTCCCCGTCGACGAAACATGGTCGATTCCAGTACCCAAGGTATCTCGCTCCAGCACCCCAGAACCGGCTCCCAGGCCGCTCCAAGTCTCGTTTATTTCCGCCCCAGCCTTCCGGGTCGCAGCAAGGCATGACCAGGTCTTTGTCGCCTACGCCAACCCTGCGAAACCCGATCTCCCGGCCTTGCCTAGCCCCAGTAACCCCCCGACACCCGAGAAAGACATCAAAGACTTCCTGCCCCCCGAGTATCAAGACTTCGCTAACGTTTTCGAGAAGAGAAATGCTGACACTCTCCCCGAGCACCGGCCCTACGACTGTCCAATCGATCTGGAAGAAGGCAAGCAGCCACCTTTCGGCCCGATCTACAGCCTCAGCGAACCAGAAATGAAGGCACTCTGCGAATACCTCGAAGAAAACCTCGCCAAAGGATTCATCAAACCCTCAAAGTCCCCTGCCGGTGCGCCAGTCTTATTTGTGAAGAAAAAGGACGGTTCTCTCCGCCTCTGCGTCGATTATCGAGGCCTGAACAGCATCACAGTGAAGAATCGCTACCCCTTGCCCCTGATCAACGGTATCATGGATTGTTTGGGCGGCGCCCGCTGTCTCACCAAGATCGACCTCCGCGGCGCTTATAATCTCTTACGCATGCGCCCGGGCGATGAATGGAAGACCGCCTTCCGCTGCCGCTACGGCCTATTCGAATACAATGTCATGCCCTTTGGACTCAGCAATGCTCCTGGCGTCTTCCAGTACCTGATGAACGACATCTTCTGCGACATTCTCGATGTGTTTGTTGTCGTCTACCTCGACGATATCCTGATATTCTCCAAGAACCCCGAAGATCACCCCAAACATGTCCGCGAAGTCTTGTCCCACCTCCGACAGCATGGGTTGTACGCCAAACCAGAGAAGTGCGAATTCAACCGCGAATCCATTGGGTGCCTAGGCTTCATCATCTCCAAGAAAGGCATCCAGATGGACCCCAAGAAGATCGCTGCCATCACGGATTGGGAACCTCCCAAGACTGTCAAAGGCGTCCAGCGGTTCCTCGGCTTTGCCAACTTCTATCGCCGATTCATCCAAGGTTATTCCAAGATCGCTACCCCGCTCACAGCCCTGACCCGGAAAGACATCCCGTACGCCTGGACACCCGCCGCAAACACCGCCTTCGAGAACCTGAAGAAAGCATTCACCACCGCTCCCATCCTTGCTCACCCTGACCCAGAGAAGCCCTTCTTCGTCGAAACTGACGCCTCCGACTTCGCTCTTGGCGCAGTTCTCCTCCAACTTGACCAGGACAATCAGCTCCACCCCGTGGCCTTCCACTCTCGCAAATTCACGGCCGAAGAGATCAACTACGAAGATCTACGACAAGGAACTTCTGGCCATCCAAGACTCCTTTGCCCAGTGGCGCCACCATCTCATTGGCGCCTGTCACAAGATCACCGTTTACTCCGACCACAAAAACCTTCAGTACTTCATGACCACCCGCACCCTGAACCGCCGCCAAGCCCGCTGGTCGATATTCTTCTCGGATTTTGACTTTGTCATTACCTATCGCCCCGGTTCCCAGCAGCACCAAGCCGATGCCCTCTCCCGACGCTCCGAACATGAGCTAAAAGAGGGGGAAGAAGCGTTCCGCTCCCAGGCAACCACAATTTTGACTCCCCAACGCCTTCGACTCGCCGCGGCCTACCTCACACCCCTGGATACCACGCTGCTTGACAAGATTAAGGCCGCCCAGGCCTCTGATCCCCTTGCTAAGACCATTCGCGAAAAGCTCAAGATACCCCTCGCCCAACGAACCGAGGAAACCCAAGATCGTATCAAGCGGTTCTCAGATGAAGATGGGATCCTGCTGCACGATAACCTAGTCTATGTCCCCACCAACGAGCTCCAAGCTGAAGTCTGCCACGACATGCACGATACACCCCTAGCCGGCCACTTTGGGATGTCCAAGACGCTCGAACTCGCCTCCCGCAACTACTGGTGGCCCAGCCAGTGGCGCTTCGTCAAGGCCTACGTCAAGTCCTGCGATACCTGGAGCCAAGCGAAATCCAGTCGACACAAACCATATGGCCTACTCCAGCCCAACAGTATCCCTACCCGCCCTTGGGGATCTTGGTCCCTGGACTTTATCACCGGTCTGCCTCCCGTGGACGGGTACGACTCCATCCTGAACGTCAACTGTCGCCTCACCAAGATGGCCCACTTCATCGCCTGCAGCGAGTCAGAATCCGCCGAATCCACCGCCGACCTAGTCTTCCACAACATCATCCGTCTCCACGGCCTCCCCGACGACGTCATCTCTGACCGAGGACCCCAGTTCAAGTCCCGGTTCTGGCGTCGACTTCTCGAACTCCTTGGGGCAAAAGCCAACCTCTCCTCGGCCTTCCACCCTCAGAGCGATGGCCAGACGGAACGCACCAACCAGATCCTGGAGCAGTATCTCCGATGCTTTTGCAACCACCAACAGGACAACTGGAAACAGCATCTGTCGTCCGCCGAGTTCGCCTACAACAACACCCATCAGTCCGCCTCCCAGATCACCCCCTTCTACGCCAACAAGGGTCTCCACCCCTGCTTCAGTTTCGCGGCCTCTGCTACCTCCGAATCCGTCAACCCCGCCGCTGAAGCCCGCGCTAAACAAATCAGGGCAGTCCATGAACAGCTCGCCCTCGAGCTCAAGGAAGCCCAAGACCAAATGAAGCGCTACGCCGACGCCAAACGAATTCCTGGACCGGACTTCAAGCCTGGCGACCACGTCTGGCTCCTCCGCAAAAACCTCCAGACAACCCGGCCCTCTCAGAAACTTGACCATCGCAAGATTGGGCCATTTCCCATCGTTGAAAAGATCAATCCAGTCGCCTACCGGCTCAAGCTCCCGCCTACGTGCAAAATCCATGATGTCTTCCATGTCTCGCTTCTCGAACCCCGCTTCACCATCCCCGAACGACACGAACCCGAACCCGTGGCCCCAGAGACCGTTGAGGGTCAAGAAGAGTGGGTTGTCGAAGCCATCCTGGACTCTCGCATCCATCGTCGTCGCCTTCAGTACTTGGTCAAATGGCAGGGCTGGCCTGACTCCGAGAACACCTGGGAGCCCGTGGAACACCTCACCCATACCGACGCACTCCTCAAGGACTTCCACAGCGCGTACCCTAACAAGCCTTCCTCTGTCCCCGTAGCACCTCCCCTGCAACCCGGCCAGACTCGACGCCGCCGCCGCCGCCGCTAAAGGGAGGGGTGATGTTATGGACGACGCGCCCATACCATAAGCTTACCTCATGACAGCACACTGACAACCGCCAATGTCAAACGCCAATGTCAATGTCAGTGTCCATGTCAGTGTCAATGTCAATGTCAATATCAATGTCAATGCCACTCCCCCTCTCTCCTCTCATTTTGCCAATCCTCCCGCAATATCGCCACTCCTCCTCTCTCCTCTCATTTTGCCAATCCCCCCTACGGCTTCTCCACAGCCCCCACTACTTCTCCATAGCCAGCAGCTGTAGCAATGCTCTCTACGCTTGCCACGCCCGCTCTAGGAGCATAGCTGGCGCCCCCCCAGTCCCCTCTTGTTGTTGTTGTTCTCTGATCCGCTGGGTTACCTATCTATAAATAGCCGGCCTCTCTTCGTCCATTCCCTTCCTCCCCAGCAGATCAACACCAGTTCTTCTCATCTCTTGTTCTAGTACTTGTCTCTTGTTTCGCCAATACAATCTCTTGTCGCCCATCGCTCTCGCCTTGTCTTCTCTACTGCGCTTCCGCCTCAGTCGTCGAGATCATAACAGAGGTGTTTCAGGCCCTCATCGATCACTACTTCGGCAAGGAGGATACGCCGTGGTTTGAAGGCGAGGATATGCTGCTACCGGTGGCATCGCCTCACAACTCGGCGTATCCCTTGGACGGCATGTACGAGATGCTTGGGCGGGTCATTGTATGTGCCTATCGCTGGGCTCGAATCTTTCCGACAACGCTCCATCCCGGTTTCGTAAACTACCTCCACCACAGCCACAATCGCTCGGGTATCCACCTCCCCCATTATGGGCAGATCACCGCGGAAACGGTGAAGCTCTTTGACAAGGAACTCGGCAAAGTACTGTTCGGTATGCGTGACAAGGGGATCGACCGCAAAACAAAGCGTGAAACATGGGAGGCCAGGTATGTACTCGACGTTGCAGTGCTCTTGACCGCCCTCAGTGAACGGTTTACCGAGTCCGTTCTTTTGTCGGTAGACTCAGGGCATGCGTTGAGCGACTGGGTGTGCCTTTTCATGTTCCAACTTACGTGAATGATGCAGACCGTCCGCAGCGGCTTCGCCGCAGCTGGAATGATCTCTGGACGTTCTGGGAAAACGCCGACCGCCATTTGCGTTCGATCGAATACCATGTGCTGTACGCAAGTAGGGATGGCCCGATGGCCGACATGGTAAAGGGGATGGGCGTGGAATTTGTCGGAATCCTCCATTCGGTCCCATGCGGAGTCGTCATGTCGTTATTCGCGCCTGTACTGCTCACGTATGATAACATTTCCCGTTGTCTGGAATTCACATGCGAATCTCTGCAATGAGCCGGGATCTTGCAAAACCGCCGCACAGCTCTTCCGACGTGCATTGAAAGAAGTTCTGAAGGACCAGACGCTGGACGATGTCGTCCACGCCGTCACAGGTTCTCACGTACTCCCGACGCAAATCTACGTTTACTTTCGCTTTGATGAGGGCCAAAAGCTTCCCGAATACAGCTCGTGCTCCAAACAGCTGACCTTCTACTTTCCCACAGACTTGCTTGACAAGCACGGTAGCCCCCGGTCCCCAAACCCGTTTGGCGGCCCCCTCTGGGACGGTTTGGCCGAAATCCGTCGTCAAGGACCCTTGGCGTATGGGCTTTTGTAGCGTTTCTCCCTCCTTCTTGAGCTTGCTGTGAATTGTCAGTTCAGGAGCCCGCCCATAATCAACCGGCCATATTCCCCGCCTATATTCCCATCGATATTCCACCCTCTTTATTCCACCATGTATTCCCACCGTCAATCCCCCCCGTCCCAATGTGGTATAGCTGTATTTGTATCTGCTCCTCTGTCGCTCCCATAGCCCAAATCCTGAATGGTCAGTTCCCACCGCCGTCGAAAGAAAAAAACGTAAAAGCGCACGTGATGGGAACGCTATGTGGCGCAGGGGACACACTGACAGTTTTTGACATCTTTTCCTTGGGGAAATGTTTGATAAAACACGTAAAAGCGCATGTGACGGGAATGCTATGTGGCGCAGCGTGCTCGCTGACAATTTTTGACATCTTTTCCTTGGGGAAATGTTTGAATTTCATGCACGCCACACGCGAAATGTTTGCTCTTGGGAAGAAAGGTTCAATAGATGTTTGATCCTCGGAAGAAATGTTTGCGTTTCAAACATCCTCGGGAGAAATGTTTGCGTTTCGTGCGAACTGGCTGAAAAAGGTTGCGTTTTGTTGCGCACGCTGCCATTATGTTCGCTTCTCGGGAGAAATGTTTGCTTCGCATGGACCTCGAAAAGTATTTTTGGCAGAGCCGCTGGTCTTAAGCGACCATCCCCCAAAGCGACGTCGTTTATGTTATATCCAACGACAGGGAAATATATTAATCAGGTATATGACAATGAAATACTATGCGGTATCAGTAAAGAAAAATCATAAACGCAACAACAGGAAGAAAGAGGGGGCCATACAGTGGGACCATATAGCAGTTGGGAAGCTTCCATCCCGTGCCAGAATAACCCTATGGCATGACTCACCCGTCAATGTCACTTTGGAGGCTTTCGCTTTCTGGGAGAGGCATCGACATTCGCCGGAGACTAGAGCTGAGACTGATTTCGAGCCGGGGCTGCCTGTCACGATGACCATATTTCGTCCTTGTATCGACTTGCACGAGGGTCAAGTGAAGCAGATCGTCGGAGGATCGCTCAGCACCACGGAGCCTTCAACTCTTAAGACTAACTTCGTCGCAAGGTCGGTAAGTGGGTCACCCGACGTTGCTATGGCTTTCTCCTCGGAACGCTTGTTGTTTACAATGTCTTACTCGGCTCCATAGTCACCCGCCAGCCTATTATGCCCAGCTCTACCGCACGCACAAACTCCGCGGAGCTCACGTTATAAAGCTTGGTACAAATAACGACGCTGCCGCCAAAGAGGCGCTGGCCGCCTGGCCTAAAGGACTACAAATTGGAGGTGGAATAACTATCGATAATGCGGTGGAGTGGCTGGATGCTGGGGCTGATAAAGTAGGATGCATGTGATTGCGCTGAGGGAGAAGACCATGCCGTATTAACCAAGCAGTACATTTCTGCCACAAATCAGGTGATAGTAACGAGCTGGCTGTTTCCAGAAGGAAAGTTCAGCCTAGAACGCTTAAAAGCGCTATCGGAAAAGATCGGAAAGGACGCGCTGGTCGTCGATGTGAGGTATATTGGAGCTTCCACTATACCAGTTCGAATGGAGTACACTTGGACGGATAGCTCACGGCCCTCGATCCTAGCTGCAAACGACGAGACGACAAGTGGATCATAGCGATGAACAAATGGCAAACGCCAACCGCCACCGAAGTCAACGCCGAGTCGTTAGCGATTATGGCTCGCTTCTGTAGCGAGTTCCTTGTACACGCAGCCGACGTGGAGGGACTGTGTCAAGGGATCGATGAAGAACTTGTGCAACGTGGGTAGTCTAGGGATGATGGCGCTGCTTGCGTGGGGAAATCTGGGACTTAGTTGTGTTTCGCTCGATTGCAGGGCTTGGCGAGTGGTGCACGATTCCAGTCACGTATGCAGGCGGAGGGAAAGGTATGTGCGATATCGAGAGCTGGATAGCCTCCAGAAACCTGCTGCTTGATGCTCACCTGCGATCTGTTCGTCCTATCCTTCAGACATATCCGATCTCTCGCTAGTCGAGGGGTTATCGAACGGCAAAGTGGATCTGACTTACGGAAGGTGAGATTCGCGACGGATTGCGTACTTCAAGCGCCCTTCTCGGGCCCAGCCGATGGCCGGGGTGCCCTCGTTGACCTTTCTATCGATCGTTCTCGCGATGCATCCAGCGCGCTCGACCTTTTTGGAGGCACAGGCGTCAAATTCGAAGACTGCGTCGCTTGGAACAATAGCAAGGAGGACTGCTCGACCGCAGTGCGGTGAGCATCTTCTGTTCGAGTAGCGCCATCTTGCCCGGCATCAGCAAACGTACGTAGGATGGGAAGTAGCTTGTAGCTCTTGCGAATAGATTAGCATAGACGGACCGTCTGGTATGTCTATATCACGGTGACAGTAGTCCACGAGGACCGAGGATACGGCGTGCTTAATCGGAAACTACCTTTTGGGGTGGCTTCTACATCTTCTATCTAAACAAAGACTACAGTAAATCCCACCCACATCCCAGTACAAATGCTATCCCAAAATCGCCATTGAGAACGGCGCATCCGACAAAGTCGGCCTAGCAGGCAGCACATGCGTCTGCTGCGCAACCGCATCGCCCAACACCCCATCCCCACCCGCATCCAAATCCTTGGCCGCAGCATCCATAAACCTATGCTTAAACTGCTCCGTCGTCTCCCCAGGCGCCCCAACCGGTACAGCATTCGTCGCCCCCACATCAGGGAACACATCCGGCAACGCATCCTCAAACCTCCTCACCAACGCCGCAAACTGCGTCTGCATCGCCACAGCATCCTCTTGCCTGTCATACCTCGCCAAAGCGCGAACAAGAGCCAGCACGTCCGGCCGCATAGCGTTGCTGCGTTCCATGAGGGTCTTGATGCAGTTCATGAGATACTCGTCTTCAAACGCCTTGTCGCGGCCTGTGGCGCGCTTGCGCTCCATTTTCCGTCTGGCTTTTGCGGTCCTGGCTGTGCGTGCTGTGGCGCGGGAGCCGACGGAGCTGGTGTAGCCTGTGTAGGCTGTGATGCGCGTTGTGGCCATGGAGGTTGTGTCGGAGAACATGTCGATGTTGTCGAGGGATGGGTCGTTTGCTTCTGAGGAGGGGTCGGACAGGGTGGCAAGTGCCTTGGCTTTTTCGATTCGGAAGCGTCGGAGGCGGTCGTGCCGTTTGGTGAGGTCTGCCGACATCTCCTTGATTTCTTCGAGGAGTTGTGTGCAGGCTGTTGGAATGACACATTAGTAGACCGTCCATGCCGAAGAACCAATGCGGCTACTGAATGCCAACCTTCGAGCACCCTCGGCTTGATAACCTCATCGACCAAATTCGGCAAATCAAGCAGATACGCAGTGCGCGAGGCCTCGGCCCATAGCGACCCCTTTGCCAAGGTTTTGATCGCAGCAACTGGCCGTTTTGCGTGATCAAGCAAGACACGAGCCGCATCACGGTATTGTAATCTCCTCGTCATCTCATCTAGGATATCATATATAAGATTTCGCTTCCTCCAGCATCTATGCTGCACCATATACCAGACGAATGGATAGTCCTCACCTGCAAGCTCGACAGCAATATTCGCAATCTCCTGCTCAGAGAAGCCCACCTCCCGTGCCGTCGCCATCGTCTCCTGCCACATCAGCGCCTCCTGATACGCCTTCATTGCCTCCTTCTTGTCACCAGCCATCTCATACAACAATCCCGCATTCTCCCACTCGGACCGCTGTGCCATCTCATCCGCATACAGCTTGACCACCTGTCTGTACTTGACATCCTGGTCTCTGTAGATGGTCATGGCGGCGTTATAGAGGTTGTGTTTATCCATGTACGCCAAACAGTCTTTGTAGTACTGTTCACCAGCTAAACTGAGGTGTCCAAGTGCCTTCGCCCGCTTTCCAAGATGGTCGTCAATCATATAACGCTGGTAATGCGGTTCCAGTTTCTGCAGCCCAGAGAGGAACGGAAGGTACTCCCTCGGATCCTTCTGCGAGTGCTGCGCGACCATCAACGTTAACGGGAAATCATACATCCCCAATGCGACATCGTACAGCTTATCCACATCCGCCAAGAAAATAACGTATTTGAGGGCAACGTCGGCAGCTTCGGACGATTCCTGCTTTTTGACCTGCATGATGCGTTGCATGGCGGTTTCGAGATCCGGGGGGGATTTCTTGACATCCGTGGTGAGGATGGATTGGAGGTAGCGTTTAGGGTCGACGGTTTCGAGCGCTTGCCGGGTTGTGTCGCAGATTTTGTTGACTTTGCCGACCATGGCGCCGGGTCTGACTGTGCCGCGTGGGACGTGCTTGACGGGAGTCGCGGCTGCGGCGCTGGAGCCGGCGTACATGGTGATGGTGACGTCCTCATCTCTTAATCCTGAGATGAACAGGTTGAGAAACTCCGGGTCCTCCACCTGCTTTACGAACTCGAGAACATTTTCCGTAAAAGCCGTGGAGCCATGATCAACAATCAAGTTCATATCGATCCTGTGCTTCCGGCACTGTATGAACGCCGTCTTGTAATCCTTGCGGTCCAGCGCCTGCCTGACAGCGGCAAGCACCAGAGCACGGGGATATACCGTCTCGAGATTTCCTCGAGGCATCTGCAGAACGAGCGACACATCCGCCGGCGCCGCGATGACAATCTTTGATCCACGTTCCACGCGTCGGATGTGTTCATCGAAAGGAGAGGAGGAGATTTCGGGCAGTTTGAAATCTTCGGGGGACACGTGGAGGGATATGAAGCGTGCGGTGTGGGTGAATGTTGTCAGGATAAGAAAATCGTTGTGCACGAAAAATGACGTGCAATCTGAGGATATCAGCCGATCCCCGGCATAGAGCTTGTTCCGCTCGCTCAGTCCAATGAACAACCGGGTCGGGGTACCGGTTGGCGGGCGAAGCTGCACTGCGGATATCCAGGGACACTGTGTCGGAAATCCCTCACGAAATAGTATCGACGGCTCATCTGAATCTATCGACACTTGTGCGGTTTTCCCGTCCACAGCTTCGACCAGTAAGGTCTGCAATAGGATGTTGTACTGCAGTCGGCACAGTGAACGGCTGCCGTGAATCACCTTCGCCGTCTTCCTGCTAGCCAATTCGTACGTCGTTGAGTTCAAGTCGAAAATGGCGACGCTGTCTTCATTGGTTTCCGCGTTGTAGGCGATGGTTGCGATGACGTGAGAGCTTATCCAGGCTATTTGACGATAAGACTCTCCGTGAGCGGTCGGCAGCCTTGTCGAGCCGACTAGCTGGGGAGTCTTCACCGGCTTCCTCAGACTGGCGCTGCTATACAGCTGCACAGTGTAATCGCAAAGAAGCACAACCAAATCGTCTCCAGCGTTCCCCGGTCCGAAGCTGACATGCGCCGCGGGAGCCGGCAGAGTCACCTTCAAGGCGCTCATAGGCGGCGGCACATTCAAGTGCTTGAATGGCGTGAGGAGAACCGATGCCCCATCGATGACCGCCACCGTTGCAGGATTCTCATGGTTCAGCGATGAGGACACGAACTGATCCGTGCAGTAGTCGTACCTGAGATACGAGCCTTTACTCGTCAGGACGTGTACTCTGAGCGCATTTTCAGGATCCCATGCGAATCCCGAGACTTTGTCGGTACTTCGCGGTCTAATCTCTTGCTTCAGATACCAATAATAGTTGTTCATCGTCCATAATTGAACGCTTGACGAGAGATCCTCTCCAGCGGCGCCACGAGACTCCAGCCAAATTGCGAGTACCGAAGAGTCGGCGTTCCATGCCATGTCCACGACAACTGCGTCGCTACTGCGCAGTTGAAATTCGCCATGCCGTAACCCGTTTTTTTCGAAGAACACGATATCGTGCCTGTGAGGGAGCTTTTGACTTGACGCAATCAAGTTTCCAGACGGCCGCCAATTTAAGCCATGCTCCAACTGTGCAACGTTTTCGCTCGTGTACTGGAGCGCGCACTCCCTGTCATATACTCGGATTACCCGCTTCTCGCCATTTGGATCAACGGCTGAACATGCGAAATATTGACCATCCCCTCGCCATGACAGTCTGGGTCTTAAGTCATCATCAGAGGACAAGCGAGCTGTGCCTGGAGCGGGTTCGTCTTTGCGCAAAGCGGCGTGCTTGCCCTCTGAACCATGAAATTGTGTCTCTTTGCGACCCCATCCTACGCTGACATGAGAAGCCTCGCCAGTGGCCTCGACATGGATGGGCACTTCTGTGATGACCTCAAAGTCTTTCGTCATTTCGAGCAGGGTTCCGGTTCCAGTGATGATCACCACCAGTTCCTGATCTGGACTCCACTCCATGCAGAGTATCCCGGCGTCGATAGAACCCATGACTTCGTGTTGTGGTTCCACGCTCCCTTCGTTCCGTATGACGACCAGATCTCCCCCACCCAAGGCTAGACATAGTGCTTGTAGTTCAGGCAGATATTGGAGGCCAACAACCTCACAGGAACCCGACAAGTCGAGATCGGGGTTGGGAAGCGTCGCAAACTCCGCGACGTTATTGTCGGAGCCTATGCTGTATATCGTACAAAAAGTGCTCGTCGAGTTTACCGCGCAATACACGGTCGTGGTGTCGGTATCAACGGTGACTAGCGAGCGTTGCGGCTGCCGCCTGCGGCCGTCGTCCTCCGCTACCAGGTCATCGCCAGGAAAGAGCTCCGCGTGCGCTTCGCGCAAGAGGCACAAGCTTCGCATGGGGTTTTGGTGAGTGGGTTGGCCTTTGAGCAGAAGGACGAAGTTGTCTCGAGAGTGGAAAGTTAAGTTGCGAGCTTTCGATACAGGGCTTCCCGTCGAGTGGGCAGTCTCCCAGCTAGCCCTTGCGGAGTGATACGGTAAAAACGAAGGAAAGGACGTCTTTACGGAATGACTCTCGGTGCTGGAAGGGGAGAGTCTTGCGAGGGCGAGCGTTTGGTATCCGTTCGCAGCAGTCTCTAACAACAGCCAGCCCAAGCCACCCACGCCACGCCGTGCGCCACAGAGCCGTCCGCGTCTCCCCCGCCTCAATGATGGCGTTTCCCTCTATTCTATCCACAGCGACAAGGGCCATCTCAGAGCTTGGTCTTCAGCCAGACGACTCAAACCGCAAACATGCTTCGCTCGTTATGCAAGAACTCGTGCCGACGAGCATTGACTGCTTCAGGAAAACGACCACTTGCTATGTCTCAGATGGCGCGGGATCCGGGATCTCCTCTCCTTATTCGCCTGCAGCACACCGTTCCAGAGTCTGGAGTCCTTAACGCGGACGAAGACAGAGACGGACCCGTAGACGCTACGTCTGCAGAACCGGTAGCACCTGCAGTACCTGCTGAGAACAAGGAGTCTGGGATCACCGGGGCTCTCCAATCGCCCTCCAAGCAACATCTGCCTGGCAAAACGGAAAGCACTCCACCCCAGAGCTCGTCGCAATCCGAGGTGCAAACCACCAAGCTTTCAGAGAAGCCATCCGCGAAGAAGGCATCACCGTCCCAGACGAGATCGAACATGCGGATGAAAAAGGAAAACTGGTTGCGCAAAGTCATAGCTGGTAACGAAGATCCTGAGGAAACGCGCAACGGCAGCCTGGACTCGTTGTCCAGGGGCGGGCCGGCATTGACTATCGGAGACTTCAGATCAGCAGTGAGACTGGAGCATACGGCAGATGCGATCCGGATTTTTTGGTCCATGGCAAATGCTGGTGCGCTGACTGGCCTAGGATGGCGAGATTACGGCAATCTCATCAAGCTGATTCGTGACACTAATTATCGCCCTATGGACCAAAAGCCCGGCGAGCGGGGGGAAAAGGCGGCGCGCACTGTCACCGCCATGGAAGGCATTTTGGAGGTCATGCAGCAGAACGGAGTTCTTTTCACGCCTGGAATTTATGCAACGATGGCTTCCACATACGCCAGAGCAGGTCGGGTCGATAAGGTGCGGGAAGTTCTTGACAAGGCGGAAGCAAGGGGATGGGTTGTGCAATATGCACAGGCAATACTACTGAACGCGCGCGCCAAGGGCGAACCAAAAATAGCATTGGAGGAGCTTGAAAAGTCCCTGGAAGGCATCCGAGAACCCGATGAAAGTTTGACGGGCGTCTACAATTCTTTGCTCCAACAATTCTCCACAGAGAAGGACTCGGCGCGATTCCAGCGATGTCTGAAATTGGGCCAAAAGTACAGAATAGTGCCTAACGCCACCACATACGACGTCCTTGTTCGGCATTTCGCGGTGTACTCCCCAAACATGGTCGAAGCGCTGGCCCTCAACGAGCAGAGATTAAGACACGGTCTTCCGCGATCCTCCAGAGCGTATCAGTCCATTATCCACGGTTACCACATCGCCAAAAATCCGGCGAAAGTTATCGAATACTATAGGGAAATGGAAACCTACGACCTGCACCGGCACGTTAACGTTTACAACAAGGCCATCGCCGCAATGGGGCAGTTGCGTGACGCGCGCGGTGGAATGGCCATCTACCTGTCCCTCCTGCGTGCGAAATCAACCAAGCCCATTCGACCAACCTACGCTGCTCTCAGCACCGTCCTCGAGCTCTGGCCAACATCCTTTCGCGAACACGTCACCGCCGCCGGAGGCGTCACGTCGAAGCTTCTCTACAGAGGGGTTATAAAAGGCTTGGCCGACGCGAAAGCCGATGCGCAAACCGCACGCATCTGCAACGAATACCGTGACCTGTGCAAGAAGCACCCGCAGACCTTCAGCTTGTCCACCGACCTCATCAAGATCGAGTTGAACAGTCTATGCCGGCTGAAGAAGCAGGTCGAAGCTGAGGCGCTATGGGATGAACATTTCAAAGGAAGAAGAAACATGGAAGACGTGTTTGCGTACCGCGCGCTGTTCGTCCTGTACGCCCGCACTTCCAATGCCGCCATGGCGCGTAAGACGTTTGAAGAGTACAAAAGCCGAGGCCACGTACCTGACTTGTTCGTCTATAACGGTCTCGTCCGAAGCGTGTGGAACCAGGCTGCCGACGCACCCATGAACGACGAATGTGTCGCGTACCTCCGCGAGGCGGCCAAGCTGGGGCTGATCGACGAAGTCAACACGGTTTCGGAAACTGGCGCCGTGTGGAAGGGGACGGCGGTGGTGGGTAGGGGCGATGTTGAACGGGGATTCAGAATATTGAAGAGCGATGAGAAGGTGGATGTGCTGTCTCTGCCGAAATGGACTGAGCTGAATCTGGAAGATTCATTGGCGGGCCCTGCGGCAAGTTGGAAGACGGCCCAGGGCTTTCTGGTGACGGAGAATGCGCCGGATCCTCAGAAGGACGACATATTGTAGAGGTTGGAAGACCGTTGTCTACGTAGACGGCTCCTTCGAAAATCGGATCCAGATGAGGCCCGTAGTTGTGGAACAGCGGCGTTTGTTTGGGAGAGGCCCGCCAGAGCTGACTGAACCCCGATCAAGAATTTACATATGTACTGTACATCATCTACACGCATCATATATACAAAGAACGAATCTGCAGACCCCATTGTCAAGTCGTAGAAAGCCACGGCCCTCCCGACGAAATCATCTGCTTGAACATTGACGCCCACGACGCATCTGTATGCGGCGACACAACGATCTACATTCCACAAACATCAGCACCATAGTCCCCTCAAACTGAAGGTAGGTCAACGAACCTGAAACGGAAACGGATCATTGTTAACAATCGGCGGGATATGATCCTTCTGCTCGTTCGTGATGTGCGATATCGTCGTCAACGCCGCGATCAGGTCGTTTTGCATTGTGCGGCGGGATGCGAGTTGGTCTCGCTCGGAGAGCGCATCGCGGACTATGATTGTTATGACCCATTGCTGAGAAGGCAGATGTCAGAGATATGCCGTTTGCCATCTCGCATGCCTCGCTCTTCGATTGAACCGCCCTACCTCCCAACAAACTTCCTCCTCCGACGTCGTAAACCAAGATTTCTTCGGCCGGCGTGCAAAGAACAGCATCGCTATCTGTTCCCACAGCTCGCATCAGAACCCCTCCACCCACTATTATTTTCCCACCAAAACAACAGCCTTTCCCGCACCTGTCCCCGATTCCGCCCCGTCGAAGGCTCCACAAGCCGCTCAAAATCCCGCACCTTCTCCTCAACCGCCCTGTCTGCTTCTGCATTTTCCAGCCGTGCCTGGAAAAGATGCCGCTTTCAGTTCCCCGTAATAGTTTCGAAGCGGTTAAAGGAAATCCAAAGGCTTACGTAGGTAACGCTTAGAGAGTCGACGTCTATGTCTATGGGACGCTCGGAGGAGAAGGTTCGATGGAAAAGGACCGAGTGGAGTAATGCTGCCAATTTCGAGGCCGGTGAGATACACCGCATTCGAGGGGCAATGCAACCCACAAATGGAAACTATGGGAGGCCCCCCCCTCCCCTAAACGGCAGATAGCTACCTTTTAACACAGTCCCGAGATAATATCTGTCTATCGTCAGTTCTATTGGAACCTCTAGGGACATAATGCTGGAGATCAATACCCATCATCACGGCCGGCAAATTGGCCACTTGCCCTGAGGTCTCACCAAGGGGTGCCACTGGTGCCATATCTCAGCCGGGAGAAACGCTGTGTGAGGAAGTGCGGGAAGCAATGTGTTTTGAGGATGTTTGGCTTCACTTCTCTACCCAACGGGAAAGCCACGAATGTCAAAGCTTGTGAAGAGACGGTGTGTCATCGGGAGAAAGTGATGACTACGCGACGCCAAAACAGCCAGATGTGAAATGACACGAAAACAAGTACTGTACGTTGCGAGCGACACCGAGGTGTCATATGGGCAAGGGCGCTGAAACGTCCATTATGAATGATCTTCTGTGGCCTACCATGGTGTAGCTACCCTAGGTAGTGGACGAGAGACATTAATATCCCGCGATCTATCTACGGACTGCATCGTTGACGGTAGCGCCAGGCCACGTTACGCGCTAGGCGACGCCGCAGCATTGAACTCCTCCGTCATGGACTTGATGATCGAGTTCCCATTGACCATGTTCGTGGTCAGGATGACAAACTCTCGTTGTCCTGCAAAGAAAAGTCTGTCAGGTATCTCCTCCTCAACCTTCATATGCTAGGGGCCTATCTTTTGGGTGCATACCTTCCTGTTGGGCCAAAAACCGGATCGCAGCAACCTCTGTATACGTGCATCCGCCGAGGAAGACTACCACCGTCAATGGCGGTTTGTCCTTGCTTCCTAAAATTCGGGAAGACCGCATAAGCACATTGCCCAGATTCTCACTCATGAGGTCCCGGCGCGCAAGGATTGCCTACCTTTCCCCCCATCCCTCTCCCCCCCCTTCTGCAACTCATCAAACGTCGGCCCGGGCACCAACCTCAGCGCCTCCTCCCACCCCTTCCACCCCACATTCTTGCTCGCACTTTGCTGCCCAGCCGGCAAATTCGCCGCAACAACCCCCCCACCGAGATTCTTATAACACGCCGCCTGCACGAGCCGCACGGACAACGGCGCGTACCCGGAGTAGACGTATGAGATATCGTTGGGTTTGTGCTCGTTGACGTCGTCGACGATGAGGCGGAGGAGTTTGCGGAGTTGCGGGAAGGGGCTGCGCGGGGTGGTGGGGTCTTGTTTGCGGAGGAGGTTGGCTTTGGACAGGTTTTGGAGGGTCAGGATGTGGGTGTGGCCGTATGTCTGTGATCATTGAGTTAGTACGGTTGGCGCTCGCTGGTTTACATCAGCAGAACTCTTCAAGGAGTACCTGCACGATATCACGCCGAAACTGATCATACACCTTCGGCTTGATCCCTCCTTCCACTAAAGAGTACAGGGATAGAAGACGCAGTGTATGTTCCAGCGAAGCCTGCTTATCAATCATCGTTTCGAGATATTCGAGGTGCGTTTTGTTGCTGATTCCAGCTACAAAATCTATGCGCTGATGGTCAGAAATGCAAGCTTGTAATGTGCTATGCACTGGTACTCGGCTCACTTTGCTGGACTTCCAGAGCGCCATTGAAGTCGCTATCCTTCGTAAAAGTCGTCAGCTTCTCGGCTATTCCGGTGTCTGAATGGGAAAAAGGGCATGAGCTGCTAAGGGTATGATTGTGCATCAAAACTCATAGCTAGCAGTATCTCCAACGTACGGAGTCTGAGTGACTGATGTTCTGACTGGAGATTGCCCAGCTTTCCAATAAAGTCCTTGATCTGCGTGACAGTCTTGGCTTGATGCCGTCCCTAATAGACATATCTTCAATAAGCCACAAGAACATCACTACAGTGCAAATCTCATTCTCACCTCGTAGTCGTCATGAATCCGTCTTGCAATCTGACTAAGAAGCCCCCCAACAACAGCGAAGTTGAGGTCGCGCATTTGAGTGAACAGCGGATCGGATCCGTTCAGGGGGACTTTCTTGGTCTTTGCGGTTTGTGATGAGATGGCGCTGGTGCCTGTGGCTTGAGGGGCTCCTCCGACCATTGTGGCGTCTACTTCCACGAATGCTGTGAAAGATTTGAGGTTAGATTCTGTACGACTCGGTATTCGAATGCAACGTGATCTCTCCTGACGTACTGCTGCGAATCCCGATGACTTCATCAACCAGTCCTTCATACGTCAACTGCGTGCATAACGGCGTTACGAAATCCACGCTTCGGTCGATGATGACGAGCGAATTGATTTCGGAACGAGCCGGGAAGATATGTCCTTGTAATGCGTCGCTCGCATTTGCTACAAGCTCATGTCGCATTCGAAGTAGCAGATCTGCCAATGCCTGAGCCATTCGAAGATCAGCACTTTGACGTGGAAAGACATTTTCGTAGAATTGCGTACCCGCGCTTGTTGACCCTTTCCGCAGATTCGCGGTATGATTCCAAACATCGTTTGCAACTTCATCAGAGCCTTCGCCATCGAGTAGACCACGGTAGGATCTCCATCCTGTCGATTGCAACAGTTCAGTAGGGCATCCATAGTGTAAAGCGCGTGATCACCTCGCATGCGCACCAGAAACAGCTCTCGAAATGAGGCCCCATTTTCCAGTGACAGCAGATCATCCTCCAAAGCAATCAGATCCAGATGATATTCGCCGAGGGTGATCTCTCCATAAACTCCCTCCTCCTCCAAAACTCGCTCGCAGAGGAGCGTTCGTCGCGGCACAAAGAAGAGACTGTAGGAAATCTTCTTGCCGGTCTTGTTATTTGCCTGAAGATGGGCTGGTCTTGTGGGTCACATGGACGATAATGCGAATGATAGTGAAAACCTCAGTAGCGGGCATACCTGCTATCCATCGAGCATATTCCAGTTTGGGACGACATATGTAGATCAAATTCGTGCAGTCAGTGGTGAATGGTTCTGCAGATAGGTGGTAGATCTTGTCGACGCCATGTTCCTGCAATGGTTTGAGTTGGCCATCCCTGGGCTGAAGCGGACGACCTAGAGCATACCTTGAGAAGCGAGACTTCTGCTATCAGACTCAGAGGACCACTCAATGACGGGTCAAGGACAAGACCTTTCTTCCCTCGAACCTGCAGAACACGAGCCAGCGTCAGGAGTCTGGGTCCTTTCCTTAAGGCTAGAGCTGGAAGACCAAAATGACAAAACATTGAAAAATGAAAGCCCCACCGAGTCGAGTAGGTCTATGAGCTCCTTCCGAGCATGAGCCTTGAAGGCAGCGCTGACGGTAGCCCGCTCGCCTTGCATCGTGTTACGCCGTGACTCCCAAAGACCAGGAGTACCAAACAAGAAAGTGCTGTCAACGCTCTGTAGATGGTTCTCTACAGCACGCTGGCCAAACGCCCCGTTTCTGCAGTGGCAAATCTGGGACCAATTTGGGACAAGAGGGACACCGCAGTGACCGCATTGATGGACACCCGCGTGAGTCACCGTGTGATGTGATGCAATGGGTTCGGACATCCCGCGCCCGCTTCAGGCGCACCCAACGCCTTCCGTTCGGACACGCGGCATTCGCATTCGTTCGCTCAGCGCTGTTTGACAGCTCCCTTTACTTACAAGTACTTGGCAGGCTTCTTTATTGGAGCCCTTCCGCCCGCCCGCTCGCCAAAAACCCATATCCAAGTGCTTTCTCACGCAAGCCCCCTCCCACAGAAAACAGCCTTCGTTCACCGTCCGTTGTGCCTTGCTTGCGGTTCTTTTAACACCACCCGTCACGCACGCCCAGTCGCACGACCTCGCTCCCGCGGACGCTGAGACTCCGAGTCAGGGAGAGGGCACCTTCCCTTCAGTCGCCGCTTCCGACTGAGCAAATGGTGGGCGACGCTGTCGTCGCAGAGAAGGAACAAGGAGCGAAGCCTCAACCAGTTGGGCCGGTGTTCGAAGGATGGGTCAAGTATGACCCCACAGTCGGGAAAAAGGTTGGGAACTGGAAAGACTGCCAAGCCTTCTTTGGGAAAAGTAAGTCAATATACCGTAGGATGGCGAATACGGATCTATATCGCGCTATTCATTTGTCACGTCGAGGTTGACACGGAACCTCCCCCGAACTCCAGGGGGCGGTGAAATTGAATTTTTCGTGACCCAAGGAAGCATAACCAAGTGGGAGTGTCATGCCCCAAAGATTCTGGGGCGAATATATACGGCGAGCGATCATTTCCAGCTGCGTCTCAAATCGCACGGCACTTTCCGGTTTCATACGGACAATCCGGGACAGTCCAAATTCTATCGCTTTTGCTCGAACTTTCAAAGGACAGGTACGTTGTGATGATGGACAAGGTCTGATCCTGGATCCAATTACTGATACGTACGCATTCCGCAGGCAACTTAGATGAATTCGTATCGCCAGCCGGAACTCCTGCTCGAGCAGCTGGCGGCTCCGAGCAGATAGAGTCACCGCCGGTAGCTAATGGCAAGCCTATCGTCACCCTTAGTTCCCTGTTACCTGCAAAGCCGTCCATCACGTCGTTGCCTACATCAACATCTTCAGACCCGAAGGCTGCTCAACACCTGCTACCATTGTCAAAGCCGGCCGCAAAGCCCACCGACATTACTCCAATAAAGAAGCCCATTTCCATCAAACTGACTCTCCCCAAGCCACCAGGCACAACGGTGATACCACGAGACACCGTACAAAGGAAAGTGGACTCGTTTCGCGCAGCGCAGGAGCAAATAATAAAGGAGAGCCGCTCCCCTGCTGCTACCAATGCGTCTGACACCAGCCAATTGGACAAATCCTCTAGCAAAGCCGCACATTCCGATGATGGTATGCCCTTCTTCATTGCGTAATTTCATCGGTGGCAAATCTAACGGACAGCGTTTAGATTTGAGCACGCTAGTCGCACAAATACCCCGGCAATTCTATGGGTCAGAGCCCAGAAAGAGACCGATGGAAGACCTGCTGCCTAGCGTAAGGCAAACCAAAATGCGCCGCGCCTCCCCTCCTATCAAGTCGGACGGAATCAAGAACTCGGGGCAAACGTGCTACATGGCCGCAACCCTGCAGATGCTATATTTCTCTCCTTTCAAAGGTATGCACCGGTGTGTCCGGGCCGTCCCACTTCATCATCCCCATCTGCGGCCTTCTTCCTAACACCCCGCCATTTAGCCTGTTTTCAGCAAGCAATTCTACCGCTGCTGAAAGCCTCATCTGGAGCTGGCTCCATCTGGAAGGCGGTCGCTGATGTGTTCGATTGGAGGGATGATCATCTACTAGTGCACTTGAACCCTCTCCGGCGAACATTGCATGATGTGATTCAACAGTTTCACGCGGATCGACAAGAGGTATGTCAACTATTCATTGTTTTTCAGCTTGGGTACGGGAGGCATTGACAATATCCGTCTTCTGCTTTTCTCCAGGATGCGCAAGAGTTTCTGACCGCAATATTATCGCAAATGAAAACCGAGTTCAACCTGCTTGGTCTGAAGGGTACTCGCTCGCCGGTGGAATCGATGTTTGATTGGCACGCCGAGGTACAATCAGGCGCTGGAAATGCAGCCCTGCGTTGGACCCTCAGAACTAGTCTCCTCACACATCTGTGCACCCGCAGCGAACCCTAGAATGCCGCTCCTGCCAAAACAAATCCCACGGCTCCGAATCCTTCATCAACATGCCCCTCGACCTAATCGGGCCCCCCGGCCGTGAACTCTACCTCGACTCCCTCGTAACCAGCTTCTTCAAAGGCGGCGAAGTAGAATGGAAATGCGACCGCTGCGGCGCCGCAAGGGCATCCAAGACGTACCGCTTGGAATCGATGCCCCCTGTCATCATCATACATCTGAAACGCTTCAATTTGGAGCCGAAATCGTTTACAATTAGGAAGAGGAATGATGCCATTGTTATCCCCCCGGAGATCAATTTTGGTAGGCTGCTGAGGGTCCTTTCGTTCAACCCTCAGCTGCCGGCATGGCTAACCGAACCAACCCGCACAGGGCGTTTCAAATCCGGTCCCGCATCAGTCAAAACCCCAGACACCGTAAACGAGGTCCACATCATAGATTTAGACCCGGAGCCACACCATCTCAACAACGAGAACGTAGCTCCCCTCGCCCCGTCCAATTTACTCATGAACGCAGCAGCATCTTCCCTCGCGGACCGTGCAAGACAACAATCGGTCGAGCCACCGCCGGCGGAAGCGGGTGTGAAACGCAATCAATACGTCCTAAGGAGCATTGTGTCGCATTTGGGGTCCAAGCCTTTTCGAGGTACGTCTCGGAGACGTAAACGTGGGTAGTTTTGATACTCCTCTACACACATCTCACACATCCGGCCCTGTAACAGGGCATTACATAACCGACGTCTACGACCGCGGCAAAGGCACCTGGACATGCTACGACGACACGGTGGTCACCCAGAACAACGACTCGGCGGTGGAGGAACGAAGATGTACGGCTTATTTGTTGGCGTATGTGCATCCGCAGTATTTGTAGATGTGGAGGTGGTTGTCATAGATTTATGTAGGATGGATGGGGTTGGGGCGTTTGAGGGAGGTTGGGAAGATGTGTAGATACACTTGGATGATAGGGCCATGATATCCGCCACATGATTTATTTGTAGATAGCCGGATTCATTTCTTGGAACACACCCATATCTGAACTTGTTAAAGATGGTGCGCATCACCCTCAGGGGCCGAGGTGGTCGTTTAATAGGAATGAAGTCGCATTCCTCTGCCTCAAGAGGCCTATACACAGAGGTCACAGCATGTTTTATTCGTGAACTTTTCCCTCCGACAAAGTCAGGCGAATGATTGCGACGGATCGCCAAATCTTCCCGAGATACTGAACTACATTCGCCCATTGCACTATACTACCAGATCCCTCCCCCATCAACGTCCAGGCTTGCCATCCACATCGACACTTGCCACCGGCCCACCCCTCTTCTTCTCACCCACACCCTCACCACCTCTCTCCTTCTTCCTCCCCTCAAACTCCCTCTTCATCTCCCCAATCCTCCCGCACCTCCCTCGCTCCAACTCGCCCGCCCGTACCCAACACGCCTCATCAACCTGCATCTTCGCCATCGACCTTGCAATCAATTTCGACACCTCCAACCGCAGCACGAGGTCGAATTGTGCGGGGGCTGGTACGTCCGGTGCGCGCGAGGCTGCGTAATCCCGCATGATGATATCCGTGAGTGTGTCGGGAATAACGCCGTACTCGTGGGGCGCGGCGGGGGTCGGGGCGTTGCGGAGGGCGGCGAGGAGTAAGCGGGCTTGGGTTAGGGCGCTTTCTGGGAGGGTGAATGGGATTGTCGTCGTGGATGGGGATGCGGATGGGGAGAGAGGGACGGTGCATGGGACGGGAAACATGCTTTTGCCGTGGCTGACGATGATGAAGCCGTAGTCGACGTCTTTGCGGAGGTTGTCGGAGCCGTAGGGGATTAGGTAGGGGAGTTTGGCGGTTTCCAGGACTTCTTTTAGTTGTCGGAGGTTTGTCAGGCCTGTCAACGGGTTTAAGGCTTTAGTCTCTTGTAACGACATTTCCGACGCAAAGAAAACATTCACTTACCACGAGCATTCAAAGTCCCGTCTTGAAGCGCAGTCTCGTCAACAAGAACGCAAGTTCCATCAGCTAATTGCAACTGTCCTGCTGCAAGCCCAATATCCACCGCCGGCGTGCGCGCCTCCACTTGCTGTCCATCACTACCCGCGGGTTCCGAGTTCTCGACCGCTTCCCGGTTCTTCTCTGGCACCATCCACATCTCGCAATTGAGCTCATTCAACATCAGGGAAATGCGGTGGGAACGTGCCACAAGAGATGACAATGCGTTGCTCAGATTCTCGACGAAACTGCTCGAGTCGATTGCATTTGGTAGGTTGCAGATGTTGAGAGGAAGGTATCCGATGGGAGTTTCATCAGGGCCTCTATACTGACTGTGGAAGGATCAAAGCGGTGAAAATGGGTTCAGCATATCAGACAGTAAGCTTCACAGCACACTTACATTTTGGAGTACAGGTGCAGCAACAAGTATTCAGCAGCCAATTCATCCCCTAACAAAATCTGCTTCAGGGCATCAAGCAATGCCTCTCTGATTGCACCAACATCCACATTGGCCACCTTTGCATCGCCATTCGAAACCGCAGGGTTTGCTTCGGACACCGACAACATCCTGTGAGAGACCACATGAATGCGAGGCATAGTCCCAAACGCAGGTTGCTCGATGGTGTCTAGTGGGAGCTCAAAGTCCAGATGTCCGTGCCCCTCGGTAGATGCCTCAGTCATATCGGGTTCCGGCACGTGCTCCAGAACACCCACAACTTCAATGACATCGTTCAACCGGAACTGGGGGTCATCGCCGTAGGTTTTGATCAAAGCGGCGATAGCATGGGGGTCTTTCGGGATGGGGAACTTGGCATGAAGCGATTCGTGCAGAACCGGATGTGTCTGTTCGCTAGCTGGCGTCTTGGATTCGCCCATCTTGTCGTCGAGAGTGACGTTCGAGACCCTCGCTGCCAAGTCCTCCTCCTGGCTATTGTTGACGTCCAGACCCTGCCGAGCCCACTCCGTTTCCGCCGGAATCGAAACGCAATATACAGGGTGCTTGGTGCCCACCCAGCTGGCATCAAACGATCTCATATCCGGTTGTACCAGCGTACAACCGTCTCGATGAGGCACAGCGTCTCTGAACAGCATCGACACCCGGGTCTCAGCGCCAGTAGCTGTGTCCCTGTAGACCACTTCCCGCAGGAACTCTTCGGGGTTGAACGAATTGTCCTGCACCATACAGCGGAAGCGTACTAACTGGCCATTGCAGAGGGTTTTCGCTGACTCTGTGGTCAGGAATGGGACTTGTTTGAGGAGGCCTTCTGTTGCTAGGGCTTGTTGGAAGCGACTGCAGATAGTTTCGGTGGAGGACTGTGCTTCTTTGAGGATCTGTTCGACGACGCCCAGGGGTTTGAAGACGACGTCGGTTGAGGTGATAGGAGACATTGCGAACGAGCTCAGTTGTACTTTGCAAAGTGATTCGATGGGTTGTTGGGGGTTTCTTGCTGGTGAAAAGGCCCAATTTCAAGCTACGAAGGACGAGTAGAACATGGAGAACAGAGGTGCTTCGAAAACAAAAGAGAGCATCTGTCCGAACAGCCGGACAAGGCGATCGCAGGGTGGCGCAGTCGCTCGGAACTGGGGTGAGCTTCGAGGACTTCGCTGCTGCCAGAGGGAGCAATATAAACCCTACGATGAGTGGTCACAAAGCAGGAACGACTCTCGAAAGCGATGAGGAGGACGAATGGGAGGAAGAGGTGCGTTCACTGTCTCCGGGCGCATATCACCGTAGAAGTGTCTGCTGACATGCCCCCCACAGACCAAATATCTCGTCCTGGACGTCGGAACCGAAGTCGACGCCGAAACGGTGCAAGCAGCCGCCACCAAATACGAAGGGCTCTCCATTATAGTGAGTGGAAGTGTCCTTTGCGGGTGCTTCATGTCAGGCCGGGACTCACACATCTCCGCGATTAGGGTTTGGACACCCCAACGCCAATACTTCGAGTAGGCAATATGGTCTTCAAAGGATCCTTGGATCGGACACTGGGGACCGATCTGATCTTCTCGAAGTCGAATCCCAATGAGAGCCGGCCTAAACGTATGGTGCAAGCTCATCACATAGACAACCCAACGGACAATAAACCTAACGTTGGAGGATCCCGACCACAGGCGCGCCACAGGGTCCTATGCCCATGTCAATGGACCCAAACCGGGCGGAGATCGACATGACGTTCATCGGAACTTCTGCCCTAAGGGGAAAGTTCAAGAGGGTGGATATGGCTCGGAAACCAGATTCTTCGAGCCCGATGGATGTTGATCTACTGAGGGGGTGAGGAGTGGAAACGCCAAAGAGGTCGAGACGGCATGCAGGATGTCAGCATTCAAGACAAATTAAGCTGATGTAAGATGGCACAGGTCCCCCTCACTTCGTTCCTTTGCTGAAGAACATGCTTCTGACCCTAACGTAATTTTAGGGACGTCTTCGTTGTCGGACACCTGGTTCCCGATGCGCTCTCTCCGCCCACCGCACAAGACGTCCAACTGTCTATCGACATCCCCCCTCGCGCGGCGACCCCGGAACACGGTATCATCAGCGTTCACACGGCGGTATAGACCGCAGCTGATGTGCCTGTCTCGGTTGCTGCTATGGCACACTCACACTCCGGGATGTATTCCGCCGGGATCGACCGTTCACAGATTGACCATGGCCGCTTCCGAGAAATGGTCCACTTTGTTGTTTCGGGCCGCAGACGACCACGAGCTGTTCTCGTCTAGGTGGATTGATGATCCGAAGTGTAGGCAATCAAGTGAAATAGGACTGTATGTGAGGCGTGTAGAGAAAGCGTTTTCTGGAAGCGGTGCTCTCCGACACATGAGAGAAGAGGGCTTATAGAGCTCCAAATGAGTAAGCAATATGGTAATACGGCAGAATATGCTGTTAGAATCCCTTCAAAAAATAGGTTGAGGAATATACAGTATGATAAGGGTGTAACCCCCACTGCCTCCCCTCAAACCACCGATTGTGCCATAAAGCAGTACGAAGCCGATGGAGAATCGTGTTCGAAAGTGTCACGCTCGCCACCAACGTCTGGCCTTACCACCGTGGTTTCACCATCAAGACCAGACAGTGGCAGACATGCCACCACCTTGACATCGGCCCCCGAGGCAGTCTACTCGTAAATCATTGGTCTCACGCGTTGAAGCAATTCCGACGCGTGAACAGCCAAAGAGCTGATTTAATTCAGGCACGTGCTCTAATCTGGAGACCACCTCGGACACGGTTCTCCAGGAAAGCTTCAATGTGGGGCAACCAATTGCATATGTATGTGTTGTGGAGGGCCCAATCTTGCAGCCGCTCAAGGACTCCCATATTTGTGCAAACAACACAACTCTCAGGCTCTTTTGAGCTTTGTCTGACGTTGAAACGGTGAGTGGTCAACGTTTTTGTTTGGTGCTTTTCATTGTGTTTGCCGGCAAGCCGATGATCATCTCTGACACTCCAAAACCGCAAAGCAGGCAACGAAACAGTGACCTTTAGACTTAGGGCTCATAATGAGTGCCTTCGGCTCCCTAGGGGCGCCCGTCGCTCAGAAGGATGTAGAGGTATGGGACCTTATCAGCGATACCTGACTGTTGGACTTCTCCGGACACCTATAGGCTAAGATATCGGCCCACTGCTCTAGATATCTCAACCACCTGGAGACACAGTATCGGAACTGAGATTCTCACCGCGGGCGAACTTGCTAGCGGCATCCTCCTGGGATAACCAAACTCGTATCTGGGAGATCTCCTCGAATGGGCAGAGCATACCTAAAGCTGCCATCCAGCATGAGGCCCCGGCGTTGTGCGTGGATTGGTCTGCGGTTAGTGGCCATTTTTGTGGAAGGAAGCTTGATGGAGCTTGTTTCGAAGCGGATATTCATTAGGCGTGTTTGGGTATCATAGGATGGAACCAAGCTGTTGTCAGGAGGATGCGACAAAGCGGGCCGGATGATGGACATTACAACAGGGCAAACGATGCAGGTTGCATCGCACGATGCACCAATCAAAAGCTGTCGATTTATGGAGTTTCAAGGATCAACAATTGCTGTAACTGGAAGTTGGGATAAGACGCTGAGGGTACGTTTCCCACACATGTTACATAGTTTCCATGGCAGGACCGGGCTAACACAAGTCGCGACACATCTAGTTTTGGGATTTGAGGCAGCCAACACCGGTCCACACGTTTCCACTGCCGGAACGGTGTTATGCTATGGATGCCTACGGGCCGATGTTGGTAGTGGGCACAGCAGATCGCAACATGCTCATTTTCAGCACATCAAATTTAGGCCAGCCATATAAGGTAATTGGTCGCCAGTCCCGGCAGAGCTCAGTTCGATTCCCTTTCTCACGAATACTGTCGATGCAATCACAGGTGATGCCGCCTATTCTCAAATGGCAAACACGCACTCTTGCCTGCTTCCCTAGCACGGATCAAGCAGAGATGGGCTTTTGCTTTGGAAGCATCGAAGGAAGATGTCAATTACAATGGCTTGAAGACGGCTCGAAGTGAGTTTCAACCCCGTCGCGGTTCAATCACGCGAGAAGTCCCCTCTAACAGCGTTCTGTTCTTCTGAAGGCCACCACCACCACCCCAACGCTCCTTCTCCTTCCGCTGCCACCGAACCGAAAAAGAAACTTACGCCGTCAACTCCATCTCCTTCCATCCCGTCTACGGAACCTTTGCAACCTGCGGCGCCGATGGAACAATAGCTTTCTGGGACAAGGACGCCAAGTCACGCCTCAAGAACTTCCCTACAGTTGGCTCGGCCATCACCGCGTCCAGCTTCAACTTTGACGGAACCATCTTTTCATACGCGACGGGATACGACTGGTCTAAGGGGCATGAGGAGCACAAACAGGGGAGTAAGGTGGCGATCATGCTGCATTCGTTGAATCCGGCCGATATCAAGCCGAAGCCGCCAGGTGTGAAGTTGCCGGGGAAGAAGTATTGATTTGGGTCACGGGAATGTATATAGCATATCTATGTGTGCGCCAACGCACAACTCTTACAAGCTGAGCATGCTCGAGGAATATGTACATCGCATGCTCCGCTTAACATACCTCAATGGCATCAAACTGAAAATATATAAGCCTTACGAAACGAATTTGGTTCCACGGTTGCTTGTTACAGCACAATCAGAGCAGATCATGATATGACACCAATCTAGGAAAACGCACAAGTTCAAGAACCGATGAAATTGATGTAAAAAAATGTTGGTTGCCAATAGCAAATAGAATGATACAATATCATAGTCCTCAAGTGGACTTCTAATCCCAGGACTTCCCATGTACACGTTGCCTCCCATCCTTCAGACCTAGTCCCCAACCGACGCTGACTAATCGAAGTCCGCCCTCCATCAACTCGGAAATGCCGGGGTGGATCTCGCACCCCACCCACGCATCCCACACCCTCACTGCCTTCCATCCGGCGTCTGCGGGGACTGCGTCGGATCAAAATACTCATAATACGCGCCACCTGGCGTATTCGGGGACAGTGCTTGCTGTTGCTGTTGCGACTGTGCAGGGTTAATCGCAGCCGCGGCCGCCGTGCCTGCGCGTAACGGTGGCGGGGTCCCGAATGAGGACGCGCGCGGTGGTTGTTGATGCGAGTATTGCGTGTAAGGTTGGGGTTGTTGCTGCGGGTGATAGGCGGCTGGGTGGAGTTGGGGTTGCTGTGGGTGGAATTGGGGTTGGGCGTAGCGCGGGTCGGCGTATTGGGAGGGGTGGGGCTGTTGCTGTTGTGGATGTTGGTAGTGCTGTTGATGTTGTTGCTGTTGCAGCTCTTGCGACGCATATCGCGGGTCGGGGAGGGGTCGGCTGTACCCTTGCTGCGGTTGTGGGGGCTGCTGGTGCTGCGGATACTGCTGGTATCCTTCTCGCGGGACTTGCCCATCCAATGAATGGGAAGACGAGGATAATGGCGGGGATGCATACCGCGGATCTCCGACAGGCGCCGGGGCCTGATAGTACTGTTGATGCGTTGGGTGCGCTTGTTGTGATTGGTGGGCAAGTGGGTAGGGTTGGTAAGCCGCCTGTTGGTACTGCTGCTGGTGTGGCGGCACCTGATGACGGTAATGCGGCATTGGCGGTACTGCTTGCGATCCACCATGCTGTTGTTGCGGGTGATCGCGCCGGTGCATCCCTGGTGACCCGGAAGGTGTCCGTTGCATTTTAGCTCCTCCCTCCCTCGGCCCCACGGACGAGCTCGAGGAAGCTACCGAAGCCGCCCGCGCCGGATGCGGGGATGAGCCCCGAGAACGATTCTCTCCGATCGAATGCTGGCTGCCTTGCCGAGCCGAGGGACGGCGTTCCGCAACCTCTTTCGCAGCCCCGGCTTGCGTGACTTCTTGGCTTGGTTGCTGATACCCCGGCCCTGTTAACGGAGAACTAGGATTGCTAAGCGCGGGAGGTGATGACAGCCCGGATGCCGGTGACCGCGTATACGCAGCTCCGTTCAAAGCCTGCTGGTTAAACAGCTGCTGATTCTGCGCCTGAGCCGCGCTGATATCGATCCCAGTGGGCCGTAAAGCGGCAGTACTACCGGCGGGACTTTGTTCCGCCACCGGTACGGGTCGCCTTGCATCATTCGCCTGTGACCGCACCGCGGACGCTTCAGGCGACCCTCCCTGTTCCGACATCGATCCCACGCGTTTCTGCTCCTGCATGCCTCGGTCGGATATCGATCCGACGCGTTTCTGCTGGATGTCGTTGACAGAGGGGCGGGCCTGATCCGAAATGGAGGTTGCGCGCTTTTGCTGTGGTGGGGCGACCGTCGATTGTCGTTGGCTGGGCGCCGCAGACCCGGCTGCAGTTGTCTGTCCCGACGACGGTGCAGATGTGATCGAGAGCTCAGAGGGCCTCCGGTCCCTCCCTATCCCAGGCCTCTCCTTCAACCAAAACACCGCGCCGCCCCTCTTCTTCCGCTCTACAAACACAAAGAACGCCCCAGGCCGTCCATTCAACAGCCGAATCGACGCGTCGTGCTCAAGCGCCAAAGTCTGCGTCACCCGCGCGCTCTTCCAATCCACAATCTCGACCCCCGTTTTCCCAACACCGTACACGAAATCCACCGGTCTCAGCAGTAAATCCGTCGGCTGTTCCCGCCACCTGAACCCAGCGCTCCATCCACCAGCGCCGGACCCGGTCATGATCTGCGCATTGGCGTCGACCAGCCGTGTGAACCTGTGATACGTCCCCAGGAAGTATCTGTCTCCCTTCACAGCCGCACCGGCACCCTTGGCAGGCGCCCGGGCGACAGCGGCCAGCTTACGGTTGACGGTGACATGCTTCGCCGATTCACGGATCTCCCGTCGGACAGCTTCCGACATGGGAATCTGCACAAAGGTCTGCCATCGCGCTTTAGTCCCCTTCCCCGCCTTCTCTTTGAAATCGCGGTGAGTGTCGATTTCGGAAACCCGGGACGTGTCGGCGTTCACGATGTTAGCCTCGGAGCTGTACGCCAAGAAGATCTCGCGCACTTCCGAACCGTCGTGGAGGACTGACAAGTATTTCGGCGTTTCCGGGAGCCAGAACGCTTTCAGTTTCATGAACTTGAGGTAGGGTTCCTTGGCCCACTCGAACAGGATGATATCGTGCTTGAAAAGGACGGCCATAAAGATGGAGGTCTCCGTGTACTGGATCAAGAAGGAGCGTGAATCCTTCGTGGCGGGGATCTTGATGTAATCGCTAGCCCAGCGGGCAACCAACGACGCTTCGTCCTCGATGACCTCCTTATGTAGCCCGCGGTACAGATCGTCATCGTTCTCGCCACCGGACAAAACAGACATCGTTTCTTGCTGTGGCCGGCCGATGGAGGAGATCGTAGACGGGTTGTGGCTGAGATTCGACGCGCCTGAGCCGCCGGTCGCGGTCGATCTGGTGGTCGAGAACATCGTAGGCGGAGCAGGAGACGACGGCCGACGAGAGTCTCCGTTCTTACCCTGGTAGTTGATGCCAAACCCTTGGACGTAGTAGATCAACTTCCGCAGGGATGAAAGCTTGTATTGGCGGACATGGTCGTGTTTTCCGGAAATGGCTAGCAGCACACCATAGCCCTCGATGACTTCGACCTGCTTGAACCGAATATTTCTGATGAGAGGCATTGGCTGCTGGCCTTGTGGTCCTTGCGTGACATCGATGAAGAACAGTCCTCTTTCCGTTCCCAAGAGGACATAACGTTGATCCAGCAGATCCGCCGTGAGAATGTCGATCTTGACGGAGCCGCCAATCACGATAGGCTCGACCACCCGATTCTCCGAAGATGTGACCGTCTCGACGATTTGCGGAATGTCGTTGAGAGAGATGGTGAGAGACGCGACATTCGACGTGAATGTGCTCTGCCATAAAGAAATGTAAGTTTACATGTCGATGCCAAATGGAGAACCAAAAATGTACTGTGCCAAGGTCTTTTCCATACCGTAGGGCTTGCAGCGCTGTCGGGAGTTGTTTGCTGCGAAGATATGGACAATACGGATGGACGCTGTTGCGGCTGAGGAGGGATTTTGTCTAGTTGTGGTTGCAGCTGTGCTGGTGCCGGCTGCTGCTGCTGCGATGGAGCCGTCTTGGCCGGTTGTTGTGATTGTGGTTCCTGTTGCAGTTGAGGGGGCTGTGGTTGTTGCTGCTGCTGCTGCTGTGCCTGAACCTGCTGCTTGGCCTGCTTGGCCTGGCGCATGGTATCACTCAAAGCTTTCGGGGGCAGCTCCTCCTTCTTGTCTTCCTCGTCATCGTCATCATCCGGAACCTCTTGTCCGCCTTTCCGCTTTTCTCTTGCGATTTTCACCTTGCCAACGAGATCTACAAGGATCTTCTGCCGGGATAAACCTGCCGCTTTGACCATGAACGGGTGCTGCAGTAGCTGAGCAGCCGATGGTCTCTTGATCGGGTCTTTGATCAAACACACTGCAATGAAATCCTGGAATGTTTTTGACCAGTTCTTCGGCTTTGCAAGGCCTAGATCTGAGTTTGGAATCAAGTAGAGAGCTCGCATTGGGTGAATATCGGATAATGGCGGATTTTTTTCCGCAATTTCGATGGCGGTGATGCCGATTGACCAGATATCTGCTTTTGCATCATAAGAGGCGGAGGAATGGGTTGCGCTTTCTGGATCTGTCATGATGACCTCGGGAGCCATCCAGTACCTATGAGAAACGAATACGGATGAGAAACTGGGGGTTGGTGTACACAAGGGAAGACAGCAATGATACTAACGGCGTTCCAATGAACGTGCGAGCCCGTCCACCGACATTGCTCAGTTTGGCAGACACTCCGAAGTCAGCTGAAGGCAAGGGATGTCAGAGCATATCGGACAAACCGTTGCACATCATGTTGACGAACCAAGCTTGCATTCTCCCTGCTCGGTCAACAACACGTTTCCGGCTTTGATGTCACGGTGAATTAGAGCGACCTTCGTATGTAAATAGTCAAGACCCTGCGGATGTGAATGGTTTGTCAGAATCTGTAGACATTTTTTGCCACGTCTCGACGCCTGATGCTGATACCATTACGGACTCGTATAGGATCGATCCAATCTGATCCTCAGTCAGCGGTTTTCGAATGGCTCTATATATCGAATCCAAGGCGCCACCACCACAGAACTCCATGCAAATCTAGTGGTGGAAGGCGTCGGACAAGAAAGTCAGCAGATGAAGCCTTTCGCGGTTTCTGGTAAAATGAAGTGGAAGGAATCATACCCAAAGGTCCAAGCCCTTCAAAAAGCAACCCATATACCGAGTTATGTTCGGATGGTCACATCCCCTCAGAATCTCCATTTCCAGCAGCGTTTCGCGTAATTCATCTTCCTTCAGAAACACAACTTTGACGGCGGAGATCTCTTTCGTGGCCGTCAGTCTCCCCTGAATGAGGTGAAGATGTCGTACGTTCAACACTTTTGCATTGGACAGTAGTTTGAAAAGCCCCGCAGAACATACTTTGTACACATATCCGTAGTTTCCTTTCCCTATCGTCTCCAGCAGTTCGACCTGCCCTCTTGGGGACGGCGTACGCAATAGGATCGGGAACTTTTTCCCGTAAGCCTGAATCGACATGTTGACCCGTGCGTTCCTTCAAATTGAACTTCGTAAATCTCTATGGTCTTCAGCAGTCACGGCGCCTGTCCAAACAACTCCGTATTGCGTGGGAAAACACCCGGCCGAAGAGTGAAATACGGAACGTTCGAAGGGAATACAGGATGCCGTCGCCTTCAAGTCGGCGCAAGCCGGAAGTCTAATTGCGGTTGGTTCGCAGTTTGGCGATCGTGTGCCTTTGAGGCGCGTCTGCGTTCCCAGAACCTAAACTGGAGTCAAATGCGGCAACGTGTCCGTCCTTTGAACGTTTCGCTGACTGTTCAGCTCCCAGAGCGGCGAAAAAGGCCTTCTACAAACGAGAGCCGTTGGGAAGTACCAGCGAAAAGACGCTGTGCGTTTCCAAGATGGTGTGTTTGGAATGCGATGGGATGGGTTTCTGGGGGGGAGTTGCAAGCTCAGAAGTCCCAATGCAAGCGGCGGCCAACGAGGAAGGCGACCCAGATACCCGAGGGAGCAAAGCTATACCCGCTTTCTGGCACCTGGTAGCCTGCTAAGCCGCGCCCCCGTGGGACTCATCCGACAAAAGACTCTTGACATAAAAGGTTTACTTCCGTGAGCGCACGTGACCAGGCGCAAGAATGCATTCCGGAATTGGTCCAGACCTTGAACCTCACCTGGCCATTGTGATCATCACCCTCTCTAAATCTGCATCGTCGGCTCAAGGGAAGCCAAAGTCAAAGCGCTGTCTCGCATACTGTTGCGCTTGTGTCGTCGCAGGCGATCTTGATGCCTATCTGCGAACCATATAAGAGAGACGTCTATCGCCTTGTTTAGTTTCCTCGAAGAACGGTTTTCCCAGTGAACGTGGTGGGCACCACTTTCTGGCAGAGCTCCTTAACAAGCGTCTTTTCGTACAAATCCATATATCCCATAATGGCGCTTGTAGCAGGGGCAAACTACAAAGCCCTCAGCGACGATGAGTTACGCTCTCACATCGAAAAGCTAAACCTTGATCCGGTCGGTCCGCGATCAACCTTACTGGACCGGATAGCGAGGCATCTGGCCAGCCAATCCAACGGAATTACGGCAACCGGCGCTCAAGTCAATGGAAAGGCATCGAACGGAAGCAATAAGGGAGGGGAGAACAAAAAGCAAAGACGGAAAAAGAAGAAAAACGCTGGACCAGTAGCGAACGGAGAGGCGACCCCTAGTGAATCTGGAACGGATGCAAAACCTGACGAGGTTGTACCTAACGTGGAGATCGAATACGTGGCGGCCCCTCTTCCCCAAACGGAAGACCCGGCCTACGAAGAATATACGCGGGTGTTTGAGAAATTTGTGGCTCCAGTGGTGCAGGAGGGAGAGGAGAAGAAGCCAGAAGCGGAAACCGAAGATAATGAAGAGGAGGATGAAAGCAACGCGAAAGATGGGAATGCTAGTGATAGCTCCGATGACGATGAGGATGGGAAAGGAGGCGATAAGTTATCAAGGAAGAAGATGCGAAAGCTGAATCGCCTTACAGTTGCGGAATTGAAGCAACTAGTGCGGAAACCAGAAGTAGTCGATGTAAGCTTTCAGGGTGCTTTTACGGCAGACTGGCGTAGGGCAAAAACTCATTCCTTTTTGTCAGTGGGTCGACGTTTCCGCAGCAGATCCGAAGCTCCTGGTGCACCTCAAATCCTACCGGAATAGCGTCCCTGTGCCCGTACATTGGCAACAAAAGCGGAAATACCTGCAAGGGAAGCGTGGTATCGAGAAGGCACCGTTTGAGCTTCCAGGTTGGTGTAGTGTGTTGTGGCGGGTTAGAGACATTCGCTTTGCTGACGACAATTTTGTGTTCCATCAGACTTCATCAAAGCGACTGGCATCATGGAGATGCGATCAGCAGTGAAGGATAAGGAGGATGCTTCAAAACTAAAGTCGAAGACCCGAGAACGACATCAACCGAAAATGGGGAAGCTGGATATCGACTATCAGAAGTTGCACGATGCATTCTTCCGATGGCAAACAAAGCCAAAGTTTACCATACATGGTGATGTGTAAGTGCTGCTTATTGATTCTCAAACCTCTTCATGAACAGGGCACTGACGCGATGCAAAACTAGGTACTACGAAGGCAAAGAATTCGAGACGAAACTCAAAGCGAAGAAACCGGGTCAACTCTCCGAAGAGCTCAAAGCGGCTCTGAACATGCCTCCATTAGCCCCTCCACCATGGCTCATCAACATGCAGCGTTACGGACCTCCACCGAGCTATCCGCAACTCAAAGTCGCGGGGTTGAACGCGCCAATTCCAGAAGGAGCGCAATGGGGATACCATCCAGGAGGGTGGGGAAAGCCACCTGTGGATGAGTATGGGCGTCCACTATATGGGGATGTGTTCGGTACAATGGCTCAAGAGGTCCCGACCGAGGTGAGCCTGCGGTTTTGCGTTTTTTTGCTTGCGCCGCAATGGCTAAATTGCTCTTTGAATCTGAACAGCACGTCGCGCCGATTGAGCGATCGCGTTGGGGAGAATTGGAAGAGGAGGAAGAGGAGGAATACGCTGAAGAGACCGACGAGGGAGAGCAAGAAGACGAGGAGGAAGAGGATGACACTGCCACCGAGAGCGGACTCGTCACTCCCAGTGGCATCAGCAGTGTACCAAGCGGATTGGAGACGCCTGACTATATTGAACTCAGGAAGGATGGCAGAAGGTACGAGCGCTTTGTGATTTGGGCTGCGAATGTCCAGCGCATTCATCAATCTTACATTTTTCACATCACAGTAACGAGCCCAAGCAGCTGTACACAGTCGTGCCAGAACGACAAACAGCCATCAAGGGCTTCATGGGAAGCCAGCACGGCTACGACCTTTCCGCCGCGGGCCCAAGCAACTCCCCACCGCCACCTCCTCCCACCGAAGGCCGTGGCCAAAAACGCAAAGCCGGCCCAGGCGCCGCCGGCATCGACCTGGCGCTCAACCCCGAAGACCTCGAATCCGGCCTGGACGAATCGACGCTACGCAAGAAATACGAGCAGCAGCTGGACGTGTCCAAGGCCAACCAAGAAGATTTCTCCGATATGGTTGCTGATCATGCGTCGAGGCAGGCGAAGAGGGCGAAGAAGGATGATAAGGCGAAGGGGAAGGATAAGAGCAAGAATTTCAAGTTCTGAGCCTCTTCCCTGCCAGCGGAGGCGTAGTCGTGGTTTGGAGGTGGGAAGGTGGGAGGGATCATTGGTTGGATGATGCCGGTGATTCCGTGTATATAGATAGCGAGTGAGCACCATATTCAGATACATACACATTATCCGAAGGCCTCTGCTATGCGTTCGTCCGAATGAACAAGACGCTTCACATGGATTGCCTACACTGATGCTTGTAGTATGAGGAAATTCAATTCGTCGTCCGTGATCTCATGATCCCTTTGGAGGTCCTAAAACAATGCGCAATTGACGTATTTCGACAGCGCGACGCGCCCGTCTGTGTGTAGCTGGCGATTTCAACTGCACATAACTTCGATTTTATGGGTTGATTCGATTCATGCCGTCAGCTCGACAAGCAAAAACCTCCGAGCGGTCGAGCCCTGAACGGCGGCCATAGAAGCTTCACTGAGGCTCAAAGAGAAGCCTCGACGGCGGGGAAAAGGGGAGTGGCTGGTTTTTTAGCTTCGCACATGCTTGTTCCTGGCAATGGATAGTGTATTCGCGGGAGTCTCGCCCCCATTGACTTTGCTCATTTCTGCTCATATTTTTCTAAGAGCGACCCTCTTTCCGTGGGCCTAGGACAAACTTCAAAAACCGATCGCATCTGCTCTCGGCCCGCATCCCACTACAGACCACAAACGATACACAAAAGCTTCACCAGAAAATGCGCTCAGCAATCGTTATCCTCACGGCCCTCACCACTCTTGCCGTCCCAGTGCTGAGCTACCCAAACCCCCACCTATACGAGCTCTCCCACCTCTTCCGCCGTTTCGAAGCCGTTGCAATCACAGACCACCCAACCCACGCCCACACCGGCACCGCAACCACCGCATCCGCATCCGCAACATCCACAACAACATCCCCACCCAACCCCCTCCTCTCCCACCCCTGCGACCCCTCGACCGACATCTGGGCCTGCTACGACACCGCCTTCATGGCCTGCACGTTCACGGACCAGAAATGGGTGCTGCAGGCGACGTGCAAAGGGGAGTGTTTGGAGGATGAGACTGTGCGGCCGTTTTGCTTTAGGAATTCGTTGGTGGGTGTGCCTACGGCGGGGAATCTGACGCGGGGGAGTGCGACCGGGACGAGGACGATGAGTGCGGCTAGGGCGACTGGGACCTCGGTGAAGGTTGGGATGAGGGAGATGGGGGATGTGTAGGGTTGGAAAATCGGTTGTTTGGGTAGGTCTCTTTGTTGGAGCGCATTTTCGGCGCATACCGATGGCTGACATTCTCTTCGTATTTGTCCAGGTCAACGGATATAAAATAGAGTAGGTAGCTTCAATACGTAGTAACCTTTATATTTAATTGTAGGGAGCCGTAGTGACGGCAACGACAGTAGTAGTACGTAGCTTTCAATATGATATCACGTTTGCACACCCGAAATCCTTTGCAGACCCGCAAAGTGAGATCTATTATGAAGCCAATGTCGGAGTATGGCAAAGAACCCGAAGTTTTCGTTACACCTTGAACGGTTGTCTATTGTACCGGACGCATCAAGATGGGCGTGACCGATACTCTATGAACTGCTGCTTTTCCTGTACTCCTGATGCAGCACCGCTATCTAATTCCTCCTCGGAATCTTCCTCCTCCTCCTCCTCCCCACCCTCAGTCTCTTCCTCCTCACTGCTTTCCTCCTCACTCTCCTCCTCCTCGCTCTCCTCCTCCTCCTGAACTTCCTCCTCCTCCTCACTCTCGCTATCACTATCATAAAACTTCTCCAGCGTCACGACCCTCCGCTTCGCTGGTTTCGCGGCTTTGAGGACAGTGACAGGGCTCGAGACGACCGCATTCGAGTGCTCGCGGCCCGAATATCTTTGTTCGGGCTCCTCCACGTTGCGCTGCGCTGCTGCTGTTTGGTCGATGGATGGTGGCCAGGCGGGAAGGGATTTGTAGTTGGGCACGGCGCGGTTTAGGGTGTGGGAGAGGGTGCCGAGATCGAAGCGGTTTCGCGCTGAAGTTGAGAAAGAGGGTTAGCGACCGGTATAAGTGAATGTTCGCTCTGGACTGCAAAACGCTCACCTGCGAAGGGACTCTCGGGCACTGGTGTCGCTTTCAATCCTAGTAGAATCTCTTGCAAATGCGACTGCAGTATCCCTGTTGCCTTTGCTGGTACATCGTCGCCATTGACACCCGTTGCTTTCCCAGCGTCAGCATTCTTGACATCCGCCAGTCCCGCAACCAAAGCCTTGATCATCCTCGCCCGATCCCGCACATCCCAACTCTGGTCAAATCGTGCCAGATCCAGCACATATCTTAATAGCTTTGTGCAAACCTCTTGCGCCGAGTTCAACTCGTCGTTATGTGTGCTGGCCACTAGCTTCGCAGCGAGCGTGAGCACTTGCAATTTGACGATATCCGTGTCGTCTGCAAAACGTTTTGCAGAAATCCGCAAAGCGTCCGGGGCTAGTTTTGGGACACTCGCACAATATTGTCCAATCAGCCAGAGTACGGACGCGCGTGCTTGGGGGGACGTGATGGTGTCGAGATTCTTTGCGAGTTGGGATATGATGCGAGTGTTTTGATGCGTGGATGTCGATTGGAGGAGGCGTCGGATAACGACGACGGCTGCGGAGACAATACCCTCTGCGGACGAACAGTGTCAGTCATATGAAATGCAGACTGCATGGAGTTGCAGAGGAGCATTACCATCTTTCTTCGAGACAAGTTTCATCAAGCACGAGAGGGTGTCATCAGTAACTGATGGCAGCCGGCAAGCGAGTCGCCCCAGCACCTGTCAGAGATGAGTATGGAAGATCAGATTTCTGCATTTGGCATTTGCAAAGAGGTAACTGCGCCATACCTGAATCGTTTGGATGACCAATTGCGAATCCGGGCTTCGGACGTACTCCTGGGAAAAAAAAAATAGGAAAAGTTTTAGTGAATCCGGAGATAGCATCGGCCGTTTTGCTTCTAACGCACCTTGAGCTCAGACATAACCATGGTCGCATTCTCCTCGCCCGCAATCACCCCAATAATTTCGAGCTTTGCATCTCGAATGAAACTCGGCTCGCCTCCAAAGAGGAAAAAATGGCGCACATAGGGCTTGAACAAACTAGGTTGCGTTTGCGCCATGGTTGCGATGTTCAGCAGGATGATGTAGCGTTCCTCGCGTGATGTCCTCAACAGTCGGATCAAAGCTTGTGCGGATTCAGCGCACGTTTGGGGAGTTCCGACATGGAAGAATAACTTGGCGACCGTCAACACGACCTATTCCGGAAATGGTATCAGTCCGCTGAGACGAGTTTGGCGATGCATCAGGGAAACTCACCGAGCAGTTCCTGCTGTTCAGCAACGGAGTGCACCACCTAACAAGCAATTCGTGATCTGGATCTAGTGGCGGACCGATGCTCTTGGGTATAGTTGGACCCGTTCCCCGCGATTTGGTAGGTGCTTCGTCGACTTCTGCATAAAAGTCTTCCGACTTTTTCTCTGTTGTAACAGGTTGCCCTGCCTGTAATGCCGTGTTCTACATTGCAGGAGGAGCGTTGAAGGAACATCGTCAGCTTCCCAGGCGTAACGAGTGAGAATTCCCCCGGTAGTACTTCAGCTAACCTCTTCCGCCGGGTTGGGATCCACAAAGTAAACCCTGGCATATTGAATCAACACGTCCATGATCGTGATCTGTCCCCACTCGTCGGCATCCACTAGCATGCGACAAAGCTTTCGATAGTGTGGATGTATAAGATCCAAGCGCTCGGGGCACACTTGCTTCATGCTGTGGAGGACACTTCCAAGCACCAACGTTGAGTTGTCTTTCAACATTGTTTCGATGAGTTCTACCAGATACTCCTTCTGCGTCGTATCTAAACTGTAGCATTTCGGTATAGCGTTCGCTGCTGCTTTCCGAACATACGGCGACAGATCTGTCGTCGCCTTTCGTAGAGCAAGCATGATGATGGGAACGATGACCTGCACACGAATACTCGACATAACGCGCAGCGCCATAGCTCTGATGAGCGGATTCCGATCCGCCAAGTCTTTTTGAAAAGTGTTGATCGACAAGAGGGCCAAGTCTGGTTCGGCTTCGGCGTATCGTAACAGGTAGATGTACACCAGCTTGCGGACTTCAAAGGACTGGGACGCCACGAGCTTGACGACGTCTGGGAAGAACTCCTTCACGTTACGCCCTTTTGACATCATCGCAATGAGCCGCTTCAAACCATCGATCTTCTCCTTGTCGAATTTGGAGTCCAGAAGCGTGCGAATCTCCCTAGTCTTCCCTTCCGAAGATGTGTCATATAAACTGCCACCGGGCAAATGCACGCCGACCTCCCTAGAGCGTTCGACAATTTCCTGCGTGAGACGCATTGAGAACTTTCCCGCCTCGGAGGCTAAGGAAGCCGCGCCTCGAATGTATTTGTCCATATCGTCTTTTCGATTATATCGCTTCGTAGGCGGATGCCGGCGGTCTGCTTTGGGGGCAGGCTTCCTAGATCAGCGCAGGGACAGGATGTACACAACAGAAGTCAGGAAAGGAAAATGGTCTATCCAAGCGCTGCTACAGAGCTTGGCGTTATTCTCAGGTTTTACTCGTAAGGGTCTTCTATTACCTGTACACCTGTATGTATCAGGTGCGGCGGGTGGGAAAGACGATGTCTTTCGCCTTGGACATGGGCAAAACAGGCAACTGAGCGAGATGACAACAACAGTCACCAGCAGCGCACTGACGGATTTTGACAGCAACCGAACAGCATTCGAGTGCTCTTGTATGCTGGGAAAGCCGACCTTGTGCTGAGTACACCGGCTCTGCCGGGTCTTCGACCTGAGGTCCTGCCCCATGGCTACGCCCACCGGAAATTACGGAGGATGGGAAGCTTTTGGCAAACTCTCTCAAACGTGGCTTCCAAAACAAAGTGGGGGACGCATTGAGGAGCCTACGAACCTTTCCCGATGTGTACCGGGATTTGCTTGTCGGCAGCCAAAGTCTGGCAAACACAACAAACCAAAGTACTATGACTTTGGGGTGGGCAATCTGAGCACGTCTGCGCATTGCACTGACTTCCATGGCAAGAAGAGGCCAACAAAGGAGAAGCGCAAGATGGAGGAATTGAAGCAGGAACTGAAGGAGGACTTAAACGAGGGTCGGATGGAGGGTCGGACGAAGGGGCACATGCACGTCATGGAGAAGTTGGTATTCCTTGCAACCCTAAAGTATATGGGAAAGGCGGAATTGTTGGAGAAGATGGGCTATAGGCAAACAGAGCTGTGTTCCGCAGAGAGTGCATCTTTTCATATGCGGCGGCGTATCGGAAATCCGCTGAATTGTATTCCCTTTCCTTGTATGGTTAGAAGTGTAACCGCCCAGGTCAGGGTAAAAGTCCTTTTACGGGTGCTACGGGTATCTCACGATATAATGGCAAAGCTTGCAATGCAATGCTCAGGTCAGGAAAGGTGGTAGAAAGGGGTTGTCACTGTGCTTGCGACGGTCGCGCTGGTCGGGTTGGAGTTGGTCTGGATTTCCACCATACATCGCTCTCTTCAACGCTCGTGCTTCTGACCCAATCTAAAACTTCGGCATTGTTCCAATGGCCGCAACGTTGAACGATTCTGCCGCCGTGACGTTGGGCAACGGCTGAGGAACAACCTGAGCAGCAGCGCCCTTCGAAGGCACAATGTAAAAGTTCCTGGGAGTCTTACTGAAATCAACTAGTAGCTGATCAAGAATAATTCCGTCGTCCAATGCCTTCACTCGAACCTTGTGAATTCCCGCCGTCGTAAATGTGTACGTAAACTTTAGAGGTGTTTGGTTTCGCAAAACCCAAAGCTTCCAATCCTCGCTTCGGAAGGGAGTGGAAAACGATAGGGTCTTTGCCGTACCGCCGTCAACTGCGACGGAGATGCGGATGTCTCCATTGTAGGACATTGGCTGGTTTGGCTGAACGTAAGTTGTGATGTTCGCCGCGCCTGTCGCTGTCGTGTACATAGTGTACTCGGCAAAGCTAGTTGTCGCGCTAGTCAACACAACGGCAGAGCCACTGTGCCCGAGGCCCGGAAACACCTCTGTCCCAGATGAGGATGTGTAGCTTGAACCATCGATCGCGACGAGGGTGTTCCATTGATGCCCGCTAGCAGCGACATTAAACGTTTTCACGGTGAAGATCACGGGCCAGGAGAGATTGTTCACCACGAGCGTCAACGACGCATTCGTATCGTTCGTGATGAGACTCCACTTGACAGAAAACCGAAGCCTCTTCTCCGAAGGGACGGCGGTATCAATAAGCTCTATAAGCAACCATGACGGAGCCTTCTGCACGGACCAAGTGACAGCCTGCCCGTCGGTGAAAACGGAGACAAATGCGTCGTTGTCGACCTCGCGAATGAAGATGGGTGGCGCCCATCGGGTTCCCACCGGTAACGGCTTATCGTCGTACTCCGCCCATAATGTTGTCGTTCCGCTCCTTGCAGCTACTGCAGCGGGAAGGGTAGCGGCCTGGAAAACAAGGAGGTTCCTCGGAGCACTGCTGATGATATGGTTCCATTTTCCTTGCATGATTCCAGTATTGTACTTGTTCGTGTTCGTCTTGACGTCATTATACGCCGCCGTGCTAAGCGTGGCATAGTCGTTGGCGGCGGTAAGGCTGCTCTTGGCTAGAAGTCTGGCCTTTTGCGCGTACAGGAGCTTCTTGTTTATCAGTGCCGCGCCATTCACTGGGTACTGCACCAGCTGGTAGAATGCATCCTGTCTATTTGCCGCGACGACAGTGGCTAGCTGGGCAACGGCAGCCTGCAAAGCAGCGTAGGCGTTGATGCGTTTCGCCATCTCATCACCGAAGGAGAAGGGGTTGAACTCAGTGTCCGTAGGACTTGTCTGACTCGCTGTCGGAGTCTCGCATTGGTTCCAGCCCATGTGTTCCGGCTTGCGAGGTGTCGCCAGAGCGTAGTACTGCTGCATGACATTGGCAACCGCTGTGCCCAATCTCCCGAACTCGCGAGTTGCCCATTTCACAAGGTGCTGCTGGACGGTCGTGGGATTCACATTATTGATGTCCCAAGCCAAATCGAGGTAAAACTCCATCAGGTACTCTGCTGGTTTGATGTCGCCGACATTGACGATCCACACCTTTTTGGCTTTGTAGTTGAAAGCGCGCCGCATTTGGTAGTAGATTAACGCCGGCTGCGTGCTCGCAATCCATAGATAATCGTGGGGACGGCCCCAGTAAGAGATGTGATAGTACACCCCGGAGCCTCCAATACGAGCCTGCTCTGTTGTGTTGGACAGCCGTGTCATATATCCATAGTTGTCATCGCACCACACAAGGGTGATGTTATCAGGCACTCTCAAGCCCGCGTTATACACATCGAGAACTTCTTTATATGGAACAAAAATCTGCTGCGGCTGAGTATCGGGGTAGTACTGAGCCAGTAAAGCTCGTTGGGTGTTGAAAACGTCCGTCAACGCGGACAGCTTCTGTGCGGTGGTCGAGACACCTTGCATGGGACTGTCGTCCTGCCCCCGCATCCCCATGGTCGTGAGGATGTCACTCCCGCGGACCTGGTCGAGACGCTGCTTCCAGAACGTCGTAACGTTGGCCTTGTTTGTGATCCAGTTGAAGGCCCCTCGCTCGGCGACCATCCACTCCGCGGCGGGGTTGCGCATCAGCGGTTCCGCGTGTGACGTGCCCACGACAATGCCGAATTTGTCGGATGCCTCTTTGACGCCAGGAATGGTGTAGAATGCAACGGTGCCAGAGTGCATCGCAGGCCAGATACTGTTTGCGCGCAAACGCAACAAAAGTTCGAAGATCCGCTCATATGTTTGGCTACCAATTCTCCCCGACCCGCCTCCGGTCTCGTACGTGGTGGCGGCCCAAGGGCGGAGCCCCCAATCCTCATCGTTCAGGAAGATTCCGCGGTATTGCACAGAGGGTGAGCCAGAACGATTATAGCCGATTGGGAGCGTGAAGCTTGTGAGCGGGTCAGGGTTCACGTCCGCCCACCATACCCAGGGACTCACTCCAATGAGTCTGCTCACTTCCAACAACGCATATGCGGCACCGCGAGGGTCCGCACCGACAACGAGGAGCTTTGGGGAGACTCCGGACGTAGCAACGCACACTATCTTCCAGGCTTCCCATTTGCCGGTGATGTTGCTAACGTCCACCGCATTGTTCTTGACAAATGCTGCGATGGAAGGTGTCGTGAGCGCGCCGGCGACGAGGGAAGCGTCGTCCACGGTCGAGCTGTATATGATAGCTTGATTGGCGACCGTGTGAGCGTCAGCAGCGAAGAGCCCGAGGGCGGTCTGGACTACCAGCTTCTCTGCGGGATCGGCAAACAGGTTTAGCGTCTGATACGTGCTCAGGATGGAGCATACTCCCGCTGTTTGAGCATTGGTCCCCGACTGGAAGAATGCTGTGGCTAGCAAGCTCGCTAGGAGCAGCGGGAACCTCATCGCAAGAATTTGGCGACAAGATGACGCTTCAGGTATGAAAATTACGGTGCCGCACTACTAGAATGGCATGTTGCGGGCTATACAACGAAAATCGGGAGAAGGGTTTCATCAAAGGGTTCCATTACGTGTGGCGAGCGCAACGCGTATAGAACACGCAGAGGATTACATAATCCTGAGCAGCGTACGCGTCAGAACACGCAGAGCCTGGCTCACGCCCATGACTGTTCTGAAAACGTCTAGCCAGGTTGGGTGTAACGGAGAATCCTGCACCGCAGCCACTTTCACCCCACTTGCAATATCCATATCAGCGCTTCCAACCTCATGATCCGCCCCATATCACCACCAACAACAGCGAGCTCTGGCTCGCTGTCATCTTCGAAACGAGGGCCGCGCGACTACGGCCCTGCACCTACTCGCTCGGCGTCGCGTATGACGACGAGGACAGTCAAGGAGGCGGACGATCACTATGCCGATAGGGCCGCGCCGGCCGTTGAATCAGGTTAGTCGGCATCACCATCATTGAATGTCAGGAGGTCCCATATACTCTGCGGGCGTGGAGAGCGTTGGATGGCTCATTGACAGAGCTCTCTCTTTCCACCAGCACACGCGAATGAGCCTTCCCGGCGGATGTCTATGCGGAGATCGGAATCGCAAATTCCACTGCCAGTCGATAATGAAGCAGATGATGTGAACGAGCCGACGAGCGGGGTATATGCCAAGGGGGCGGATGCTGGGGCGGGAGAGGGCTCGGGCGAGAAGGTCATCCAAATGTTATGCGACTTTGAGGTATGGCTCAGGATTGATGGGGTCTACGTGGGTCGACTGGAAGATGATTTTAATCTGTATCCTGCGCGATTCCAGAGCGGATTCCATCTTCTGTTAGATCGCATCAAGCAAGATATGCATAGCACAAAGGTACAATCCCATGGTTTCATCCTCTCGATAAAGTCTGCCCATGCAAAAGCTCATCGAATTCCATTCTAGGAAGCCGTAACTTTCCTCCGAAAACGCGCAACCATCGAAGAAGAGTACGGCAAAGCAATGCTGCGTCTAGGACAGAGTGGGTTGAGCACAACGGGGAAGGCGGAGGGAAAGGAAGGCACCTATGGGACTTCTTGGGCTCAGTTTACGAAAGTTCACGAGCAAGTGGGGGATATACGTGTGAAATTCGCTGCCACGATTACAGAGCTGGCTGAGGAGTTGAGTACGCTGCATAAAAACACTGAGCGGAGTCGGAAGCAGGTAGGGTTGGTAAGGAATCGGGAGTCCACTTTAAATTGCGTCTAAATAGTTCTCGCACGCAGCTCAAAGAGGCCGGGCATAAACATTCCAAAACCGTTCAAGAAGCCGAAGCTGCTCTGGAGAAGGTGCGCTGTTTCAACCCACCTTGTCGTGAGCTGCACTTGATTTGCTGACCTGAACCTTTCCTACACAGTCCAAAACACGATATGAGCAAACATCGGAGGAATGGGAACGCTCAATCTTGCAAAGAGAGCAGCAAGCGGAACGCGACGGGTTCGCGCGATATGGGGCGATCCTAGGGGGCGGGAGTGGAAGTGGAATGACGATGCCCAAGAGCATGTCTTCAAGGAGCGGCCTATCAACGAAGGGCATATCGGGTACGATGAGTCGATGGAAGGGTGTCACGCCCGCAAAGGTTAGGAGACGAGTTGGAGGCAGCTACAGATTCTCAAGATCTATTGGACTTAACACATCTTCCTCCATCGCAGCTGCAAAAGGCCGAAGACGACGCCCGAACCAAAGCAGCAGTGGCAAACTCGACCTACAAGCATCAGCTCGCCCAAACCAACCTCATCCGAACCACCTACTTTCAAACCCACCTACCCCGCTTCATCCGCCTGCTGAAAGCCACAAACGACGAATGCGACCAAGGGTTGCAATATCATTTGCTGGGATATACCCAAGCCCTGGAGGCTGCTCTGATGAAAGAGGCGACGACGATGAGTCCGATTGACGGGTCGGCGGTTGGCGTTTTGAAGATTATAGAGGGGATAGATAATGATCGGGACTTTGAGGAGTTCGCTGAGGCGTATGTTCGGGAGAATCCGGGGGGTGGGAACAGCGTGAAGAGTGAGGACATACCATTTGCTGGGAGTCGAGCTGTAAGTCTTAAGTGACCGTCATTGGGCAGACTGCATTTCAGCTGACGAACGGTACCACACCTATCCAGGACCCAGCTGCGGCACATAATCTCAAGCCTTCTTTCGGCGTGGACTTGCAAACATTGATGGAGCGTGATAGCACCCCCGTTCCGCATGTTGTGACACAATGCATAGGCTTCGTTGAGCGGCACGGTATGCGTACGCAGGGTGTCTACCGGGTGTCTGGGCTCACACAGCAAGTGCAGAGAATCAGGGCTGTCCTTGATCGAGGTGCGTCGGTCGTAATACCTTGACAACTGGAGCAGGAGCTAACATGGACTTTCCTTCCAGATGCCGAAAATGTGAACCTCGAGGAGCACGCAAACGAGATTCACGCCGTTTGCGGTGTATTCAAACTGTACTTCCGGGAGCTGCCAGATCCCTTGTTCCCCAGATCCATGTACACATCACTGCTTGATGCTGCTCGTAAGTGTCCCAAAACCCTTAGCAAGCAGAATGCGCTGAAGGATTGGCCTCTGTGTAGCAATGACTGATGGACGTTTCATCACCTTGCAGGCATCGAAGATGAGAGATTACGTCTCATAACCATCCACGAGCTCATCAACCAACTACACGATTCCAACTATGCTACTCTTCAGGTTCTAGCTGGGCATCTGTACAGGTACTGGTTTCCACTCGTCTGCTGCCAATGCACCATATCTCGCACCAACATTGATTCTCCTACTAGGGTCGCCCAAAATGAATCTGAAACACGCATGTCAGCCACAAACCTCTCCATCGTATGGGGCCCCACCCTTCTTGACTCCCCAGACTTTTCGGCAATATCTGCCGACCCGTCATCGTCCACCTCACCACCCATGCCCGACCCAATGGATATCAAGCTGCAGACGAGGATTGTAGAGACCGTTATTGCGAACTTCTTGCATATCTTTGACACGAGCGAGGAGTGAAGGAATGGAGAGTGATTTTGTGGGATGATTTTGTATAATATGGCTGGAGACGGATCGAAGCTCCTTCCGGCTTAAGGATGCATCAGCGCATTCGCTTCATGCCTAGAGACCATGTGATAGGCATCATCGGCGCTCGAGAGGTTTTTACGTGACCCCCTCGGACTTATCCCGTGTCCATAATTCTTGGCGATGAGTACATACATACACCTAATGAGCCTTTTGTTCCATTGCTCTGTTGTGGTACGTTGGTGCATGCATATTCCTGGGCAGCGTCGTCGATTTGGCGAACAATCGAGACAACTCCGATCAGTGACAGCACGCGTCCCCCTCAAAAACCTTGTTTGTCATGAGCTTTTGGAAAACTTGCTCAACTGACTACTCCCGGGCCCTTCCATTGCAGCCGCCGACTGCAGTACGCACGAAGTTCCACGCAACAACTACCCACAGCACCACATCCATCATGGCGAGCATGTTCACAAAGCGCCTGACGAAGGAACTTCGAGATTTACAGGCATCCCCGCCAGCGGGGATATTCGTGGAGCACGCCGGGGATGACTTGAAATGGTAAGGAGGGTTCTTGACTTTGGTGTGAAGGTCACCAGCAGAGGGCTGGGGGCTTCGGACTGGGAGGTTCTGTGTGCTGCCATCACTTTCGGTGCTGCTTCACCTCTAACTCCTTGCTTCCTATGGTGGTATAGTTGGAGAATCACCTTGAAAGGGGCAGAAGGGACACTCTATGAAGGGGAGATATTCACATTACAGGTACCAGCGATAGGAGGAGGCAAGCTGGGAATGCGCCGTCTCTGGAGCTGGGATGGCGTATTGGCACGTCAGTAAGAGCTCGGCCTTGAACTCATGTGAGGTGGTTCTGGATGCTGCAGTTCAAGTTCGGAAGCAATTATCCATTAGAGTCTCCAGAGGTATGGATCGGGGCTGTCCCGATGGTCGCAAGGAACGTTGAAATAGCACATACTGATTTGTCTCCGGTATTTCAGGTGATATTCGTGGGGTCCGTACCAATACATCCACATGTGAGTAGTTCCTACACCTCTCCATGCCGTACTCTCGTTCTCACACATTGAAACCTTCCGGCATGCTTTCATCGCGCAGATATACAGGTATGCATGTTTTGATTCGAGAATCGAAAGGTAGTGCTCTGCGAATCTCACCGCTTGCCATTCCTCATTGACAGCAATGGACACATATGTCTATCGATCTTGTATGATCAGTGGTCACCAGCGTTGACGATCAGTTCAGTGTGTCTGTCAATACAAAGCATGCTGAGCTCTGCAAGTAAAAAGGTATGGGTTTCTCTCAAACGCCGTCAGAGGGGCAATCGGCGGGGACACCTGCTTTTGGCAACCAGTGAACATCCTTTTGAAGCTTACACGTACTATTACTTTAGGAGCTACCACCAGATAACAACATGTATGTGCTGTCAGCTAAGAAGAGCCCAAAAGCGACGACATGGGCATTCCATGGTACGTGCAAGGTTCTCTCGTTTAATTATAGTCACATCTCTGACGCCTTGCTGCAACTAGATGACACTGTATGATAATTACGTCTCGAGCATGGTCTCTTCCCGATCCGCTATCAATACAGTTGCACTTCTGTGGATCTACATACTGCTACTGCTACAAACAAAACCGATGCCTTCATACATCCGACTGCCAAGTTGACGCAGGTTGTCACCTGCGAACTCGCAAACATTGTCGAGTTTATATTTGGAATCCGTAGATCAAAGGGCATACGCAAAATTTTTAGGAAGGTTCGGGGATTAGGTGGAGTCGGGACGCCCGGGAGGGTGGACGGCACTGCGGGGAGGACGACAAAGCTATCGTGAGAGCTTGGTTTGAACTATGCGGCTAGACGGAGTTCAAAGCTATATGCATTCGCTGAGGGGGTTCCCAATAAAAGCATGCGAAGCTGGTTCAGCTGTACGTTTATATATGGTACCTAATCCTGCCTCTGAGCACGAAAACGCCCTTTCCTCAAGCGTCGTTTTACGCGTGAGGTCAGCGCGAACAGGATGCCCACGCGTTTCTTTCGTCTTCTGAAGTTTGCAAGGCCTTGGCCCCACAACCACTCCAGCGTTGAAACGTGAAAGTCATACTATATATATAATCCCACACACAAGCGAGTTACCAACGACAGAGACTCGGAAACGGATAGCTCAAAGCAGCAGACGCGCATGGTTCCGGTAACCGGAGCGCCCCTTGAATCTTGTCACCGAGGGGAGGAGGCTTGACGACATATTGGCAAAAAACGGCCTGAAGATCGCCCCCGAAATTTCAGTGTTCACAGAGTCCATCCACAGTCCGGCGACTGCATAGCGTTGGAGTGGTGTGTGGTGTGCCTGCTACACACGTTGGCCGAGCACAATGTCGGACGTTCCCATCGAACGAGCGATTCCTACCCTCAGAGTAAGCACCGCCGGCAGCGCAGCAAGCTCCATTCGTGGAGGCGCATATACCCCAAGGCGAAGCGACAGCAGCACCCCAGATCCATTGCTTTCCGCCTTGAGCTCTGCAGGTGGCTCTCGCTCTGATTTGTACGATGACTACACCATGACGCCCGGGTCCATGACCCCGCGTTCGAAAGAGCGATATGATCTGAAACGCGCGAATCTTATTCGCGAGCTTAACGAGCACGATCAGAAGATGGAACACACGTCGCTGGATTGGAAGTTGCGGAAGGAGATATATTTGAAGAGGCTGAAGAAGGAGGATGCCCTTTTCGAAAAGATACGCGCTAGACGGGTCAAGATCGAACGGGACACGGTGCGGCGGGAGCAGCAGGATCTTGAACGGAGGGAGAAGGAGGTGCATTCTGCACGCAATTCTCGAGCAGCATCAAGAATAGGGTCCACTCAACCTTCTAGATCTGGATCGATTCATGAGCAACCAGGTATCCTATCACCATCGCCGCTATCAGCCGCACCGCTAACTGCAGGAGTCCAGCGATCACTTGCTGGTCTGCAGAGGCATTCGAGGCCCTACCTCGGCGGTGGAAGTTCGAGTCCTCTTTCCCAGTATGGAAGCAGGACTTTCTTTCACGAGACTGGAATCAAAGAATCCGAGCAAGCAGCGGAGGACTTGCGGTCTTTCCAGGACGAGCGGCGAATGCGGAAATTGGCGCGTCAGAAAGCGGAGGAGGAGGTGAAACGGAGGCAAGCTGCCATCGCTGAACAACTTGCGAAAGAGATTGAGGAGGAGTTTGCTGGAGACCACGCGGAGGACGATGTGCAACCTTCGATTGAGGCACCTCACAGATCGGTATTACCGAAAGACAACTGGATGGAGGAATCCCGTCCATTGGCAGGCAAGGACAATCCAACGAAGCTGTCACAGGAACTTCGAGGGAGAGGCTTCCAACCTCAACCGCCTCCGTCGACAGCCCCACGAGAAAGGTCACCGCGGAAGAAAGACATCCGTGAGCTCGACTCCGAATGTAGAAACTTGTGCATGGAGACGGAAAGTTCGGAAACTGAGCTGTCCGCCGGGCAGGCACCGCCAACGCCTTCTCTTCCGCCTACAAACACAGCAGAAGCATCACATCCAGAAACTCGAACAGAGTCAGTGCAAGCTGATATCTCTCATAACCTTCAAAAACCACATCAAGCTGCGAGTGCATATCCTGATGAGGTTTCGCAGCCCATAAGGAATGATCGGGAAACATATCCAACCAGGGAGGAAAGTTCCACATCGTCTCTCAGGTCCTCAATGGTCGAAATCCCGCCCGATGCAGTGAAAGCAGCGGATGTATCCCCATCAATGATCTTTGGAAGCACGGAAGAAGTACCTGCACACCTGGAGTCATCACCTCCAGCATCGGATGCACCGCACTCAATCCTTCCAGAGGAGACGTCACACCTGTCAGACGGAGTACCTCCACTCGATGCAGACGTAACTGCACTGGATGCGTCCCCGCTGGGGCTAGATAAATTCCCGAGCTTGGAGGTGTTGAGCTCAGTTGGGGCGATGGAGATGCCACCACTGAGAACAGGCACGGTACCTGGTCTTACTGCTTTGGAAGCACATTGGGAAGCGGTGGACTCGGCTCGTACGGAGCGTGATGAGGGTGCATCTGCTCGTGAGGGGTTAACGGACATCTCTCAAACGGAAGGAAGATCGTCCGATGATCATGTTGACTTTGCGTTGGATGCTGCCGTTGAGTCTGAACCCCAAATGAAAGATACAGACGATCAGAAGTCACGACCCACGGACCGTGGGGATATGACTGATGCAAGCCGCCGCGAAAGTATCCCTTCTTCAGAAAGGGTCCCTAAGCCCATTGAAGGAGTTGCACTGGGGTACCACAGCAGCTCTGAGATGGAAGTCGAGACAGATGGCCCTATGCAAACGGCAGAGACCTTTGCGGAATCTGAACTCCAGAAAGCAGGGCCTAGTAATGAACAAGATGCATCGGCAAACCCCATCCAGCCCACATCTCCCACAGAAGACCGCGAAAATGCCACTTCTGAGGGAATCATCCCCTCCGAGCCAATCGTGGAGACTGCAAGTCATGAGCCGCAGGAGCACGCAGGCGAAGAGCTTGCAGATCGTAGCCCAGAGACTCAGACGGACGAGTTTTCTCAATCGCCAGGGACGGAGGACTCGAAAACAGTTGAAAGTGAGGCACCCACACCAGCTCTCCCTCCTGCAGAAAGCACAACGAAGACGTCCGTTGCACATTCTATCGAAAGAAATGCTCCAAGACTTACGGTACGTTTGCGGGTCAAAGTACCAAACCGACCGCCCTCGGCAAACCATCTCAAAAAGCGGGGCACCGAGAAGGGGTCGATGCCAGGTCAGGTAGGGCATGTAGATGTACAACCCATCCCGCAGAATGATACACCCACCACTGCCATGAGTTTCACAACGCCTCGATACGATATGGGGAAAGAGGACGCAGACGAGCGGACACATCCCGCTCTCACGGCTGGCGCCAACAACGTCCCACAGATCGCAGTGAACACTCCGGCCCCGCCAAGCCCTGTTCGGAGCTCAAGTAGGGAAGCGTCTTCACCTATTTCGCAAAGTGCGACGACTGCGACCTCAGCGACTGCCCCGGAAATACCGGAACGGAATATCAGTAACAACAGCGCGTGGGGTATTGCAAGCGCATCGTCTGTGCAGCTCAAGAGGGTATCGACCCTCCCAGAGACTATCTCTGCACCCACATTGTATCTCGTTAAAGGAAAGCGGAAAATCTACGTCACGCGTCTTCCGACTGTACGAGCCGACGCGCTGAACCACGGAGACGTGTTCATTCTGGTTATGCCGAGGCTGCAGCAAGCCACCATCGGAGGCGTCCAGGGGACGATATACATGTGGAAAGGCAAAGATAGCGGAAAGGTCAAGCGGGCGAAAGCCAAGGAGGTGGCGCTGAAGCTGCTGGACAAAGACTGGATCCGAAAAGCCGAGCTGGTCGATCTAGATGAGAACAGCGATGGCGCGCAGTGGACAGCATTCTGGGAGGCTTTGGGGTGTGCGAATGGCGTGGCGCCTGTTGGCATTTTGGACGCGAAAGAAGGCGGTGATGACGCAGAACATGAGAGGTCGATCGATGAGCGGACACATCTATTTGGATGGAATGAGAATGGCAGCGCGCTGGAAGAGATACCCGTCAGCAAGCCGCTGTCGTTCAAATCGATACAGAGTGGGCATTGCCACGTGTTGGATTGCTTCAACGACATCTACGTGTGGATTGGCCGAGGAAGCAGAGACGAAGATGCATGCAAGATGCAAGCGTATGCCCAGTCATTGACAAATCAGGCTGGTCGTCCGGCAGACGTCAAGGTCTTCACAGAACGCGAGGCGGTCGAGCGGACGCTGTTCCGCGAGCGCTTCATCGACTGGCCAGAGAAGGACGTCAGTCTAGAGGTCCGCAAGCAGACGAATGTGGTCGCCAAGGACAAGTCACGCTACGTGTACGACCGTGGCGGGACGGACGTGAAGAAAAAAGACTCGATAGATGTTCTGAGGATGCTGCTCCCACCGCCACCGCCAGCGAACGAGAAAACACCGCTGGAAGATGATCCGGGAGGTCCTGCGAAAGCGCAGTTCGATCGCGGGCGCCTTGAAATGAAGGTCTGGGTGGCGAAAATTGACGACCCTGCACAGAATGAGTTGCTTTCATCAGCGGAAGAAGGCGTGTTCTTCTCGGACGAGAGTTACCTCTTGCTGTATCGGCACAAGACGGGTCGTGAAGGTAACGAGAAGGAAGCTGCGATTGCGTATTACTGGATCGGGAGCGGATGCAGAAGTACCGATCAAGGCGCCGTGGCTTATATGGCGACCGATCTCGAGAAGAAATACAACGCGAAGCTCATCAGAGCTCCCGAAGGCCAAGAACCTGAGCACCTTCTGTCGATATTCCCCACCATGGTAGTTCGACGCGGGATACGTTCCGCTGGACACTTATGGGGCGAGCGCAGCCTTTTCCATATTCGAGGTGTCAGCAAGAAGATCATAAGAGTGGCGGAGAACGTATGGGCACCATCGTCACTCAACTCAGCGGACAGTTTCGTCATTTTGAGCAAAGACAAGATTTTCGTATGGCATGGGTTGGGCAGCTTCAGTTTCACGAAAGAGTACGCTCGCAAGGTCGCCGAACGCATCCAAGTCTCACTCCACCTGAAACCCAGCGCCATATCGGAAACCCAGGAAGGACAGGAGAACAAAAGCCTCAACAAGGTCCTTCCCGGCGCCGACGCGGCCGTTAAGCAATCATCACCAGCGTATCTCCGCACCGTCAAGTCTTCCTTGGAAGGCATATACACTACCCGACTCTTCCGCATCTCGCATCTCGTACACGGAAACCCAACCGCCGAGGAATTTGACCCGTACGTGCCCACCGACCTGCAACAAACGGGACTCTTCATCATCGACGCGTTCTTTGAAGTCTTCCTATGGATCGGCGCAGAAGCCCGCACCAACTTCCGCGACGTCAAACTTGCATTAGAGACGGCGCTGGAATACGCAGAGGTAGCGGGGCAACGGCAGCCGCAGCGGGCGCTCACGGCCGAGAAGGTGTGGGTTGTCGGGCCCGGGTCGGAGCCGGCAGGGTTCAAGGCCGCGTTCTGCGCATTTGATGCGTATATGGAGGATGAGGGCCAGCAAGACACATCTGCCGCTGCCGCGCAGACAAAGGGCGGGTTCTTGAACAAGCTGCGGAGGAAGAATAAGACCAACGAACTGTGGAAGCGGCCTGCGTCGCCTGAGAAGGGCAATTCCCCTACAGCGGACGGCGGCGCCGCAACAACGACCGTAGAGTCAGCCTCAGCGTTGTTGCAGCGGTTCAACACCGCGACATACTCGATGGAGGTGCTGAAGCAAAAAGACCACCTCCCGTTCGGGGTGGACCCGATGCGGGTGGAGACGTATCTGTCGACGCAGGACTTTGTGAAGCATTTCAATATTGATCGGGACACATTTAGCTCATATCCGGCGTGGAAGCAGACGGACCTTAAGAAGAAAGCAGGGTTGTTCTGAACCACTTGGGACTCTGATGCGGTCATTTAGGGGTGTTTCTTGTATAATGATTTTTTTTTGGACGGTTTTGGCACATATTCTAATACATGTGGCAGCTAAAAGGCCATAATATGATTGATATTGTGGTTGCGGACTATCTACGAACAAACACCGTCACGATTCTTCCAGCGGCTACTAGGCATAGTAATACGAGTTTCAGATCCGATGTGTAGTATTTCATATATACAGGGCATACGGAAACTTGAGGACAGAGAACCCAAAACAAAAGGGATTTGTTCCTCATCATCCATTGTTCACAAGCGCTAGGCTAACTATCGAGATGAACTACGGCATTGTCTGGGCTGGCATAACAAAGAACGCTATACCGACAACGACGTACGCGGCCAGGAGCATCGCACCTTCCAGCCAATTTGTGCGGCCGTCTTGGATGACGCTGTTTACGACAAACACAGAGACCTGGAAGAGAAAAGGTTTATAAGTTCATGATCAAGCGGGAAACATGAAGCTTTGTGGTGAGGGTAACGGGACTTACGAAGAGCACACTCGTTTCGAAGGCGGAAAAGTCCAAGCTGAGAGGCTGCCCGATGATCCATCCAAAAATAACACACAGTGGTGTCACGAGCAGGGCGATCTGCATGGAGGATCCAATAGCGACGCCTGTGGTGAATGTGAAAATCATAGTGGTTTATGAGGATGCTTCCGAATTCCCTCTCTCCGCCCGTTTCCACTCATGACGAGGTTTTCTTCCATACCAATGACAAGGTCCATCTTATCCTTCATCGCAACGGTCACGGCGGTAACATGCTCCGCAGCATTGCCAACAATAGGCAGCAAAATCAGCCCCACAAAGACCTGGCTGAGGTGCCACTTTTCTGTAACCTCTTCTATCGAGCCGACCAGGTATTCACCGCAGAGGGAAACCAGAAGGGTGACGGCGATGAGGAGGGCGATCGAAGCCGGGAGGGTCATGTTGGGTTCTTCTTCCTCTTCGGCGGCTTCATCGGCGAAGAGCTCCGGGTGGGTGCGCAGTTGGAACAGGAGGAAGAGGCCGTAGATGATGAAGAGGACGACGGCTGTGCCTCGGGAGAAGGAGAGAAGTTTGTCGGCGTCGTTGACTGCGAAAGAGAATGCGGCTGGGAGAACGAAGGCCATTACGACACTGTGAACGGGCTGTGAGTTGAGAGGCGCTTATCCTGATTCAGCGCAATCATCAGTCGATACATACATGGACATCAAAGCAGCGCTAGTTTGCGCTCCAGTGACGTTGAAGGTTTGGTTCTTGTGATACAGTCCTCCGGCCAGGAACGAAGCCCCCAGCACGAGCAGCAAGTTGGAGAGAATGCTTCCAAGCAAAGAAGCCTTCACAACACTCAACAGGCCCTGGTTCAGCGCGATGATTCCAACGATGGCCTCCACCGCATTTCCGAACGTTGCATTGAGAAGTCCTCCAATGGTTTGCGATGTTCGTAAAGCGAGCTATGAGATGGACGGATGGTAGATGGATATGAGTGCCAGTGTGAAAATGCGCCGGAGCACCTTGCGAAGTAATTCCTCCCTGGAGAATTGCTGCGCCTCCAGTGTCGAAGTATTGCACCAAGCTCCTTTGACTCCCCATCCGCAAAGCTTCTTCTTCCTATGCATATGCTCGCCCTCGTGCTTCGCTTGTCCGCTTGTCCGCTCTGCTCCGCCCTCGCTGTCGCCCTCCTTGTTCGTTCGCAACACCTCGCTATGCCAATACCCTTCCCGATTCCCACTCCCAACATACCTCCTCGGTAGCAACTCCCAGCAGCTTCGCCATAGGCAACAGAGCGAAAAAGTTAAACACAAAGACCAAGACACCATCCCACTTCAAAAGTCCAGCTAGGATTCCCAGCGGAGCAAACGGCAGTAGCACATTGATCCAGTTTGAAAGGAAAGCGAATCGAAGCGACGACTTCAAAGTCGGTGGCGGGGGTCCAAAGATGAACCCGGCTTGCGCTTCGCTGTCTGGTCGGCCGCGAGCGATGGGTCGGGGCGATGCCGAGGAGGGGATGGCACCGTATGCGACAGGCATGGTTGTTGTCGTCTGTGATGAGAGTACGGTAGGGATGCGTTCTTACAGACCCAGTTCCGGTGGTAGCTTCCTCTACGACGGATGTGTGTTTTGCAGCTCTGAGACGAGCGAGAGTGCAATGGGTCCCTGGGGCCAGTTTTTGAGTTTGTTCTGTTTGTTTTGCGGGCGTGGCGGGGGGTTGAATCGATCGAAATGACGCGCGGGAGAGAGGCTGAGGAGGGCGCTTAGGACTGACCGCGACCATCCTGTCAGAAACGAACTGTAAAACCATCCCCCATTTTACTGCTGCTCTCAGGAGTCTGAGCCTCAAGCGATACCTGAGGAGAACATGTCGCTTCTCGCCGTCGTGGAACCAATGCCCGCTTAGATGCGACGGCGTACATATACGCTAGTCTGCCATGTATCGCTTCCAAACCCGAACACGTAGCTTTCCGAGACGATCCAACCAAGCATTCAGTGGCGAACAATGGGAAGCACCGCAACTGAAAGGGGACGACGCGTTATAAGCCGTTTGCAGACATCCCAGAGAAACGATCGCAGTTCGAGTGAATACCCTGCTTCTACATCCCCGTCGTCGTCGTCGTTAAGGAGGTGCGCTGCGTGCCGGTAACCCACACCGGCAGACAATGACAGGACACGCCCCACCCGGCATAACTCCGAGATAGGATTGACAGTGGATGTTGACATTCCTGGTTGTGTGCATATAAAAGATTCTGCCTCGGCGTTCGGTTTCCGCTGTCGGTCAGTCCCCAGGCTTCATCGATACGACAGAATTCCCCTCACCTGCGTCCAAGGGCATCCATCCCGGCAACTCCCAAGTCTAGGGCAAGTCCTGTATCTCATCAACCCGGCAAACCAGATGCTTGCTCTTTAACATGGCCAGCGCCCAGAGATATCCAGCGTGGGGGCTGGAAACCGCGTAACCCTAACCCTCGGTTTCTCTCTGGACAAGCACGCACGCATGGCACACCGGACACGTGGTTCGAGAAGAGGCGTTATTTTTGCGAAGAATGCGGACGCGCCTCACCTTGCGCTCGCTCGCTCGCTCGTCGGACTTGCCCAAAACGGCCACCCGGTCTGGCCCGCGAGCTCGCTCAACTGCTGTGCTTTCTTTTTCGCTGACCCCTGACAAGATCCAAGCCAGTTTCCCCACGACCATCGTTCGTCGCCCTTCCTTCTCCAACACCAACTCACACCACCACCCGCCACCTACCGCACTCTCCTCACAATGGGCTGGTTCTCAGCCTCCTCCTCCGCCTCGGCCGCCTCCTCCGCCTCCTCCGCCCCAGCAGCAAAAGCCGCAAAGGAATCAATAGACGCCGCTCACGATCTTGCCACAGACACCCACTTTGACGAGGAGAGTCTCGCCAACGCTCGTGCTTATTTTAGGCAGTATGCGAGTATTAGGAAGGATGGGGAGACGTACATGAACATTAAGGACTTTGCAAGGGCTATGACGCCATTGACTGAGGGTCAAAAGGTAAGAGTGACGCCCGAGCGGTGTAGCGAGGGCGTGTGGTTCGGTCTAGGAGCGCAAGCGGTATAGTGGGGGCGACCGGAGTGCGTCCCGTGCCGCAGGCGCAGTACTTATGGGGGACAGCGAACAATCATGCCATTTTGGCGAGCGAAGCGAGCCCCTGTCTTCCATTGTGTGCGACAACGAACGGTCCCGGTCTTTATTGCGAGCAGAATATTCGTTCATTCATCATCCATCAACGCTCATTCCATCGCACATCTACCAATTTTTGTTCGAACAGCCAAAACGCGAGCAGGGCATATCGGTGCTATTCAAAGTCGCCGACAGGCGGAAACGCGATTTGATTTCGGAAAGCGATTTCGTATCCTTCCAAAACGTGGTCCGAGGCCCCAACGCCGAATTCGAAGTCGCCTTCAGATTATTCGACACAAATGGCGACGGCAAAGTCACCTTCGACCAGTTTAAGCAGATATTGTCCTCGATCCAGGGCACCGAATCCGTTGCGACCGACTTCAACAGCGAATGGTTCACCCTCTTCGTGGGAAAAAAGCCCCGCGACATTTCATACGAGGAGTTCGCCCAACTCCTCAAAGGCTACCAAGCCGAGCGCCTGAAGCAGGAATTCAAGCACTACGACTCCAAAGGCAGCGGACACATAGATCCCCAAGCCTTCCGACAAATCATGCTCCATGTCGCAAAACACAAACTGAGCCCCTTCGTCACCGAGCACCTCCCATCCCTCAGCCAGCTGTACCCGGGCGACAACATTTCCTTTGCGAATCTGCGGGCGTGCTATAACGTTATCAGGCAGATGGATATGGTGGAGCGTATCACGCGCAAGGCCGCGGCGCTGACGAAGGATTCGTGTGTCTCAAAGGCGGATTTCAAGGCGGCTGCGGCGCAAATGATGAGGTTTAATATGTTGACGCCGATGGAGGTGGACATTTTCTTCCACCTTGCTGGGAGGGATTTTGATACCGAGACGACGAGGCTGCCTATTGCTGCGTTTGAGAGGTGAGTTACTTTGTCAGGAAACGGAACCATCGAGTGTCTGCAGGCCATATACTGAATGATTCCCCTCAGGTTATTCGACCCAAATTACAACGCCTCCGACCCACAAGCAATACGCGACCACGCCAGCGCCTTCGTCGCCACGAACTCCGACGTTACCGACCTCGCTCGGCAAGTCGTCCAGCTGAGCGCCGCCATGGAAGCGCTCAAGAGCATATATAACTTCACGCTCGGTGCCATCGCTGGCGCTATCGGTGCTACCGTTGTGTATCCCATAGGTATGGTGTTTCGTATGACGTAACAGAACATGAAAGGCAGATGATTCTTACACCTTTTGTCCGCAGATCTGGTAAAAACGCGAATGCAAAACCAACGAGCGAGCGCCACCTCCCAACTCCTATACAAGAACAGCATAGATTGCTTCCAAAAAGTTATCAAACGGGAGGGTGTCATGGGCCTATATTCCGGGCTTTTGCCGCAGTTAGTCGGAGGTGCGCATATTATCTCGCTTTCTTTTTGGTTCCCACACATAAAGAGTAATTCTAATTTCAAAATTTTGTTTTCGTTAGTCGCCCCCGAAAAAGCAATCAAGTTAACAATGAACGATCTCGTCCGCTCGCACCTCCGCGACAAACGTACGGGGGAAATCACGCTCGCTGGCGAGATTCTCGCGGGGTGTACCGCTGGAGGGAGCCAAGTTCTGTTTACGAATCCGTTGGAGATTGTTAAGATTCGGTTACAAGGTAAACACAAAAATGCAAAATCCCATGCAACATTACCCTTGCATCTGACACGGCTCTCTCTTTTTTCGTAGTTCAAGGCGAAGCCGCGAAAACAGCCGCGGAAGCCACACCCCGGTACAGCGCGCTTCAGATCGTGCGGCAGCTGGGCCTTTTGGGCCTGTACCGAGGCGTCGGCGCGTGTTTGTTGAGGGATATCCCCTTCTCGGCGATTTATTTCCCGACGTATGCGCATTTGAAGAAGGGATTGTTTGATGAGGGCGTTGAGGGGAAACGGTTAGGGGCTTTTGAGGTGGGTCCCTTCTTGTCGGGGGGTCTTGAGGGTCGGTGTTTTATGGGACCAGTGCTCATTTCGTCCTTTCCAGCTCCTAACCGCCGGAGCAATCGCCGGCATGCCAGCCGCCTACCTCGTAACCCCCGCCGACGTAATCAAAACCCGGCTCCAAGTCGCCGCCCGCAAAGGCGAGACCACCTACACAGGCATAACCGACGCCTTCCGCAAGATCCTCCGCGAAGAAGGCCCGCGCGCCTTCTTCAAAGGCGGCCTCGCCCGAGTGTTCCGCTCGTCCCCGCAGTTCGGCGTCACCCTCGCATCCTACGAGTTCCTGCACCGCCTCTTCCCGGTTGATTTTGGCGATCAGAGGACGGAGATGGTTGTGAGGAAGGCGCGGTCGACTGCTTCTGGTGGTGGTGGGGACGGGGAGGCGAATGTGCAGACGAGGGGCGGGTTTGCGGATACGGGTGCGAGGAATGCGTTGAGGGTTCTGAATGAGATTAACCCAGAGCTGGTGGCGAGTGTTGGGACGAGGGCTTAAAGGGGATATCATATAGACTAGGCGTGCAGTGGTGCGATGAGACTGGACCCATGGCCTATAGACACGTTCCCGACACCCCCAACTCTCGTATGTAGCTGTAGATAGGACTCCCTTGCAACCCACACCTTCCTCATAATCACCGCGTCTCCCAATATCGCGGACAACGGCGACTCTAGACCACCCTGCATGACGGTCTTCAATATCGCCCTCTGCTCACAAAAAAAACAAGTCAACCTATCCTTCCCACCCAACGATAACGCCCCTGACACCTCCCGCGCAATAACAGTCCCACTACTCGGCTTCCTCCCCTCCCTCTCCCTCTCCCTCTCCGTCGTCCCGTTCCCGCGCTGAATGAGCTTACAAGCCAGCCGCTCGCCCGTCTTCAGGTCCACGCTCAGCCGCACAGTCGCAAACGAACCTTTGCCCAACTCATCCTTTACACGCGTGTAAAAAACGTGGGGATCCTCACTCTACTCTTCCTCACTCTTCGCGCTCCTCACGCTCTTGATTGCACCTCATCATGCCCCCCAATTACATACCAACCTCATCCAAATCGAGGCGATAAAAAAATTATCGCCTCGCTTCGAACGTTTCTTAACGGTTCTAGAACCCACTGCGACGCGTAAAGTGGAGTTTGACAGCTCGTCCTAACCGGTGGTATCGCTGCACTTCTCTGCACTCTCATAACAATGGCGCTTTGGCACAGTTGAATCTTGCTCTCCCTGCAGACGTGCAGGTAGCGAGTTCAATTCCCACTCCCAGACAACTTCTTTGTTTGTTCAGATTATGACCCCTGTCGCGCTAGGCGTGGCGTGTTAATTACTGTCGCGCTCGGCGCTTCGTGGGTGTTAACTGACCAGCACAACTAAAGGTAAGTATCGCAACAGAAAGCTATACCACCGTTACCGAAATACGCCTCAACCAATCCTCAAGTCCTTTACCCGCTCTCAAACAGCTCGAGCCACAACCATTTTTGCTCTGCCTCACGCTCCTTTTCGTTTATTCCTCCCGTTTCACACAGCTCCATCTCGACGGGGCTCTGGGGAATCCACCAACATCCCCCACGCAATTGCGAGCACCTCTGTACATATACAGTACACATCCCGCCGACCACCTCCAGGTAACAACAGCAATCCCTCACCCCGCGGCAATCCCTCACACTACCTAAAACAGATCACTCTAACCTCCTTGCACAGCACAGCACAGCACAGCCATCATGTCATCACACCAGGCGCTCCAGGGGCACCTGTGGTGTAGCTTCTTTACCGCCTATTGGCCACCGGAGAAAAAGGTTGCGTCCTCGTCGGAAATTTGTTGGTTGTATTTCACCGCCTGCACCATAAACGTCGTCAGAGGTGTGTCCGCCGCCAGGTCCTTTGCCATGTCGAGCTGTGCCTTCGCCTCCTGTATCTCGCTGTTATCGGGGAACCTCGATTGGAGCATGTTCAGGAGTTCATCCACCTCTCTGTTGAAGGCGACCACGAACGGGTTCATGATCGTTCCGGTCTGTAAGTCTAGATTCGAGACCTCGGTTTATATCGTTACTGGTGTTACTGGCGTGACTCCAACGCCGCCAGGATGTACTCGTACACGTCCTGCTTTCTTTTGACGTTCGCGGGAAGGTCGACGTCGTGGGTCGCCGCAAACTCGACGAGGTCTTTGACCCTCCAAGCGTCTTTTGTCCTGTCCAGAGTTCGGCTCGTGAGCTCGGCGATGACAGCCAAGCGCGCGGCGGAGGCTGCGGCCGCTTGTGTCGGCAAGCGGCTGAACGTTAGAAAGCGCGACCCGTCCACCCTGTTCTCCAGAGCGAGCGGGTGAAACCCACCTCCGCCCTCCGAGTGCAATCGCAAAAATAAACACCTCGACTCGTCGGGGTTCGCGGGATCCCACACCCTGACGCCGTGCGTCCCTCCCAACACATAGAGCGTGCAGTTGGACACTCGCGCAAGGTCCTGAAGGCTGAGCCGTTCCAGCGTCTCCAACGACAGTCCCGGGCTCGCCACGGCGTGCACGATCGCCGCTGCCGTCATGGCCCTCGCGGAGGCCTGCGGGACGTGCCCAAAGTCGGGAGGCACCTCTATACGCTGTTCCTGAAAGCAGGCGATCTCCTCGGGCGTGCAGGGGAGCCAAGGCGGTCCGGGTGCAAGCTCTCCAGCGTCCAATCCAAACACCCACGAGCGATGCAACTGCGTGTAAACGCTCTCGGTGGGACTCAAGAACACCGTGGGGTCGCGAGGGAGAGGAAAGCGGGACGTAAACCGACACCGCACTCCGCGCGCCTCGGCGCGAGAGACGAACAGGTCGGTGGCGATCAACACCAACGGCTGCGGCCTGTGAGAGGCGTGCGTCTGCAGGGAAACGTGCGGGGATCTCCTCCGCGTTCACCACCTCGTCCCACAAAGTGTCCGGATGTAGGTCAGAGTGGAGCTTGTAGAGGCTTCCGCCATCGCACATCCGCCTCCGGAACATCTCCGCGATCATCAACGGGTCGTACGTGAAACAGGTGAACACCCCATCGGGGCGCAAGTGCCGCTTGACGGCGGCCCAGAGGGCGTCCCACCGCGCCGGCGACCAGGCCATGTAGTGGTTGAGCGCCCAGCCCGCTGTGACGACCCCGAACGAGCCCTCGGCCTGCGCGTCGCCGTTCAAAAACTCCTCCAGGTCCTTGGACACCACCCTGCAGCCCAACCTGGTCCACCTTGTGTTGTCGCGCACGGCCCCGCCGCCGTCGAGCTCGAGCGCGAGCTCGAGAACGTTGGTGGGACCCGCGCTCGCGCACTGTTGCGCCAGCTGGTTTTTCAGAAAGCCGTGATGGGTCCACACGGCCTGGTGCCCGCTAATGTTGAGACGGTGGAGGTCAAGGGGCTGTTTCATGCTCTTCCAGATGTTCAGCGCGACGGTCTTGAAGTTGGGCCTGGGCTTGTCTGTGCGCACGCGGAGAGCCTCGAAACGCCGGCCGTCGGGAGCCAGGACGCACTGGACGATGTCCCGGCACGCGGGAGGTGGGCGTACCCGCGACGCGTCGAGCGGCAACTGCGGCCGAAACGGCACAACGCTCCCGTTCACGTCACCCACGCAGAGGACACGGTCCTTGTCGAGGAGGAAATCGATCGAGTTGTGGGAGGGCGGTTTCCACTTCAACAGGGTCTTCCATTGGCACCTGGTCGGGTAGGGCTCGCCCTCGGGAACAAAGATCAGGCCGTCGGAATGGGGACCCATGACGCTATCGAGGGTGGCGCGCATGCCCCAACGGTAATCGTGGTACTCCTTTTCCACCACAGTCCACCCGTCCGACAACACCGGTAGGGCGGACCGAAGCCACGCAAGTCGAGCGTTGAGGTCGGCGGCGCGGTCTCCTCTGAGGTCCCTCCCGTCGTAAACGAGGATGTCGAACGCGAAGATCGTCTTGCGCGCATGGTCGACCTCCACGTCCAGGACATGCGAGCGGGGCGGGCCGAACGAAGGCGACCGCGTGATTGCGCTCACCACGCGCAAAGACCGCGACGAGTGGTGAGAGCACGCGCACAGCACGACCATGGCGAAGGCGGTGACGGCGAGCGACGTCGTGCGATTTTTGCTCGCGGCCTACGCGTCCGCGGAGAGGGCGGCTAAGAGAGACACCACCGCGTTCACGCAGGTTTGGTTGCCGGCGAGGGCCGTCGCCACGGCCGCCACCGTCGCGGACACTTTTGTGCCTTGGATCGACACGCCGACGGACCCGGCGGTCGCCGCCTGCGTAGCCAAGGCCGCGAGAAGCGGGGTCACCGAGACGGTGTTCGCCAGCGCGGTCGCCAACCCACGCGTCGTGGCGGAGACGTCGCCGAGGTACAGGAACCCCAACGAGTACCTGGAGCGCTCGCACAGCGCCAAGAGCGCGGCGATTAGATTCGCCCGCATCGTCGACTCTTGCGTCGCGAGCGGGGACAGGTCCACCGGGGTCGTCGAGGCCGGATCGACGGACGTGACACCTGCCGCTGTCTGCACGATCGCAAGGGCCATTTGCGCGAACACGGTCGTTTGGTCCGGAATCTGCGGAGCGCTGAGTACGGTTCCCATTTGCGCTTACTGGCGTTCCGCATGTCACTTACCCCACGGAAAAAACGAGGCGGCCTCAGAAGCCGCTCGGTGCTGAGCAGCAATGCCTGTGAACGCCGCGGCGGACGAGCGGCCCGCGCTGGTCGGAAAGCGCATCGACAGTTGGTGGAGCTCCATCGCATCCTGAGCACCGCTCTCAGAGTTGCAGATGCCTCGATAATTCCAGCCAGTTCATTGTGACCGTTGCCACATTTTTTGGGAAGGTCGATCGGGCTGAACCGTTCGCCAGATCTGCAATGGGAATGGTTTTCATCTCGTTGACGGGGCCTTCCTTGGCGCGACCCTTGCCCGCCAGCATCGCATCCCGCAGTTCCGGATGGCGATCGGGGTCCATTAGCGTCAGCCCGGCGGCCAGAGCGACCTCTGCTATGAAGGCAGCGGCGGTGGCGCCAATGGGCACACGTACGTCTTCTTCCCATGTCGCTACTTGCTCCTCCTGGAATCCGTACTCCCGCAAGATCGATCGCGCTGGGTAAAACAGAGTCAGGAGTTGAAGACGCTAAACCTCGCCACCACATCTCACATCTCACCTGTCATCTTATCAATCATCCTCGAAAGACTCCTCTCATCATCTGTCTTTTTGATAACGTTCTCCATGGCTGCGATTCCATGTCCAAAACAACGTAGGGTCCCACGGATCCAACGGGTGGTGCTTGAGGCTCTTGTGGATGACTTAGCGTTACCCGTTAGGATTATGTTATTTATGTTATTTATGATATCAGCTCGTAAACCCCCCGGGCGCTTGGGTTTGCACGAGGTTACACGAGAGACGCGGGGCTAACGCTTGGGGTAACAAGTGGTGCCACACGCATATGAGGGGATGGGTGGACAACAGCCATGGGTTGCTCCTTGTGCGTTTTCTATACAAATGGCTACTGGAACGCTCGCCTACGCGGGAGAACGCGTTTTCTACCGTGCTCTAAGGACGATTATTGCAGATAGGATGCTGCATATCCCCCTAGACCCCAACGCACACCCTTCATCTCGCTTTATACAGTCGAATCCACCAACCGATAGAATGCCGACGACCATGTCCACCCTGATGTCCACCCTGCGTTGCGTGAACTTCGGACCTTTCAAGGACAAGACCATCCACTTTGAAGGTCCCGTGACGACTCTGGTCGGCTCAAACAGGTCTGGAAAGACTAACCTGCTGAAGGCCGTTACCATTGTGGCCTACCTGCTCTATCACGCATCCGACGAAAACGGGGTCCTCCATTCCACCGCGGTGTTGAACGTGGAGGAGCTGTCCGTTCTCCGGAAGCTCTCCTTAAACGACGACTTCGGTTCGCTCTTCCGCCAGGGAGAGAACTTCGATCGTTTCGAGGCGCGCTTTACGAACGGTGCCGCCGTAGACCTGTCCCTCACCCGAGGCCCAAGCGGACAGGGGGGTACTTTGACGATCAATCACCACGATACGTCAATCAAGGTGCCAGATATCCGGTGCACTCTCATCCCGCGAGACCTCACCCTCTGCTACAGCTCCGAGGAGCGTATCAGGGGCAACCAGGACAAGATCAGAGCCCAGCTCTCTGGTCGCCTCGTTCCCGGAAGCGGCCGCAGTTTTTATACCTCCAACCTCGTTCATTACCTGCAGCAGACCACCCTAACGAGTTTGTTCAGCTCAATCGCATCGTGAACAGCATCTTCCCAGGGATTGGAAACTTGCACACGCAAACCTTTGATCGCGGATCCAAGATCAAGTGCACCATCGGACCCGACAACGAGACAGGCCTCGTCTGGCACGCTTACGGAAGCGGTGTCAGTTACGCCGTCTGTCTGTTCGCAACGATCATATATGATCAAGTCGAATGCGTCAAGTCGGTCCAAGACTTGTCGGTAGGCGCGATGCATGTGGTTCTGCTTGACGAGCCGTCCTCTTCGTTTCACCCGCACATTCTGCCGCTCGTGCACCGCGGCCTCTGCGCGCTCAACATCAACCAGCTGGTGGTGTCGACACACCAGATCGACTGGCTTCTCGTCGAGTCCATCCCCGAAACCGTCGTTTCCATGGACTCTGGATCGCATCGATCATGCTAGGATTTTCTCCTAGCATGATCGATGCGATCCAATCTCTCCGCGACATGAACCTCATCTCCACTATCATCAGCCGCCCGGACGAGCTGGCTCTCCTTGCTGCAAACCGCACGCTGCTCTTTGTCGAGAACGAGGGCGACCGGGCCTTCCTGCGAAACTGGATGGCTAGGATTGACCCCGGCAGAGCGGCAAACTTCCTCGGGAAAGTCGTCGTCGATCAGCTGTCAGGAAAGAAGACTCCCCATCAGTACGTCGATGTCGCGAAGACAGCTGCCAGGCTTTTGGGCAAGTTTGCTACCGACGCGGAAATCAGTGTTGCCGTTGTGGTCGACAACGATTCCCGCCCTCAGCACCTCGCTGGCGTTGACAGACAATCCTTCTTCGGTCTCTGCCGGGATGCTCAGGGAATTTCGTCCGAAGGCTGCGAGTATCTCACCCTGCAGAGGGTAGAAGCAGGGAGCTACTATGTCGACAAGTCGGCCATCCTAGCACTGATCGAAAACGGAGAGGCCAAGCCTTGGGGTCGCGATGCCCGTCCCGACGATCTTAGCGCGTGGTACGACCAGCTCGTCACTGATAGCCTGGACGCGATCGAGTACCGCTTTGTCACCGAGAATGTGACCAAGATGATGGCGGCGAAGAAGAGTGACAAAAACATCGGCAAGTCCTGCTTTCCAGGAGGGATCGTGCAAGGTCGCTCTGACGATTGGGACGCTGCTGCGAAGTGCTACCAGCTTGTCGTCGAGGCCAAGGATTTCCTCGCTGCCTGTGGGATCAAGTCCAACCACTAACCTCGGCTGGCTTCGAGCATCGATCCCGTCCCCGACGACATTAACCGGGTCGTCCTGGCTCTGTTCAAGTGGGCCGGAGTTTAAGTGGGAATCCGACGGCGTGTGGTCCAAGGACTCGTTTTGAGTGACCCTGTCGCTGCTGTTGGCCGCCGCGGCATGGCCCCCTTGTTGGCCTCAGCCCCAAAAGCGGAAGTTCCCATTGGGAAACGGGTATTGCGTGTCAATGGATTCCACGTAGAACGCGATGTCGTCGTCCTTGCCGCTCTCGCCACTCCAAAACACGTTCCCACCGTTGGTGTTGATCATCCCGTCGTTTTGGTTACGGTACTCGGTGGTGAGCCTGTTGTTGCTGATGGTGATCCTCTGTTTGGAATCGTTCGGGTCGCACGCGGCCATCACCATAGGGTCCCTATCCTTTGTTGGTGCCGACAAGCACTTGCCCGCCCTGCCGTTCGCAATCAGTCCCGTGTACGACATTCCGACTGTGAATACCTTGCTAGAAAAAATCTATGGAACATACTGTACGTATTACATAGTGTTACATATGGGCCCCGTTCTAAGCACAAACGTGTCCGTATCTAAACAGGACCTCATCAATGAGGCCATCGCCTCCGCCATCATTCAAACGTCGCAATCATGCACCTTGTCGCAGAACGTCCTCCAGGATATTAAACTCGAGTTTGACCATACCACGGTGGGCAACATCAATGTTGATGCCGGCGCCGTGGCGGACATTACCTGCATCCAAACAGCCGCACAGGAAGCGTCCATGCAGCAGAACATCGAGTCCGCCTTGACGGCCTTGGCGAAACAGCAAGCGGAGGCATCGACATCTTTTAGTCTGTTTTCCGCCTCAACCAACGTGTCGTCGCAGACCCAAGACATTATCAATAGGGTCAGCTCCAGCATAACCATCCAGACGTTGCAGCAAGCTATCCTAGCCCAGATGACCGATCAACATGTCAACATGTCTTTCACCGGCAGCACCGCCAAAAACCTCCGCATCTCCGCCACCGTCAACGGGATCCTCAAGGCCATACAGAACAGCTCTAGCACCGCAACCTTGGTTAACCAGCTCGCCACTCAGATGACCGCGGATTCCGCTCAGACGGCCAAACCGGGTTCAGCACCGCGGCTCTCATCGCCATCGCGGTCATCTGTATGATAGTCTGCTCGTCCGCGTGTTGTGGTCTCGCGTACTACGGCCAGCAAAGCGGCGGGGGCGGCGCTGGTGGAGGCGGCATGCCCGACCCCGCAATGATGGCCGGGTTGATGGGCGGCGGTGGGGCCGCGGGCGGAGCGGGGGGCGCGGCCGGGTTGCAGGCCGCGTTGAGCAACCCTGCGACGCTCAGCGCGCTCGTCAAAATGGCGCCGATGGTGCTCTAGGACCAGGTTCGCTCAAGTTTTTTTCTGACGCATAGTCAGGTTGCATAGCACATAGTACCTTCGCCCAATGCCCACCCCTTGCAAAAAGAACCAAAGAAGGAACCCGGTGACCAAACGGTGCATCAAGAAGGGTGGCGCAACCGACAAAGCCCTACGAGCGGGACGGTACTCGCAGATTCGAACTTCAGCGAAGTGGGCCAAGCGCCTTTCGAACACGAACAGGACGAGCGCAAAAGGCCGCAAAAGCCGGGGGGCCTCGGCTACTCTCTTCTACGTAGGCACCGTGAAAAGGGGTCTCAACGGGAAATACTGGCGGGTCAAGCGGAAAAGCAATGGTGTGTACATGTGGGTGGGTATGCAAATTCCAAGCGAGGGTGTGTCCCTAGCAAATTCAATCGCACCAAAACTCACTCACGACGACCGAACGAAAGAGCTTCGCTCGCTCAACGTTGCAGACCCACGCACAATGTCCCTCCAACAAATCATCCTCACCGACGTAGGCCAGTACCTGGATGACCGGACCCTCGTACGCTTACAGTGCCTCAATTGCGCGTTCAGGGATGAGTTTAGACGCCAGGACCGCTTGCGCCAGGAACCACGATGGCTACAAGGGAGCCCCGTCCGTGGACCTAAACCCACCAGCTCGGGGTTCCTGCGCGCGTTGATACAAATATGCCAGGGACAGACCTACGCGGACGTCATGGCGTTCCTGGAACGTGAGCTCCCTGCTCACAGGAGCTTCGGCGCGGTTGAGAAACCCGACGTGATCATATACCAATTGGCGAGGGAGATACCCTCTAGGCACCTAACCCCCTTCCCCGCGGCTTGGGGTCCCGTTGAGCCCGTCATCAACGTGTACATCCACTTGATTCTTGAACTCATGCGGGCATCAAAGGCATCTACCCTAAGGAGGGCTATGGTCTACTTCTGGCGCGATATAGGTACGGCAATGGCCATGCTGGGTCGGAACTGGCGCCCCCATATCATGGGGCACCAGGTGTACACCTTGAGGAACGTATCTGCGGAGCTGTCAAAGCTTTGTGCGGCATACTATGCATTGGAGAAGGTGTTGGGGGCGTGAATATACGCGTCCAAAGATCCTCACGCACATAAAAGAACCCGGTTCGCGCACGTCCCCCTGTGGCCTTTTTTTACACAAGCATTGTACCAGTCGCAAAAAACTCGGACCTGATCGCCATGGAATCCGTTACCGTGCCTCAGGCCCGCTATGTCATCAACATGACCGTATCCCGCAAAGGCGAGAACGCTGTCAACATCAGAACAACTCCTGTCACGGACCTCCCGAACCTCGTCAAGATGCACCGGAACATGTGCGAGGTCCTCTTGGACGATGCGGTGGTCAAAGTCTTTTACGATTGGGCTTCGAGGTTGCCACCAAGGAGCTCATGAACGTCCACCGCAGCCCCTTCAACCCGGCATTGTCCATCAGCAGCTCGATTATCCGTATCATTCCCATTATTGATACTTTTGAAGAACGCTCCAGCCGCGGCTTCCAGCTGGCCCGTATTCAGAAAGCTGAAGGCAAGCAGATGTTGCGCTTCTCGTTTCATCCTGTCGTTGCGGAGCGCTGGCGTTACGCATTCGATGACTGAATGGTAGTGTAGCCTCGTGCGGCGTAGAGCCAGCCTAGTGCGTCTGTGATGCAGGTGGAATGAGAGACGAGAACAATCTGCGTCATTATTTCACGGACTGATCTGCGTTGGTCCGCCATCGTATATATATGGGGGTTATTCGAACCTGATACTCTCGAGTCCGACCGTCGGAGAAGCGTACGGATGCGAGCGTCACGCGCCTACGTCTTGGGACCCTACTCAGACCCTACTGCTTCGTGCCCCTCTCCAACTTTCCAACGTTCACTCTCGTAGCAACTTCTCGTCGGTGTGCAAGACTTGAATTCGGCCATGGCCGCGGACGCAACAGGCAGTAGCGCTAGCAGCAGCAGCACCCTTAGCCGGCGGCTGCTGGCCTCGGACGCTTTCAGCCACGTCGCCTTCTCCTCCTGCGCCGCCATCGTTGCTCGGACTCTCGCTCATCCCCTCGACACCCTCAAAACCCGCATCCAATTCGAGAGCGCGGCAGGTAGCTCCACATCCTCCGTCGGCCATCTTCGTTCCACGGTCCGCAACATCCTGCGAACAGAGTCCTTCACCGCGCTATACAGAGGGTTACCGGTCGCGCTGGTGTTCAGTGTGCCGGCACTGAGCGTGTACCTCGGCGCTTATGACCAGTCCAAAGTGTTGTTGGCGAGGTGGGGTGGGCTCGGGGACGAGAGCTCGATAGGAGTGCATGCCGTTGCGTCCTGCAATGCGGAAATTCTGAGTGGGGCGTTATGGTACGTGTGCTTACCCTTGAGCATCGCTGTAGGAGCGCGGTGAAGGTACGAGTTTGGCCGCCCGCAAGCGACTTGAGAGGTGTTATACAGATTGATTCAGCCTTTTGAAATGGGGACAAATGGCAAACTGCTGATTGCCTTCCGCAACTTTGCTAGGACGCCTATGGAAGTGTTGAAAAACAAGATGCAGGTCCAGACTGTAGATGGCATGTCTAAACGAGGAGTCAGTACATGGTCCTTATGTCGGTCCATCTACGCAAGAGATGGCATAAGAGGATTCTTCAAGGGGTATTTCCTGGCACTTGGGGTATTTGTACCATATACAGTGAGTAGCAAAGCTACTAGTGATCTAGACCACCAGCGGCTCGTTGCTGACCTCAATCACCAGATGACATACTTCATAGCATACGAGCAACTCAAACGGCAAGCAGACCTCTTTATCAACAAACGAACCGCCTCAGTGACCACGTCAACACCCAAACAACTTCCATTCGGCGCATACATGCTCTGCGCCGGCACATCCGGAGCACTAGCCGGCGCCGTATCCAACGCTCTAGACATCGTAAAAACGCGGCGACAAGCAGGCGGAGGCACGGAGAGCGCCGTGACGATCATCAAGGACATGTGGAGGAACGAAGGAAAGTGGAGGGCGTTCGGCAGAGGTCTCGCTGCGAGAGTGCTGTGGGTTACGCCGACGGTTACATTGTCGATGAGCGTGTATGAGATACTGAAGGACTGGCGGGCGAGGACTGTTGGTGACATTCATAGCGTATGATTAGAGAGTCGGTGTTTCCAAAAGGGCGGGTAGAGGTCATGCACACATGTCCCAATGCCCCACGGTCATATTGTGAGTTTGATATAGCATGCTACTTTATCGACTTTTTACTTAAGTGAATATTTACACCACCGCCCAACATACCGCCCGCAATGCAGAACAGACGGTTACGGCCGTCCCACCGCGTAGTCGCAGGAGCTGAGCAATCGCCCTTGAGCTCTCTCCTTTGATGACTACGGCGAAGTATGCCCTCCCATGAGGATCCTACGACATATCCTACCAAGATACCGGAATCCCCCGTCTACGCCTTCCCAGCGATAGCGGGCGCACCAGCCTTCGACCCCTCAGCCTGCTTCCTCAACCTCCTCATCTTCACATCATGATTGTACACACGCGCAGTGTTGACCTCCATCGTCGTAATCTGCTCTCGTAGGAATTCGAGATCCTCATCGACCTGCGTAAGGGATGTCTTTGCGCTGCCCAACTTTTGCTGCAGAAGCGTTTGTGCCTCCGCTGTCGTGTACTCGAGCATCACGTTCGCTCCGAGCCATAGGTAGACGGTCGACTTCCCGTCCTTGGAGGGTGTCAGGCGGGCATGGGCGTAGAGGGTGTCGTTCAGCTCGTAGTGGGATGTCAATGGTTCCTCAGAGTCCTGCGAAGCGATACCCAAGATGTCATGACTCTGATCCGAGATTTTGGAGACTCACAATCGATGCATTCATACCTGACCAGTGATCAGGAACTCGACCATCTCCAGCGTCTTCTTGATGTCGGGAATCTTGGATTCGAGACTCTGTTTGCGCTGCAGTAAATGACCCTGCATGTACTTGTATTTCCTGCAGTCACCACGAAGTCAGTACTCCGGCACGTTCGGGCGACTTTGACCAGCTCTGAAGCAACATACGAGATCATTTCCTGGAATTTCCGCAGCGTCGACTCCACTTCGGCCTCTGAGGCAGCATATTCCTCAACTTTGCTCTAGAAGCGGGGCATGTTTGAGTTTACACGATCTCGTCTGACTTCCGGAGATCCTTAGGGCAAGCGTAATGGGCGCTCCACAACAAGTGCCTTAAGTTGGCCACCAAAGAAGCCACCAGCTCTACAAAATTCCCCCTATCCGTCTCGCAGCACTCCGACTCGCTTTGAGGGCGCCCAACGTACCACAAAAGGAGCCCGGGGAATCCCCCTTGGGTTAGCTTCGAGTGATTGCGACATCTTCTTTCGTTATCGGTGAGGCTGACGGTTGCGGGCTTCGGGATGTTAAGGAGTAGCTCAGCTACGTATGCTTTGGCGAAACAGTGTTTACAGTATGTATGTACAGTATATTCGATTACGCTTGCATGCATGCATGCAACAACGTTCAAGCTCAAATTCACAGGGAGCCTTGGGAAAGTCCGAGTCCCACTCCTGACCTCGCGTACCAGCGAGTGCTGATTCTATCAACCCTCCACGACAGCTGCGACAACTACGCCCGTCCGGCCGTATTAACTTAATCTGCCGTGAGCTTACTCTACCTCCAGAACTCAATAGTGATCTCTTGACGGACTATCTTCACGATGGACGCGGCCCTACTTGCTATCATCGGCGCACAAGCCGGGGCAAGCGGCGATAATACCCCTACAGCTGGCTCAAAAGCAGCAACCCCTGTGGGAACGGCACCTGGATCGCCTAACCCTGCACCAGCAGCTGTCTCCAGTGAACCCGCCGCAGTCACTTCTACCCCTGCTCCATCCTCAACACCAGCTTCCGTCGCCGCGTCTACACGGAAGCAGGCGAGCGAAACAGCCACCCGGTCGGCGCCGAGGAGGAGTACGCGGTAGGCACAGCATAGCGGGTGGGACTGGGATCCAGAGTATATGAAGAGTTGTGATTGCTCACGACTCCTTTGATTATAGACGAGCACCACGGCTCGAGAGCGAGTCTGAAGGCGCTGGGTCCGACGATGAAGATGAGCTCTCTGATGACGAGGAGTGGGCTGATGTGAAAACATGGGATCCGGATACGTTGATTGGCGATGCGGCTGATGAGCAACGGTGAGAACGTGTTATTCAGCATGATGTGGCTGGCGACGGATGTACGACGCAAACGAGATCTGACGGGGGCACTCTCCGTAGGCTAAACGCCATGTCAGAGTTGCACCGTGAGAGTCTTATCGCGGAACGACGGGGACGCGTAAGTGCGCCGTTGCTTAGTATAGCACCATCATCGTTAATACTCATCACCGATATGTCCCGGACGGCTCACAGCTCGAGAAGATGAAGGAGCGATTAGAAGTCAAGAAGATGGTGCGGCGGAAGTTCGGCGCAACGAAACCCAAACGACAGAACGAGGATGAAGACGAACGTTAGTTGATCACTGCCGCGTTGATGTGAAGAGGGGTCTTGGAGAATAGGGGTGTTGATGCCCTTTTGTGTGTTGCCAGGTCCAGCGAAACGGCAAACGAAGGAGAAGACGAAGCGGGATGAGACCATGGCCAGCTTCAAAAGAGAAAGGGAGAAGCATTCGCGAGCAGCAAAGGTATATAAGCTTTGCGGGTAGAATGGAACCGCTATGGTAGTTTCGCGGAACTCATCTGGCTATCCCATAGGATGGTAATGCCATGCAGATAGACTCCGTACATGATGATCATTACGAATCCGACGATCGGCTGGATGCGGATACCGAAGTGCGGCGGAAAGAGGTACTGACGAGCGGGGAAAAAGCATCGCGAGGGATCGCTCATGCTTTTGCCGTTATGAAGGAGATAAGCAAAGCCACGAAAAGCATACCAACATACGAACAGGTCCTGTCGATACAAGTCACCCGTGCCCAGCTGACGGATTGGGTGTTTGCGCCGTTCTTTGACAAGACTGTGAAAGGTTCGATTTCATGGTTTTTTCCGGCATGCTCGGCTCGTGCGGTGGTCTTCGTGCTTACATCGCTTCATAGGCTGCTTTGTACGCTATGGAATTGGAGCCGACGCGAAGGACCCTAAAAAGAACGTATACCGCCTATGTCTGATCGATGGTAGGTTTCGCGCCGTCCGACAAACGCTTCAGTGCCCCATTCTGAAGCGCATTCCCATGATGCAGCGGTAACCACCGCCTCCCGACCATACTCAATTGACGACAAGCCGGTGCCAAAATCAGCAATAATGAATCATGCGGGAGCCCAAAGGGAGAACACCTTCTCCAAAGTGTCGAATAGTCCCGTAACCGAGGTCAGGAGAGGCGGAGGAGCGCATGACTTTGCGGACGGTGGAACTCGCGTTGGACTTGCAACTGAAAGTTGCGCTTTTTTGATGCACGCAGAGCGAGTACAGACGATGGTCTGAGACGATGGTATTTAACAAGATCCCATTCCCGGCACACCACGTCAAGAACAAGAGGGATGATTTGGACCGAGCGAAAAATTATGTGTTCAGCAGCGTAAGTCATGATCTACGTGACGTTTCCTTGCCTAGTCACTATCGCTAATCTAATCTCACACTTTGGGCATTCGAACTTGTCCCGCCACCAGGACGAAGTAAGCCAAATGGTCACATCCCGAAAAGCCCTCCAGAAAGCCCCCGTCAACGCCGCCGTCGAGCTCCCGGCCCTAAAACGCCAGCTAATGTACGCCGAAGAACAAGGGAACGTAGAAGAGCAAGAACAGCTTAGAGCGCAGATGGACCGTATCTTGTTGAACTTGAGCAACAAAAAGGAGGAGGAGACGGGGGCGCGCGCGCTGTCGAGGTCTGGGAGCGACCTCCGCATCCCTGGGACGCCTGGCAATGGTGCCGCACCGAATTTGGCGTCGTCGGGGTTCACTGCGCCGAGGGTGACGGGGGTGGGGGGGTTGGCGATGGCGGATATCTCGAATGAGATGGATGGAGCGTTTGCGAGGGATCCCGTGTTGGAGGAGATCAGACTCTGAGGAAATGCCTCATGAATGTCGTATTGGCGTATTGTAGGCAGTGAGTTATCCGCGTCGTTCAACGTGCGGTGAAACGGCGGTGTGGCTAGTAGTGATTGTCCCCGAATATCACTGGCTTCGGGTCTATCCGCCTCCGGAGTGCCGTTCGCATTTTCCCTTCTACGAGCAACATGACGAGAAAAAGCCAAGTTTCCTTGTCGTCACGTCGAACAGTTGAATGATGGACGGGAGATGGATGAATCGCATGATAGTAATCTCTCTCTCGTGTGTTCGGTGCTGGATCTGTTCCTCGTCGCCGCCGATCGGATACCGTCCATTTCCGCCGTTGTTGTGGTGGGTGCGGTCGATATTTTGCCTGATCGCTATGTCGTATAGGCGGTCCCAACATCCCTGAACCAAGCTGCCCTCAAGTACTCGAATGCTCTGATCCAGAGAGCCGATCCTACGCTGCGGTGGGCTTGTTTGCCGAAGGCAGCCCGTCGGAGGGGGGCAGTTTTCGAGGACACTCCACTGACCACCCGTCGGGCGTTTCAACCATCGTTGGCAATGTCGGCTAGTCTGTCCAAAGTTCCTTCATCTCTTCTTAGCAGCCCTTTTCCCATCCGAACCGCCGCCTGTAGCGCCCAGGACGACGCGTGAGGCTCCTTTCCCAGCTACTGCCGGCCATATGCGCATAACTCGCGGGCGAAGTGGGCGGGCCCAAGGACAAAGACGTTGGGTGACGGTGGGCAAGTGGAGCCCGCGGGATATTCCTGGAATCCCTCGTGGGACCAATTCGGGAGAACGTCCAGCTGAACGGTGTTCCAGAGGCAAACTAAACTCCCGCTAGTCACATGTCCCCATTTCTTGCCTGTCTTCCTTCGTTCCTCCCACTACTGTACTGTAGATACACAGAGTATTTACATAGATGCATGAGCGCACATTCGCTTAACCCATTCCTCATACAGCAGCTCCTAGTCTCCCCAAAAATGTAACTTTCCCCAGCGGTCCCACGCTTCCATTTTCCCATTTGATCTTGATCTTTCCCACCCTATCTACAAACCCGCTCAAGTACTACTTCTACTACTCCCCACTCCGTATCCTCCGCCTCTTGCGCCTCCACCCACTCTCATAGTTCACTGGAAGTGTCTGATCCGGAGCCTGGTCCCGAAGCTTTTGTTGTTGTTCAGCGGGAAGGGCGATAGTTACACTCTTCGGTGCTTTTGCGTTTGTTACACATTGTTGTTGTTGTGGAAAATGAAGGTTATGCGCATTCTTCCTTCTCCCTGCAGCATCAGACAAGAAACGTGTCAGATTCATTTCAACCTGTCTTGACTCCGCGGCTGCTCGGGCGCGGAGTTGTGATGGGTCTTTGCTTTCCACCGTAAGCTACAACGAGGGTGAAAGAGATACTATTGTGAGATCAAGAGGGACAAGGAAGAGGGCGTCGGTATGACTTACCTCATTGTGAATGTAGGTGTGGGGGTTGGGAAATGGTGGCAGGTGTTGTGGGCACGCAGCAGTAGTAGCAGATGCGGCAGTTTCAATGTAGGTGAAGTTGTCCGATTCGTACGAGATGGGAATCAATTCGGCGGGTTCGCTACGGGTCGGCGTGGGGATGCGGATATCTTTGTGGGGAGGGAGTCAGAGATGACGGTAAAGTCAGACGTTGTTTCAGCGGACATATCCCGCACACACAAGCGTACCAGATTGCCCACCCCTGCTTTCGCAATACGCGAGATACTCATCGAGCCCGGGCAGCGAGATGCCCATGTCAGCCATCCCCAGGAGCACATCGTTCAACGTCGGTTGAGTACGTAAGCCAAATTCGGTGTAGGCTTTTGTGCGACTGAAAAGGTCATGCATGTCTGCGTGGGGAATGATTGCATGAGTGTGTGGTAGACACATCTCGCTCCTTACACATCCTCTCACACTCACACAGAGTATAAGTCTCCACCAACAAATCAAACGCCTCTTTCTCTGCCCCGCCAAACCCCGACACCCTCAGCACCTGCGCAACCGCCTTCATACACACAGCCGTCTCCATATTTCCCATCCCTCGGGGAATGATCACTCCCCCAGCCGATAAGTCTTTGTCCTTGTCGCCTCCTCTACCTCTCCCTTCAAAGCCGTGAGCGGCTGGACCACCTCCTTTGTGAAGTTATCCAGCGACTGTGTCGCGCGCTCACGAAGGCGGGTCAGTTCCGCTAATAGCTCTGCGTGCTCGCGTTCGAGCTCGTTAATCAGATTGTGGTTGGTGGTGGGGGTGGCGGGGAGAGCGGCGTGTTATTGGAAGGCGGCGTGCAAGTCAGCGGTTTGAGATTCCGTCAACTGGATCAATTCTGAGAGGTATTGTTGGTGTATTTCGGCGTTGCGGAGTCGCGGGTGATGGCACCAAGCTGTTGTTTTGTTGTTGGCGGCTATGTAAGGGAGGGTGGGAATTAGTGATCTTGCAGTTTGGTTTTCCCCACCTCAGGAAACTCACCTTTGGGGCTGGCCTGGCTGTACTCGGTGTTGCTGTTGCGGGGATGGTCGCTGGGTCGCCTGTTGCCATTGCCTGTGGCCTGTCGCCTGTTGTGAGGCCTGTGTGAGGCAGAGAATGGAGGTCCGCAAAGAGCAACAGCCGCAACTGCCTGCGTGAGAGTTGCGTGTTGCGTTGGCCTCGCATGAAGCCTATGAAGCCTTTGGGCATCATTTGGGCATCGGCGATTTGGCACAGCAAGAAAGGAACCCGGCTGCCCTCAGAGACCACTTACACACACACCCCTTCCACACTCACAAGGAACACAACGCTGACCACTTCGACGGCTCCAGGATGTATTCCTGGAACGGCTCACAGGTGAGGAAGAGGACTCCAGAACCAGCACCCACATTGTGGACTCACCCATCTTCCCACCACCTTCTCCACCTTCTCAGCCGCCACAACAAGCGCAAGATGCAGCCAACGAACCACCACAAACCGACCTGCTCTCGCTCCTATCCCAACTATCCCAACCAGCAGCACCCGCGCAACCCCAGTACCAACAACAGCATCCCACGTCAGCATTCAACAATGCCTTATCAACGCCAATGTCCTCCCTCCTTATCGAGCAAGTCAAACTGGAGTATCAGCGGAACGCAGCAGCAGCAGCACAACAACCACCACAGCAACAGGCGTATCAGCCATTTCAACAACAACCAGCCAGTTCAGGATATACCCAGTATCCTCAACAACAACCACAGTCATATTCGATGTTTAGCGGACAACAGCAACAATATCAACAACCACCGTCGGCGTCCGCGGGTGGTATCATATCCATGCTTCAGCAGATGTTGCAGCAGTCACAGTCACAGCAGCCGCAGTCGCAGGTGGGGTATAACCCGCCGCCAAATGGGATCGGAACGCCGCCTCAGTCGTCGTTGCTGAGTATGTGGATGCAGAGTGAGAAGGGGGCGGATGCGGGTGGGTCGGCGGTAGCTGCACTGCAACCGGCGACGACGACGGCAATGTATGCATCGTCAGGAGGGTTCAGCGGGTCATCGGAACCCAAATCGTCAACTCCCACTTCAACCGACACAATCCGCGCAGACACAGACATGGGCCACGTCGATTTCGGACCCGACGAGGGCCACGACACCACCGCCCAGCCATCGTCCTCCCCACCCAAACCGCGCCCACGCCTAGAAGGCCGCATGTCCGAAACAGGCAAACCCTCTCCCGCTGTCCTACACGCGTTGGCCGAGCTGAGCGAGGACGGCAAGATCTTCCAACTGATCAAAGAACTCCAGAAATCACAGGTAAGTAATAGAAGTCAATCCCATCTTCTCACATGCACATCACGTATCTCACGCCCTCCTTATATGTGATAGACGGAAAAAGAAACGCAACTCCTAAGCAAACGGCTAGCCCTCACCAAAAAAGCCGACAACGACCTCCTCGCCATGGACATCCTCGGCAACATCCCCGCCCACGAAAAGCGGCAGCGCGCGCAACGTTTGGAGGAGGAACTGGTCGTGTTTGATCGGATGATTATTAGGGAGATGGATGTTTTGAGGAGGGGGCAGCAGGGAGTTTTGGAGGAGGTGAGTGATGGGGAGTGAGGATGGAGAAGGGCTTGAGCGTGAGACTGATTTTTTTTTTTGGCAGGCGGGTGTACCGATGTATTATGTGACGGAGGACCCGGTGCAGATTGGGCAGCAGCAAAAGTTGTTGGAATTGTTGTTGAATATGGCGCCGGAATGAAGAACACACGGTTTCTTCATGGCATCCCGCGTCGCGCAGGGTGAGGATCGGGTGCGCGGCGGGCATACCGCTACTACCACCCCTCTCACAATTTCAACAGGCTGGGTTCCACCCGGTCCTGCTCTTATCGGGCCGGTCGTAAAATGCGTCAACAGACCCGGCTGCACTTAAAATGTCTAGCATCCTTGATGCGCCTCCTGAGGGATCGCCTGGACCAGCCACCAGGCGACAGAGCAGAACACCTCGCGAGAACCCGTGGGTGTGTCCCCCGTCAAGCCAGACAATTGGGGGGACGGGCCTGGCCCAATTTCACCCGTCAGATATCCTTCTCTAGGTCCGGGACGAATTGGTCACCGCTTGCTCTCCGACCCCCCCATCAACCAATCGTATCAATTTCTCCAAACGGTGTCTGCACATGCACCATCTGATTACACCCGAGATAGGATACCATTAGCGCCGTGTACATACATACATACATACATACATACATACAATATACCCACCCTCCTCATCATCGAACGCCGATACGATTTGCAGGGCGGAAGCGGCATACCATAGGAGTTTTTATGGATTTCGGTTCCTCAACAAGGGGACGTGGGAAGAAACCGGCCACATCGTGCTAATAATCGGTCCGTTTACAGACTTTCCGCATTGCACCTTCAGGATCAAGGGCCTCTGCAAACCGCCCACGTATCAAAGACGTCTTTATTGCAAGAATAGATAGTCTGGTCCGCACATCCGAAAGCCATGGCTGGGTCCGTCCCACAAAATGGAGCCATATGCAGGCCCCCCCCCCCCCCCCCCTCTTCCCCCCCCCCCCCCCCCCCAAAAAAAAAGGTACAGTCGGTGTAGATGTACGCCGCGCCAGGAGCCGGCCGCGCTAGACCTAGATCACACCTATGTCGCTGTGCGAAGGGCAATGATATCTACTACTCCAATTCGGCCCTCGTTCTTCCCCCTCTTTGATGGCCCTTGTCCCCAAAAACTAGAAGCCTCTGATCAGCGTCGGTTTTCGCGATGAAGCATGTCAACAGCGGAGGATCGCCCCATCGTCGGGGGTTCCGTCAGCAGGAGTACGAATGCCCTTGCCCCAATCGAGGCCAGAGGATCGGCATTTGTATCCCTCGCGCGGTCCGAACGTCAGAGACCGGGACTGGCATCCAAGTTTCATATCCACACATCGATTCATCAATCTCCCCTTCCGTCTCCACATCACCCCCTCCCCCCTGCCGCAGCGGCCCTCTCAACAACCTCACACGTATCCCTCAAATCCCTCTCCACCGCGCCCGCCCAGCTCCCGATATCGCCCAACTCCTTCAACGCGTCATTGAACTCCCCCACGATCGCGATCCACGCCCGCGTCTGCCGCTCATAGGTCCCGATGGCGGCCGCGAGGCGTTTGGACTCGGCTTCGATGTCGCGTTCGGTTTTGAAGGCGAGGGCGATGCGGAGATTTAGCGAGTCCGCGAGGGAATCGGTTAGGTGGGTTGTGGAAGTCGTGGCGTCTTTATGGAGGTGGTCTAAGGGGAGGAGGGGTGTGAGAGGGGGGGTGGGGCGAGGCATGCGGATGGGGAGGGGGAGGGGGGGTTACCGGTGGTGAGCTTGTCGGCGGCTTGCTTTTGGTGGTGCTCACGGGCTATCCGGGCGAACATGGTGGCGGGTTTATGGGTCTTGACACTCGAGGGTGAGCAGTAGTGCGAAGGTGATTACGGTGGCCAACGAAGGAAGATGGTGCTGTGTGATGTGTGTTGTGTGATGAGCACGAGAAGTGTGAATCCGCGTGGGTTGCGGCCATCTTGCTCTCCACCACTCTCCATCTCTATCCAACTTCCACCCCGGCGCTCCCACCCACTCATCCCCAACCTCCAAACAGCATCGGCATCTACCGCCACCACATTCAGAATACACACAGAGAACCGTCCTCGGCCTCGCGCCCTAAATCGGCAACCATGACAGTCCACCCGTACCCCACGCACCCACAAACAACAGAACACCTCGCCCACCCGTCCTCTCTCGCCGCCGACTCCCCACCCTACATCGCCCATGCGCACTCTCTCGCCCAACCCTACGCCGGCCGCTTTGGCACTCCGCCGCCGGCCTCGGGCTACGGCACCCCGCCGCCGATGATGACTCCCGCGCCAGAGGGATCGTACCCATCACACCCTCACGACCCGAACCAACAATACCAGCAACAACAGCAATACCAGCAGCAACAACACCTCCCACAACAGCCCTACGCCCCATCCCACCCCGCCGGCCCACCACAACAAGCGTACTCCGCCTACCCCGCCCATCTCCGCAACACGCCCCCACCCGCCGGCAACTACCAAGGCCACGTCGCCGGCCTAAACGGGTGGAACGATATCCCCTCCCACCTGCTCTCTGGGATCGCGGGGAAGAAGAAGGGCGGGCCGGGGAGTGTCGGGACAGGGTCGGGCGCGGGGAGCGGGACCGCGACGCCTGTTCCTGCTGCTGCAGCTGCCGGCGGAGTGAATCCGAGTGTGGGCGATCCCAAGGCCTATGTGGTGAGGATCTTTACGGCGGAATTGGATCGGGCCAAGGGGGTTGTTGATGTGAGTATATATATGCACCTCTGGGATGGTGGAGAGGGCTAGATGGGGTTGATTGGGCTGACTTTTTACGTTATGTGCTTGAAAGGCATCACAACGCCGCATTTTGGAAGACTCGACTAAACGCATGGAGAACCTGTACGAGCGTATCAGTTCAGACCAGATCGCACCGCATAATCTGACCCTCACAGTTGAGCTCGCCACCGGTAAGAGGTCGCCCACCCTTCCTTTAACTCTCCCTGTCTTTTTGTTTCTCGCTCACATCCCTCATTTGCCACACGCAGCATTGACGAACCGCGACTACACCTCCGCGACCGCCCTCGTCACCTCGCTCATGACCACCGCGTTCGAGCAGGAGGGGAAATGGGTGCTGGGCGCCAAACGGCTCGTGGAGATTTTGCAGAGGGTTCACTAGCGGGACCACTCTCGCACTACCTGGGGGCAGGGTATCTGGGGGCGTGAGGAGAGTGCTTGTGGCATGAGGCAATTTGGGAAAGGAGGGAAGTGGATATGGGCCTCTTTCCGTAGCCTTTCCTTGCGATGTAGCATCGAATCGATCACGTGAGCGAGCGTGACGCGCCCGATTCCTGAATATAATCGCGTGGAGCATTCACCCCAGTTTCCTTTCCTCGTTTTGTGTGCAAGCGAGGCCCATTGGAAAGCCAACGTCCGACTCTTGCCGCATTTCTGAAGGTTTCGAAGAAGGACCTCGGGAAATTACTCAGTCTCTGTAATACGAGGGCCGCTACTGTTTCATAGCTCATTAGCTTAACCCGACTTTAGAGAGCCCCTCTAACTCCACCAGTATCGAAAACCTGAAACTAGAAAACCGTCGCAGAAATGGGAAGTCGAGGCCGTCAAGCCAAGAAACAACAGCGGGGCCCTGCAGCCCTGAGCGAAAACACAGTCGCCCGCATCCAAGGCGTGCCTGTCGGCGGCAACAAGGACGGCGGAAAGAAAGGCGGGAAAAAGGGAGGCAAGAAGAATGCCAACAACAAGCCATTTGGGAAGCAGTCACCCTCCGCGGCGAACGGAAAGAAGGGCAAGCGACAGGCGGAGGAGGAGGAGGAGGCTGTGAGTGAAGAGGAGGTTCTTGAAGCGCCGTCGACGAAGAAGTTGAAGGGCGCGAATGGGAAGGCGACTACTACGGCGAAGGCGGCGCCTGTTGAGGAGGAGGGAAGTGACGTGGAGAATGAGGAGGTTTATGATAGTGCCGCTGGGTCTGATAGCGAGGAGGTTGGAGAGGATCTGTGGGATGGTGCGGAGTTGGATGATGATGACAATGAGGGCATGATGGTGGGTATTTTCGACTTCTCGTCGTGTGGGCCTGCTGTCGCGCACAAGGGACTCACTTCAGATTTGGCTTTCTTTTTGCAGGATGATGAGTTCGATGGCATGTCAGACGATGACGAGGAGGGCGAAAAGGGCGAGCCTGTAGCCATGGCATTCGGGTCTGACGACGACAGCGACGCGGATGAAGAAGAGCTGGAGGTCGAAAAGGAGGCACGGATGCTCGACGCGCAAGCCGCCGAGGACGCACGCATGGGCGACGAAGAAATGCAAACCAACATCGCCCAGCGCGAGAAATTCGTGCTGCCGTCCGGTCAGGAGGTCGAGCGCGACACCCAGGTTACCGAGGACGTCTCCCTCGTGCAAACGCGTATCCAGGAAATCATCCGTGTGCTCAACAACTTCAAGGAACTGCGCGACCCCGAGCGCTCGCGAGCGGAATACGTCGACCAGCTGATTAAGGATCTCGCCACCTACTACGGGTACAACGATTTCCTGCTGGAGAAGCTGTTCCACCTGTTCCCCATCTCCGAAGCCATCGAGTTCTTCGAGGCCAACGAGGTGCCCCGCCCCGTGGTCATCCGCACCAACACCCTCAAGACCCGCCGCAGAGATCTGGCGCAGGCGCTGATCAACCGCGGCGTCAACCTCGAGGCAGTCGGCAAGTGGTCCAAAGTCGGTCTGCAGATATTCGACTCTTCAGTCCCTATCGGAGCCACGCCCGAATACCTTGCCGGCCACTACATGCTGCAAGCCGCCTCCTCCTTCCTCCCCGTCATGTCCCTCGCCCCGCAAGAACACGAACGCATCCTCGACATGTGCGCGGCTCCGGGAGGCAAAACCACCTACATCGCCGCCCTCCAGAAAAACACCGGCTGCCTCTTCGCCAACGACGCCAACAAGGACCGCCTCAAATCCCTTATCGCAAACTGCCATCGCCTTGGCGTCAAAAACACCGTCGTCTCCCACCACGACGGCCGCGAGTTCCCGCACGTAATCGGCGGGTTCGACCGTATCCTCCTCGACGCGCCCTGCTCCGGCACGGGAGTCATCTCCAAGGACCCCTCCGTCAAAATCAACAAATCAGACGAAGATTTCCGCCTCCTCACCCACATCCAGAAAGAACTCATCCTCGCCGCCATTGACTCCATCGACGCCACATCAAAGACGGGCGGATACCTCGTCTACTCCACCTGTTCCGTCACAGTCGAGGAGAACGAGGAAGTTGTGGAATATGCCCTGAAGAAACGGCCCAATGTGAAACTCGTACCCTCCAGCCTCGATTTCGGACGCGAGGGGTTCACCTCCTTCCGCGGAAAAACGTTCCACCAGTCTATGAACCTCACGAGGAGGTACTACCCGCACACGCAGAACATGGACGGGTTCTTTGTCGCGAAATTGAAGAAGACGTCGAATAAGTTCCCCGGGATGAAGAGCATGGACCCGAAGAAGATTGCAGAGGATAAGGCGGCGGCAGCTGCTGCCGCGGCGGCTGCCACGGATGCTGACGGGTCTGAGAAGCAACGGAAGGGGAAGAAGACGGTAGCTGCTTCGACTGCGGAAAGTCTGGCGTTTGATGAGACGGAGGACGTGCAGTATATCAGGCAAGCCGAGATCAGGCGGTTGAAATCCAAGGGGATCAAAGTCTCGTCTGCATCATCCACCCCGGTCTCTGTCGAGGCTGCCACTCCTGCCCCTGCACCAACAACAAAAGACGACGCATCAACAACAACACCACCACCAGCCCCAACAACCCGCGCATCCCGCCAAGCCGCCAAAAAAGCCGCCCTGGAACGCCTCAAAGCCGGACAGGAGATCGAGGTGGATGTGTCGGATGTCGGGAAGGTTGTTGATCCGAACCAGGCGCCGAAGAGTAGGAGTCAGAGTAGGAAGGAGTGGGCGGGGAAGAGGAAGAGGGGTGGGCAGTAGAGAGGGTGGCGTGGCGGGAGTTTGTGAAGAGCGTAGGAGGTGGGGGAAGACCGAGGAGGATAGCATTTGTAGGCGTTGTGAGCCCCCCTCGAGGTTGTTATTTATTTTTGTTGCATATCATTATCATAACATCATCGGACTATGGACGGTCGCCCACACGAATGGATGTTTGCTACGTCGCCTTCCCCACCCTCGAATTAAAAAAGGAAAGGAAAGGAAGAAGCACCGGCAAGGGACGCTCCCACACAACCCACCCTACCGCCGCATCCATTCTCACTCTTCCCAACTCACACCCGCATAAAACCTAACAACCCCATCCCTCCCCGCCGCAACCACCTCCGTCTCCTCCGCCCCGCCTGCCGCTACATCAAACGCATACAGCGGGTCAACGTCCGCGCCAACATACTCGGTCACGATCCGCGGCGGGAGGGCGCCGGAACCCGTGAGTGGGATGGAGAGGGTTGAGAGGGTGCCGTCGCCTGTGTTTGTTTATAATCACCGAGAGGGTGCGTGTATGAAATGCGATGAGTGCGACGGATGTGAGAACGCAAACGGGAGAGGGGATCACACCCCCCACTTACCTGTAGCGACGACAAGCACGATTTCGTCCGAGGGTATCGACGACGACGACGGGGGCCCCAGGATCCGCACATGCGTGATCGCCGCCTCGTTGCGTTTGAAGGCTGTTATGGGTGTGCTGTCATGCAATACAAGGCGATCAATCACGCGTCACGTGTGAAGACCGTGAGGCGGAATCATTTTTTCTCACCTAGGTTCCCGCACATCCCAAACCACGACAACGCCGTCCGCGGCGCCTGCTGCGACACAGTGGGTTTCGGGGGAGTAGTGTACGGATGTTAGGGATGCGGAGGTTGGGGAATGGGCGGAGAAGATCAGGAAGCGGGTGCGGAGGTTGTAGCCCTGATGGGATGGGCGGGGTGAGACGAGGGGAGAGAGGAATGTGTGGGGCAAAGGACTTACGAGCAGGCTTCCGTTCTCAGTCACTGCAAAGAGGAGCTTGTTGTCTGTTCCCGTCTCTGCTGGGTCGATCTCTGCACCGCCCACACCATCCACCACCTCCCCATCCGCGTTCACCACCTCCACCCCCAGCGACATCTGATTGATCCCGCCCGCTCCCGGTGCGATTTTGGCGAGGACGCGCGCGGATCCGCAGTCCCAGAGGCGGATTGTGCCGTCCTGTGAGGATGCTTTGATGAAGGGGGTGTAATTCGGTGGGATGTTACGTGAGTCCCCAGGTGGCAAAACAGGGACCACTGTTCCGTGCAAACTCACTTAGAATGTTGCGGCCTCGCTCGACGATCGCCGTGTCCGTGATTCCTTATGATTGGCGGGAGCGAGAAACAAAGAGGAATCAGCACTCCTAATGACGGATGCCCCCGTGCCCCTAGGCCGTTTTCCATTCCAACCACCCACATCCCAAACTCGAGTACTCACGTCCCCCATGCCCCTCCAGCACCGCCGCACACGCCCCATCCATTCCCCAAATCCTAACGCGCATATCCATCGCCCCGCTCAAAACGACTACCCCGCTAGGAAAGAACCTCGCACTCGTCACATCCCCCACATGCCCCTTTAACTCCCTCCTCAACGTCCCGTCCGCCGCATCAACTATCTGGAGACGCCCGTCGGTAGAGCCGAGGAGGAGGTGGCTGCGCGTGGGGGAGATGGATAATGTTGTTGTCTGATTTGCGTTTGGCGTTAATATGCTCGGGGGGTCGTTGTTGCAAATTGCTTCGATGACATCTCCACGTACCGGTGTGAGCCCTTCGTACTGCCGCACAGGCGCCAGGAACAGCGTGCGTGTCCCGTCGGGATGGAGAAGCCAAAATGAAGTCTGCGCGCCCGAAAGTACACATAAGTATCATCACTTCCATCTCATTTTCCTCGTCATTTCCTCCTTACAAACCTCACCCCGCCCTTCAACCTGCACACCCTCGACATCCACCTCCAACCCACCCCCGGCGCGTGGCGTGATCTTGGCATGCACGCTGTCCTTCCCATCATAATTATAGAGAGAAAGCCAAAAAGGTTGCGGGGGCTGGGAAGAGGGGTGGTAAGCGGCGTGCAGGTCGGTGGCAAAGTCGGGTTGGGTCGTTAGGTGGGGGATGCGGTGGATTTGCGGAGTGGTTGATAGGGTGGGGAGGATGGAGGATGTGGATGGCATTTTGTTACGTTTTGGGAAGGGGAAGGGAGGGAGTTTTGCGCCAGGATGGTGAACCGGGATGTGTATGGCTTAGTTGATTGTCGAGAAACCACCTGTTTATACACTTTGCACACAGGTTGGCAATATTGTGTGTGGTGAGATCTCATGTGGGTTGGCGATGTTGCAAGATTCCGGAGATTCCGGTCCGCGTCGAATGGGGCCCGAAAGTAGGAATCAAGTACATGTAGGAATCAGCGAGGGAATGGGAAGTGACCGACGATCAACCATGCCAGAAGACGACACCCCCAACCCTCCTCCATCACCCTCCGCTGTCCCAGCATCCCTGCTGTCCACCCCGTCCAGCAGCCCACCCGCGACCAAGGCCTCCGCCGCAACCCCGACCCAACCATCACAACAACGACAACAACAATCGGCCGCGGCAAATCCCTCGCCACCGCCGTTCGCATTAACACCCACACAACGTGAAAAGATAAAAGAAGAACTGCTCGCTCGCCAGAAAGCCGCTGCCGCCGCTCTGCCTCCGGCTCCCCTTCCGCCCACACCGCTCCCTCAAGTTTCGTCCCAATCGCAAACACAATCACCGCCGGCCGCAAATCGAGAAGACGCAATAACCCAAGCCATAAACTTCCTAACCTCCCCATCCGTGCGTGACGCATCATGGGAAAGCAAAGCGGCGTTTTTGCGAGGAAAGGGCATGAGTGAGGGGGAGATTGGGGTTGCCGTTAACCGGGCCGGTGTTGCGGTGGATTCATACGGACGTCCCGCCCAAATACCGCACATGTCCGCGATACAGCACCGCGGGAGGAGTTGGGCGGAAGTGGCAAAGAATGTGCTTTTGGTGGTGTTGTTGAGTGGGGGCGCTGCGATTGGGGTTGCGAGGATCGTCAAGGTGAGTTGGAGGAATAAAGGACACATGGGGGTGGATAGCCGGGCGGGGATGACAAAACTTAACGCTGAGTTCGCCTTAGCACTACCTCCTCCCAACCTACACCCGTTTCCAAACGACGTACGCGGAGTTCCAGCACCAACGGCAGACGATGATCACCGCTTTTCTAGAGAAGTTTGTCGCTTTTGCTGGCCTATACACAACACCTGCGGCTCCTACCTTGCCTTCACCACCACCTGCATCCGAGCCGGACTCCGAACCTACATTGGCAGACCTGCTCACCAAAGCCGACCCCACAACCACCCTCGCATCCACAATCCGCACCCACATAACCAAGACTACAGCATCCCTCTCCCGCCTGCAATCCACCCTCACCCTCCTCTCCCCCCGGACCGATCCCTCCGCTTCTCCAACGCCACTCGAATCCCTCCGCGCATCCACCCGCGCCCTCGCGCAAGACATCACAACCGAAATCCATGTCCCGCCGGGGATGGCCGGGTTTTACGCGTTTGGAGGAGGAATGGGAGGGGCGGGGGAGGCGACGGCGAGGTTAACGAAGGCGGTGGCGGATACGAAGAGCGAGATCAGGGGGTTGAAGGGGATGGCGTTGAATCGTCGGAATTTTGTCGCGTGAATGGGGGGGGGGGGGGGGGGGGGGGGGGTGGGTGACAGCCCGTGCGTGGTGGGCCCGGGTGGGTGAGTCCTCACCAAGTGTGTGCATGTGTAGTGCGAGGTGTAGTCTAGGTTTGACCCAGAATTGTATTGTAGAATAGATTCCATGCACCGCGAAAAACGCCGGGGAGTGCAGGTTTTGCCAGGCACATGACGAGACCGCATCTCGTCATAGATGCCCTTGATGCCTGCGGATGTGATGTTAATCCCCCCTCCGTCCCTGACCTGACCCTTTTGAACTAAAACACCTCCTGTGCGCTTCTCGGCGCGGCACCCGCGTCCCATGGGAGAGCGGTTGTCAACCAGAGCATTACAGCAACCGATGTCCCCAAACAGTCGGCGGGGTTGACTTACACCCCACAACTTTGGGAGCAGGTCCAATCTTTGTCCGGACCTATATCGGCCAACGCGCACGACATCGCCATCGCTCTCCGGCAGCTTCCGTCGTGGAAAGCCCACGTTGATGCTTCCAAGGGCGCAATCCATGGGCGCCGACGATATGTCCCTACCCCATTTCTCCGTTGTCCATATGTTCCAGTAGAGACTTGCGGCCAGTGTATGCGCTTGAGTTGTCCGCGTCCGATGTGTTCGACGAGACGGGAGGGGGTCATCGGGTCCACGCTTTCCCTTTTTTTTTGAGAGGAGGACAGCTTTGACGGTCCGCTATGGCTGGGATCCCTTGGATGGTGTGCTCGCGATTCGGGGGGTAGATGTAGGAGACCGGCGAGAATGGGGTGCTGGTGTCCTCAGGGCATGACCGCTTGTGCGGTCTCCGGGCTCCGCATACTGCGACGAATGGCAGCGTCCAACACGTGCGCCCGATCGGGCCGTATGCGTCTCTGCCGCAACACCCACAGGTAATGGTTCCCGCCCTTCAACAGATGGTCGCGGATGTCGATGCTATCCCCCGACGGGAGGGTCGCAAACGTGTGCGGGGTGTATATGTGCTGGGATGCGAACGCGTCCGGGGGCACGTAGCGACGCGGGAGGCTGACTTTCACGGGGGCTGCGTCGGGGGCGCCGTCTGCTGGGACGCAGGGATCGAGACCCGGGAGGTGGATGTAGGGGATGTCCACCGGGTGTGGGTGTAACCGTTTATCCACCCGGAACACGCCCGTGGTGTAGACCCCCGCCTCCGTCCCGCCACCGGCATCCACCCTCACCCCCGCGTCCAAGGTGTGATCATCAACAGGGGGATCCGCGTCGTGGAGTGTATGCCAGTCGTACGCCCTCACGCGTTTCGGGGGGTCAGCGAAATAACAGTCCGGGTCGGAGCGGCGGAAGAGGTCGATGATGTTGAGGTAGGTGTCGTCGGCGGTGGAGAGGAGGGTGTGGGCGGTGCGGGAGGATTGAGCGAGGGATTGATGTATCGACGACGACGTTGTGGGGGTGGGTTTGTGGCGGGTGGATGATGTCGTTGGGCGTTTGGGGGTAGGTAGACTCGGCGAGAAGCGGATGGAGGAGGCGGGGTGAGACAATTTGGTCGCTGGCGGGTGGTTATGCGTCGTTGGCGGATGAACCTTGGTCGTCGACAACGATCGCGGAAGGACTAGCGTCCCGCTCTCCTTTCCCACCACCTCACCCCTCTTTCCACTCCCCACCCCTCTCGAGTTGTTGCGGGTCGTCGAATCTCTCCCAAGATGCTCCCTCACATCCAAGGCGTTGTTGTCATCCTGTTCACATATCGGCCGCAATTCCACCAACGGGTCTCTGACACGTTTCTTCCTGGCCTGTTGGAGGGACGTGATGAGCGATGCTGTTTTGCGGCGGAGAGAGGTTATTTCGTCGGTGTGGGATGACATTGTTTTTGCGTGAGACGAAAAAGTTGGTGATGGAAGTGGAGAGGACTGGGTGGTGAATATTCGGTTGGAGGGTGAGGAAACGCGTTCGTTGCGCGTCCTTTTCCCTTCCGATTCATTCCCACTCTGTTCCTCACATACTGTATGTCCCCGATACGTCCCTTCCGGGGGTTGGCACCACCTCATATTCAACGCTGCTCTTGCGTTCGTCTGCTCACAGCTAGGCTCTTGAGACCACCAGGCTTCAGGGAGTCTCATCAACGCCTCGCCCCTGCGAATTCACCGCTGACTCCCTCCGACGACGTAGCCAAGTCCGAGCGTAAACGATAAACCAGTTTCCATTCCCTCCTTTCCACGTAACAAAAAAAAACTTGGGGACATTAAACAGGTTTATACTTCCATGCTCTTGCTGAATAATCATTAGGCGGGGTGGGATGGACAATAAGGATATTGGTTGTGTTTCGTCTAGACTAGGTGATACCTAGTGTTATGTGGGGGTTGCAGGGGTGGGGCTGGATGTGTGCGTGCGGTGGGTTTCATCTCAACGCTTGCGGGGGTGGTATGCGAATTCCGAGGTATGATGACTCGAGCGTTTTTTTTTTATTGAAGCTGCAAATAATTCGACGGCGCAATCCCGACCGTACCGTCGGATTTCCGGACCTGCCACCATTTGCCTTGGTTGTTGACAATGTCGAATTGGTCGCCTTTTACAAAGGAGAGTTCTGAGGGGTCTTCTGGGTTTGCTTCGTCTGGAATTTGTGGATGAGATGGGAGGGTGAGTGAAATAGAGAAACGGGAACGAAGAGACAAGACGGGCTCGTCTCGCTCGCAAGAGCCCCCAGCACCCCTCGCTCTCCTCCGACTCACATGGAAACAAGGCAACAGCCTTCTGATTCTGCGCCCCAGCCCCCGCCGCGACGATGCCGCCCACAGGCATAGCCGGCAACTTCGATTCCCTATTCCCTCCATTCACCGCCGTCGCACCAGACAAATTCGTCGTCGAATCAACCGCATACGGCGCCGGCCCACTCTGATTTCCCGCCGGCTGGCCTCCATTGACATTCCTAAACGACGGCAACCGCAACGTGCCCTCCCTGTTGACCAGCGTGTTGACCGCGGCTTCTTCCGAAGATCCGAAGAAGATGATCCAGGGGAGGATGGCGAAGGAGAGGAAGAAGAGGCCGGCGGAGGTGAGGCGCACGCCGTCGCGTAGTTTGTGGGGGAGGATGGGGTTGGTTTCGTGAAGGGTCACGTTGAGGTCGTCGGAGATGTAGACGAAGGAGATGGCGAGTAATGCTACCAGCTACAAAAAAGGGAGGGTGGGATGAGTGTGTGTGTGCGTGTGTTCGAGTCCGCGAAGCGATTGATGAGGGATGGATGATGGACGATTGAATGATTGAAGTCATGGGTGGGTAGGCTCGCTAAGAGCCGTGGCTAGGGCTCCTGCGCCTTTTGCGCAATGAACTCGCTCCGCGTGGGCTCGCCATCGCTTTGCTAGGGCTCGCCTGCCTCAAAGCATTCCTGCGCCTCGCTTCGCTCGTCGCGTACTCCCTCCATTCCCGTACACCCACCCCACCGCTCGGGTACCTACACAAGTACGATAATTGAGCACACTCCCCGTGACAACACTCGTAATGACGGCGACAATGGTGAAAAAGACGAAAAACAGATGAAACCAGAGCCCTGAGATTCCTCCGGCATCTGACTCAATCACACACAGACCGATGAATGTGAGGAGCCAGCCGAGCTAACATGAACAGTTAGAATACATCAGTGTGTTTCGCAGTGTAGCTGTGTGGGTTTGCAAAGGGAGTTATGTGGTGGACATACCACAGCGAAAGCGACAGTGAGCAGGAACTTGATGTCCCTTGTTATGGCGGACAGGTTGACCATTGTTGCGGTAGTTGTTGCGGTAGTTGCTGTGTGGTTTGCGGCTGAGGGTAGTGGTGGGAAAAGGCGGAGTGTGGGGGTGGTTGTAGTTGGGAAGCCTCGTTGGGAAGCAAGGGGGGGAAGTGAAGCTTGTTTCTTTGTTGGGCTTCTGGGAAGGAGAAGAAGGAGAGGGCGAGGGCCGCAAGAGGGGAGAGGTCCGCGTGACTCACAGCAAGTAGTCTCTCAAGTCTCGCGCGCGTGTGAGGCACTGAGAGGGACCGACTGTGAGGGACTGTGAGGGAGGGAGGCTTGTTCGCGGGTTCATCAAGAATCAACACCCGTTGGACTTGCGGGACTCCCTCGGAAACCACCCCCCCCCCCCCCACTACCGTCATGAGCGCCCCAGCACGGAAACACACCTCCCCCATACCCGACGCCCAACCTCCAGAACCACCACCACAACCCGCTGCTCAACAGCCATGCACAGTCTGCCAAAACAACGCCCGCTTCATGTGTCCGCACTGCGGGCCTGCCTGTCGGTACTGCTCGCACGCGTGTCAGGCGAGGGACTGGGAGCTGCATAAGGCCGTGTGTTTGGGGAACGTCAACGGGAAGCGGGGCGGGAGTGCTGGGAGATCATCATCGGTGGTGGCGGCGGCGGCGGCGGCGGCGGCTGGTACGGCCACGACGAATGTGCTGCATTCAACGGTCGTTGTGCCGATTGAGACCACGGCCGTCGCGGGAACCCCGTCCGCTAGTGATGCTACAGCTTCTGCGACAGCACCGCCGCCGATGACGCGGTCGACGGGATCGTTGAGGGAGAGACATGGCGCCAGGCGGAGGAGACAGGTTAGAGGGCGTGGAAATGCCGCGCAGGTCATCAACTCTGATAGTACGTATGTGTTTGTGGGTTGGGAGAGAAAGAGAGTGGAACGAATGCTGGAAGGGGGCCGAGGGATAGCGATGCCATGGATTTGCTCCCGGGAGTCCGAGAGAAGCGAGCGGCGAGCGGAGCGATACTTTGCTCACTGCGGCTCTTAGCGAGCAGCAGCGACCGCTCCGCCCACCGCTCGCTCGCTCCGATACCGCTGCCTATACGCCATTTTCCGGATGGGGACGGACGCTTTCGATTCCCAGCCACCTCCATCAAAAATCACACTACTAAGCCACTATGTCTCCCTCCCCCACAGCCCAACTCATATCCCGCATCAAATCCTTCTTCAAATCCACCACCCGTCCCGCCACCACCTCCGTACGTCCCCCCCATCCCTTCGAATCCCTGCCCTTCCCTTCCCTCCCCCCTCACTCACCCCACCCCTATCCCAACAGCCTGCCTCCACCATCGACCTCGCCACCACGCCCGTCGTGCTATCACCACCTGCACCACCACCACCACCACCACCACAAGAAGAAGAAGAATTAACAGAAGAAGAAAAAGCGGCTGATTTGAAATTCTACATGGAGCAGATTTATTTATTGATCAAGCCTGTCATCTGCTGCATGGTGTTGAGTATCATGTGGGTTAAGTTGACGACTGCCGTGGAGCCAAACTTCGATACTGGGTATGCATGGCGTTGCCCCTCCCTCAACCCAGAATTTCTGGATCGTGTAACTGACGGTGTTTTCAGAATCGTGGCATCAGCAGGCGGAGGAGGCGGAGGAGGAGGAGGAGGAGGAGGAGGAGGGGGAACCCCCGACCTCGGCTTCTCATCCACCGACTCTGGCCCCGCTTTCTTATCCGCACTCGGTATCCTCGGCCAAATCGTCGGGGCGACCATCGTCATCGTGGTGCTTTTTTATTTCAACTGCATGAAGGTGATAAAAAAAAAAAGATTCACGCCCCCATCGCCATGCTCCAGTTCACCAACATCCCCCCCCGATGACGCTTTTCCTAGATCCTCTACGCGTTCTTCACCCTCGTCATCCTCGCCCTCATCGGGACCTTCAGCTACACCCTCTCCTCCGAGCTATTATCGGTGCACAACCTCCCCCTCGACCAGATAACATTCTGGTTCTTCATCTGGAATCTGACGATCGTGGGGGTGCTGATGATCTTTGGGCGCGGGCCGCTGAGGGTGCAGCAGGGGTATCTGGTCGGGATTAGTAGTATGATGGTGAGTGCGGGAGGGTGTGGCCAGGAACTCAGGGGGTGGATGTTGATTTCTAAGAGGGAATCTAGGCGTATACGTTGACGAAGATACCTGCGCTGACGACATGGATCCTGCTCGGCTTGCTAGCCATCTGGGGTACGTAAACGAAAAACCCCCATCCCCTCTGAAAAAGAAAATTCACACACAGCTAAACAAACAATCACACACAAACAATAGATTTGATAGCAGTCCTCTGCCCGTTCGGCCCCCTCCGGATCCTCGTCGAGACCGCGCAGACGCAGGACCGCGAGATCCCCGCGTTGCTGTACAGCGTGATGGTGTGGATGACCATGGCGGGGCCGGGTGTGCCGCCTTCGTTGAGGGTCTCGCCTGCGGAGCCGAGAGAGGTGGTCAGTCCGCCGATCTCGCCCACCGCGACCGGTATGATGACCACGACCACGGCGAACAACCGCCGCCCCAGCGTCGCGATCAGCATGGCCTCCTCGGCGGCGATGGACCCCGCGGGCGAGTACGGCGACGCGGCGAGCCTGATCACGCCGCGCGGGGTGGCCCGCCCCGAGACGATCGAGATGACCGCCCTGCCGCCCAGTAGGGGGTTGGAGAGGGACGCGGAGGAGGAGGAGGAGGAGGATGAGGATGAGGAAGCGGTCCGAGGCGGGTTGAAGTTGGGACTGGGCGATTTCGTGTTTTATAGCGTCCTTGTCGCTCGCGCAGGTAAAACACATGTCCATCCCCGACGTCTGCCCCCCCCCCCCCCCCCCCCTCCCCGTCGAATCTAACCCCCGTTCCCGTGTTTTTTCACAGCCCTCTTCGACCCCCTGACGACACTCACCTCGACCCTCGCGGTCCTCACCGGCCTCAACATGACCATCTTCCTCCTCGCGCTGTACCAAAAAGCGCTACCCGCACTGCCGATTAGTATTGCGTTTGGGATCTTGTTTTATTTTGTGAGCGCGGTGACGCTGGTGGGGTTTGTGGGCGGGTTGCTGAGGGTGGGTGCGAGGGTGCGTGCGGAGGGGCAGGATGGTTGGCTGTGGGTGGGGAGGGGGGGCGGTGGGGGCATGGTTTTTGTGTGAGGAATGAATGGGTGGGAGGTTTTTTTTTTTGGGATATTGTTATTTAGATGTAGACGCATTTCTGGCTTCACTATACATACATACAGACATGATATAGCGTGCAGTTTACGACAGGCAATACGAGGTGGATGTGACATGTTGCGAGGGATCCAGAAAAGACGATTCTCCGTCCCAACTTCGATCCGCCCCCTCGATTGTGATTCTGTTTTAAAAAAAAAATTTCATTTGGTGGGGATTGAAGGGAATGGGGACGGTGGGATCTGGCTTTAGTTTGTATATTGTGCACCTTTTTCGGGCGCACTGGATGGATTTGATGAAGGTCCCAAAACATGTACTGTATTTCAAGGGACCAAACTGTCGAAACCAGACATTATTCGCCGTCCCCTCTCACCCCCCCCCCCCCCCCCCCCCCGCCGCCATCAACTCACCTCCTCGACTCTTGGCAATCTGTCTGGGAACTCGGTGGAACTACAGTGGAGCGGAAAGAACAACAACTAGCACTACCACCACATCCGTATTCAAGCGCTCTACTCATCCCTCCCTGCCAACACTCACACAAAGTCCCACCCACACGCCACACCCCCCAAGATGAGCTACTACGATCCCGATTCCCACCGCCACGGCTACACCAGCAGCAGCTACCCCACCACCCCCTCGTCCTCATACTACCCCTCCAGCAACGGCTACAGCCAGTCTTCCTCCTACTCCTACCCGACCCGCACAGATAAGATGTCCCAGCTTGGAGCCAACCTTGTGAAGATCGACTGGGCGCGCGAGCAGGTGCCGCGGTTTGAGAAGAATTTTTATGTGCAGAGTGCTGTTGTGAAGGGGAGAAGTGAGGGGGAGGTGGAGGCTTTTAGGAGGAAATGGGCGATTACTGTTGATGGGTAGGTTGTATTGCGTTGGGAGTTGTGGGAGGACGGCGACCGTGTGCGAGTGAATAGCGGTTTTCTCGCCCAATATGCTTGTGGCGAGCGAAGAGTCTTCGCTAATAGACACCTTTCCTACAGCCCCAAGCCCATCCCCAGGCCCATCGAAAAGTTTCAGGAAGCCAACTTCCCATCCTACGTGTTGAAAGAGATCCTAGGCGCGGGGTTCACAAAGCCCACCCCGATCCAGTCGCAAGGTTGGCCCATGGCCCTAAGCGGCCGAGATCTCGTCGGCATCGCAGAAACCGGATCCGGCAAGACGCTCGCCTACATCCTACCCGCCATCGTGCATATCAACGCCCAACCGCTCCTCCGACCCGGCGAAGGCCCCATCGTGCTCCTCCTGGCCCCGACGCGCGAACTCGCGGGGCAGATCAAAGAGGAGTGCGACAAATTCGGGTCGTCCTCGAAGCTCAAGAATGTGTGCTTGTATGGTGGTGCGCCGCGTCAGAAGCAGATCAATGCGTTGCGCGGTGGGGTGGAGATCTGTATTGCTACACCCGGTCGATTGATTGATCTGGTGGAATCCGGCTACACGAATTTGAAGAGGATAACTTATTTGGTGATGGATGAGGCCGATCGGATGTTGGATATGGGGTTCGAGCCCCAGATTCGCAAGATTGTTGATCAGGTGCGTTCTCGTCCCCCCCCGAAGTTCACAGATCTACCACTTCCAAGATTTATAACTGATGGCATGCAAACACAAACAGATAAGGCCAGACCGCCAAACGCTGATGTGGTCCGCAACCTGGCCCAAAGAAGTGCAGAACCTCGCTCATGACTATTTGAAGGATTACTTGCAAGTCAACGTCGGGTCGTTGTCGCTTTCAGCCAGTCATAATGTGCGACAACTCTTCGAAGTTTGCACCAACTACGAAAAGCGACCCAAGTATGGGCATCATACCATCTCAATCCAATATTTCTCTCCCTTTCGTCGCTCACACAACATGTCCCTATTTCCCACACAGACTCCTCAGAATCCTTGGCACCCCCCACCAAGCCCATCACACCAAAGTGCTTGTCTTCACCAGCACAAAACGCATGGCAGACGAAGTCAACGATTACCTGCAACAGTCCGGTTACCGCTCCCTCGCGATCCATGGGGATAAAGGCCAGAACGAACGGGATTGGACCATGGATCAGTTCAAGAAGGGGAGCTGTGCTGTGCTTGTTGCGACGGATGTTGCGGCGAGGGGGTTGGGTGAGTTTGGCGCCAGTGATGTGTTTCTTTTGTCTTTTGGGGGGTTCGGGAGGATTCGAGAGTCGGCGTGGGGTCAGGACGACAGTAGAGATCCTCTCTGAACCTCCGAACAGCGAAGGGGAGGCATTCGTCCCCGCTCACTCCGAGTGCGGTTTAGCTGCTTCGCATGCTTCATCCACTGAGTTTGCCACCCCACCCCCCTATTATGCGACCCCTACTATCCCACCATCCTTCCCCATGGGCACATTATTCCCTCCCCGCGCTTCACATCAACGCCATGTCTACTCCCCGCCGCATCTCGGGCCGGCGGTATGCATGCGAGGAAAACAGCATCTGCGATGCACATATGTCCTCGCCCATCTTGTGAAACCTTCCGCGATCGACTGGGGATCCACGCACTCGAGGCTTTTATTAGCCCAGGTGTGTTTTTTCTTTACCCCTTTTCGTGTCCCGGTTGGTTGTGTGATGGCGAGGCGGAGATGTGCCGGTTGCTTGTGTTTCTGTGGGCTGTTTTGCTGTCCTCGAAGGCGCCGGAAACGGTTCCTGTCGGAAACCTTCTCTTTGCGCCCTTCCTTGATCCTATCATACTGACCATCTCTATCCTTCGTAGACGTCAGAGACATCAAGGTATTCGTCTCACAATGTCGCAACACATGTTGTTAGTCTTGCGGAGCACATTTCACACTTTTCATCCCTTTTCAGTACGTGATCAACTACGATTTCCCAAACAACATCGAAGGTAAACCCCCTCTCGGAAACCAGCACTCTCCTACGTGCAAACACACTAAAACACAACATCCCCACTTCACACCATAATAGATTACGTCCACCGCATAGGTCGTACCGGGCGCGCCGGGTAAAGTCCCCTTCCCCTCCCCCTTCTCCTTATCGCACAATCTCACCACGCAAAACCAGCGCCCACGGAACAGCCTACACATTCTTCACCGACGCCTCGGCCCGTCTCGCGCGTCAGCTCATCGCCGTCCTGGACGAGGCCAGGCAGGACGTGCCGCGTGAGATCAGGGACATGGCGAACCATGAGCGGGGTGGAGGTACTGTAAATCGTGCTTTCATCACCTTACGCGGGTGTGAAGACCTTATATGGGTGTGGATGATTCCCCCCCCCACCCGATGGTTTAGGCACTCGACCCCGATACGCGACCCGGACCTCCGCATCGGCGGCGGGGTATGGGGGTGCGGGGAGGTATAACCCGTACGCGAGGCTGTGAACGGTTTTGTGAGTATGACGAACATGCAACGACAACAACAAACTTGGGGGGAGCCGTTTTGGAACCAACCGACAAAAAAACGAGCGAAAGGGGTTCGAGGAGGGTGTGGATATCATCCACATACGCATACGGCACCCACCACGAGAAAACGGAAAAGCAGCAGGAATCGGGAACCGCTGTGCGAACCAAACAAAGCGCCGGCGTATGGCCGGCGGAGAGAATAGCGGGGATGCTGCACCCACCCACACACACACACACACACACACACCCATTGGGCATAACAGGTTTTTGTATCTATTACCTGTCTCTATCCCAGTTTAAGGTTTCAGCGTACGATTTAGCCGTCAGTTATAGTTTTTCATTCGCGTTAACGTAGGGTCGTTTGTATGAAATATCCCGTCTAATATGTACGGTGCAAAAGAATGAATAGTGTAACTATTTCCGATCGGCTGTTTCGAGAGGTTAATGTACATTACATGTCGTATTTCGAAATTTGATCGATTCCAAACATGAAATCGGGCAAAATCGGGCATTTACAGCTCATCTCCTCGAACAGTCACCTGGGTGTTACTCCCCCACCCCCGCCGCCCCCCGCAACCTCGCCCCCCGCACACACTCCACCCACCTCGCCCTCTTCCCCACCCCACCCGGATCCCTACGGTCCGCAACGCCTACGGATATCGGCGCGCTCCACACCGCTTCCCTGTTGCGTTGGGTGGGCGGTCGTTGGTGGACGGTGTGCCGGTCGTCGTCGAATAGGAACGCGTGGGTGTCGCTGATGAAGAGATGGCGGAGGGGCGGGTGGAGCGCGTGCAGGAGGGTGAGGAGGGCGGGGGGTGTAAAGCTCGGACAGTGCGTGAGCGTCAACGTCGTCAACGATCCGAGCCGTGGGTGGTGGTGTTGGCGATGTTCTGATCCCTGGACGGATGGTTGGAGGGCGGGAATCGGTGTCGACGGCCCGGTAGAAGCAGCGTCGGGACACCGCGACGACCCCAACACGGCCAAACAAGCATCGTCGACACCCCCACACCCCTCCAGACTCAGCCACGCTAACCCGCCCGCGTACCCACTCCCCACGATCGCGGTCACCACCTCCGCATCCACCGCGGGCGAGTTTGGCAGGGCGAGGTGTCGAAGATTCGTGCATTGGGCGAGGAGGTGCGCGAGCGCGGCCGAGAGCGGGGCGGGGAGGTGGGTGAGGGTGAGCGATGTGAGGGTGCGTGTGAGTGGTGTGAGGGATGGCAGACTGGGGCACGCCTTCAGGGTATCGGAGAAGTAGGAGTGCAGGTGCAGGGAAGTCAGCGCGGGGAGGGTGAAGGGTGTTGAGTGGGTTGTCTGGGGTGGGGATGATATAGATCAACGTCTTCGAGGATATGAGAAGTGAATTTGGGTAACACGTACTGTACCTTCCGTGCAGGCATCGTAAACTCCAACCCGGTCAATCGTGGACACATCTTCGTCACCCTTTCCACCACCTTACGACATACAGAGGGCGAGACACCCCCACATCCCGCGAACCCCAACTGCACAAGCCGACACCCCCCCCTCCCCGCCGTCGCAGCCTCAACAACCCTCCACAACCCTACATCCCCAACCCTTCCACACCCGCTCACATCCACCACCTCCAACCGCCCTGCAAGATGCACCGCGATAGCCGCAAGGGCAAGATTCGTGATCGGCAGCCCGCGTAACCGCACCTCCCTCAACCGGGGACACATCTCCGCGATGGCTACCACACATGCATCATTCATCCCCATACATTCCGATAAATCGATACATTCCAGCGTGCGGCGCACGGCGGCGCACAGATGAGCGATGCACCCGGGGGTGAGGTGCCGGCAACCAATGAGGGAGAGATGACGGAGGGGTGGGTGGGCGGATGCGAGGGTTGTGAGGTGGTCTGAGCGGAGGAAGCTGTTCAGGAGCGGGGTTTGTGTAATGTCGAAGGTCCGCATTGCGCGGAGGCCTGTGTGTCCGATCCGCATTCGTGGTCGTCTCCTTCGTCTCTTGCCCCGTCTTTGAATGTCCCTCCCGTCCCCCGCCGCAACCTGTTCACACAGGTCCATGAAGGCTATGAAACCTGGTAGGCCTGGAAACACGGGGTCACGGAACAGCACGGCGATGGCGGCGGCGTACCAGGCGCGATTGACAAGGGTGCATTGGACTAGGGCGGCGGTTTCCGGTTCAAAGGCATGCGCGGATAAGTCCCGGGGGAGGGTGAGATGGAAGAAGATTTGGGTGAGGAGTTCGGGGGGCAGGTGGGACGCGATGGATGACATGGCGGGTGAAACCTCAGGGCGATGGTGGGCGCTTGCTCCGTGTGAACGCTGCGGTAGGTCCTGTGTCCCTCACCTTGGGGCGGGCGCTGGTGATCGTGGATCTGTATACCGTAGGCTGTACTGTGTGGCTTTCCCACCTCACGAATGGAGTGCGGCGATGGTCTCCGGGGAGGAAATTGTCGCGACGTTCCAAAAGGAGATCATCCCGCGTTTGCCTTGCACTGCTTTCCCAAGGCTGCCGTACAGTGAGTGGTATACGCAGAGTCTGTCTTGCCCAACATACAGTATTGGATACGTATCATGATTTCCATTCCCCATCTCTTACTCGTACGTCGATATGTTGATGCGAAAAATGTACATTCGGGGGCAAGCGACGATTATCCAGCGAACCCTCGAGTCTTGAGTCAAGGCCTCCCAAAACAAAGGAAGCCAAAAACACTCACACATCCGCAAATCCCCGCTGTCACTGCGCCCTCGCATCCCTCGCCACCTCCATCCCCGCCTTCCCCTTCGCCACCCCCCAAGCACCACTCTTCCCCGCATCCACACCCTCCCCCTCTCTGATAAACGCCAAAACCTCATCCACAAAAGTCCCGCCCCCGCCTCCTTCCTTGAACGCCCACGCGCGCGTGATGGCGTCGCGGAAGGCGGCGACGACGTTTGTGCCGGAGGAGGCGGAGGTGAAGTAGAGGGGCAGCGTTGATTCGGGTGTTGGGGGTGTGCTGGTGGGGGAGGACGAGGTGGGGGAGGTGCTGAGAGAGGCAAGACGCTCGGCACGCCGTCGGTCGATGAACCCGAAGGATTTCTTGGCGCGGGATTCGTCCGTGTCGATCTTGTTGGCTATTACTATTATTGGGAGCTGAAATAGGGAGAGGGGGGAGGACTTAGCCCACATCAAGAGCATCCATCACACACCCGCCCGCAAGGTTGCACACCCCGCACAAACACTACACATAGTACGCACCTGATCACCCCTTAACGCCACCAGCTCCTCATACCACGTATCCAAATTCTTATACGTGACCTTCCTCCCCACATCAAACACAAGTATGCACGCGTGCGCGCCATGGTAGTAGCTCGGATGCATCGTCTGGAACCGTTCTTGCCCCGCCGTATCCCAGAAATCGATAGTTATCTTTCGTGGTGTCGGGGGCATCATAGTCTGTGATGTATTGGGAGATGGATTTTGCGGGAATGGGAACGTACAAGTATATTGGTAGAGGGTGAGGGCGTAGGTGGAGAGGACTTGCGGGTGGAAATCGTTGAGGAGGAAACGCTCCGCGAGCTTGGATTTGCCGACGGCCGAGTCGCCGAGGAGGATTATCTGGGGTGAGGTGAGGTTAGTGGCGGGCGGGGGGGCGGTCTGGAGAGGGGGGAAGTTATCTTACCTTTAGGTCGGCGGGGGGTTTGGGGGTCGTTGTCGCCATCTTGAGGAAGATTGCCGCGTGAATGAGAACAAACGTAGCTTGGATAGACTTGGTATGCGTATGAGGAGCAGCGAGAGGCTGCCGTTATTATTGCGCTGGGGATCTTCCCTATGTAACCTCCCTTGGCCTCGTTCCTTCAGTCTCTGTTGAAGCGGTGTTCTGGGGGGTGTTCAAGTAGAACGCGAGAGCAGGAGGGAGTCTCCACGCGCCCCCCTTCGCCCCTCTCGCAACTTCCGTCTCGCTGCATTTGACCTCCATTCACACCCCCCACACAAAAGGGATGCCCACAACAGCCCCACCCCCACCCTCCCTCGAACTCTTCACCTGGGGCCCCGCGTGGACGCTCACTTCCTTCGACCCCTTCTGTCTCTCCGTAGAGACTTACCTGCAGCTCGCCGGCGTGGAGTGGAGTAATAATGTTTGCAACGATCCGGAGGTTTCGCCGTTTGGTGGGTAGATATGGTGATGGGGAGGGGAGAAGGAGTACTGTTGCTAGGTTGGGGAGTTTCGAGCGGAGGGAAGTGCGAGCGACAGTGAGCGACAGCGGGCCCCCGCTAGGCCGTAGACCCAGGGATGCTGGAGGATTCCCGAGAAAAGCGAGGAGTTTGCGAGCGACAGTGAGCGACATTGAGCCCGCGCTAGGCCGTAGACCCAGGGATGCTGGAGGATTCCCAGGGAAGCGAGGAGCTCGCGAGCCACTGCGAACCCAATTGCGCCGATGGCGCAAGAATGCTTGAGGATGGCGAGCATCAATGAGCTGAGATTGTTCTTGCCCCGTTCACCTCTCCCCCAATACCATTGTCGCCAGCGTAGCGTTTGTTGATGGGTCGTTAATCGACGTTCGATGGTCGACCGCTATGCGATAATAGACTCACGATCTTGCATATATCCCCAGGCGAACTACCGATGCTCCGTGACGGCCTGCTAGAACCGGTTGTCGGTGTGGGAAGGACGATTGCATATCTCAAGAAGAAGGTAAGCCGATCGAGAAAGTATCCCGGCTACTCAGGGAAATGGCTGCCGTACTGACCATATGTTCATCAGGGATACGATCTCGACGCCCATTTATCCCCAATCGAGAACGCGGAATCATTAGCGTAAGTCACAATCCAACGCCCTTCACCGTCAATCATCTGGGGATCTAACCGAACATATATTCCCCAGCTACATAACCCTCATAGAAGACAAACTCTACGACGCCCTCCTCTACAGCTGGTGGCTCGAGTCCACCAACGTCGCCCGCTCAACCCGCCCTACCATCGCCCGCTCGCTGCGTGGGTGGGCGGGGTGGACGGTGCCTACCCAGATGCAGAAGAAGGCGGCGGCAAGGCTGGCGAGGTATCGGTTTGTGACCGGGAAGGATGGGAAGAGCGTCAATGAGGTATGAGCGATGGGTTTACTGTGTAGGTGTGTGATCCGTAAAATGACCGTTCCATCGTGTTGCCAGATCTACCGCCACGCCCGCGAATGGTACGCCGTCCTCGCAGCAAAACTAGCCGACAAGCCTTTCTTCTTCGGGGACACGTAAGTGCCTCCACTCCCTTCCCCTATCGCATCCCACCCACTTACCCACCGCTACCTTTCTTTCTCCACAGCCCAACAACCCTCGACGCCATAGCCTACGCCCACCTCTCCCTGCACGCCATTCCCACCCTCGCCTCCCCAACCCTCTTCAGCATCCTCACCTTCGAACACCCCACCTTACACCGCTTCATCGACCGGATGCATAACCTCGCTTTTGTGGATGCGAACCCCGTAAGAATGAGCCCGGCGATGAGGATGAGCGCGTGGGATCTGATTACCTGGCCTGCGGGTATCGTCAGACGGAAGCTTGCATCGGTTGTGAATGGTGGCGTCGTCTCGGGTTCGGGGAGTACATCACCTCCCGCACCGGCACAACAAACGGATAAACACACCCCACCAACGACACCAGAGAAAACAAAACAATCCCGCCAAGCTCAATTCGCATCCGTCGCCAGCGTCGTGGGCGCAGTCGGGTTCTTCGTCGGGTTTGTGTGGTACAATGGGATTGTGCAGGTTTCGTTTGGGGAGGATGATGAGGAGGATGAGCGTGGGGAAGATGGCAAGGAAGGGGAGGTTGTATATAAGTTTGGGACGGCGTAGAGCGTATTTTGCATAGTCTTGCGAGTCTGGATATGTGTAGCCTACTGTAGACTTTTGCAAAACCGTCGAAGATTGAGAAGCGATGAGAATGGGGCTGATTTATGTTTACTGTTTTTTGAATGAAACACATGTCATGTCCAACCACTCAACCCCCCCTCGCACTCTTCTCGTACCCATTCACCAATCCCCCACACACTGTATTCACATGCTTCACAGACGTTTATAGTTTCCCAAAAATGTATAGCCCTCCACCACCCACCCACCCCACACGAGCCTCATAATCTAACCACCCTTCTGAATCGGCAAAAACAGCTTGAACTCCGGCGGCAGTTCCTCCTCCGAGTACAGCCTGTCGGAGAAGTAAATGCGGCGGATGCGGCAGTTGGCGTGGATCTGCACGCGCAGGGTCTCGATGTAGTTTGTCCCGTACGCACGGCGGGTAAAGTCCGAAAGATTGAACTGGATCTGATTCCACCCGTCGTCGAGCCGCATGGGCATGGTGCAGATGAACGGTTTTACGCGGGTTGTTGACTGTGTGAGGGGAGCGATATTGCGGGATGTTAGTGGGGGAAAAGGCATTCGATCGAGAATGACACGGTGAAATGGGGAGGGTAAACGAACCTGATAATTACTAGCCCTAAACCGCCTCCGCACATTCTTATCGTCCAACACCTGGACCTCGAACGTGAAATACTTCTTCAGGTTCTTGATGATCATCACCAGGAACGGTAGCTTGATCCCCAGCGTGCGGTTCTGCTGCGCGGGGCACGTGATGAAGTTGGTGGAGACGTTGGTGCCGATGATCTCGAGCACCGAGGACTGGATGTCGTTGTCCGTGATGCGTTTGATGTGCCCGTTGCGCACCTTCTTGTCCCATATTTGGAGCGGCTTGGAGCCGATGCTGTAGAGGATGGAGAGGAAGCCGGACTGAGGAGCGGAGCGAGACGAGCAAAGCGAGCGACGCGAGCCAAAGTAAAGGGATCATGCATGAGGATTGGGTTTGGGTTAGTTTTCGGTACATCCCAAGAGTAAGATGGGAGACGTTGATACTCCCAAGCGCAAGCTACAAGACGAGACTCACCTGGAACGTATTACGAAACATCCTTGCTCTTCTATCCGACAGCTAAGCAGCCGTCTTTCACTCCCCAATCAAAATTTCGTACGGGAGGAAAAACACTCCGCGAAATACAATCTATCCCTGTTCCGACTATTCCAGGTGTGCAGATTGCAAACGATGCGTTGACGTGATTGAATCGAATGAAGGGATAGTGATGGATGGACCCTGGTGGGCGGTTTCGGTGTGAACGACACCGCTGCGTAGTTGTGCTAGTGCTGGGGTGAGGTGTGTGGGGATGTGAGGTGTAGGGGAATGCGGGAAGATGGGGAGTGAGTTGGGGTCTAGTTGTCGTTTTGAGAGAGCGAGCGGACTTTGAATGAGTTGCGTTGAATCACGTAAGCCTTGTTCCTCCGAAAGTTCGCACACTGGAGTCACTGACTTGACTGCTTAAACTCCGAAAGCTGCACCAGACAGGCAGCACAGACTGACTGACTAGGGAGACAGACAGATAGGGCCGGGCAGCGCTGCGTTAAGCGTCTCCCACATCATTCCGTTTTTCATATCTGAAGGAACACTATTAATCCCGACCAACCCAAGAACAGAAAGGACGTTATGCAAACAGGAGGAGTTCACAGCTCGTTGAAAGCTCGCTTCTACGATTCGAGAAGTATATGTACCGGGAAGATGGGGAGTGAGTTGGGGTCTAATTGTCGTTTTGGGAAAGCGCCTTTCAGATTTATACCGCCCGCATGAGAGGAAAGTGTCTGGCTTCATGTTCAAAGCCCTACGGACAGTGTATTCGCATGTACCTGTACGTAGGAGCGTTGGATGTACAGGAGACGATGCATGCAATGGAATCCGCCGCTGAGGCATGTTTCCAGAAGGAGAATGATAAACCGGGCAAGGAAATCATCACTCTTGGTCTCTCCATCCGCTACCCACATAGTGAAGGCCTCTCCACAGCATTCGAACCAGCGACATCTGCCCTCGATCCCACGCGTCCAATCCAAGCGCATAGATCCTCCAAGACCAAAAGTCACTCGACAAAAGTTTCCGCCAGGCTGAGGGTTTATATTTAACAAATGATAATTCACAATGCATCCACACTCCAAGACAACAAGACAAGCCTTGCACCTTAGGCGGTGGTGCGGGCGGCTTCCCTGCGCCTGTCACGCTCCTCAGTGATGGTGAGCTGTAGAGATGAATGATGGTCAGATCGACTGCAGGATATGAAAGTAATGCCAGAAACAAAACCCATACCTTGACACCCTTGCCCTTGGGCAGAGAGATCCATGGCCTGTTACCGTCACCAATGACGAAGACGTTGGTCAAACGGGTAGCAAACTGACGGTCAACAGCGTCCTTGATGTGGACAATGTCGAAACCTCCGTGGTGACGCTCACGGTGGGTGATGGTTCCAACACGACCAGTGTTACGACCACCAGTAACGAACGCCAAGTTGCCAACCTCGAACTTGATGTGGTCGGTGATCTTTCCAGACTCAATGTCGAGCTTGATGGTGTCGTTGACCTTGATGACCGGGTCGGGGTAACGGATGGTGCGACCGTCGTGGGTGACAACGAAAGGGATACCCTTGGCACCAAGCTGGAGGCGGCGGACCTTGCAGAGCTTGTACTTGGACTCCTCCGCAGTGATACGGTGGATGGCGAAGCGGCCCTTGGTGTCGTAAACCAGACGGAAGTTCTCGTTGGTCTGCTCAATGGAGATGACGTCTGCAAGAATATTCCAATATCAGTCTCCTCCCTCAACATCGACGGCAGTCATCTCCATTCACATACCCATGAATCCAGCGGGGTAGGTGGAGTCGGTACGGGTCTTTCCATCGACCTTGACGAGACGCTGCATAAGAATCATCTTGGTCTCCTTGTTGTTCAAGGCGTACTTCAGCCTGTTACGGAGGAAGATGATCAAAGGCAAGCACTCCCTTTGCTTGTGGGGACCGGCCGAGGGCTTGGGGGCCTGTTGAACGTGAAACCATTTCCAGATCAGCTTCCCTCCAAAAAGCGCGAAAATCAAGCAGTCCTCCAGTCGTTGGCCGTCGCTATCTACTTGTGCCCGTCCCCTCTCCTATCCTCTGTGCTCGTCCGCCTTCGTCCTTTCCCCATGCTCCAGTGCCCCGTTCCCGTTCACTCCTCTGAGAATTCCCCAATTCCCCCCTCTCGACCCCTCAACATACCCAGGTACCGGTCAGTTTGTCAAGCATCCAGTGCTTGGGCGCCGAAAGCTAATGAACCAACCAAACCAAATAAGTACACTGTCCGCCCCACCAACCGCAAAATGACACAGGTTCAACATACGCGCTTCATGTGCTTCTTAGGACCCCGTGCCTATTCGTTTGTCGATTCCGTCGCAATATAGTGAAGAAGAGGAGCCGCAGTTAGTGACTGTGCCAGTGTGTCGGTGGTGCGTGTCGCAGCGACATTCTCTCCCCAGCTCAATTTGCGACATGCATGCAATCGTCAGTCCATTCCATTCTATTTGCCCATCCATCCATCGCTCCCAATCAACCCATCCATCCATCGGTTCCGTCGCTACAACGTCCATTCGTCCTGCCTGCCGATGAGCTGGGGGATGCTGTCGCTGCTGCTGCTGCTGGTGGTCGGGTGTACATTACCATCTTTGCTAGTGGATGACGTTGATGGTGCAGTGGAAAGGGCCTTCAAAACGCTGGATGGAGCCTTCGCTCAACGATTAGCCCCGGGGAGGCCGCGGTCAATTGAAATGGTGACTCACGGTCACATGACTTTCGCTCATAACTAAATTCGCGTGTCTGTTTTCAACCGTGGACTCGCGACACACGTATAAGATATACACGTATAAGATGGCAGCCGACCGCATATGGTCGTTCGTAAGAAATGCAAACTATCATTGCTCCCAATAGATGGGTGGTCAACGTTGATGGTGTGTCAGAATTCGAAGATGGTTATAGTGCAAGGAAAGGAAACTACGCCATAAACATGGTATGGGGATATGCATTGCATGAGATCTACTATTAATTGCAGGGGGTGCGTATGAACTGAGATGCCAGATAGTGGAGGATTTAATGTTTGGCCTTGGCAGCAAAGTAGGCCTTGACGGAGTCACCGCCAAAGACCATGCAGACGGTTTGCCAAACTCCCAATCCAACTCTGCAAGAGGAATGATGGGAGTTGTTGAGTGCCATTGAAAGATGAGAAGGGGCAACAAGGGGAAAACGGCAACTCACCGTGGCACAACGCCCCTGTAGAATCCCTTGAACCCATTCTGCTGGTAAATCCACTTCGCAGCTGCTCCAATCGTCATCTTCGTCGGTCGACCAGCAGCCTGAACCTGACTCTGCATCTCGACCCTAATAACCTCAATCGGCTGGTTCCAGCAGCTCATGCCCCCACCAATCGCCGACGCCAAAATGCGCTGGTACGGCGACAGCGGACGGTCCTCATTGCCCGTGGCTTTACGGATCCCGTTCTCGGCGACGCGGGAGAGCCCGAACCGGGACCCCCAGTTGGTACATTGGCGGACGGCGACGGCGTTGACGCCCTTGTTGATCCCGCGGATGCCTTCTTTGGCAAAGATGTCGCGGGCGACTTGGATGGTGGATTTGGCAGGACCGCTGCCGGCGGCTTTGTGACGGGTTACTTCGACGGTCTTCATGAAGGTGCAGACTCCCATTGTTGTGTATGCCTGCCGAGATGATCCATACATTAGACACCGTCGCCTTACACACACCCAGTCAAACATCCACATCAACACACCTGCGTAATCCCACCAGCCATCCCCCCTAAAACGCCTGCCCAAGCCGGCCCCGCCCCACCTTTCCTGCACAAATACTCCACTTCCGACGCAGCAAACATCAACACAGCGCCCTTCGTCGATGCTTCAAGCCATGCCCACGGGATCAGGCCCTGGTAGAATCCCAGCGGGCCTCCACCCCGTTTCCAGGTCTTTGCGATGGCTTGCGGCATCGTGTCGCCGCGATTGGCGGCCATGTGGGTTTTGATGACCTGGGAGAGTAGGATATGTGTGAATACTCGTTTCTCATATTTGCTATTATTGGCTGTCAAACTTAAGTTGGCCTATAGCTCTGCGTACCTCAAATGGCTGTCCCAACGTCGAAACCTCGAAGATGTTCAGCGCAGCCCCGATAGCCAAGTTGAAAACCTGCAACGGCTTCTTCTTCACCGGCGCGCCGGGGCGCAGGTCAACTGCGGGAGTCATCGTTGCGATGGCCATTGTCTACGGCTGACTGTCGCGGGATGAAGTTGGCAGATGGTGACGGGCTATGGCAGGAGTATTATGGACGAGCTTTGACATGCACGCAGCATGTTGCAGACCGGGTGCTCCTCTTGTACTGGAGACGGGGAGAGGGGCTATCATAGAGCCTATCGGTATCGATATGAGACGGTGGGAGTGGAAGTGCTTTCGGTATGTGGAAGAGCACGGCGAAAAGGAAGAACGGAGGGAAACACCAACGATATGCCATCGATTGAAGCAGTTACGAAAATATACCGTGACGCGTACTGGAAAGCTTGACAGAAACAGCTCTTTCGTGCAAGTTCCCAGTGCACGGAGGAAGTACTCACCGAAAAGCTTGAAACCCAGCCCCGAGAAGGGGTTTGATGTGTGGAAGGCGATTCCTTCTGTGAGTGAGAACCCATTCCCATCGACTACTTGGTATCTGTCTTTCGTGCCGTTCCTGACTTATTCCCAACAGAATGTGGGGCAACCTTCAGACCCATTATATGTGTCAATATCCCGGAGGATCTGCTGTACCTCCAAATGACGTTCCAGATTTGAATTATGCTCTCCCGAATACTTCTCTGTGAGTGAGAACCCATTCCTTGACATGGACAGGGATGACCCGCTGGCGGCCCAAGAGGTCAATCGAGGTATCTGTCTTTAAGACCCATTATATGTATCAATCTCCCGGAGGATCTGCTGTTGCAGGAGACGGTTTTCCGCAGACCTCCAAATGACGTTCCAGCCCAAAATGGTCCCCTCCCACCCAGCTGTGCTACCTCCTACTTCTACTCTGCCGCCTAAGTCGATGCCTGCTGTCGCTGCTTCGCCAGAAGTTTCCTTTTAGAAGAAAAAACAATCAGAACTCATCAACATCGCAAACCGTCCGCAACCGTCTCCAGTCAATATACTCACTCTCTAGCCTGTTGAACCATAAACTCCTTCCTCGCCCTCAAATTGCTCTCCCTCCCCTCCGGCGTCGCGTCCCACACCTTTTTCGGCTCGCTCACAGGCACGCTCTCATCTCTAATCAGCGCAGCAAGCGGGCTCACCGACCCATTCTTCGCCCCACTCGATCCCGCCGGGGCTGTTGCGGGTCGCTGTTGTGATGGTAATGGCTGAGGCGGCGCGACCAACCGCCCGCTTAGAATGTTCTCGCATGTTACTTCCACAGACCCCGTGCGCGATAGGTCCTGCTCTATTGTTGATCGCGGGAAGGCGGGGAACATGGACTGTACGGTGTCGATGCTGGCGGCGGGGACGCGGTGGCGCCCGAATGTGCGTTGCGAAGAGGCAGAGGTGTAGGAGGAACCGTCTGTGGATGGTGGGTGGGAAGGGCCGCCTGTTGGGAGTGGAATTAGGTTGAGTGAACGGAACAAGTGAAGGACGGGACCAGGGATGGCCAAAATTCGAAAAAACTCACCAAAGACGACATATTTGACAAAAAAGACGAAGACCACGATGGCGACGAACACGGTTACAGCGTCAGCAGCCATTTTGACTTGAGGGAGAGAGGGTTTCTTTACTTTACGAGAAGCGACGATTGTTAGTTTGCTGATGTGAAGCCCTCAACGACGGCAGGCGAGAGGGCGCGAAGGTCATCGCTTGAGTTTATTTGTGAAGTCACGGGACGATTCGGATTGACAGGTGCTGTCAAACAGTTCCAACATGGTTTCTCATCTCAATCCTCCGCAAAGTTTCCCGAAGGCGCAGCCCGGAAGAAAAAAAAGGGAGGCGCACAGAAGCTCCCCTTCCCGGAACTTCACCTCGTTTTGTCGAAGGCGTTGAAAGTTTCGCAGTGGTTGGCGGGGTCGATTGATTGAACTGCAGAAGGTTTCGAGCCTGACTCGCTCCGTGGTAGGTTCCACGCTGGGCAAGAGGAGAGGTCGTAGGATAAGAACGACGGCAAATGAACCGGCAACATCTGCGACACTCACGCAGGGACAAAGACGAACGATAGGAACAAGTGAGCCGAAATTCCGTGGGACTCGATCTCATCACCTTCGACCGTTTTATGGCAGCCCTTCCGACGGACGGAGAAGCCGAGCTCGCAAATTACATCGCCACTGGGATGGTGAACCAGATGCCAACCATATGGTCTGCCTGCCATTTTCTGCCTGACTGGGAGCTCCCACGGTGTCCACGAGCACAATGCGGCAACTATCTCGCCTCTACTGATGTCTCAACCGGACGCACCGCTGCACCGCACTGAGGACTTTAGCGCGGAAATAGCGAATGCTGCAAGGGTCGCAGCCACCTACGCGCAGCAGACTAGGATTCAACTCGGCCGTGATCGTTCAATGCGACACGGGAACGCGGCTCTCCCGCAACATATCGCGGAAAGTGTGAACAATGGTTCGTGCCCGACGCCAGTACCTTAAACTGGAATACCGCCGCGACATAGACGAGGCTACCGTACATGGATCAAGCAGATCGATACCACGCAGGGCTCGATCGGAAAGCGCAAACTCCTACGAGATTGTGATATAATACATCTTGGACAAATATTGGTGTAATTCCGGACACGGAGGCGGGCTGGTGGTGGCCCCGGACGTGGCGTCGGACGAAGCGCATATTTATCGCTGCATACGATGGACACTCCAGCCTTTCGGCGAACGATAACAATGCTGTGGGATTGTACTTGCGACAAAGCCAACCGGATTCAGATGTTTGGAATTCTGGCAGGAATAACGCCACTTTTTATTCGCGACTCTGCCGGGGAATTATGGCGGTGACGCCGAGGGCAACGGAGCGACGCCGAGAGTGATCAGCATATCCTGCGATTGCGGCAAACTCGTTCATTGCGTGCGCCGTGTTTGTTATGCTTTCATGGATTGATGCAGTTCGTTCTTCACACCCTTTGCGTGTGTTCATTATGGACGAGACGAATGACCGGGCGATCAAGCCAGCGGTTGCCAAAAACGCTCACCAAAACGAAGGCCTGCTTCCCAAAAAGTGCTGCCCTGACGCACAGGTTCAGCAACGGCTGCTGTCCGGCAAAAAACAGTTGATTTTACTCGACCTCTCTTCGCTCGTTGGGAGTTCGAGAGATTCTACAAGGATGAGCTGACCCGGCGAAAACTCAGCGTCGTCAAGCAGGGCATGTTTTGCCACTTGACAGAGACCTGCAGCAACCGATTACCTTCTCAGTTGCGGTTTGCTAATACTAATCGCCCTTTGCCAGAGAAGCAGCCGCTACATCACAGAGAACAACAAGCGGGGACATCCCACTGTCTGGGATCTGTCTGTTGTTTGGGATGAAATGCACATCGAAGGTATGCGTGACCCCATGCCGAACGACCACGAAAAGAATGCCACGGTCTTCCTACATAAAAATGCCCGATGCCTAGAGATGACCCTGCTGAGGCTTTACTTGGCATCCTTTCTGGAGCTCGTGCGCAAAGGGGTCCTCTCGGAGATACGGAGGATAGACACCTACCACGTAGCACGGCCGGCGGCGTCGTCTTGTGAATAACAAAAACATGTCATACACCAACAACAGAACGGTCATCAAAACGTAGCAGCGATCGGAGGAGGAAACGTTTGCGACTGGCCGCGAGGGTGATTGTGCATACACACGACTGGCCCGTGCATCCCATTCGTTCCCCCATCTCTCACATTTATCGCGTGGAGTAGCAAAATGTGTCGACGAAACCTGTAATCGCGGTCACAGTCGTCTACGGTCGCTCAGGTTTCCCAAGAGGGAGACATCGTCTTCATCGTGATCACCCAAACCGGTATGCAGGGGGCCCCCGCAGCCGCGGTCCCTTCCTCACCGACGAACCTGTGGTTCTAGCGATTTCCTGGAGAGACCGGCGGGACACGCTTACCCGTCCGAACTGACAACCATACAACTCGCCCATTTAAAATCCGTTTTTTCTAATATACGGCGAAACCGGTAAAGTAGTTCACCACTCTCTTCAGTACGGCATCACATTGCACGAGGCAACCATCTTGCAATTTCTGGAACATGCTCTCGTCATTGCACGGGTTGAGAAGGATAAACTGGCCGCTGGGTGTGCAAACTGACCTCAAGAAGTTCTCAAAAGCGGGACCACGTTCGAGTCAACGCGTGCGGGTTGGCTAGAGAAGCGGGTTGACTGGGATTGGCAAACTCCAACGAGATATGGGATCGGCTAGTGCGGTTCAGGGATCTTCGAATAAGACGACACACGGTTGGTGGTGGATGCGTTGATGGTCGACGGTTGTTGATGGCCGTTCCTACCGGACACGACGAAATGCGGACGGTTGTCACAATCATGAGAGACGAAAGGCTTACTTGGAGGAAGAAAGTGGCGCGCCGAATAGCATTGGAGATGCTAGAAAGTGGTTCCTTTTGTGCGAAGCTAGCCATGGTCTCCCATCACGCATCCATGCGGCAACCGCCAGCATATGGAAAATTACTCAGTGGTTCATACAGTACATGCTACTGGCGTAGAAGTCTATGTCATCATAGCGAATGGAACTGGGAAGCTGACAACAGTCATGACTCGCTGATGCACTCAGCGAAGGAATCGGATGCGAACGGGTTACATTTCTTTCACTTCCTTCTGTCGGCGATCCTTTGTCATTGGACAACAATGGACGCGGATCAATGGGTGCAGAATGTACCAGCCCTGGACGGCATCGCAGTGTACCTCAACGGCGTGATATCAAGTCACTGGCCAGATGAATGGCTTCCATCGTATTCAAAGAGAAAAAACAAAATGTGCATAGATATCTCTTACAACGATCACACACTATATCAAAACCCCATGTTACTTCATGTTATATATCACACACGTTCAAGGAGATGGATTTCGAGCATCGAACTGTTTCTGGCTCGATAGACGATGAGTGGTGTGGATGCTATGAATGCTACGGATGCGACAATATGTAATGTTTGGATGCTACGAATAGGTATGATGCGTGTAACAGAAAACAGTGGCTCAAGTCCCGAGCAGACGCCGAATGACAGTTCGTGATGTACGCCGTTGTGCTCGAGAAAACCTTTCAATCAACTCCCTCCAAGTTACCCATGTTTCTGTTTGCGGCGATGTTCCAGATCCACGAAATATCGCCCCATGCCGAAAGTTCAGTTCATCAGCTCGAAATTCATCAGATACTCCAGATCCTCTTCATCCTCCAACTGCACCGTCGGGAAAAACGCGCTTTCAGACCGACATGTCATAACCGGGTTATTCACCTTAGCGCGCTTGCGGGCCGCCGGCGAGGGGGACGATTCGTCGCGAGGGCGGCGCGGGTTGGGTGTGTAGATGGGGTGGGAAGGTTCTCTGATTTGGATTCGAGGCGAGGTGCGTTCTTTGCTTTGGATTCTCGGGGAAGCACGGGCGGGTGAGGATAGTTCTTCGCGAATGTGGTGGTTGGGCATCAAGTCTGCGCGTGTGATGTGTACGCTGACTGGGAGAGTGACGCTGGAGAGACGTCTGGTCGGCAGCGGAGGCAGAGTGGGCAATTTCGAAATGGCGGAATCGAAAACACCGGTCTTCTGAACCTTGCCGCGGGTAGGTTTGCTGACGTCCACAGTCATCGTCGTCGTCTTTTGGGTTGGGGCACCAGCAGCAGCCTTCTTAGCAGCCATAGCCGTTCGAATTCTTTCCGAAACCATCCCCGCGGCCACTGCATGCCTCCTCGCCAACAAATACTCCATTCCAACCACCACATCCCGCCTCATCACCTCCTCTTTCTCCGTCTTCTTCACCCCTTTCATTCCCAAGTCAGTCAACCGTCTCGCCGCTTGCGCGTGCAATCTCTTTACGGCGTGATATTCGGCGTGCACGCGGTGGTCGGCGCCCGTCCCGCCCGACAATGCTTTGATTGCGCTCAATACCTTTTGCACGGCTTCCAAGAGGGGGACCAACCCCGGGTACAAGCGCTGGAAATACAGCGTGTTGCCCGGGACCAGGTCGGTGCGGCCGTAGAGTGCGTTGAGCGCGGGCGTGCATTTGACGTAGGACCATTTATTGTTTGTTCGTTTCGGGTCTGCATAATCGCACGACTTGATCGGGTCCAGGACGGGTAAGAAGACACCTCGGGCCTCGAACAACATGTAACTTTCCTGCTCAAACGCATCCATAGTTTCCCACGCGTGAGTGCGGGCGACTGTGAATGGGCCTTCCGTCGTTAGCGTGCCGCTTGCGAGGGCAAGGGAGTAGTGGTTGGCGATCAACTTTGTTGTGAGGTTTAGTTTGCGTTGGATGTCGGGGAGCTGGTCGGTGCAGTTGACTTCAATGTCTCTGTGATAGGTGGTGGGCTTTTTGCCGAAGTCTGGGAAGTGGAGGCCGGGGAGTGGGGCGTTGGTGATGGTGGAAGTGGCCATTTTTGGGGGTTTTGGCTCAGTCCGTTGTAGGTGAATGACGTTCTTTTACTCGGGCGCTTGCCAGCTTTCGCGAGCGTAGGCTAGCAATAAAGTCCTTAGCAATTCTCAGCTGTAGCGGACAGGAACAACTGCTCGAAAGTTGGTCTGGTCTGTATCCCCGTTTCCGACGTTTTCAAAAGTATGGAAGAAGAGGTTGAGTTGCGACGTGCGGGAAACGGCAAGGATGCTTATGTAATTCTCACGCGTGCCTGGTTACGCTGTCGATACCGGTCAATGTTCTTCGAGGATTTGGACATTCCTCGGACAACGTTCTTTTCATCAAATGCAATGCAGGTGTCAAGAACATAGAGGGTAATATCTCCTCTATCATGCGGCCGACCAAGCAGCAACAGCATCAGCAGTCATCCTTTTTCCAAGGCCTACTCCACATTCACTTCAGCCTGCGGCGCCGCAAATGCAAGACAGGAAGCTTGCATTCTCGTTCCAACACTCTCGTTGGATTGCACATCATTTTTTAACAAAGAATGCAGACTTTCCTGTGTTTGATATGCTCTTGCGTTATGGATTGACACTCCATCTTCGAGTCAACCATACAAATGCCACGGCAGCGTATTGTGTGTGACAGAATAGGAGGATTGTGCGAAAAAGAAAAATTTGGGACCTATCAATGAGCATTCAGTGGCGAACAAAGGGAAGCACCGTGACTGAAAGGGGACGCGTTATAAGCCGTTTGCAGACATCCCAGAGAAACGATCGCAGTTTGAGTGAATACCCTGCTTCTACATCCACGTCGTCGTTGTCGTTAAGGAGGTGCGCTGCGCGCCGGGAACCCACACCGGCGGACAATGACAGGACACGCCCCACCCGGCGTAACTCTGAGATAGGATTGACAGTGGATGTAAGAATTTGCGAATATTGGGTTTCACTTGTGTCTCGTCTCGGTACTTCGGTCCTTTGATGCCGGTGTCATCGACATATACACTGACGATGTCGGGCTTGAGTGATTCGAATACTTTGTCGACTACTCGTTGAAATTGAGCAACGGAATTAGTTCCTCCTTGAGGAAGTCGGGTAAGTCGGTATAGTCCAAACGGCGTAAGCATGGCCGTAAGATCTCTTGATTCAGGGTGTGGGGGTACTTGATCATATCCGGAATACATGTCGGCCATAGATAAAATGGAGCGTCCAGCAAATTCTTCAGCGAAAACTTCTGCGGTCGGCGCGCATCCGGCGTCTCGTATTGTCACGCTGTTGAGCATCTGCACGTCTTGTACAAATCGGTATGTTCCGTTCTTTTGGGGAACTAGGAACCAAGGGTTTCGGTAGGGTCCAAATGAGGGTTCTAGCAGTCCTGCATCGCGTTTCGTTCGAAGTAGGTCTGTGGCGATTTTCGTCATTTGCGGAGGTAATCGATGGGGTTTCACCATCCAGGGTGTGTGCGGGATCGTGTGAATCTTTACAGGTTCCTCTATGTGTGCCTCTACGGTGAGGAACGCTTCAGGTACGTCCAGGGAACGATCGCCACGATCGCTACCCGCAAGCCCCCTTTTCGCGGGCTGCGCCTTCCAAGGAGCTGAACTCCGTATCAGGCGTCGTATCGTTGTTGATCAGATGCCTGAAATTGCAGCAGCAGCCTCGGACATCCGCAAGCATTTTGAAATGTTCTACACCACCCTGGTTCTTGACGCGTCTTTGTCATTCCCGCTTCCCACCCACCGATGCCTGACCGCATGCACCGAGGGTGAACATCCTTCAGTGCCAGCCCATGTATATCGCGTAGAACTACCAGCGCCAGAACCATGTATATCGCGTTACAGGTGCGTATCAGAAAAAGAGTGGTATGTGTCTGTCTATGTAACCATCATGCATCGATTTCACGAAACAACGCCACCCCAAACCCCCACCGCGCCTCCGCGGCGAAACGTCGAGTCCAAGTCCGGGTGTGCGGGGGTGAGGGAGAAGACGGAGGGGGAGATGGGGTTGATGTCGGGTTCCATCTTGGGATTCCTACTGTCGTTGGTTGGCCTCGTGGTCGGGTTCGGGTTCGTGGCGTGTGGGGTCACAGTGGGGGTTGGGGAGGGTGGTGGATGCGATAGTCCCGGTGTTCGGTGTGCTTGTGAAATGTAGGTAGTCGAAAGGGCCGTGTCGACGGGCAGGTCCGGTACACGGTGGTGATGTATCAGCGCCGTATGTTCGTTCAACCTGAATCAAAAAACCATCAGTCCCCCACCCCATCTACGCCACCCCAAAATGCATCTTCGGCAACCTACGTCTTCAAACTCTTGAAAGGCCGCATACAACTCGGACACTCCACGATCCTGCCTTTCTCCACCGCCGTCGGCTCCATCTGCTCCCCAACCGGGGCGGGGGGGATGACGACAGGGTCCATGTCTGCGTGGGCGGTTTCCACGTGCTCGATAAGGGATTGTGGGGTGCGGTAGGTTTTTGTGCAGTTTGGTACTAATGGGGTGGAGTTAGTGGGGAGATGATGGGGAGGGAGGAACCTGTATGGGGGGGAGGGGGCTTACTTGCGCAGACGTAGATGTTTAGTCCGCCCTCGGTTTCGGTGAGGACCATGTGGCCGGTTGCTTTTCCTTTTTGGAGATGGTAGGCTGGAAAGGGAGACCCCCACGTGTTGGAAATTGCCCCTTTCATCGCCCAATCGCCGACAGCAAAAGAGGTGTCATGCACGTACCCAGCCCCTTCAGATTCTTGTAAATCTTCTCACACCCCTTGTACGGACACATCCACAGTCTATCCCGCGATTCCTCCCGCTCGGCAGCTGCTTTGAGCTTCTGTTCCGCTTTTTTGGCCTTTGATGTCTGTTTGGCGGGCTGTTCGGGGGTATCTGCGAAGGAGAGGTCCTGCTGTGCTGTTGGGTCAGGTGGGGGTTCTGCTGCTTCTGCGTTGTCGAGTTGTAGGCTTGGATGTGTGGAGGGTGCTTTGCTTGTCGGTTTGCTGGGTGCAGTTGCTCCTGTGCCGTGCCAGTTTTCCAGGTGATATGCTATGCGAGGAAAGGATGGAATGAGTTGCCTGCTTTTCACATGCGGCCCTTCGCCCTTCGCCCTTTCGCCGTCCCCAGATCCAAAGTCAAACACCCACCAAGGCCATTTGAGTTCTTATACGCATTGGTACACCCATCAACATTGCATTTGAACGGCTTCACCGCATCCACATCCCCAATCGTATGCGCGGCCTGATGATGCGCGATTAACCCGTTCAGCTTCTTGAACCTGCGATCACACGTCGGCACATCACACCGATAGGGTTTCCCGTCCGGATCCCCAGCGACGGATGCATGGACGCTGTACGTCAGGCTCTGTATCACGGGCGGTGGGGGGGCGGGTCGCGGGGTATCATGAGCTTTCTTCGCAGGGCTTTTCGCAGGGGATGATGATGTGGTGGTGGTTGTTGTTGTTGCCGACGTCGTCCTCCCGTTGGTATCCCTTCCTTCCTCGTCGTGCAGTTCCCCCCCTTCCTGGGCGCCTGCGGGTATAGGTAGCGGTTTGAGGACCTTATCCGGGTCGAGCTGGGCAAAGAGGAGCCGGCGTTGCGCGTTGGCTTTTTCAAAGTGCTTTTCGGCGAGTAGGTAGGCTTGCGCTTGCGTTTGCGCGTAGGCCTGTAGCTCCGCTCGCCACCTGACTTGGGCTGAGGTTGGAGTCGGGGACGGGACTGGAGGGGTATCTGCTGCCATCGGCTTATCCTCTGCCGGCTGCGGTGCTGGTGTTGGCGGTGACGGTGGTGGTGGTGGTGGTTGGGATTGTGTCGGCGGTGGTCGTGGGGATTGTGTCGGTGGTCGTGGGGGTTGTGCCGGTGGGTCGCCCAGGCCCTGCAGTAATGGAGCTTCGGGAGGTGATAATGGTGCGGCTGCCAGCGACTTCTCCTTCACTTCCTCAGTCTCTGGAGTGGTACGGATATCCATGTCCAGCTTCCGCCGTTTGACCTCGCCAAGCTCCTCCATGGCACCGCTCCGTTTGGCGGGACGCTGGTATGCACGGTGGCCTTCTCTCCTGGCCATGTGGTCTGCTGACATTTGTTTACGGGTAGGGGGAAGTGTTCAGTGTGTGCGCAATGGGTAGGTGTGAAGTGGGAAAGTGTCCTTTTTTTTCTCTGTCAATTGTCTGAACTGTGAAGAAAGAAGTAGCAATGTATGTTTTTATGTTTTGTCCAAGGAGGAGGAGGGGAGTGTTCACATGGGAAAAAAAGGGCATATGGGGTATGAGAAGGGGGGGGGGGGGGGGTTGCCTTGTGCCGCCTGTCCGCGAAAGAGGCGTCGCGCAAGGCATCAACAGCGAGCAGCCGGAAGGGGAAAAAGGCGCCAGCTATTGCCAGGGAAAACCAGAGGGACAAAGGCGTGGGTTGTTGGGCTGGTTGCTGCCACGAATAGCCCCAAGAGCCCCATCACGAGAAAAAAGGGAAGGCCGCAAAGCACCTCCAATTTGACACTTTGCGTGTTCTCCTGTCGTCACCCATCTCATCCGTGTTCTCATGTTGGCCCCCAACTTCATGGTGCGTTCGTTGCGTCGAGACCTGCATGGAAACGTGGGAAAACGCTACTCTGTTAGAGAAGAAGTAAGGACAGACTGCGAAGCGAACGCACGATACGGGAGCACGGCAGCCCAGGGAAAGAAGAATGGATACCCTATTGAAGCTGTCACGGGCAGGCACAAGCACCCTTCCTGAGGTGAAGAAGGTCGCCTCGTTCACGCAAAAAGTCTCACCGAAGTCAAACTAAACCGTCCTTTTCCTACCCCATCCTCCAAGATCATCGCGGACTTGAGACTCAAAGGTAAACCGACAGAACGCCAGGAATGGGCGCAGTCACGAGGATTGGCAGGGCACTGACTGAAACCCGCGCAAAACGAATCGATCGACACCCAGGTCGAAAAGCAGCTTGTTCCTACCTCTCGTCGCTGCTGGAGAATGTGTCCTTCACCTGCCCGCACGGCCATACAGCAGCCTCATTCGCAGTAGAGCTGCTCACGACTGCATCGGACGGCACGCCGGGTGTCATTGAGCTGAGTGATCGACAGGACGCTCTCGTCAGGATAGCTGCCAAGGTAGTTGTCGAGTGGGGAGAGGCGCTTAATGGGGAGCATGGACCTATTACTATATAGCCTGGATGGTGTCAGCGGTGGCAAAGGGCGGTTTGCGATGGTTGCTCCAGCGTTTGCGCTGGGGGCTGGAGGGTTTGCGTTGGGAGCCCGAGGGTCGTGGACGGTGGTTGAGACCGGACCCAGTTCCCTCGCGCCAAAGGCGCAATACTCCTTGCCCATGGCGCTTAGCGAGCCTCAGTGAGCTAGAAGGGGAGGAGTGCATACAGCAATGTATTCTAGGATCATCTTCTATGTTTTCAGTCATTTAATAAAATTTTTCCTTACAATGCATTAGATCTACATTGCGCTCGATCTGACCCTGCAAGAGCTTGAAACATGCGTCCCCGCACAGGCAGTGCCGTACACTTTACTGGCTTTGGATGCGTACGTCCCGTTCGCTCGATTTGCATTGCCCTCTGTGTTGCGAATGTCCCTCTGAATCCTGAATCCCGTTTCCTTTTCAGTCAGCAGGATCCATCAGCGCATCCGCATCCTGTCCGAGATCCTTTGGTTCTTATTAGCCGCCATCTTCTCCGAACTGTGGCGGCAGGTCATCAGGCCGGCATGGACATCACACGGATTACCACGCATGCGGAATTTGTGGAAAAGACCATCGAATCGTTACGGCCAGAGGTAGGTGCTTCATTCGAAAAGTATGTCTTTCCACCCACTTACTATGGAACTGACTCGTACATCTACATTGCTTGCTATATAGGCATGCACGCTCGATTGCGCCGTCGCATGCCAATTATCCTACGAAGCCGGCGCATACCGTTTCGCGCGGGACGAGTTTGACCTGGCGGGCTCTTTATTCCGTACCTCGCGCGAACTTTGCGATCAAATGTCGTCTGCCCACCAAGTCATCCCATACTGGTACACACCGCCCTGCATGCACATTCACCTACACATTGCTAATGGAAATGCTAACCTACTTCTCCCCACAGCACAATCACCCCTTCCGAGATCGACCCCTACGTAACAGCATGCCATGGCGCCGTCACCGTCAAATCCCCCGATACCCCACCAACACAGACCGCCATCACCACTGAAGGCGATGCACTAGCATTCATCACCAAATCCCGCACGACCAAAACTTTCGACATCCCTCAACTCGAAGACCTCTTCCTATCTGAGATTGGACGACGCGCGGTCCCGCTGGAGATGAAAAAAGCGGTCGTGGAGGAGTGTCGTGCCGCGGGACGTCAGAGCGAGGCAGCGTGTTTGGCGACGTGTATTGCGTTGGGGACTGGGGATGCGTTCGGTGAGTGTATATGCACTAAGTCGCATGAGTCTCCCCGTCCAACACTCGAAAACCCCATCACTAACGGAATGCTGTCGCCGCAGATATCCCCTCCTCCATTATCACCGACCTCCAAACCTCACCCACCACTTCCCAACCCCTCGCCGCCGTCTTCACCCGGGCCACCTCCAAAAAGTACATCCTACCCCCTATCCCACAAACAGCCTTATCCCTCTGCCATCGCGTCAGTCGCCCCGACATCTGGGAAACTTTCATCTCCACCGGCATCGTCCCCCCATCATCATACACACCGCACCACCTTACACCACCAACTAAACCCCCGACCGTACCAACACCCGCCCACCTCCGCATGCACCTCCTCACCACCCTCCCATCCACCCCAGACCTATCCCTCTACCTCAGCCCCACCCTATCCATCCCGCCGCACCACCTCCTCCCCGTCATCCACTCCCACGCCCGCACCGCTCTCAAAAATCAGAATTACACCCTAACAGAACAACTGTTATCCATCATCCCCCACCTCCTGGCCGGATTACCACTGGGAACACCCCAGGTGATGGATGAACGTATGATCGCGGAACTGAGGCACATGCAAATGACGGTGGAGCTTTGGAAACTCGCGGGTGTGTTTGAGCACGCGAATGATGCTGGGACGGGCCAGCAGCCGGATTTAAGGTTTCTTGAGGTTTTGTTTACCGGATTGGGGAAGGAGAAGGTAAAAACTCGAAAAAAAAATTTGTTGTGGGAGGTTGGACGTTGAACTAACTCTGTTTTCGTTTTTTCTGGGTGGCAGTTTTTACCCGACCTGCAGTTCATGGTAAGCCCTCTTCCCCTCTGCAGATAAACATTTGTGTTTTTTTTGTTGGCTTATCTTCTCGTGGACAGGAACATATATTCATAATCCTCGTCCGTCGCGGCGGGCTGTATGACTACATCAAAGCGCTGGCGACGCATTTGTTGACGTTGACGCAGAATGCGGCTTTTGCTCGTACGTTTTGCTTGTTTGTCCTCATTCTGGATTTTTTGGGGTGTGAGTTGATTGATCTTGAACATGGGGGTTTTTTGTCCAGACCCGGATAGAGCAAGTGTGTTGTGTCTGCTTGCTGAACTGGTCGCGTCGTGCGTGCTCGTGTTCTCGCATTTGCCTGTCGGTGAAGGTACGACTTTCCCGTTGGATTTGCATTTTCGAAGTTGGAATGTCTGATTTCTCATTCCTATCCTTCCGCAGATGACATAAAAACCCTCCAATCCCTCGCCACCGATCTGCCCAAACTCGCCGCGACGAAAGAGGCCATATTCCGCCTCGCGACCTTGTTGGGAAATCCGGGGATTGCGACGCAGCATGTACGTCTTTCTCTCCCTCTGCACGCCCCGCCTCCCGCCCACTAACACCATGATATGTCATGATATGATAGGAAGCCCACCGCCACCTCCTAACCATAATCCTCAAAGCCGTGCCCCCACCGCAGCTGACCGTGTTCCTGCAGTGTTTGAGCGGGGTGGTGGTTGGGTTGCAAGCGGGCGCTGGTGTGGATGTTGTCGTGAGTTTTTGTTTATCTTTTTCGTTTTTCGTTTCGTGGGATATATCAATGCGGTGGACCGTGGGATGAAACTGACTGGCTTATGTGGGGTGAAATCGTTATAGAGACGCATGGAACTCCACGGGCCCTGGGCCCATCTGACGGACAATACCGGTGGAAGCGGTCCATTGCCTCCCAGGTAAAGAAAAAGGAACATCCTCCGCTTTTCACGCCCCGCACCTAACAAGTCTAACCCACCAACGATTGTTTTCATATCTGATTAGTCTGACACCCCACCTGCCCGCCCTGCGCACACCCATCCCCACCCAGTCCCAGCTCACGGCGCAAGCTGTGCCGTATCTTGTGGTGTTTGTGAAGGGGGTCTATGCGCGGTTGCTTGATGCGGAGGATGATGGTGATGATGGCGGGAAACGTGTGGATGTGCGACTGGATAGAGCAACGAACCTGGTCCGGATCGCAGAGTGTTGTTGCGTGAGCGCGGAGTGGCGGGATGCCCTTGGGTATGCAGACCACACCCACCGTCGTTCAGGTCATTCAGATTGTATTAAAATCTCACACGCACACTTGTTTTTTTTGGGAAAGGTGTTATATGGACGCCCTAGCGATCCTGTCAATGGATTTCGGTAACATGCCCGCCATCGAGCATCTGTGGGGAACGGCCGTGTTGCCGAAGATGGTATTGTGTGCCGAGATGTGTGGAGGTAAAACGGGGTTTTCCAATATCCCCCCCCCCCCCCCTCTCCTCCCTTTTTTTTTTGGGCCGCCTAGACTGGAACTGAACTCACACCATCTTCTCCCCCCCCAGAACACCTAGCAGCAGCAACCCTCACCCAACTTTCCCCGACCCTGAACGTGCTGACCGCGTTCGAGTGTGTCGAGAAGGCTCTGGATAGACTGTTCCCCTCCGAGTCGTCCCACTCGACGGGGAACGATGACAGGGAACATGACGATGACGAGAACTTGCAAATGGAACGCGAGATGCTGGCGCGGGATGGTGGGTATCAGACTGGCGTGGTGTCGGTGTTGTGGAATGTGGATGTGTTGGAGTTTGGCATTGGTGAGTTTGGAAATCACATACGCGGATGTTATATCATCCCCATCTGTGAGGGGTATTTACTATTCAACCATTCTCATTGGCTTCGTTCGGGCTCCCTTTCTGAAGCTACATTGAAACGACGCGGAACGGCGCCCGAGATGCTCAACCTCCTCGTAAGTATCCCCGCCCCCACATCCCCCCCCCCCCCACCCCCCCCCCCCAACCCCCCACCCCACGCGCTCACGGTAAACGCAATCTCGCCTTATTCACAGATAAAAGCCACGGCCCGCCCCGAACTCTCCTGCATCTCCCTCCCGGGCGCGAAAGAGGCGTATGTCGGGCTTGTGCTCGGGCGGTATTTGCGGTGGTTGAGGGCCCGTGTTGGTGCGGCGGGGGAGTAGATTTGGAGTGCGCGCTGGTAGGTGGTGGTGTTTCGGGCTTTTTGGACGGATGAGACTGATGTGTAAATCAGATGTCTTTATATATGCGAACGCGAACAGTCCCAAAATGTGCATGACATTGTCCGTTACTTCATAGACATACGTACAGTACATACACGCACATCCACCCACCCCCAAAAAGAAAGGTTCATGTCCCATACCCCTTTCAAGCAAACCCCCCGCCCCCCCCCCCCCCTCCCCAAAAAAAAAATATTAGACCGGCCTCGGAACCGAACTTGTCCTCACCCCTCAACGGTCCCCGCCGCGCCCGCGCGTCCCTTCTCGCCGCCATACACGAAAAACGCCATACTATTCCGATTCCCGGCCGTCGCCGTTGCGGCGGCGGAGCCCGTCAGGCACTGTTTGAAGCGGGCGAGGAGGGCGGTGGTTGTTGGGTGTTCCGAGGACGCGGGGAGATGAGAGGAGGAGGCGGACGAGGCGGGGGTGTGCGGCAGACTGTCCATGAGACACAGCATCTGCATGAGCCGGGACGCGGTCTCGCTGACTTTGCGCCCGGCTTCGATGTCCGTTAGCAGGCGGGTGAAGCTTTCTGTTCCATCCAAATATCCACACGGGGGGGGCGGGGGCCAAATGTCAGATGGGATGGTCCGCCAGATGTGAATGTGAAAACCGCAAAACGAAAAAAAAAAAATGTGACATCTTACCCATCAACCGCCCAGCAATGGGCACACAGATCTGGTCCCTGAATCCGACCAGCGCATACGTCCTCACATCTGGCGGCGCGGCTCTCACGGATCTCGCAGCCCAGACCGTGCGCACGGGCAGAAACACGCCCTGCACGTACGGCACGACGTTGCCCAGATAGAACGTCCACACCTCGACGACGCGCGTGATGAAGGCGTCGTCGGTCACTGTTGCGAGTTTTGCCGGGAGCGTTGAGAGGCCTTGTGTGAAGAGGTCGGTGAGGTCCAAGTCGAAGGTGGTGGGCGTGGAGTGGGAGAGCCAGGCGCTAAGGTGGGGGGTGGGGAGAGGGAGGGGAGGTTAGATGGTGGTGAGTGGAGCGATGGAGCGGGGGAGGGTGGGGGGGAGGGTGGGTTCGTGGGAGGGGATGGTTGACGGAGACCCGGCTGGCGAACGCAGAGCGAGCGCGAGCAAAGCGAGTTCCCAGTGCACCGTTCGCGCAATGATCCCCCTAACCGCACGTCCTAGGAGGGGTACCGGCGAGTGGTGAGCGAAAGCGAGCGACTTGGGTCATGCATCCGCCGCCCGACTTCCTTTCCGCGATGTAGCGAGCCATTGCTGCGATCTCTCATCGCCCTCCCTCCCTCCCCCCCTCTCCCTCCCTCTCCATCTCCGACCATACCCGTCCTCCGTTCGCACCCCCTTCCGTCTGAGTAACACACCTGACGATATCATTCAGATCCTCCATCTGCCCTTTCAACCCTTGCCCACTAAACAACGGCAAGACCCTTGCACACAACGCGCCCCACATCTGCTGCCTCGTCGCGTCATCAACCGCCGCAACAACCGACGTCGATGTATCCCGCTGCCCCGCACCATACGCGTGACCGCCGGGGGCGGTATTCCCACCAGCCCCATATTTCGCGGAAGTCAAAAAATTGGAACTAGACTTGTTCGCGACGTGGTTGGCACTCGTCGACGAGCTCGGGCTGTGGGTGTTGTTATTGTTGTTGATGATGACTGACGAGGCGGATGTATGTGAGCCAGCGCGGCGGACGGCGGTGCCTGTGGGCAGGGAGACGGTTGAGTTTGAGGCTGAGTGGTGGTGGTGGTAGGGGTGTGTGTAGGTGTTGTTTGGGTGGTTGTGAGCGCCTGCGGCGGCGGCGGCGGCTGTTGAGGAGGAGGAGGAGGGGTATGCGGCGTTTGCAACTGTTGCGGCGCTGTGAGAGCGCTTGCGGTGTTGGCTGTTCATGATGGAGAAGAGTGTTGTAGTGTGAGGGGGTGTGTTTGGGGCGAAAACGAGAGGGAAGGATGTCCCGCAGGAAAAAGAACACTTTGAGAAACGACGCGTTATATACAGTACGCGCAACCCCTCTGACTCACACAGCAACATGAGAACACGCGCAAGAGGGACTTTTCCGCTCTCGCCCTCGCAAGGCCTCTCGCTCGTAGACGCGTGCGAAAACTTCCAGTTCGACTTCCGCATTGGGTCAAGCCTTCAAACCCACCAACCAGAACCTTATAACATCGCAAGGTCGACCGCTCATCTTATCCAAAGTCCATCGCACGCTAATACAGTCCCCGCCTTCTGCAACATCCTCGTTCCCTTACGGACACTCTAAGAGTTGATACGCAACCATGGAGGTAAGGTGACTGCCAGTCCCGCCCCAAGATGCATGTCTGCGATCTGACTTTCCCATTTCCCCACCAGGCCCTCTTCGGCATAGTAGGCAAAGACTTTGTCCTCACAGCCTCAGACAGAACCACCGCCCGCTCCATCGTCGTCATGAAGCACGGTGAAGACAAATCAAGGGAACTCAACAAACAGACCCTCATGCTGTATTCGGGGGAGGCCGGCGATACCGTGCAGTTCGCGGAATACATTCAGAGAAATATTCAGCTCTATGGGATACGCAATGGCGTGCCTTTGAGCCCGCAGGCGACGGCTAGTTTTACTAGGAGGGAACTCGCCAATTCGCTCAGGAGTAGGGTAGGTGTTGAGCCTTGGTTTGAGATGGGAGCCCGACAACGATAGCGCGTCCACTGTATTACCGAGCGTCAGCGAGGACGAACGCAATGAAGTGCGAGCGGAGCGAGTTCCGCGCCACAGGCACACATTCAGCGAGCGAAATAAGCAGTATATGTTGAGGGACACCGCATGGTCGTGTTGCTTCGTTCAACAACCGCCCATCAACCAACTACGGATCAATTCACTTGCCCACACACTCACCCCCACTCTCTCCCAATCAACAGAACCCATACAACGTCTTTGTCCTAATCGCCGGCATCGACCCCAAAACGCAGCTTCCCGAACTCTACTGGCTCGACTACCTCGCATCCTCCGTGAAGCTGCCCTTTGCGGCGCACGGGTACGCGTCGTACTTTTGCATGTCCACGATGGACAGGTATTGGAAGGCTGATCTGACGCTGGAGGAGGCCAAGGCGCTGTTGCGGAAGTGCATTGAGGAGCTGAAGGTCCGCTTTATTGCTAATATGCCGGAGTTTACGGTCAAGGTGGTGGATAAGGAGGGGATTAGGGAGATTCAGTTGTGAGCCCGAGGGGGGGGGGGGGGGGGGGGGGGAGGGGGGGCGGGGGGCAAGTGCGGTCGGCAGGAGGTGGGAGAGAGACCCCCTGGATTGTATTGAAGGATCTCCGTGATGGTTGAGGCGCACATCTTGTAATATAGAGAAAAAACAAAATATGCAAAATGTTTCCTTTTTCTATCACGTTGGTGTACTCGAATGAACGTGCTACAAACACATGTCAAGACCCAAAAAAAGAATGTGTATTTGAATGTGGATGGATAAACGATATGTGCAAAACGAACCCCTTTAAGAAATGTGGCCGTGAGAATTCCGACCGACGCACATATAATATGTACAATCGTCGTGGGTGCCATGACGCCCGCCTGCATCCTCCCCACGTCTCAAATCACACCCCCGCCTCCTCCCCCTCTCCTCCTCTCTCAACCCCCACAACCTTCGTATTATACCCCCCACACCCTCCACACTTATGATAAACAAAATGGTACCTCGCCCTCGTCCTCCTCTCACAGTCATTGCAATACACGTTCGAGACGAGGTCGGCGTACTCGGCGGGCATGGTGTGCGAGGCGAGCATGGCGTCGATGCGGGAGAAGTAGCGGGTCATGTCGGCGAGGGATTTGAGGCAGGTCGGGCATTGGTAGGAGGTTTGAATGTGGGTTGAGTGGCAGGTTTGGTGGATGCAGTGGCCGCAGGGCTGGTAAAACCGAGGGAGGGAGGGTTAGTGATTTGTCAGTTCGTTGTGGGGTGGGGGTTTGCTGGGTGAAGGAGCACGAGGACATTTGACAGCGAAGAATGGGAAACAACATACCATGAAGATAACAGTACTAGTACTAGTAAACATAAACTCCCCACAGATCGGACAATCACACTCCAAATTCCGCTCAATGCATCTATGCCTCCCCTGCAGCGCGATCGCCATGCACGCGTTGCATTTCTCGCAGTGGAAGTAGTCGAGGCCTAGGCCGCGGCCAATGCGGCAGATCCCGCACGCGTCGCAGTGGTAGATGTGTTTCGTGGCGTCGTCGTCCCAGAGTTTGCAGGTCGGGCAGTAGTAGCATGCGAGCGGGGTGCTGCAGTGGAGGCAGGTGGAGGAAGCGGGTTGGGGGTGGAGGCAGTGCATGCAGAGCATTGTTGTTGTTTGGTGCCTGAGTGAGGGTGAGTGGGGTTAGACTTTGAACTCGGCTGGTGACATGGGCGGATGTGAATGGAGGAGTGGGGTTTACGGTACCGGTTCATGTTGTGATCAGAAACCTCGTCATGGCAGAACCGACAGGTGAACCATTTCCCGCAGCATCGGGCCTGAACCCTCGCCCCGCGCTGGTAATGCTTGCAGCCCAAAATCTGGGCGTCGTAATCCTATGTCGCACGACATGCGGGGTCAGCTCTCATCGAATGTAAAAGCGGAAGCTCTCCTTTTCTGGCCACCTACATGCCAAGTCTTGATCTTCTCTTCGTCGGTGATCTGCCCCAAGCTCTCGATCCCAGCCTCCAGCGACGGGATCGGCAGCGTATTGCTGTACATCGTCTTGGCATAGTTCCCGCTCATCAGTTGCTAAACGGTCCCGCAAAACAAATGAGCGATTCGCACGCACATGTGCCCTCCCACGTCCCGCCAGTAGGCCACACACCTGGATCTTCCTCGCCTTCTCCTGCGCACTCAACCCCTCATCCCCCTGTATCCCCACAATCTGCCTCCGCAAACTCTGCTGCTTGGCCACCGTCTCCGCCCCATCCACACCACCTGCGCCATCGGGAGGATACGACCCCGGAATCCGCAGGCTCAATTCGTCCCCTCTCCCGCCAGTCGGCACCCGCCCGTCTTCGCTGTCCCCGTCGGACTCGTCGTCATCATCATCGTCGTCGTCAAAATCGTCGTCGGAACTATCCGAATCTTCAAACACGTCATCCCATTCGTTGTGGGAAAGTGCATCCTGGAAAGACACATGCTCGACCCCATCCTCCCCATCCTCTTCCTCCTCGTCTTCTTCCTCATCCGATGTCCGCAGAACCGAGTCGTCGTCGTCGTCGTCGTCGTCGGAATCCACCAGATCAGAGAATGTTGGTTGGTTTGGTGGCACTGCGGAGTGCGAGGGGGCGGCGGAATGGAATGGTGGGTGGGTGGAGGGGTTGTTGGAGGGGAGCGGGGTTGCGACGGAGGCTAGTGGGGACGGTGGCGGGTTGTGGGACATGGCTGCTGGGGCGAAGTTGGGTGGGCGTTGGTGGTGAGCGGCTGGTGGGGTGTTGGAGGAGTCCATGAGCTATGGGTTTGGGCGGTGGACTGAGCGAGAATGGTAATGGGTTCCTGCTCGTGGGAGAACGTAATGCCAACTTGGTTGTCACTTGGGTAATAGTTGTTTGAAGCTGATAAAGCTGCAAAGTGCCGTCCGTGAGACTTCCTCGAGCCACTTCCAGGAAGGACGCTTTCCCACAGGTCTCACTTGAACTTGGGACCTTGCGCGCGTTTCCCGAGTTTTCCCCCCAGTGGCCTTTTCCAACGGAACCCCAAGTCCCCATTCCCATCCACAATACCGCAAAAAATGAACCCGCAAAAGTCAACCCGCGCCGCCAACATCCTGCACAAAACCGTCGGCGGCTTCCTCATCGGCGCCTCCGCCTTACTGCTGCTCAACACCGCCAGCATGTTCTTCAATATCGGGTACCGCGCCAACAAGGCCGCCAAGGCGAGGGAATTGCAGGGGAGGGAGGGTGTTGTGGTGAGTTTTGGGGGATAGGAGTAGGGTTCCGGAAAAGAGAAGAAGAGTTGAGGGTGGACAGCGTGGGATTTGAGGGGATGTTGGTGTGTGTTGGGAACAACCCACTGACCGTGGACCTATTTGTTTCGCTCACAGCCGGGCGAGGACCAGAAACTCCCGAAGCTGATCTAGTTCACTCACCCCGCCGACTCACCAACACCCACCCACGTTCCGCTCCTCGCCTCCCTCGCCTGGAAATGTCTCCCTCACATACGCAACCCTGCCTGTAATTGATCCATCTACCGAACATAACGAAGGATATGGGTGGGAGATATGCGATTGCCGCCACATGTGTTCGATCGTTTGTTAGGAGTCGAAGCTGTGATGTAGAACCATCTCCATGCGGATTTTTGGGGCAGGGGTAGAGACTGATTGTACGGAAACTACCGACGAGCCCATACCCCACACACACACATAGACGTGAAGTACTCGCGAGCCATGGCGTCTATCCTACTATCCTATTGTAATTACCTGGGTGATAGAACTATCTACCCTAAAACATGACTCGGCGGCTTACGACTTGTCGACGGTAGTGCAAGGAGAGTGGGGTGGACTTGCGGCACTGAGTAATTCAAGATCATAGAGAAGTTGTCTGTTACGTAGAGTCACCTCACTTAGTCCAACACGTAGGAAAAATGAGGTTAGGTCTCCGAAAATCTCACCTGTTGTCTTGGCCTTTGAGACGCCCGAATTCTCAAGAGGGGGACGCAGCTCCCATTCCAGAACCCGCATCCTTTTATGCCTGAAAGGTGGCCTCTCCCTCAGGCTAACCACTGGCGTCTCCATCCAAGGGAAAAGGTATGGCAAGGCATTGGCATTTATTTCGGTCCTCCCAAAAAGTCTACTTAATCCCCTCTTTTTCAGAGCAGCCTTCTGCAGACCAGTTCGGTACATTACCCACCATGGCCCAAACGCTGCTCCAACCCCCCGACGAAGCGCCTACCGTTCCGCAGCAGGCCTCAGCGGCAACGCCAGCGCCGCCCTTTGATCTCCAAGTCTACCAGACCAGCGAAACGCACAACGAGGGAAGCACGACGCTGCACTTCCAGATCACCAGGATGAAGGACGATGCTCTCTTTGTGTGGGCGGGAGTGGACACGCCTGTTCCGGCGCACAGGAGGGGCGAGGAGGGTGAGGTGGCGCCGGATACTATGGGAAAGTTGAGTGGGTTGGCTGTCGCCATGCCGACGCGATATGTACGTTACGGTATTGGAGGATACCTTGCAACTACGGCTTGATCGGGGGTGCTTGAGGGATTATTGAGATTGTCAGAATGCCTGTGTAGATGTTGACCGGGCTTTTGCGCTCCTCAGGATAGGACGGCGGCATCGACGACGTTGTTGGCTACAACGGGTGGAGACGACCCGAATGAGCGCCTTGCAAAGCGTCTTGGTGAGTCTGCCGATGGTGTCCCATATCCAGTTTGTTGCGATGTTGACATTATCTTGATTCAGCAACGAAACACGGCATCCAGATCTTTATTTCTATGGATATCCCACCACCTTCAGCGAGCAGCGTAATGGGTGGGGATGAAGTGGAAGCCACCCAACAGCTGGTTGAACAGCGGATTGCCGCCCTCGTTAGGGATCTGATTGCCTCCCCCAAACTGGCGCACTTCTCGGATACGACTGCGCCGTCGGAAGCAAATCCGTCACCACCAGGCCCAGGTGCGGCGCCGTCTGATGGACAGTCTCAACAAAACACGGCACCGTCACGCGATACCAACGGCAGTAGTTCGTCATCACCACATGAACCTTCGTCGACCGGCACAACACCACCTTCCTCATCCGCATCGAAAGACTGGGAGTCCTTCTTTCGCGAGACCCCACCGCCAGCCGGCATCGAAGAAGCCGGCCAACGCGTCGACGCCTTCGTAGCTTTGCACGCCGCGGCCAACCGACGCGTCGTTCTCGTCACCTCCGGTGGTACCACGGTCCCGCTCGAGCGCAACACCGTGCGGTTCATCGATAACTTCAGTGCGGGCACACGGGGCGCGACGTCGGCGGAGTACTTCATTGAGGCGGGTTATGCGGTGATCTTTATGCATCGCCAGTTCTCCTTGCAGCCGTATAGTCGGCATTATTCGCATACTACGAACTGCTTTCTGGATTACATGAAGGTTTTGCCCGACGGTTCATTGACCGGTAAGTAATAGCAGCAAAAGCACACTGCCCGCTGCTTCCGCACGATTCATTCTCATTCCAAACAAACCCCATCTCCCTTACAATCACCAGTCGAAAGCAAATACACCGACCACATGCGCACCGTCCTCTCCGACTACAACCACGCCAAACAAGACCACCTCCTCATCATGGAGCCCTTCGTAACCGTCGAAGACTACCTCTTTCTCCTCCGGCGCTTCACGACCTCCATGTCGCGGCACCTGCGCCACAACGCCATGTACTACCTCGCTGCGGCCGTGTCGGATTTCTTTGTGCCGGCTGGCAAGCTGGCGGAACATAAGATTCAGAGCAGTGGCGGTGAGCTGAATCTAAAGTTGGACCAGGTGCCGAAGATTATCTTTCCGTTGGTGGATCGGTGGGCTGAGAAAGGGTTTATTATCTCTTTTAAGGTGAGTTGGGCAGAGCGAAGGCGGAGCTGAATGCCCCGGATTGACCCATGTACAACTCACTCCTTTCGCACAGCTCGAAACCGATCCCTCAATCCTCGACTCCAAATCCCGCCGCGCCCTCGCGACCTACCACCACCAACTCGTCATCGGCAACATCCTCGCAACACGCAAAAAGACCGTTTCGATCGTCTCTGCCAACGCGCGGCAATCACAAACACCCGCATCGACGAGTTCGGCGGAGCAGCAATTAGAAACGACGACGACGGAGATCACGCTCACACAGGCAGAACTGGACGCACATGTGGAGATTGAGAGCCGGATCGTGCCGTTGGTTGTGCAGCGGCATGGAGAGTGGATTGACGAGCAGACTAGGGCAGTAAATTAAATATCAACCTCCAGCGTAGCGGATAGGCTAACATGTTCCCGAAAATTAAAAGTCACATGCTCGGTTGCGGGTGCAAACTCATCAGACACTGCGCATTGCTGGAGTATCATTCGAAGGGTGGAGAATGCATCGACTGGTCAAGGCTCACAGCTTTGCAACACCTTGATGCATCAGCTGCCAAATAGGTTGCATTGGCAATGCCTATCAATCCGGGAGAAGGCAGTCAAGGTAGCAACTGCCAACACTGCTGACACGCTGGACGAATTTGCACCCAATCCCACACGCAACAAGAGTGTTACGCCAAGAAGCACTTTTCTCCACAAAGAAGAATGCTTTGGAGCTCTGTCATTGTTGACGAGTTTTAGCGGGGAAAATTGCAGGAATAGGCCTATTGTTTGAAGCTGATAAAGCTGACGCCAATGTCTTGCAAAGTGCCCTTCCTCAACCCACTTTCCAAGCATCAGCTGGCATTGGCAATGCCTATCAATCCGGGATAAACGTGGAAATCTTTCCCACCGCGCCACCACCGCATGGCCGAGGTAGTCATATCCTTCCTAACGCTTGCCCGCCACCTCCACCATCCCATCATCCTCCGTCTAAACCAGGCAGATTCCCTCCATGGCTACCTGCTCAACGTCGATCCTGAGACTCTGACCCTCATTCTCGCGCAGGTTAGAAGTTGACATTCTGCATTCTGCACAATTTGGTTAGGCGATGAACCTGAACACTGTTCATACGCTTTCTAGGTGAAGGAGAAAGTTGAAGACAGTGACCATGCAGATCATCAGCTTGGCGGGGTTGGGATGGACTTGGGGGAACTGGAGGACGGTGGAAGAGGAGGCCAGGAGCTGGGTTTCGTAGAGCAGGAGGATGAAAGAATCAGCGGCAGTACAGGCCAAGCGGAAAACAGTGGGAACCATCATTCAAACTTTGCCGAGGATGACTACTCACTCATTATCGTCATGCGGCATGCCGTCGTCGGTGTCGAAGGTGGAGTGACCCTCCTCCCCGTTTTCTCTCCCCCCAATCTGTTGCTGCGACAAACATGCGATGTTAACGCACGCATCATCTCCCTTCTCTCCGCTAGCTGATCAATACGCAGACCGTGGGCCCACCCCACTCACCGAATTACAAGTCACCAAGCTCCTAAGCCAAGTCTCAGCAAGCCCCACCAACACCGACACTGACATTGAAACCGCACGACGCAGCCTGGTAGCTCATCTACACAGGAACAACATCCACGCAGGGGATCAGGCGGATCCGAATGTGATTAGCATCCTGAGAGGCGCGGTGAAGATCCACCCGCCGTACAGTGCGGCTTGTGTGGACGTTGTCGGTGGAGATGAGATGGTTGGGGGGCAGGTGCGCAAGGTGGTGGCGGAGTGGTGGCGGGATGGGGTTGGGGTGCGGTGATGAGAGAAGCATCTATGGACATCTGGAATAATATACCCTCTGAAGCCTGATCTCGCGCTGCATCAGAAGTCGGGACCGATCATTCTCTCCTAGGGATTGCTCTTATGTCATGGTCTTCGCTGGTTTCTATTTTTCATTCACGCCCAGAGGCTCCGTTGCGAACTGTGCCTCTCTTGTGCAGATCTCAAAGGCGTCGGTAAAGGACTGATGCTTTCACTGTGTTCGTTCGAGGGCCGGAAGCCTGTTAGTCCACCCTGAGGAGGTCGATCACCCATTTGCAAAGAGAAGAGGTTTCGTAGTATGAAGCAATGCGTTTGGTATTGTTTATAGATAATGAGTGAACTATGAAAATATAGTCCGCGAAAAGGTCCCTGCGCCGTATCTCCATTGTCTGTCTATTCTACTAACAGCCGATGGGTGACATAGTCCGTTCGTAGTGTGGAAGCGGCTCAGTGGAAAACCTTGACCCTCTCGTCAAGGGGTTTGAACTGCTTCTCGCCAGCAGGAGCGGTGGGCTTTCCGAAGGGCATTTGAGCGACAAGTTCCCATGTGACGGGCACATTCCATTCCTGTGAAAGACAAAAAAGTACACATCGATAAGCGGCGTGGTCCTCGGCAAGCGGAGGAGGCCAACATTAAACGCTACAATGACTCACAGAGCGGACCCTCTCATCAATGAGCGGGGCATAATGTTGAAGGTTGGCTCCAAGGCCTTCCTTCTCAAGGGCGGCCCATACGACGAATTGAAGCATTCCAGAAGTGTGTTGAGCCCAGATGGGGAAGCGATCTTGGTAGGTGGGGAACTTGTCTGAAAGTAAAAAGCGCGTCGTAAGGTTGAATTCGTCAACTCTCAGAGAGGACATTGACAGAGAGCTAGCTCGTCCACTTCCACCTACCCTGCATGGCCTTCACGTCATCCTTGTCTTCGAAGAACAGAACAGTGCCGTGGGCGTTCCTGAATCCGTTGATCCTGGCCTCAGTGGCGGGGAAAGCCTCAGCAGGGACAATTGTTTTCAGAATCTCCTTAGTGATGTCCCACAGCTTGTCGTGGTGAGCAGCGAAAAGAATAACGGTGCGGGAGGATTGCGAGTTGAAGGACGAGGGGACGTGCTTGACCGCATGCTTCACAATCTCCTCGACGCGTGCATCGGAGATGGTGCTGTCCTTTGAGAGAGTGTAAATGGTACGACGGGATGCGACGGCATCGAGGAATTCAGTGGCTGGAGCGGACATGTTTTTGTTGGGAGTGGGTGCGGAAGCGTAAGTGCGTTTGAAGTGAAGGTTGTGGGAACGGTAGGAGGCGAGTGGAGAGAAGTGGCGGGGGGCTGGAGAAAGGCGCAGGCTGCTTTTATAGGCGAGGGAGGCCATGACGCTGGCGTGCGAGATGCTGGGTGGAGCGCGGGATACAACACTTTCACCTTACGTTTTGTATGTTTTGTATGACAAACAGACCAACTCTTTGGGACATGTTTGGCTGATGTGAAATTCAGCCGGACTCGGAGAACGTTTTGACATCGCTCGCATTGGATGGGTCTAATGAGAAGCTCCCTCAAGCTTGAAATCATTGTCGTTCGCACAGGAAGAGCCTCTTCTTCCCTCCCAGTGAGGCCGCATTTGTCAAAAGCCTCGGAGTCTCGGACTTGCGAGTTGCGACTTTCAAATTCGTGTTTGGGGCGCATTTGCCATTACCAGGGATTTGGTTCGTTGTTGGCATTTCGGTGCGTACCCAGGGTTTTCATCAACGGCAGTTTAAGTAAAGTCACGTGAGTTGGGACTGTATAATATCTCTTTTTTCCAGCCATCCGCAAAGTTCAAATGAGGCGCGCCGCCGCATGTTGACTCGATCAAGGTCAAGTTGTCACAATCGGCGAGATTTGAGGCGTAACCACATTCCCACGACAGCGAGATTGTGGAGGTACACATATTGCATAGATAGGGCTTATATACTGAAATCCACGGAGCAGCGACCGCCTGCCAGTGGGCGCACACGAGAGGAACTCCTCGATAAGGGTCTCCACGATGTTCTCCAACCTCAGCAAAGCCTTGCAGGCTTCCCGTGATGCTCTTGGCACCATCCAGACGACCATTAAAGACCAAGGAATGGACTCGCTAGGCAGCCTCGCAAGATCGTCAACGGCCACCCAACTACCTGCCACGAGTTTCTTTGACGATGGGTTATCGGACGATGGATTCAGGGACCAGGCCTTAATACCGCCAGCAGAGGAGCTGATACGATTCTCAGAAGACAAAGGGCCGTCAGACGAACCACAACCACGGTCATCCCTAGACTCGAGTGCTCGCTCGTCGAGCATCATACCACCAGGGCAGAGCGGAGGTGCAGGAAGGTCTGGCGGCACCGTTTTTGCCAACCAATCACAACCAGCGCTGTCATCCATGACCCCCGAGCAGGTCTTGAGCATGGACGTCAACGAGATGGGACAGCGGCTAGCGAGGCTGCGCAAATTCGAAGCCAAGTTCCAGGACCTCGCTCGTGTTTACAAGTCGTTGCAGAGGAAGCTGCAGCAGATTGAGACCGTCATCAGCGCCAACGCACCAGTGCAGAAGATCTCGTCTAGCGCGGATCTGGAGGCGTTTGATGCATATCTCAAGTCATTGCGCGAAAAACAAGATGTAAGAATCGTTTATTGGGTGACGTGGAGGACTTCTCGGGCGTTTCTATGTGCGATGTACTCACTCATCCCTACTCTTCTCGCTTTGCTTCAAGATATCTTCCGCCGAGATCGGCCGACTATCCCGACAAGTCAGCGAAATCAAAGAGGTTCAAGAGCTGGAATCAACTACAAAACAGGACATGTTTGTGGCCCTGCAAAGCAAACTCCTGCAACGAGAGGAGGTATTGGCGCTGCACCACCGCATCTCGCTCCATGATGACGCGACCAAATCTCACCTCTACTACTCTCGATCCTGGCAGGAAATCAATCGCCTGAAACACGCGCTGCAACGGCAAAGCAACACGCCGCCAGCGTCACCCTTGCCGGACTCCAACACCCTCTCCGCCGCATTCTCACCATCGCATGACTCCCTCAATACCAACGAGTCGTCGATCAATCTGAAATTGAAGATTCGCGACCTTACGTCTCAGCTGAAGCGGGCGCAAGATGAGCGCGATGCTGCAAAGGAAAAGTTCCAGCAACTGTCAGAGTCTGTCGCTGCTCGCGAGGAAAGCCAAAAATCTCTGAATGACGAGGCACGGGCAGCAGCGGATGCCGAGACGTCACAAAAGCCCGCCGAAGAATCAGCCAATGAGCAAAGTCTACGCGAGATGCTGGCACGCGCCGAAAATCTGAGAGAAACGGCCGATAAGGAGGTTGCCCATATGCGCGACCGAGTCAGTGAACTGGAATCCTCCATCAACGCTCGACAGACGGATCTGGACAAAGCGAACGGGACTCTTCAGACCCTCGAACAGCGTTTGGTGGACCAAACCACTGAGAAGACGTCATGGCAGGAACGGTTCGAAGCCTTGCAGCGTGAGAAACCCCTCCCGGACGCCACAGACGACACCTCACCAACACAAGCCAATCTTTCGAAAGCGGAACGCAAAAAAGTTGTGAAAGAGAGAGATCGCCTGGCGACACAGGTTACGGATCTTGAGCAGCGGCTGAATGAGCAGACGGGCAAATTCACCAACCTTGAAGCTCGTAACGGGGATTTGCTGCAGCAGCTTGCGCAACAGCAGGAGCTTGCTAAGGGGAGGGACGATCTCCAACTTCAGATTGCGGAATTGCAACGAGAGTTGGAAGATTACCGGACGCGTTTGCGGAAAGCGGAGGAAAACGCCGACAAAGTCAAAGCCGCTGATGCGCTGACCGAGTCGACGCAGATCCGGGATCTCGAGACACAACTCGCCGAATCTCTGGGTGAGCTTGAGCGCATACAAGCGGAACTGGCTACCGCGCAGACACAAGGAGACACGCATAACGAGAAAGCACGCGTGCTGGAGCAGCGGATAGCTGACCGCGAAAGTCGTATTGAGCAGCTGGAAGCTGAACTGGCTCGCAGTAGAGATGACCTGTCGGCCGCGCGGGAACAGTTGTCCTCCATGGAAATTGCGTCCGAAAAAGCCGCCGTTGAGGCACGCGAGGCTTTGGCCGCATCGACCGCCGAGCTCCAGGCCTTACGTGAGGTACTACATCAAAGCGACCTCCGCGTGAAGGACCTGGAATCCATTGCCGAGCAACGACAAAAGGATCTGGCCGCCTCAGTCGCCGAGCTACAATCCCTCCGCGACGCGCAACATCAGAGCTCCCTGCGCGTCAAAGACCTCGAATCCGCAGCTTCGGACCGCCAAGAGCACCACGAGCGCGAACTAGCATCCGCCACTACCGAGCTGCAATCCCTGCGCGAGGCACAAACCCAAAGCTCCCTCCGCGTCAACGACCTCGAGTCCGCAGCCTCGGAAAGCCAAAAAGACCACGACCGTCTGCAGAACCTCATGAAGGCGATGCGGGAGAAACTGCAAACGCGGATCGGGGAGCTGGAGGGTCAGGTCACGACTCTGACGGGCGAGATCGAATCGCTGCGTGCGAAGCCACGGGAGAATGGTGATGTGGGTGTTCAGCTTTCTGCGTTGCAGGCGGATTTGTTGGAGAAGGAGCGCAAGATTAGGGATTTGGAGGTTGAGTTGCAGACGCGGCAGGAGACGGTTACTGCTGTTGAGGTGACGACGCCGACGACCCCGAATGAAGTAGGGGGCAGTGGGAAGAGCGGTGCGAAAGGGAAGAAAGGAAAGAACAAGGCCGCGAACAACAACAGTGGACATAACAGCAACGCGAACCTCACCGCGAATAACGAGATCACCCAACTCAAAACAGCGGCCAAGACAGCACAAGCGAAAATCGAGGAGTTGCAAAGCAAGCTGAACGAATCGGAGAATTTGGTTGCTGATCTGCAGCGCGCGGTCAAGACGGCCGACGAGAAGGCTGAGGGTTCGCTGAGGGACGCTGAAGCCAAGATCGCGGAATGCGAGCGGTTGCAAAGCGAGATGGAAGCTTTGAGGACCCAGTTGGCGGATGCCGCGGCTGGTGCTTCGAAATCGGCGACCGAGAGCGAGGCACGGGTGGGGGAGCTTACCGACTTGGTGAGGGATCTGGATGGCCAACTGCAGACACTGCAAACCGAAAAGCAGACGTTGGAAGATGCGGCGCGGTCCACCGCCTCGGCATCTCGAAACGAGGCGGAGCAACGTATCGCTATGCTTGAAAACCAGTTATCGGTGTTGCAGGGGCAGTACGATAAAGTGCAGGAGGAGTTTGCGGAGAATGTCAAAGCGACGATCGATGCGCAGTCCGAGGCGAGGGATTTGCAGAGCCAATTGGATATGTTGCAGGGGCAATATGATAAAGTCCAGGACGATTTCGCGGATAAAGTCAAAGAGACGATCGACGCACAAGCTGAGACGAAGGATTTGCAGAGCCAATTGGATATGCTGCAGGCGCAATACGATAAAGTGCAGGACGATTTCGGCGATAAGGTTCGTGAGCTTATGGCTGCGGAGGCCAAAGAGAGCACGCTCCGGACGCAGCTTGTTGAGGCAAGGGAGGCATACAGGGCTGCGTCAAGTTCCGCGACCGAGTTGCAGAGCTTGCTGTCATCGGCTTCGGAGAAGGATGCGCAGCTCCAGCAATTGCGCGAGGAGAAGGAGAGTCTCGAGAGGCAGCTAGCTGACGCGGCCTCTGTGTCGGAGACAGCGGCGGCGCTTGAGAACCGGGTGACGCAGCTCACGGAGGAGATACACACCCTCACAGAAACGCAGAAGCGGCTTCAGCAGGAGAAGGCGGAGATCGAGCAGCGGCTGCATACCTCTGAAGAGAACCAGGCGTTCGCGAAACAGGCCGTGCATGAGCGCGACGCGGCTGTTAACGATCTCGGGTCCGAGATAGCGTCGTTGAGGATGCAATTGAAGGAAGAGGAGGAGAAGAAAGCTAAATCAATCCAGCTGCTCCGCCAATCCAAGGCGCGGATTCTGAAACTCGAAGCCGAGTCGCGGGGCAAAGACGAGGCCCTCGCTGGCGTGCACGACGAGATACGTGCGCTTACAGAGCAGCGCGACAGCGAGATCCGCGAGAAAGACATGCAGCTCGCCAACGTGACGCGGCAGATCGAGGACATGCAGACACGGCTACGACGGCAACACGAAGGCGCCGCGGAGCTCGAACGGCAGCGGATTGAGTTTACGGCTGAGAAGATGCAGATCCGGGCGCGATTGGAGGAATTGGAGAGCGCTGAAGCCCGCGTGCGTGCTGAACGCGATGCGGCGTGGGAGGAGCTGGAGATGCGGAACGCGGAGCTGGACTCGGCGAGGTCGTTGCTTGAGGCAAGAGAGGCGCAGCTGTCGGGCGAGATTGGAAGGTGGACGGGGGTTGAGGAGCGGATGGCTAATATGGAGCATGAGCTGGAGACCTCCAAACGGCTGTTTCAGAGCAAATCGGCGGAGAACGATTCGCTGCGGATACGGGTGTCGGAGCTTGAAGCGCAGGTTTATGAGGCCTCGCAGGCGTCTGGGAAGGTGGAAGGCGATCTTGACGCTTTACGGCGCGACGCGCGGGAGGCGAAACGGGATCTTGTAGAGAAGGGCAAGGAGATCGACCGCCTGAAGCGGGAGATTTCCGACGCCCAGACAGAAGCAGCTACCATCTCCGCGCAGCTTGAGCGGTTAAAAGCCGAGGGCGAGCAGCGCGCAGCTGAGCGTGATGCGTTGCAGACGCAGATGAAGGAGTGGGATATGCGCGAGGTGGATTGGAAGCTGAAGGAGAAGGAGTTGGCGACGAAAGTGGAGCAGCTGGAGGCTGAGCGCGAGAAGTTGAAGAAGCAGACGGATCTGTCGTTGCTTAATCGCGATAAGCTGTTGGAGGATATGAGGGTGCGAGAAGGCCAGCTGAAGAATCTGAATAAGGTGAGTTGCGGGTACCTCGCTGGCGAGTCTCGCGCTGCTTTCAGCCATCACAGCTGGTATATAATGGGAACATGAGTAATAACGGCTCTCGTCCCCCCTAAACACCCAGACTCTGAAAGACGAAGTCCGCAAACTCTCCCGCACAGCATCATCCTCCGCCCTCGGCCTCACACCCACCACCCCCGGCGCCGGGCTGCAATCCCCACCACCCATCTCTCGCCCCTCCTCCTCCGGCTCCCTACACACCCCGCGACACTCTCACCACGGCTCCATCACCTCCATCGCCTCCGACGACAGTGTCGGCAGCCGCCGCGAGTCGTTGCACACGTCCCGGCCTTCCAATCTGGGCAATAGTCATAACGCTGGCGGTGGCATGGGAGCCAGCGGGTTCTTCCCGCCGGCACGCGGGACGAGCATCAGCGCGTTTGGGAGCGCGGCGGCGGCGCAAAGTCCACAGTCGACGCCTGCGCAGGACTTACCGGAACCGAATCAGGAGTACTTAAAGGCTGTGCTGCTCAAGTTTTTGGAGGCGAGGGATAAGAGGGTAGGGTTCACCTTCGTTGCCGCGATTTCGAGTTCCGTGGTGTGCTGACAAGTATCTTCCCGTGTCTTTTCTCAGGCCCAACTCCTCCAGGTCCTCGCCATGCTTCTCCACTTCTCACCCGACGAGCTCAAGCGCGTGCAGAAGAACATGTAAACGGATCTGCTCGGGCTTCGTATGCCACTAGCACACAAGTTCAAGGGCCTTGGTCACCCCAAACCCATACCCATAACATTTCGCACGCCACGTCACACCCGCTACTACCGACTCCGTGAGACATGAGACACCCTCACACCATGGCACTTACCGTGCACCCTCAGCAACGTAGATTTTTGGGGAATGCCGACTTTTGTGGATGTGCCGTGTTCGTGTTGGGGCCTGGACGCCAACTACCACTCTTTCTTCCTGTTGTTGCGTTTATGATTTTTCTTTGCTCTACTGATACCGCATAGTATTTCATTGTCATAGACCTGATTAATATATTTCTCTGTCGTTGGATAACATAAACGACGTCGCTTTGGGGGGATGGTCGCTATCAATTTCAAGGGCAGGATTGAGACTTTGGAACGTGCAAGCGATTTTGGGGTGGGGGGGGGGGGGGGGGGGGGGGGCGGGAACATGGGCAGGACTGGACGAGTAGTTCAGAGTGGAAAGAAGGGAACGCCAGCCCGCGGGAAGGGCACTTATGTATGTTTTTGAAGCAACGAGGATGGGAAAACGCACGATGGAAAAAAGGTGAAGGACAACACGTGAGGCTCCTTTCCCAGCTACTGCCGGCCATATGCGCATAACTCGCGGGCGAAGTGGGCAGGCCCGAGGACAAAGACGTTGGGTGACGGTGGGCAAGTGGAGCCCACAGGATATTCCTGGAATCCCTCGTGGGACCAATTCGATAGAACGTCCAGCTGAACGGTGTCCCAGAGGCAAACTAAACTCCCGCTAGTCACATGTCCCCATTTCTCGCCTATCTTCCTTTGTGCCTCCCACGTCGATATTTTGCCTGATTGCTATGTCGTATAGGCGGGCCCAACATCCCTGAACCAAGCTGCCCTCAAGTACTCGAATGCTCTGATCCAGAGAGCCGATCCTACGCTGCGGTGGGCTTGTTTTGCCGAATGCAGCCCGTCGGAGGGGGCCAGTTTTCGAGGACACTCCACCGACCACCCGTCGGGCGTTTCAACCACCGTTGGCAATGTCGGCTAGTCTGTCCAGAGTTCCTTCATCTCTTCTTAGCAGCCCTCTTCCCATCCGAACCGCCGCCTGTAGCGCCCATGAACCCAGTTGCCTCCAAGACACTCCGCGCGCAATTGTTAATCAGCTTAAACCGTTGCGGCCCCAAATGAACACCCCCATACCATCTCGTAACAACCACCATCGCCCCACGCACATCCGCCAACTGCAGCATATGCAGCAATCTCCCACCAGCCGCCGTCTCTCCATCATCATCGCAATCCTGCCGGATGACGCCGTTGGGCTCTACGATGCGGTAGGCGAGGATGTTGTGCGTCGCGCGGCGGATGCGGTTGTTTGTGAGGAGGGCGGAGAGGACGAAGGCAACTTGGTCGGGTGTCGTGATGGGTGAGACGTGGGCTACAAAGACCGATTTGCGCTCAACTAGGGGCTCTGTGGAGTGTGTTATGGGTGGACAGTTGGGCGGTTTGATCATGGGGAAGGCTGTTGAGAGGTGCTCTGTGTTGTCATCCGTGGGCGTGCGCGTTTCGTCGCCCGTCCGGGTTGAGCTGCTACTCGGTCTTTCTCCTTCGCCATGGCGCTCCGTCGGATTCCCCGCGGCCTCCACAACCATGCCAAACTCCAGCCCGATGTCGTCACCGCCATACCGCTCCTCCAGCATCGACTTTAGCAGTTCCACCCATTCGAAGATGATAACCTCGCCGGGAACAAAAGACCCGAGGAACTTGCCGTCCAGTTCCCTCCTAAACGAGTCCGAGACTCCAAAGCTGTTTCCCGCACGATTACGCCAGGCTGTCACTAGTTCGTAATATGGGGGTTCTTGGGAAGGGTAGGTCGAGGGGAGATGGCATTCGAGGAGGACTGGGCCGAGCGGGACGGTGAGTTTGATAGTGACAGCGTCCGGATGCGCATCTGCCGCAGCGGCGTTATCACTCACGAACTCCGGGCCGTATATGGAGGAGAGAGCCACTAACTCCTCCTGCTGAAGCACCTTATTATTACTCTCCTCGGCGTCGTCCATCTTGGGTGGTCGAATGGCGTCCGTTTCCCGAGTGACGTTTCTCTTCAGTCAACGAAATAAATGTCCACGTTGGGAATGAGTCAGCGTCACGGGACGAGCAGCAATTAAAAGCCCGCTCACGGTCTCACAAGCGACGCGGCTGATGGGGTCACGCGTCGCGTGGAGGCAGGCAGGCCATTCCCCCATTTGGCCTCGTTCTTGAGCAAGGCGGTTTTCTCGCCATCCTCCTCATCATCAGGTCGCTACCGCCATCAGCTTCCTCGCTCTCTCTCGAAATACCCCTGGTGGGCTTACTCGTGAGACTATCAGAACTAAGCCTCGTATGTCAAAGTCTTCCTCTTATTCAAACAACGCTTGGCGTCCTGACCCTTTCCACTGTCCTCGCAGAATATGATTTCCTCGTTGATGATTGCAGGCGCGCGGCGGCGCATGTCCCTCCCGGCAAGAGCCGCCGCTCGGCGCCTGGTGGTCGCTCAAAGGGTCGTCCTACTTACTGCCACTGTCACTGCAAGGTTGAGCAGGAACGGTAAGACGGTGTAGTACTTGATCTCCTGTCTTCTGTATATGCTTTCATAACCCGCAACCTATCACAGCTTCGTCAACTACAACACAAGCCACGTCCCCCAGCAACGGCGCCCCAAGCCCCATCGTACGAAAGCCTCTCTTCGACAAAATCCTGATCGCCAACCGCGGTGAAATCGCATGCCGTATCGTCCGCACGGCTCGCAAACTCGGAGTCAAAACCGTTGCCGTCTACTCCGAAGCAGACCGCAACTCCATGCACGTGCAGATGGCCGACGAGGCATTCTGCATCGGTCCTGCCCCGTCGGCGGATAGTTACCTACGCATGGATAAGATCATCGAGGTTGCGAAACAGACCGGCGCGCAGGCTATTCACCCTGGTTATGGGTTCTTGTCGGAGAATGCTGGGTTTGCTGAGAAGGTCACGAATGCGGGGTTGACCTTCATCGGGCCACCTGTGCAAGCTATCGTTGATATGGGTTCGAAGAGCGCCTCTAAGATTATCATGGAGAACGCAAAAGTGCCCTGCGTGCCGGGATACCACGGCACGGACCAAGCCCCCGAGAAGCTGAAGACGGAGGCCAAACGCATTGGCTACCCGGTACTTATCAAGGCCATCAAAGGCGGAGGTGGCAAGGGTATGCGTATTGTGGACAAGGAGGAGGATTTCCAGGAAATGCTGGACAGCGCCAAGCGGGAATCCATGAAGTCTTTCGGAGACGATGCCGTCTTGGTCGAGAAGTACCTCGTCCGGCCCCGTCACGTCGAGGTCCAGGTCTTTGCCGATACTCAGGGCAACGCGGTGTATCTTTTCGAGCGGGACTGCAGTGTGCAGCGTCGTCATCAGAAAGTGTTGGAAGAGGCACCTGCTCCTGGGCTTACGCCAGAGCTTCGTCGCTCGCTTGGAGAGAAGGCTGTGGCCGCTGCCAAGGCTGTGAACTACGTTGGGGCTGGAACCGTCGAATTCATTCTCGACACCGACGACCAAAAGTTTTACTTTATGGAGATGAACACCAGGCTTCAGGTCGAACATCCCGTGACCGAGATGGTCACCAACACCGATCTCGTGGAATGGCAGCTCGAGGTCGCGGCCGGTAACCTGCTGCCCAAGTTCCAGGAAGATCTTGAACTCGTCGGTCATGCGTTCGAGGCGCGCATTTACGCTGAGAACCCGAACAAGGGGTTCTTGCCTGACACGGGTCGTCTTACTTTCATGAAGACGCCGGAGGAGTCGGAGAGGTTGCGGGTTGAGACAGGTGTTAGGATGGGCGATGAAGTTAGTGTTCATTACGATCCTATGATCTCGAAGCTGGTCGTTAGTGGACGGAACCGTGACGAGGCTTTGAAGTCCCTGAGGACCGCCCTGGAGCAGTTTCACGTGAGTTTGTTCTGAAAGATTACCCTCATTGCAACGTTTTCCTCATCAGCTAACATTTTGCTTCTTCCTAGGTCTCCGGGCTCCACACAAACATCGATTTCCTGAAATCCCTAGCCACTCACCCCTCCTTCATCGCCGCCGACGTCGAGACGGGCTTCATCCCAAAACACGAGAAGGATCTTTTCCCTGTTGCCGCTGCAACCCCGCACGACATCCTTGCCCACGCCGCTTTGGGATCCCTTTTACAACAAGACATCAAGAAACTCGCCGTCTCACCCGCCCTTGCCCCGCCAGCAATCGCGCCGTTTGCCGACCCTTGGGGCGCTCTGACTGGTTTGAGGTTGAACCATGAACTCACGCGTGTCGTGAAACTGATTGACGCGCAAGGGAAGGATGTCACGGTCCATATCACGGAAGTGAAAAGCGGAGCAAGTGGCAAGGTGTTTGATCTCACCGTTGTGGACTCGAACGGCGAGAAACGCGATTTCAAGAACGTCCAAATCTTGGAGAACTCGTCCCGCGATGCGTCCTCGTCTGCGTCCTCGGCGTCGAAAGATACACCCACCATTCAGCACTTGCGTCTGGAACTCGAGAGCAAGACGCAAACACCCACGGTCCTGATCCACACCCCGTCGACGATCCATATCCACACGCCCACCAACGGCAAACACACCGTCACGCTCCCACCCACCGCGGCGGAGCTCGCCGCAGCCGGTGCAGCGGGCGGTGCGGGCGGGTCAGCGTCAGCGCTCATCAAAGCGCCTATGCCGTGCAAGATCTCGCAGCTGAACGTCAAGAAGGGCGACAGCGTGAAGAAGGGACAGGTTGTGGTTGTGTTGGAGGCGATGAAGATGGAGCATGTTGTGAGGGCTGCGATGGACGGGGTTGTGGGGAGGGTGCATGTGAGTGTTGGGGATGTTGTGCCGGAGGCGAGTGTGTTGGTGAGGTTTGAGGAGAAGGAGGAGAAGAAAGAGTAGCGTGTATGTAGCTAGGATACTTGGCGATGTGTATGTGGACGAGGCAGACTGGATAGACACTTCTATATACAGTTTAGCATCCCGTAGCGAGAAGCCGTATACGACTCTCTTTACCCGATGTCGGTTGCATTTTGTTTTGTACTGTATATCTCAATCATTTTCATTTGTCATCTGACTGTGGGTTGTACAGTAGCTTTGAAGGCAACGTTGCGCTGTACACCAACAGGGCTCAGAAAACGAGAAAAAAAGATAGGGACGGGGAGGGAGTCGCCCCCACGTACCTGAACCGCCCGCGACCGTCGGGCACGCCGCCGGCGACATCAACCAACACATGTATGCCCAGTTTAGGCTTAAAACGTGGGATGGCGATTCTCCTCTTGGCTCCCTAACTTGTGAGAAACCCACGGACTGGGGCCGAGTGGACACCGACCGACTCGGACCGTCGGACGGACAGAAACCGCAGGACAGTCAGTCATAAAACCTTAAATTCTGGAATGCGCGCAAGGTTGTATCTGGAAGATGTCCGCGGCCGAATGCGAGTGATTCCGACAGCCTGGGGAGTCGATCCTAATCTCAATTGTCAAGGCGCAAGAGCAACGTCACTCTTCCTTGAACTTCCTTGCCCGTGCGCGTTTCGCTCCGCCTGTTACCCCGACGCTGCCTCCCTTGCTTGCTTTCTCCCACTAACAAGCACAGACTCAGCCCCACTTCTCTCAACAAACCAACACCACCACCAGCCCCCGCCAACAGGGCACGAACACCCTCCTGTTCCCCCACCGCCGCAAGACACATTTGAACCCCTGCCCGAGTGGAGTAAGGGAAAGGAAGGAATACTGCTAATGGTAAAACCGCACTCCGGGCATTCCCCGTCTATTTTTTCGGAAGGGGTATAACCAAAACGGACAGTTTTATAACTTTTTACCGCTCTGCACTTGCTTCTTGGGCTTCTGCGTACGTAGATATGGGGGCGTGGTTTCATTCCGAAGGTATGGGTGGGAGCTTGTGAATGAGGGCGGCAGGAGGGGTGAGACTGTGGCTGACTGGGAATTCGCTGTTCTTTCTTTTCGCATTTGGGGGAATAGTCAACGACGTCCATGCCCTTTCGGCGCTCATTGGCGGTTTTATCCTGATCTTTGGTACGTAGCGGCCATTGTCATGTCTCTGTCTCTTGTCGTTTCGGCAGCACGCCTACTCGGGGCAAAGGGCTTTACCGGCGTGCAGAAAGTCTAGACTGACACCTTCGTGCTGTTTCGTAGGATTCGTCTCCCTTATTGTCAAGGAGAGGCTATACCTCTCAGAATCATTAGTAGCCACCTTAATCGGCATCATCATTGGTGAGAACGGCGGACTGCTGTGCGCCGCGCCTCCACCCACTTTCACTGACGTACTTCCCACGCACCAGGGCCAGTATGCGCAGGCTTACTAGATCCTGCGAAATGGCCCATGGAGACCCACAAAGTCACGCTGGCGTTCACCGAGATCGTCATTGCGATTCAAGTTATGGCCGCATCGATAGCTTTACCGAGGTGCGTCCGGGCAATGGTGTGACTCTCAACAAGGGAGCTGGGCAAAGGACTGACTGGAACATGATGAATTTAGGAGTCTATGGAAAGACCAACGCGGTAGTCTGGCCATGCTGTATGGGCCTGTCATGATGTGGATGTGGCTCGTCTCGGCGTTGCTCATATGGCTTATATTACCCGTGCCTTGGGTAAGCTTGTGGTCTGCGATGGTCTGGAGGACACCATTAGCCTGCCATTGTCTGACATCTTTCTACACAGACGCAATGCCTGATCCTCGCCGCCGCACTGGCCCCGACGGATCCTGTAAGTTTGGAGCGCGACGCTGGCTCTGACGATGTCCGCTGCTTTGCTGACCTCCCCTACGCCAACAGGTTCTTGCCAACTCACTTATGACGGGACGGTTCGCTGACAAGTACATCTCCGTGCCCATTCGGCATTTGCTATCCGGAGAAAGTGCTGCGAACGATGGTATGACGCAAGCGGCCGAATGCAGTTTCCGCTTTGATCGGCTGACACCTTCTGATCATAGGACTGGCGGTCCCAATGTTTCAGCTTGGGATATACCTCACCAGCTACCCGACCAAGGAGGCATGGGGGACTTGGGCCTATCACGTTGTATTGTGAGTAAGCGGGAAGTTTGTGGCAGACGAACCCGCGTCTCCATCTACTTACCGCAAACGTTCATTTGCAGATACGAGATCGGTGTGGGAATCGTGTTTGGAGCACTCGTCGGTTATGTGGCCAAATGCATGTTGCGAGCGTCCGAAAAGCGCAATTACATCGACAAGCGGTCGTTCTTGTCCGTCGAAGTCGCGTTGGCGGTGAGTACCCGAAGACCCGTGACCGATATATGGCGTTATCCCATCCGATGCCTAATATTCGACTTCCCAACAGCTTTTCGTCCTTGGCTTCGCATCGATGCTCCAGCTGGCGAGCTTTCTGTCGGTGTTTGCGACTGGGTTGATTTTTGCTTGGGATGGGTGGTTCACGGAGGAAACCGAAGAAGCACACGTACAGGAGGTGATAGATAATTTGGTCAACATGACCTTCTTCATCTACTTTGGTACGTATATCCCACTACTTGATCACACACATTGTTAGGTCGTGGAGTCGAGTCAGGACAGTAGAGTAACGGTTTCCCTTACCAACAGGCGCCATTATTCCATGGAGCACATTCAACCAGTACTACGCGCTTCCAAAGCTCGTACTCCTTTCAGTCCTCCTTCTAATCCTACGGCGCCTTCCACCAGTCCTCGCTCTCCACCACTACCTGCCCGTCCTTACCCGGCGACCCGCTCTTCTCACCAGGCGCGAAGCGCTCCTCGTAGGCTATTTCGGGCCCGTCGGCGTCGGCGCCCTGTGGTACGTCAACTACGCATACGACAAGGGCGCGATTGGTGAGGAAGGGATGACGATCGTCTCGTGGGTCGTGTGGTGCGCGGTGGTTGTGTATGGGATCACGGCGGTGCTGATGCATGGATTGGTGCGGACGCTGAGTGTCGTGCGGGTATATAGTGGGAGGAGTTTGAATGGACGGACGTTGAGTTTGCCGTCGGCGATTAGAGGGGCGCCGATGTGGCCGAGTAATGTAAGGGTCGCTGCCGTTTGGTCTTGATGGCGTGGCAGACGACGGCAGTTCGGATGCTCACCTTCCTTCTTTCAGATCCCCGTCACCGCCGTCCAAATATCCGGTCCCATCATGTCCCAACACGACATTCAAGACATCCAAAGCGGCGGCGGCCGCGCCGGCACCAGTTTCGAAATCCGGCCAGTCGTTGACCTAGACGACAGTTCCGGCACCGTCACGGACGGCGGCCCCGTGGGCATCCTCGTCAAACCCGACACCAACACCAACAACCCCAACAACAGCAACAAACCAAACAACCCCAACGACAGCGCCAACACCCTCGCCGACAAAAACAGCGACATGGGCGTCGCCTTTGGTCGATCCACCACCGAGGCCTCCCAGCCCTTCCACGAGACCATCTACATCGACCAGCTGCGGCCCGCGTCGCCTGGTACACCGGGACCGGAGACGCCGACGCAGTTGGAGGGCGAGCTGGGGATCCCGCCGGGGAGTGTGACGGAGGTGCATGCTCAGAATGCCGAGGATGTGCTGGTGGGAGTGGGTGTGCGATTCAGGACTTTTGATACCAGGTGAAGGGGGGTACTTTGGCCCCTTTCTCCAAGCCCTTCGACTCTACGCGCTGGGGTGGAGCGTTTCATCGACATTTCGACAGCCGTTGTTCATTCATTTTTGGGGGTCTTTACCGACTGGGATATTTTTTTATTTTATTTCTCGACGTATCGGGGAGGGAACAGATGGAAGAGACATGGTGGGTCGTGCGCAGGGCGTCATGCTTATATATTTTTGATTATACATATCTCTGTAAATCAGATATTGATCATACAATCTTCACGGCAAAAGATGAGCCGTTGAGGGAAGATACCCATTTGATGTGAAATGAATGTCACGAATGCTTTCAGTCTTGAGGTGCCTAGCCTACGCCTAGGGGAACTGAACAGACGCCAGAATCTGCAATCCCTATGCATGTCTGCTCTACATGTAATTTTACACCTTACGCCCCTACTTGAAATCCGCAGTGTTGGACGGATACTCAAACTGCGTCAATGGCACAAACGTCTCCTTGATTGTGCGCGGCGAGACCCATCGAAGCAGGTTCCTACGAAACATCCCAAAAAAAAAAATTAAGAAAATCCAACCATCAGCTTTCCCCACTCCACAAAAGAGAAAAATCAAAAAAAGTCTAAAATCGAGCAAAAAAAAAAACTTACAATGCACTCCCGGCTTTATCATTCGTCCCGGACCCCCTCCCCCCGCCGAACGCCTGCTGCCCAACAACAGCGCCCGTGGACTTGTCGTTGATGTAGAAGTTGCCTGCGGCGTGGCGGAGGATGTTGGCGCCTTTGATGATTGCGGTGCGGTCTTGGGCGAATCTGCGTGGAAGAACGCGGGGTGTGTGAGTGTGTGCGTGAGGGATGTGTGTGGGGGTGATGGGGTTGGAGGGGGAACTTACAGGGCGCCGGTGAGGGCGTAGGTGGTTGTTTGTTCTGCGACTTTCAACTGTACCGAAATGAAATGGAATGCATGTGTCAGTTTGAATTGTGGGGGGCATGTATTCTGATGAAAATGTGATGGTCGATCATGGGAACTCACAGTCTCCTCGTACTGGTCAGCCGGGTACACATAGACTGTAACGACCGGTCCGAACAGCTCTTCCTTCATGGTTGTCGAGTGCGGGTTCTCGGTTATCACGACGGTGGGTTCGATGTAGTATCCGCGGTCCTTGACAGCTGGGAAGAGTGGGGAGATGATATGAGGAATTTCTGGTCTCCGGCCACTGCACCTGCACAGGACTTCCAAATTGCGTTAGCTTACCATTCCCGCCGATAAGGATCTTGGTCTTGGGCTCCTTGCCCGTCTTGATGTTTTCGAGGTATTTGGAGATCTTGTCGAATGAGTGCTCGTTGATGACAGGTCCGACGAAGTTTGTAAAGTCTAGACAGACCCAATAGGGACTTCAAGTATCAACACATGTATACGCTCCCACGTCCGAACGCGATGAACATACCGTCAACCGGACCCTGCTTGATCTTCCTTATCTCCTGGACCAGGTTTGTTCGGAATTCGTCCCATAGGTTGTCGGGCACGTAGACGCTGGAAATCCGAGAGATGAAATCGATCAGCCTTTGCGCACTTTCCCTCAGGGTGAAGGAAGCCAAGCTTACCGAGAGGTTGCACTACACTTCTGCCCACTGTATTCAAACGCACCACGAATGGTTTGTAACGCGGCGGACCGGACGTCTGCGCTCTTGTGCAGGAAATGCATGTTCTTGCCACCCGTCTCGCCAACTGTATGGAGGTGTCAGGATCAGCGCATATTCGCGAGAATAGAGGTCGTTTGCTCTGGCTTACCTATCCGGGGATACGATTTATACTTGTCGATGTTTGTGCCGATCTGTTTCCAAAGGTTCTTGAACACGCCCGTGCTACCAGTGAAGTGCAAGCCAGCAAAGTCCGGGTGGTCGAAGCATTCCTGAAGGAAGCGGGACGCATCAGCACCGCATTTCCAACGGGAGTAGGTCGCCGTACGCGCTATACCTTCGCAATAGACTCCGCGTCTCCAGGCACGAACTGAATCACACCATCAGGCAAACCAGCCTCCTTCAAGATCTGGAACACGAGGTAGTTGCTGTACATAGCCATCGGCGACGGCTTCCACAGCACCACATTGCCCATCAAAGCAGGTGCGCTGACGAGGTTCCCTCCAATAGCAGTGAAGTTGAACGGCGAGTACGCCAACACGAACCCCTCCAGCGGCCTATACTCCATCCTGTTCCACACGGTGGGACTGTTCTTGACCGGCTGGTCGGCGTAGATCTGCGCCGCAAAGTAGCAGTTGAACCGCCAGAAATCGCATAGCTCAGCAGCGGCGTCGATCTCCGCCTGCCATGCGTTCTTCCCCTGCCCCAGCATGGTGGCGGCCATCACCTCGTAGCGGTACTTCCCAGCCAACAGGTCAGCTGCCTTCAGGAATATAGCAGCGCGATCGTTGAACGGCATCGCCTCCCATTCTGGTTTGACCTTCAGCGCTGTCTCGATGGCTTTCTTCAGGGTCGCTGGGTCCGTCTCGCTGAATGTCGCGAGCTTCGTGCTGTGTTCGAAGGGGACGCTTTGGGTCTGCACCTTTTTTGTGTGAATGTGTTCGCCGTTTACGACTACGGGGACCTGGAAGGGACCTTGGTTTTGCAGTTTGGACCGCATTGATGCGAGCGCTTCCTGGAGCTTCACTCTGTCTACACTGCCAGGTGCATAGTCGCGCTATGATGGATGAAAGAGCATAGTCAACCATCAACAACCATCAACCATCAATCAACCATCAACCATCAACAACCATCAACCATCAATCAACCATCAACCATCAACGACCATCAACCATCAATCAACCATCAACCAGCAACCCATCAACCCATCAACCCATCAACCCATCATTCCACCAACCCACCAACGGATCAACCCATCAACCCATCAGCTTATCAACATGCAACGGATGGTTGAACGATATCCTGCTCGCTCCGCGTCGACGAGGATGTTATCCCCTTCCCTCGCGAACCTCAAGCATTCCTGGGCGCCGCTGTCGCTCGCTTCCTCGTCCTTACCATATCCTCATTGCGCACTTCAGGAAGCGTAAAAGCGCCTAGTTGGGGAGTTTGCAAGCTGCTGATGGCGCGGGCCCCTCCTCTGACATCACCACTCGTTCGGAAGGGTGATGTGGCGAGGAGCGCTGGGCGGAGGAGAGTGGCGGCTGCAGCGGTGGGGCGGGTTGCCAAAGCGCACCGAGCTGATCTACAAAGGAAGTGCATTTCTGTTCGGAGTGTGTGCTTGCTGGTTGGTGAGGAGAAGAGTCCCAAGCCTCAAGCGGCTTCCGTTTTGTTTCCTGGGTTCTGTTTTTTTTTTTTCGAAAGTGGGAAACGCGGGGACGGGGGCGAGAGTCATCGGACTGAGCGTATGTTTGTTGCTGGGCGAACGCGTTAGGTCACAAGGACTGACCTCAACTGACTGATGAGTGAGTGAGTGAGGGACTGCTGATGGTACGCGGCAGAGAAGGGCCTGCTAGTAGGGTTAATTATGGCACGGGAAGGAAGCCGCCCACGTTGAGCGACAAACACTTGACATTTGACAGCGAGCGTCATCATCATCAGGCCTCCTTGCTTGCTTGCTTGCTTGCTTGCTCCTCGACCAGAAACGTGGGAAAAAACCCCCCGCCCCACCCCCAGGCACACTCGTTCAACCAGATGCCCAAATAACAACATCGCTGCCATCGCTATACTCGCTGTTCCACGTGTTGCGCCGGATATACCCAAGCATATGTAAAGAAACCTTCGCGCTCCACGATTGTCTTCTGTCTGTCCCGTCTTTTCCTCTGTCAGTTTTGTTGGAAGTTCGCAATTCGTTTTCGGAGCGAGGTTGTTGTTAGCGAGAAAGACATGACAACGATACCGTGGAGAAGGCGGTTGCTCAAGCGGCGGTCGCCGTCGTTGAAAGACTACACATATGCCTCTCTGTCACGGCCACCAGCGAACACTTCATCTTCCGACGACCAACGCACAGCACACCCTCATTGCTCAGTTGACCGGCACAACCCTTACCCCGGAAGACGACTCCGTTCGGCAACGCGGACCTTCTCCCTCCTCCTCATAGCTGCCATAATATCATGTGCCGTCCTACCCGCAAACACCGCGACCAGCATACACCGCAAGGACGCCGAAGACCACCAACTGTCGGAAGCTCAAGTCATGCAGCTCGAGGACGAGACCCGACACCACCAGCTCTCAAGCCTCAATCTCCCCGTCTCGAACCGGAAACTCATCTTGAACAAGTACGCACCACTAGTATTCCTGCATCCACGAGACAGGTGGCGGCCAGCGGATCCCGCATATGTGTTCAGCAAGTCGAAGCTGGACGAGTATAACCGCACTGTGCTCATACCGGAGGAGTTGTGGCATGGGAACGAGGTGGCGGAGAGTGCGACCGTGCAGGCGAATATTGTCGGCCAGGTGGTGCAGATGGGACCACATGGGAAGACCTATCTGCAGGTTTGCATCGTGTCCAGTCGACGAAACCTTGATACCTCTCCCCCTCCGCTGGGGCCCAACTGACGTCCCTTTCTGCGATAGTACTGGTTCTTCTACCCGGTGAACGGATGTCAGGGATTCCGGATATCATTATGGAGTGGGCTACGGTCGTTCGTTAAAGAGCGAGCAGAAAACTTTGAATGGTGCAAAATGGCGTATCACAATGGGTGAGTAACATTTGCCGTACTCTCACGCTATTCCATGATCTGCTGAGCTTACCAACCTGCTTCTTCTTACAGAGACTGGTAAGTGTGTCCAACCACGCGGCAATCTATCGAAGAGAAAATGAACGCGTATTTGTGCGGCGATAGGGAGCATATAACGGTCCAACTGAACGATACATGGGATGGGAACTCGGAACAGAGCATACCACCAATACGAGCAGTACGTCATGGAAGACCTTCACATTTACATGTTGACGGTTGAACTAATCGCCCACCTGTTGGGGATCCCCCAGGTAGCCTTCTCCCAACACGCCGGCTCCGAATGGGTCTACCTCCCCGACCTCGCCTTCACCGGCACCCATCCGCACGTCTACTCCGCCCTCAACTCCCACGCCAACTACCCCACCGAAGGCACCCACAAAAACCGCGATGACACCTTCGGCTTTGTCTCCCGCATCTCCCCTTTACTGACCCTCGGCGCCGTGCAATGGATCCAGATCGCCGATGTCGCGGACCTCAGCTCCGATCTGTTCTTGTTTGAGGAGCCAATTGGGAAGAGATTCCAGAGGTTTATTAGTTGGATGACGTGGACGGGGGAGGTGTATGATTGGACGGATAAGAGTGATTGGAGCGAATGGGCGAGGTATTCGGGGTTTTGGGGCGCGGAGGTCGATCAGACGACGATTTTGCAGCCGCCGCCGGGGGTGACGGCTGCGAGACAGTTGCATTGGAGTACCACGGTGGGTTCGAGTGCCGGCATGGCCTTAACAGTGTATTCGGATTGGCATACTGATCCACGCAATTCGCAAATGGGATCCAACAGATAGCCCAAAAGCTCGGCATCCTCAACAAATTCGTCCGCAAACACGAACGCGGTCCAAAAGGCCCACGGCAGCATCGGACATGGTATACGCTCGACCAACCGCCGCGCAACATCGACTAAACGGGGGCCACGTCTCGTCCTGATAACCCCCGGGGTGAATTTCAACTGGCAGGGAAATGGAAGTAGTATCAGGATACAACGGCACCCCTTATCTAGACCGCTTCTTTGACTAGATGACTAGATAAGTAGACAGAAAGAAAAAAGGAGCAGCGGGTGGGATATGGTGGCGAAAGGGGTTCTTAATTAGAGATGTCCAGGTGTATCGAGGCAGGGCTACTATACTACCTACCTAGCACTGATAACTGCCCTCCAGCTAACATTCCGTTTCTACATACGCCAAACCTCCAAATCCGCCCCACTAGCCGTCCACACCGCCCCATCACTTTCCCCACTATCCGTGAACGAAGGCTGGAATCTGACGACGGTGCGGCCTGCTGGTTTCCCTCCTTGAGCTCCCTGAGGAGGGCCTGGGGCGATAGTTTGGGACAGGAGGGCGCCGGTGCGGAGGGACCAGGCGCGGATGTGTGTGTCTTCGCCGGCTGCGAGGAAAGAAGAAAATGAGGCGTTTGGCAAGAGGAAGTGAAATGCACGGGGGAGGGGACCAAAAACGCCACTCTCGGAAGTTATGTGGGCAGGAACCTTACGTGCGACAATGACATGTTGACCCTCATCGACGGCGAAATTAAGCATCAAATGTGAATTGACTTGGCCCGCGAAGGAGAGGATGGGTGTGGCGTGGTTGCGCAGGTCCCACATGTGCGTCTAAATTTCGGCCATGGAAAAGAATGTCAGTTTATGCCCCGCCCGGAAAGGGTGTGCTGAACAGTCCCAAAGCCGCACACAGGCACCTACCGACCCATCGATCCCCGCCGACACCAACCTCGCCCCCTCCAGCGTCTTGAGCGCACACACAGCCGCCTGATGGGCACGCGGGAAGAACCCCGTCCCGACGTGTGATATGGCCCCGGCTGCGCCTACCGTTGTGGGTCGGTGGGTTTGGGTTTCGCGGAGGTCGAAGAGGTAGATATTGCCGTTTCTGCATCCGTTTATATTGACGTTGCCCTGGGTGTGAAAGTTCGAACAGGCCGACTGATCAGATTTCCATCGCGACAGAAACCCCCATACTACATTGCCCCCCCAGCACCCCCAGCCCACTCCTTACATTCCCCCCAAACTCCTGCGCAAGCACATGCGTCCCGTCCGGCACATTCAAGAACCGCATTACGGGATCACTTGCGCGCCCTTCCCACCCTTCCACGATCGCCGCCCTCCCCTCCGCGCCCACGCTTATAATCGTCCCGCCTCCAGACCGCGGGGCGATGGCGCTGGTGTAGGCGCTTGATCTGCGGAGGGATAGGCGGAATTCGGAGGTGGGGGGGTGCGGGATGGGGCGTGATGTCGGGTCTGAGGGTGATGGGGTGTGGAGGAAGAGTTTGTGCGCTTGGACTGTGCCCGGGCGAGCGCCGTAGCCAAGGGTGGTTGAGCTGCGGGAGGGGGATTGGTGCGTCAATAGCGTTTTTGAAAGAGGGTTGTGCATATTGAGAGAGAACTCACATGACCCTGAGTCCGTCTTCTGGAGAAGAGTTCCCGTAATGGATAGAAGATATCTGCAAGCAAGCAGTTCAGGGACTATCCACCATATGTGATATACCGAAACAGAGGCACTAACATCGGAGTCCTCATGGCTCACCAACGCAGAGTGATGCTGCTCCAAGCGCGTTCCATGTTGACGTCCCTTCGTAGGGGGCCCATATGACATCGTCCTACGATCGCACTGAATGAGCGACCGCTTTCAATGCAGGGCGACCAGCCAATGTGCTACCTGATGGTCCCATCAGTTCTGCCGATAATGGCGTGGTTCAGTGTTGGATGAAGCTGAACCGAGCGAAGAAGAGCCGATGAACAAAAAGGAGTGAAGTATGGAAAGCGCATCGAGTGCATCCACCGACCTGAAAGTCCGAGATACTGCCAGACTGCATGGTGAATCCAGTTCCCGCATACTCCCCTCCAGCATCCTTGATCACCGACCGGCGGCGCAGGTACTTCATCATCGTTTCCCACGCACGGCTGGAGGATAGAGTAGTTAGTCTTGCATGAGTCCCCGCCTCTAGTACTTCGTTGCCCATCATCTCGTACCTTGCCGTCCAGCCGGCTGGGTTGCGGGGATGTATGTTCGACTCCTTATCCCGCAGCAGGAGCGAAAAACTGCCATATACGTGATCTTGTCGACTTCGTCGCGTGAAGGATCGCTGGAAAACCAAAAGTCAATCATCCAATCACCTTCGATCGACAACGCCCCATTCGAGCGACATCCAACTCCCGCATACCTCAGTCTGATCCCTGGTCCTGAGTTCCTCTCCAACCATTCGACGCTTCTCTGCCGCCTGCTTCTCTTTGATGGCTCCGACGGTATATTCGCTAGATGAAGCTACATTCTTGTTGGCCAGTATCTTGAAATACCGGTTCTTCTCCGCGTCCTGGTGGTAATGCGTCCCCAGCCCGTCAGACGACCGCTCGTCTCCGAATTGCGACGCCTGCCTCCATGACTCACAAAGTAGTACCCTGGGATCTCCATCCTTCCACTTCCGCCCGCATCCCCGCTACTCGGCGCCTGATGTTGGGCATCAACATGCCTCTGCTGCGTATCCGTATCTGAAACGGGCCGGTCACGCCAAGCTGGACCTCGTCCGTTGTTGTGCCTGTGCTCGCCAAAGCCTCGCCGACCATTCTGCGAGTGGAAGGGACCGACGCCGGCTTGACCCCTGCCTCGCCATGGACGTCCGCCTCCGGCTCTAGCTCTGCCGCCTCGGTCTCCACGCAGGGCTCGCTGCCGGGGGTCCATGACAAGTCGACGTGCCAGGCTGATAGACCGGTCAACACGACTCTGGTCCGGTAGCTGTGAGTGGTGTACTAGCTTCTAAGCCTCCAGTGTGGCGTCGGCTTTCCCAGCAGGCGTACATATATGTACAGGTGGTTGACCGTTGATGGGCTTCTGACGCGTGTCCCGTCCAACGCGATCGAAGTAGCTGGTGGCAGTGGTGCGTGGGACGCCATTGATGACAAGCCTCTCCTCTCGTCGCTCGCTGCTTCTTCCTGCTTCTTGCTGCTCCTACACTGCTAGACGGGTCCAAACAGCATGGACGAAGAGGACGCCCTTCTACCGATCATATTCGACTAGAAGCCATCCCATAGCATCTTGACCCACTTATGCTATAATGGGAAGGCTCCTTTTCGTATTGAAGCCGGAACAGTCCACTACCCTAACCATAACCCTAACCCTAACCCTAACAGAGACAGAGCTAGCAGTCTGTCGAGTTTGCTTTCAATCCGATGAGCTATGCCTTTGATCCGGTGAGCTATGCCTTCGATCCACATTGTTGTAGCCCAATACATTGGAGATTTACGTGCGCTGCCCATATCTCCACTGTTGCTTCGGCTGCTTTGCATACCCTGCGGTCCTGTTCGAACTCCCTCAATTTGTACTCTCTCGGATGCTTTTCCCGGCGATAGTGTTTCCCCGTCTGCCTCCGCATCTGGTTGTCCTTCCTCATCCTCCGGCTCCGAGGGGGATGCTTTTGGATGCGTTGGAGTTTCCTCGGAAATCTTGTCATCCTCTAAATCCAGCTTGATCACAAGGAAGAAGAGGGCTCATAGCGACGAATACTACCCACTTCGGCGCAATGATGCACTCTTTTCCCAGTAACCCATTTCTCATATCCCCATGATCCCCCTTCCTGCTCCAGCAAATATGGTGGCTAGCCACAAACTATCGCCGCTTTCTTCGTCTACATCGACATCCTCATACAAGTCCACGGGCAAATATCGGGTGCCCACTACAGGGATGTACTGCTCTTCGTCCTCGGAGGACCACCCGTCGTCTTCATCCCATGGGGCCGATATATCAACCACACCCCCCGCCCCGTGGGCCCATCCGTCCTCCGCCACAGTCGCATCCCCAACGCTGGGCTTTCCAGTGCTTGTCTGGTTCGTGGGCCGAGTCAGGGCTGGTTTCTTCAGCGCCGGACCCGTGTCGCTAGATTCTGAGTCGTTGCTCTCATTTCGGTCATGTTTCCACGTCACAGAGCTGGGGTGACACGGCTCGGGGGTCGGCGTCGGCCGTGGGCCAGCGAAGATCGCTCTCTCTCTGGCAGCTTTGACATCTAAAATGTATTGCTTGTCATCGGGATCTAAATCTATGATTTCCTTGTTCCAACACCGATAGACATTTTGGATCGCGACGGGAATGGGCTCCACGATGAGATAGCCGCCAGAGTCGTTGTTGAGGGATGGAATCTTTATGGAACGCCGATGCGGATGGTGGCTCTCTCGGTTAATCGCAATGAGCAAATCAGCAAGTTGGGGTTCGGTCAGGTGGGCTGCTGATAGGACATTCGGGTCGTTATATGCGCGTCCGTGAAAGGAGGTGATATACGGAACACAGAGTCCCCGAACTGCCCACGCGAATGGAACAAGACTGTGCGCCCCATGGTCGTGGGTTGCATGGGATCGGTTGTGGTCCGCTCGACGAGAAGGTCGCGGGCGTGAAAGTTTGGCGAAGAGCCCCGGCCAGGCGAGGCAGCTGGGGACTCGTTGGGACGCTGGTAGCGGGAGATCCGGCTGGAGTTACTACCGTCTGAAAATTGGCGAGAACTGCTTCCGCTGATAGCCGCATCGAGTATATTCGACCAGGAACGGGAACTGTGTCTGTCATGACGAAACACCTCGGTTGCGCGGGTGAAGGAGGGAACGGCTGCGTTGCCACTTGTGTGAGATACAGTAGAGGAGGGAAAACTTACGCCTCTGCTGGATACGCTATGCCTTCAATACTGGGAGATTCTAGCAGGCAGGTGAGAAGGTGTCGGATGTCCGCATTCCACGTCGTCTGGCTCTGTGTCTGGTGAAGGAAGCTGAGGCTGAAGCTGAGGGAAGTTTCGAATTGACCGCAGGTGAGCCGCGCAAGGTTGTACAGTCTGTTGCCATAAAGCAGGTCGCACCTGGCCGTGCGCAGTCGGCCCCAGCGGTTGTTGCCTGGACAGTGACAGATCTACAGTTTACAGATTAGGGGTCCTAATACTGTGAATATTAGGATGATGGGTGAAAATGATCAGCCGCGAGGACACAGACTTTATGGCAACAGACTGTACAGTATGTGCCCAGGCCCAAATACATAATTCTTGGCCCGGTGGGAAAACTGGAACGGCCAATATCAAAGGAAGGCCATCGCTACCTCACTCATACTTACTGTACATATCCTACAATCACACTGCACATGTACATATCTACCATCCTCTCGTTCCTCCGCTGCACTCTCCTCTTCGCTTTAGCGCCGCGCTTCTTCCAGGAAATGGGCTGCAAGCCGTCGAAGCCGCTGCAGACCGTCTACCCGGGACCCACCACCGGCAACCAACAACAGCAGCAAGGACCACCTCTCTCTGTCACAGCCCCACAGGCAGAGGGGACAGCTAACGGCACGTCCACCGACTGGCCGTTCATCACTCGCTCAGGCCCCACCCTCCTCGAAAACGACAGACCCTTCCGCTTCATAACGTTCAACGTCCCGAACCTGCTTCTCATCGAAGACCGGCCAGGCCAGCAGGGAACGTTCCTCATTCCCGACACGTTCGAGCAACACGACGCTTTGTACACCATCTCCCAACTTGGTGGCCGGGTGGCACGCACTTATACGCTTGGAGTGGGCGAGAAATATCACATTACCGGCCCGCGCACATATAATGAAGAAGCGTTTGTTGCGTTGGATCATGCCCTTGCCATTGCGAGAAACGTGCGTGTGAGGCTGATTATACCGTTGATCAACAATCATTGGGGCGGGGACGATGGTGGCACATCCGACCCCAGTACTTGCGTGTTTGGAAACTACGCGGCGTTGACAAAGTTGAGGGGAAAAAAACCGTCGGCGTTCTGGAATGATGCTGAGTTGGTGGAGGATTTCAAGCATTTGATATCCTTTGTTATGAACAGGGTCAACACCGTAAACGGGATCAGGTATGTGCGGGGAATGCGCTCATCATGGTAGGCCGCGGATGTCTGACTTATTATTCAACTTCAGATACGGTGACGACCCTACGATTCTGGCTTGGCAGCTAGGCAACGAGCTAGGTGGCTGGACAGGCAACAACCCACCCGCCAGCTGGACAATCGCCATGACCCAACACATTAAATCCCTTGCACCTCGCACCCTGGTCGCAGACGGATCCATCGGCGGCAAAGACTCTAGCGCGAAGCTGAGCCGTGAAGCACTGGCCTCGTCTGCAGGCCCGGACATCTTCGTCAACCACTACTACCACGGACACGAGGACCTCAAACGCTTGCCGAAAGACGCCGCGTTGATTGGCAAGAAACACGGGAAGGTTTTCATTGTGGGAGAGTTTGGATTTGCGAACACACGAATGTATGGCTCCTTGTATGAGGATATGCTGAGGAACCCGTTGATTAGCGGGTCCTTGATGTGGAGTCTGAGGTAGGCCTCCCGACTGATGGCTTCAAGATTCAATCGCTACACACTCGTCGCTAAACCTCTCGTCTCTCGAACCGATAGGTCCCACAGCAAAGACGGCGGGTTCCTAGTGCACTCCGAAGAAGGCGGTAAATTCTGGTCCTACCACGCACCCGGCTTCGTCTTCCCCCCCAATACCCAACCGCCGCCGCACGGGTTCGGCTCCGACGAGCTAGAAGTGATGAACCAGGTCCGCCACTACGCCCTCGCCATCCAGGGTCTCAACCCGCAGACCGTGCGCCCCCCGATCCCGTTCCCCCCGCCGACGCTGTTGCCGGACATTGGAACCAACTGGATCCGGTTCAGGGGCAGTGCGTGGGCGGCGTCGTATAACATATACAGGGGGCGGCAGAGCGAGAATGGCGCGAATGGAAGGAGTGATGAGAGAAATATTGTTTGGGACCCGCAGCCGCTTGCGACGGGCGTGTCGGATGCCAAATGCAGTGGGTCGACTATTTTCCAGGACAAGACGGCGGTGCCTGGCGTGGGGTACTATTATGCGGTGCAGGGGGTTGGAACTGGAGGCGATCTGACGGCGGTGGGCCCGGCGGTGGGGCCGGTTTGGTGTTGTAACAAATGAGATGTGCGCCCCGCCATTTAGAAGTTGGGACCATTCATTCTCGAGGTGCATCATTGTGCCACTTTCTTCTGTACCATATGTTTTTGTTTTTATCCCTTTCCTCATTGTCCTTGATTCGGACTGCGGTAGAAGGACAGGCGTATGAGGTACAATACTATGAGCTTTTCTTTCTTCTGTAACGCCTTTCTCGGCAGTTGCGATCGGTCGTGGACCACAAATTTGGACGAAATGAGGCGAAAGCATCCGTTTTCCTTCAGCAGTGTCACTGTATGGCTCTTCCTGGAGAGCCAAAAACGCGATGCCTTTCCAACGACGAGCAAACCGTGAGGCAGACCAGCGCAGAGACTCCCTGTGAGATCCCTGTCCCATCTTTCAATCTTTGCCAACCGACAACCTCCGGAATCCCTCCCCCCTCGCTAAATCTTCTGATGATAAACCTGACTCGCCAAATACTCCCCCCAACTAATCCTCCCATCCCCATCCGTATCATCCTCCAACAGCGTATGATCAATCATACTCTCGACCTCCTCCAGCGGCAACCTATACTCCTTTGGCGGCAACTCGGCGGTCCCGCCCGCGGTCGTGTAGGTCTGTCGCAGCTCATGACCGTCGAGGTGGTGGTCGCCGTTGCGGTCGGAGAGAGAGAAGAAATAGAGGAGGTCTTCGTACTCGCTGGGGAGGCTGTGGTCGGGGCTGGTGTCGGTGAATGGCGGAGTGGAGGCGGAGGTGGGGGGGCTGTCGTGGAGATGCGAGCGGCCGTATTGGGCGGCGGCTGCGTAGTCGAGGTAGTTGCCGTCCACGCCGAACTTGGGCTTGTTTGCGCTTACGAATGGCCGTAGGAGGGTGAGGAGGAGGAGGAGGGTAAGAAAAGTGATGAGTGGCAGGGAGCGGAGATGGGATGTGGAGACGGAAGGCATTTTGAGTTGAGGCCTTTTTCCTTTTCGGGAACGACTGCGAACGTTGAGGCCGTCTGCATGCACGGCTGGGCGGACGGACTTGAGACTGTCTTTGTCGTCGGTGGAAGTTCGAGGTGAATTTGGATGCTGCATGACGAATGCCCGACGGAGACCGACCGACTCGCACGCGAGTCCTTGCGTCGCTCTTCCATGTGACAAACCAGCCGCGGCTTGTGGGTGGTGGGAACTTCTGAGCCTTCTGGCACAGCACTGCAACTTGCACAGGAACCCACCCCAAGATCTATCTCCCTCCCTCCTGAAACGAAACAACAACCCTTCCTCACAACACAGAATGTCCACAAAGAAACCCGTCGAGGTCGACGTCAAAAAAGCAGTCGGGTTCAAATACCCCTCCGACAAAGTCCTATACAATCGGCGGGACCTCCTCCTCTACGCAGCCGGCTTGAACTTGACCGAGTTGCGGTTCACCTACGAACTGGAGAAGAACTTCTCGGCGTTCCCTACCTACCCCATCGTTCTCCCGCTCAAGGGCGACACCCTCGATGTGAGCTCCTACGCCGAGCGCGCGGGGTTCGGGAACATCCCCGGGTTGCCGAAGATAGACTTGAACCGTTTGGTTCATGGGGAGCAGTACTACGAGTTGCTGGCTCCTTTACCGGAAGCTGGCCGCTTTGATCTGGAGTCGACGCTTACTGGAGTGTACGATGCGGGGAAGGGGATGATCTTGGATAAGGAGACGGTCATGAAGGACGCGTCTGGGAAGGCTTTGGCCAAGATGGTACGTAACCCTCTTGCCATTTTAAGTGGGGTCTGGGGGACTATGGATTCTAACCAACGCATTATATTCTACTCGCGTCATCAGGTGTCGAGTGCCTTCGTTATTGGCGCCGGTGGCTTTAATGGGTAAGGAGCTTATTGAGAACGCACCGTCAGATGGAACGTATTAACTCTCGGCATGTGTCGATGAACAAAGGCCACGTAAGCCCAAACCAGAGAATATCGTGGATGTCCCATCTCGCCAGCCTGACAGCGTCGAGGAGATCAAGACGACGCCAAACCAGGCGTTGATCTACCGTCTCTCTGGGTATGTTCTATTGCTTCTATTTCGAATTTGCGCCTCAGCGACTTCTCACACGTTTATTTCAGGGATTACAACCCTCTCCATGCAGACCCACGGATTGGGAAGAAACTCGGCATGAAGGGTGCCATCTTGCACGGTCTTTGCTTTGTAAGGTTTAGCCAGGCCATTCTGAGTGAACGGAGCGACAACTCACCGAATCTCTTGTCACAGTACGGTATCTCAGCAGCCGCCGTTCTCCAAAGCTTCGCCAACAACGAACCCTCCGCCTTCAAATCCATCTACGGACGGTTCGCGTCCCCCGTCTACCCGGGGGAGACCCTCCAGGTCAACATGTGGAAGGTTGCCGAGAAGGATGGCAAAGTTTACATTGCGTTCGTGACGAAGGTTAAGGAGAGGGATGTTGTGGTCATCAGCAATGGTACGGTTGTACTGCACAGCGGAGCTCAGAGCAAGCTTTGAGGAGATAAGAAGATGGATGTCGTCCTTTGCCGAGTGTTGCGTCGCTTTCATCACAAATGATTGTCTCAGCACTAGAAACGAGAAGCGCAACATCTGCTTGCCATCACAATGATTCTTGAATCCTTATGCCCTGCTTCTGTATATATATGGGAATCTGTGGCGACTCAGAATCTTACCCGAAAGAAAGCTGAACTCCTCGACTCCCACAAACTTCCCTGCACAACGCAAATCAATGATGGCAATGGGCCTTGCAGGGTCGTCCATACATTCCGACCCTCCCCATCGCCATGAACGATGCGTGAGTATGCAGCATTGTAAGCGCGTTTGATGGATGAGGGTCGCCGGCCGGGCTCAGTTGTCTTTGTTTGATCGGGTCGGGCAAAAAACGCCCATGCCGATCGGTTGGTCAGCATATTGTATGTATCACCACAGGCGGCGATTTTGACCTGCTCTATGGCTGTGATATCATATCGCTCCCTCCTGGGAGCGGAAAGAGGGGCGCTGAGGGTGGTCGAAGACAGCGTGGAAAAGGCGACAACTGACAGGATCGTGAATCATCATTGACAGGCACCACGCGCCGGCAATAGACGGGCGCACCGCCCAGAAGTTTGCCCCACTAATGCCGCCCCACGTATGCCTTTCTGAGCGCTCCCCGGTCCTCCGGCAGGACCATCACAGTGATTCTTGAACCTTATGCCCTGCTTCTGTATATATCTGGGAATCTGTGCCGACTCAGAATCTTACCCGAAAGAAAGCTGAACTCCTCGACCTTCTATTTACTCTGTGTACCTTCCCATCTGAATTCAAGTACCCCAGTCTTGACATTACACAATGTTCTCCATTGTCAAACGAGTGACCAACCCCGACCCCGCCGTCCCACAGAAAGCAAGCGATGCTGTCCGCGTCGGCTTGTTAGGTGCTTCGCGCATCTGCCTCCAGTCGGTCATCGGGCCTGCGCGGTCCTTGGAATCCGTTATAGTCCACGCCGTGGCGGCTCGTGATGGCGCCCGCGCAGTCGCATTTGCACAGAAGCACGACATCCCCAAGTCATACGGTGATTACGAGTCCCTCCTGGCCGACCCAGACGTTGATGTCATTTACATCGCTCTTCCAAACTCGCTCCACGCCGAGTGGACCATCAAAGCCCTGCAAGCGAAAAAAAACGTCCTGGTCGAGAAACCTGCCGCAAGCAACGCCGTCGAGGCCGCGGCCATCAAGCGGGAACTGGACGCCAACCCGGGCCTCATCGTCTGCGAAAACTACCATAACCTGTTCCATCCCGCTCTTCGCCGGTTGCGCGATATCGTCGCTTCTGGCATTCTCGGTACCATTCGCACGGCGTCCGCCGTGATAAATGTTCCAAACTTGTTTGGAATGGAGGACATCCGATTCAAGTACTCTCTCGCTGGTGGCATCAACATGGATCTGGGATGCTATGCGCTCTCAGCCCTTCGTTTCTGTCTGGCATCCGAGCCCACACGAGTCCTCTCTGCCGTCCCAACTATCGTCAAGGACAACATCGATGGCGCAATGGAAGCCCAGCTGGAGTTCGACTCCGGCTGCATTGCAACGTATCAAGTGTCGATGATTCGATCAATGCCGTCCTTCCTCTGGAACGAGAAACCTAAATTGCACGTCATCGGCGAAAAGGGCTCGGTCTCCATGTCCATCTTCATCATGCCGCACGTATACCATCGCATCGTCCTTGACATCCAAGGCGGGCCCTGTACTACCGAGACCGTCTATGAGGATGGGCACACCAGCTACTGGTATTCGCTGAGTGCCATGGCAGCTGCCGTGCGCGCCGATGCAAAGGCCATGGCCAGACCCAATTTCCCCTTCGAGTGGTCCATCAACAATCAAAAGGGGGTGGACATGGTATACACTGCGGCATCCATGCCACTGCGCGGCAAAGTGGCTCCGTGGACCCAGATGAACGCTCTTTGATAAGTAGGATAGACACAATCATAGAAAAGGAAAAGTATCCAGATACCACCGCTCTTTGTAAAGGTTGTTCTCAGTATATCCCCGGACGTATGGAATCTTGGTTTCCTCGTGAGTCAATGGTGCTGGCTGCTGGCCCATGCTGAAATGAATGATGGAACCAATGATGAATTTCGGAATATTTGCCGCGAACGAGGCAGAAGTGGGTCCTTCGCCTCAATACCGCCCGGCACTCCCCTTCCTATGTGTGTTGAGATAGTCCTTGCCTGTTGGTGAGTGTACAAGCAGAGTCGGTCCAAGCCTTTCTAAGCTTTCAAGCTTGTCGAACCAATTCCAAAGGCTTCTCGTCGCGTGCCCCCTTCGTCGCCGTCCAGTCTCCGTCTCCATAACGCCGCGAATTTCGGTGTTCATTCCTTCCGCAAGCGTGTTACATAGGAGAAGTTGCCATCACCGGCTGTCGACGCAATGTCTGCGGAGCCCGACGAGCAGGACGCCTTCTACAGGCTGGTCGCTCTTGAGGAACACCTCACTAGTGAACTTGAGAACCCATGGGCGGACGCAGAGGCTACCAGGTGAGGAGTGCAGGTGGCAACACCTTCCTTTGAGCAATAAGTGTCAGTGCTTAGAACATTGCAGCTGATGTTGAACGCACTATCGTCTTGTGTGACGACTTTTACGTGTCTAGGGTGAGCGAGGGATTGAAAACGACGTATACCAAAGAAGTTGAGGAGTGTTATGCGTTCCTTATTCGCAAGCTGGGGGAATTCAAGGTTAGAGGCCTCATTCAATTTGCGGAATACTGGGTCTGGCGTGCGAGCCATCTATGGACAGGTCACCAACCACTTCAATTTGCCAGACAACTATGTATGTTCGAATGAACATCCTGTTCCTTCTCGACAAGTTCTGCACTGGGAGGAAGGAGGACGAGCCGAACGCTTACGACGTGATATACGAGGAGATGAACAAGAAATTGGAGAGGATCATTGCGGGTGTTTTGGAGATTGATTACTCGGAACCCATAAATAAGCGGCCGAATGGGAATCTGGGCTGGACCCGAAAGGTGAGGGTTTGTTGTGCCAAAAACTCGAACGATTGTGGGATGTTAGATGCTCATGAACGGTTACGCAGATCATGGCTGGATGGCGCAAACGGGGACTTTTCGAAACCGAGGTTCTTGATGCCATAGATCAAAAGATAGCGATTGCGGAGACAGCGACTGATCCGTGAGTAGACGCCATCTGAATTGCGAATAAATCGGTAGGACGCTGATTGCTCGCGACGTGATTGCATGCACAGACCTGTCGAGGAAGGGACAAAGCTTGATGAAGAGAAAATGGATCGGCGCATGGATGCCGACAGAGAAAGAGTACGTTTACCCCACGGACATCCTACTTTGCAATGGTTCCAGACCCCTCATCCAGTCTCAACCTTCAGGCAAAGCGCGACAAGGAAGAACGCTTCCTACGCCAAGCCCTCGATCCCCTCGAACCCGTCTCAGAAGCCTGGTTCATCCACACCCCCGACTTAATCCCACGCATCGACGACTTCTACGCCAACGCGCCGTCCACCATTTCCGATGAAGCGTACGAGCTGCTGCAAACTGAAAACTTCAAGTACCGCGTCTCCGGCCGCATGGAGATATACGAGCCGCCCATGTCGTCGCGGCCACCCGCGCCGTCCCTCACCGCTACATACCCTACGGCGCGGTCGGGTCAGTCGCCGTACTATATGGCCAGCGCTTACAATGGCGCGTCGTCGTCGTCGGGCTATCGATCCGTGCCGTACTACTCGGGATCGCATTCTGGGAGTTACCCTTGAGCTTTCGGTGTCATGCTGCGAAATCACATTACCGCCGTGAAGTACTCTTGATAATGGTATCTGACCGATGTGAAAGGCATTCGGCTGTATGCGAAATCGCTCCAACCATTATACGGTGCAACCCGAGTCATTGTTCCTTCGTGCTGCTTAGCCGCAGCACGTGCTCCAACGCTCGCGTAATCCACATAGGAAGGCTGCGTTGAGGATGGCTTAGTATTATTGCCGGCGCCCTCCCCCGTATTGTGATTCACTCTTCGGCCATCATCCTCCTGCCCCAACGACGGATGAACACACCCTACCGGCGATAACTTTCGGGCACGGGCGAGCGTGCAACATACGAGCGCGATACTCTGAATACTCCTGGCCCGTGGGCGCAGAGCTTTCGGGAGGACGGTGATTCCGTCGAGCTGGGCTTGTATCGCTCTCAAGCGGACTCGAGGAGAGCGCATGAACCTCTTGCGAGTCAACGGCGCCGCCGCCAGTCGTTGTGTGCGAGATGCAGGATGCTTCTTGCTGTAAACGTCCAAAGGAAGTTTCGGGTTTCTAGGTTTCGTTCATGCGAATGGACAAAAACTAGAGAACACGATTACACCTGATTCCGTGCCTCTTAGATATACTTCACGATAAAAACTGCTGACCTCTATACAATGTGGAATAAATACAAAATGAGTCCTACTCAAGGACGACGGCTAACACATGCTCGCGACCCTACGCCTATTGATCACTAAACTACGTGGGTTCTACGCATATTGACCGCCGAAAGCCTCAAACGTGATCCTCATCGCTCTCCTCCTCGTCATCATCGACCTCCATCCCCTCCCCGCCCTCCATCGGCACACCCTCCTCCTCGTCCTCATCCTCCTCGCCCTCCCCGTCCGACTCTACACCCGTGATCTCTTTTCTCGGTGGCGCGGCGACCTCTGCCTCCGCGTCTGATCGCTTTGCGTTGAAGGCACGACGAACGCCGGCGTTGTTTTCGAGATTCCATACAAGAACTTTGCCTTTGCTGCCGGCTGCGGCGATGGTGTATGGGGCGTCCGGGGAGAATGTTGTTGCGAAAACGCGGCCCTTATGATCATAGGGAAAAGTGTTAGCTTCTCTCGGAAATAAGCGAATGCAAAAGACAAACAGGCGACGCTTACCAGATCCAAATCCCTGGACACCAGACAGCTTGGCCTCGACTCCTTGATATTCCACACTTTGACCATCTTATCCGTCGAACCCGTGACCAACAGACCCTCCACTTGCGACGAAATGTCCATTGCAGACACAGCGGCATCGTGCGCATGCAGGGTGAACACAGCCTGCGAGGCATTATTCCTCGCATCGAAGCACTGCACCAACCCGTCTTCGGTGCTTACGAAAAACCTCTCCGAGTGCCAGGGGTCCCATTTGACGCACTCGACATCCGCACGCAGCTTGAACTCCGTGACGGCGTTGGGCGCGCGGGAATCGAACGCACAGCAGCGCTTGTCATATCCTCCTGTTAGGAGCACGGTGGGTTCCGCGGGGTTCCATGCGACGGCTTGGACCTTGTCTTTATGTTGAGAGAAGGAGCGGACGGCCTTGGCGGTTGATGAACCGCCGAGGTCCCACAGCTTTACGGTGGTGTCTGCAGATCCGGTGGCGATCAGGTTACGTGCTTTGCTGTTCCACGAGATGGCCATGACGGCATCGACGTGGGTGTACGGGTTCGCGGATTTGGCTGTCCGTCCTGGCCCAAACTTCTTCTTCTTCTTCTTGCCTCCGTCTCCCGATGATAAAGACTGCGACGCCGAGCTGCTCTCACCGAGAACACATTCTGGGTAGACCGCATCTACGGTATCCAAATCCCAAATCTCCACCTCTGGATCGAAGGTACCGATAGCAACGTAGTTCCCCGGCGTCCCCAAATCCTTCTTGGACCCCACCCTGAAATCCATCCACTCCAAACACAGCGGAAAGCTCGGCAGCATGATGTCGTGATGCACATACAGGTTGTCCTCCACCTCTTCGTAGACATACACCTCCAAATGCGAGATATCGTCTTCGGTCTTTGCTGCCAGCAGCAAGTTGTCGCCTGGAAGAATCGTCATTTCGTTCATCTCCTCCTCCTCATCCACATCGTCCTGCACAGACACGTATGGGTCCTCCTCATTCGAGCCGTGGAAGGTCAACCCTTGGATCTTGCTGAACAGAGGGATATTGACAGACTCCAACCCGTCGGCCTCCTTCTCCTCCTCCGAGTCGTCGTCGTAGTTGTCAAGATTGTACTCAGCAAGCTCGTCATCCTCGCCGTTGGCCGCCGCAGCTTTTTCGGCATCGGTGGGCTCGTCTACGGCCATTTCGTCTTCATCGTCGTTATCGCTGCCTTTTCCGGCAACCTGCAAGTCCTCACGGGCGTCGTCGAGACGGGCACCGATTTTTTCGGCGACTTTAGAGAACTCCTCCTCGGTCAGCTTGAACTTGTCGGGCTTTTCTTGAGCAGCGCCTTTGCGCACCCAGAGGAGTGAAGATATCATTGTGGAGGACGGTCTGCGGCCGAAGTTGGTGTGTGCTGAAGTTCCGAGTCCAAAATGTCAAATGCTGTGAACAAGAGGGAAGCAAAAGCAAGGGAAAAGGCGAAGGAACGCGAGAGCCACGGTCACGTGATCGTCGAGCGTTTTTCTGCAACTCCTCAGGGTATAAAAGCAGGTGCCTTCCATACCCGACTGTGTGCTCCCAACCCAATCCGCAGCAGGGAGTGAGTCGGAGTGGACAACGCTGTCTCAAGGTATGTATCAGCAAGTGTCTGAAGATAAACAAGGGCGTAGGCTGGGAACTTCGATGATGAGAAACATTCTCGAATCCCGACTCTTTTCGGAGGGGATGTGGACACACCTTTACACCAAGATCGTTGAGAAGTTCCTAGCTTGTGCCTACTTGCCCTTGTCTTTTTTTCATCTCATCAATGAAGCTCACTCTTTCTCTCTCTTCAACTCGAAGGTGTTCCGTGTTTCGAAACTGTCACCACTATGTCGGAAAGTATCTCAACGGCTCGCTGAGGAAGATGGTAAGTTTTCATCAACCTACCCATGTGCGATGCAATCTACCCCGCCTATGAGGATACTTGATTCCCAGAACATTCGTGTTGGCTCTTATAAACTACAATTCACTGATGGCCTGGACTGGACCATACATTGAGATACTCCCTTTATTAAGTCCATGTGGCTGACCAAGTCTGTTTTTTTATAGGCGATATTCCGTGTGAACGACTATAGGGTTGCTGCACCATCCTCGATAGCAGCATCCGGACGGTAACCATCGCTTCCAGATGCGATTCAGATGCTGGAGCTGTCGTCAATCCCACATTACACCCTCTTCGGGTACACTGCTGGACTTCGCAACGTCTCTTGGCATCTGATGGTCCTTCGCACGATGGTTATTGTTTGGCAAGGCTGGGGAGTGATGATACACATTGGTCCGTGTTTCTGAAGAGCTTAAGACCCTCTAAAGGAAGAAACCACAAGCCTTGTGCAACTCTGACTTCAGTCCTGATTACGCCATGATGTGAATGACATGAAATACCATGCGTCTCAATAGAGATGAAAAGGGAATGTGCGGAGTTCACTTCCCTCATGAATGTCATCAGAAAAAATGGTCTTGCACCAGCATTGTCCCTGCGCTGGTTCGAGTCCGATTTTTGCCTCCGTCTCGGAACAAGTATCTTCTCAACGTGCTACCATATACATTGACCAGTCAAGCTACTGTTAAACCAGTCTCCATGCGCCGACATTATACACATGGATTCGTGAGCACGAAGAAAAATACACAGCATAACCAACGCTTCCTATAAAAACTCGGATGCTAGTGACTATTTACGAACACAGGTATTCCCACACGAGAACCTCCTAACCAGGTCCCCACACCACACCTGAAAGCCCACCCACAATGATAATCACACCCACCGTCAAGCCAGCCACAACCGTGACTCTTATCCCTCTATGCAACTCCCTATCTCTCCAATACAACTTCCCGAAAGCAGCACACGGAAACATCACGGCGACAAAGCCCGAGAAGAGGGATCCCAAGGTAGCCATGACGTCGTGGAAGTGCGGGAAGAGGATCGCGATGGCGAGAATGATCAGCGTAAGGGATGAGCGGATCAGGATTGCGTGGAAATACGACGCGGTCGTAGATGTATGTGGCGAAACTGGTGGTTGAGGGGGACGGTATGGAGGTTGTGTGCGAGGGAGGAAGGGCGGCGTTGGTGGAGACGAGACCGCCGGGGTGACGGATTCTGAGTACGGCGGTGGTGGGGATGGTGGGATGACTTCCTCTTCGTCAATAGTTGAAGCGTGCTTCTTGGATGCGAGGCGAATTTCCAAGGATGTGTGGACTGGGCGGAGACATAGAGCATATTTGGCGATTGGGTTCAAAGCGATCAGGTAGATCGTCCAGTTCGTGCTTGCCGGATTGTAGCCTGGGATCAGAGGAAGGTTTTGTGTGATCTATTGCGGGACAGGATGATATCAGTCAAATGCTCCATAACGCGCTCGGCCCAAGTGGTGCTCACCTCCGGTAGAATGGAGTTCCCAAACATCAAGTACCCAGCGACCGCCACAGTCAGATACAGCACGGTGACAACGACGTAGGTAAGGTTGATACACTTGGCAAAGCTCTCGGGTGTCCTCATGTCCCGATAGATCGCCGGAAATACGGCATGGCCATCGAACCCGACAAACATCATCCCGATTGCCAACGCGACTCTGTTCCAGCTCCGCGGCCACATTTCCGTTTGCGCGGGATTCCATAGACTCCCTGGGGTTTCGTACGTCGAGGTTCCGTCAAACAGAATGATAATAAGGAGGTTGATGGTGCAGAGGATGCCTATGGCGCTCCCGTAGCTGAGTACTTTAACGGATTTGATGAACGTCGTGAGGAGAACGACGGCCGCTACAGCTACTTTGACGGCGAGCAATGGTATATCGGGGTATAAAGCATGAACGGAATCCGAAGCGAGGATCACAAACGCAACGCAAGCTGCCATCAGCTCAAGCTGATAAACGACATCGATAAATCGTCTTGCCCGCGGCCCGAACGCGGTTTCAGCTGCATCTCCGTAGGACATGGATTTCTTGGGTGTGTATGACGCGGCGCCGCCTGCTGGGCCGGGTAGAGTCGTGGTCCGGACCTCCATGCATTGAATCAGCAGTTTCGCCGTTGTTGACGCGAGGATTGGGAAGAAGAGGAGAAGCGATATTCCTACCACCCATCCGCATAATGACATTGCGTACGGAAGTGATAGCATTCCCACCCCGCTTAACAGATTCACGCTGTTCAACACAGTGTGCATGTTTTTCGAATGTGGTGTGGCGGCCGGTGCGATCGGCGAATCTCCTCCAGAAAGAAGCGGAGTTCTCTCGGTCACATTGACATCGTCCTCGATGATCTCTGGTGGATCTACCTCCTCGCCTATGGCAGACACTTCCGAAGGTGTGTACCCACTTTGTGGTGTTTCAGACCTCTGTGCAGATCGAACCCGACCGTTTGTTATCTGCGGCGACGCTCTCCCATCGCCCGGATTTCCCATGTCCACGGCAGACTGGCCGGCTCTCAATATGTTCGAAGGGGTATCTGTTCCGGCATCCAGCGCCGATGACCAGCTACCGAATGTGGCGTCAAACGCATGTTGTCCACCTTTCCGTGACGTTTGCTTATCGCGGCCCCCAAATGTCGCCACTTCTTCGACAGAGTCGTCGAAATCTTCTGGTGTGCTGACAAGCACACATGTTGAACGTCGTCGAGGCGTTGTGCTCGTGCGGAGCGGGCGAGGTCTCACCGTCACATCGTTGGCAGGCGAGACCGACGACGCCGCTTGCGCGTCGAAGGACTGATCGGATGTGTCACCGACCCTCCCTGGGCTTGGTTCTGCCGACATCCCTTCTCTCCAAATTAGTTATTGAACAATTCCTCTCAAGTCTCGTGCTTCACGGGACAAGGTTCTCAGCGTTGTTCGGCGACTCCTGACGTCGTTTAACTAGATCAATGCAGGCCCAAACAGACCGTACAACCAGTCCACCCTGTGTTCTCGATTGGTCTTGGTGTTGTGAGCCCCGAAAGTATGAGACGCAGACTTTTTGAACCCCGCGTCTCCGAGTCGTCAACACGCCTCTGGTTTTGGCGGAAACATCCTGTCGGAGGTACCATTTCTCGTCGCGTTTTACTCGACCACTACAGTCAACGGACAAAAAGCTGTGCATCCCCCTGAAATAAATCAGCGACTGCGGGAACGCCAAATCACGTGAGTAATCGATATTGATTTCAATTAGAGGGGGTGCACAGCTTAATGTCCGATGACTGTACAGTAGGCTGCCAGATATCAGGTTACGACGGGTTGTTGAGCCTCCCTGTGCAACCCCAGAAGTCACCGGCCAGCTGTCAGTCCTGCCCTGGGCTAGCGGTCGTGCTCAAGGATTTGCATGGGGGTCGGCAACTTGAGCCGGTGGCTATGCTCGGAATGATGTGTCCTTGGGGCGTCGTAACCTGATATCTGGCAGCCTACTGTACGCACGTAAATCGGATTGCGCAGGTCAGTGACTGAGAACGGCCTTTGGGAGAAAGAAGTTCGTAGCATATATGTAGGCATCAAGCGACAATCGCACAGTTGTTAATGTACATTCGACATGGTACATAGGTCGAAATTTAGTTCGCATTCGAAGATATCTCTCCATGTACATAGAATGTATACGATAAACGCTCATGTGCCACTGGCATCCGTCAACTCCTATCGTACACCCCATCCATCACGCCTCCGCCCACTCCATTCCCCCCTCACCCGCCTCCCCCCCGTCCTCCCCCACCTCCCCCATAACAACATCATAAATGCCCGCATCGAACGGATGCCTCACCAGCATATCATACAAATCCTCGGGCAACCTCGCCACCAGCCCCACCGTAACTTGCACAACCCGCTTCGCATCAATCTCCGGAAACGTCCTCAAAAGTTTCATCGGCTGCGGTGAGGCCAGTAACTCGGATCGGATGAGGAGGAGCTGGGCGATGATGCAGAGGAGGTTGAGGTGTGGGCCGTGCGCAAGGAGGAAGTCCCAGAGGTGGAGGACGGGGGGGAGGGGTGGGGTGCAAGCGGAGAAGGTTAAGACTGCTGTGGATGAGAGGGGGGGGGGGGGGAGGGGGGTTAGTGGTGGGAAAGTGAGGAGTGGGAAACGGCGGGAAGGGGCTTACAGGGGAAGGCGTAGAGCTTTGCGGTGAGTTTTTTGGATTTGAGGTAGCGGTAAAGGATGGGGTCGCAGACTTGGAAGCATTTGTCGAGGAGCTGTAGATACAACAGCAAATCTTTGAGTTCCGTCGCGATGGACGGCATAAGTTACGAGAACTCTAGACTTACGCGCAAACCACAGTGCACGCCCTCAAGCGCCGGCTGGACGTACAGCGGGCACGCGTTCTGCACAAAGGCGGTGAATGTGTAGAACGCGTCGAGTTCAGGCATGACGTATAGGAACGGCGCGGCGAGCACGTTCATGCCTTGCACGTAGGTGTAGGTCAGGTTCAGCAGGCGTGATGGTGGGACGTCTGTGATGATTAAGAGGAAGTGCATAATTTGTTAGCGAAGCGATCCGGTGGTTGGATGAGCGAAGCGAAGGTTGGTTGGTTGGGATGGAAGGATGGATGATTGATTGGGCGACGAGGAGGTTGGGCTCTGGTGGCTAAGCTCGCTTCGCTCGCAAAGATCTGACGCTCGCTGAGGCTCGCTAAGAGCCATGACTAGGAGAGCCTCGCGCCTTTGTCGCTCGCGGCCGCACTTCCTTTTTCCCGCCGCAGACAACCACCATCGCTCGCTTCGCTCGTCGCTCCCCTCGCTCCCCTCATCGCTCCCCTCGGACGCCCACCTACCCATCATCTTATTGACAAACGCATTGAGCACCCTCGAAATCATATGTTCATCCACTTTCGCGAGAAACCTCTTATCCGTCGCCAAGGTCCTAAACGTGTCATTCTTGATCTTTTCATAAACCACGCTTGACGCAGGCCCTCTTTCCACCAAACTTGTATACTCCGTCGCAGATAGTCGATAGATCCCAAGCAAGACCTTCCAGACCCTCCCACGAAGCGAACAATCAAGCACGGAGTTGGGCGCATCTGACGCGTCACTCGGCAGACCATCAGAGAGGATTAGGCGGCGGAGTTTACGGAGGTTGTCACGGAGGTCTGCGTCTGTTGTGTTGCGGGTTGCGAGGAGGTGTTCGTATTTTGCGCGGGTGGAGTGGGCATGTAAGGAGGAGGTGGTGGTCGTGGGAGTGGGAGTGTGGTGGTGGTGAGGGGTGCTTGAGCGGCCTTCGCGGGAGGATGGGGTTGTGGTGGAGGGACGGCCGGTGGGTGGGCGGCTTGGGGAGGTTACTGTGGTTCCGAAGGCTACGGTTGTTGTCGTGGTGGTTGTTGGGGTGGTTGGGGTAGCGGGGGTTTTCCCAGCAGCAGCACCACTGCGTCTTGAGGATATACGGGTCCATGCTGATTTGCGCTGTGGGGAGGAAGTTTGCGACAGCATCCCGGCGTCCCTTTGCCTGCTGCACCTTATACTGTACGTTCCCAAGGGAAGCTGGATTTGGCACTTCTGTTGTCTGTCGTTCTGTGTTTCGCAAGGAAGTCTGTCTTTCCGCAGCGCTCAGCCGGCGGGCAAGCAAGCATTGTCTGTCGTGTAGGGGGGTTCAAGGGGGGCAAGTTGAAGGTGGGAAGTGAGAGCAAGTCGGCGACGCGTATCTGGACGCGTATTCCTGTATTATTGCCCATTATTGCTCTATGGCTGTGATATCGCTCCCTCCTGGGAGCGGAAAGAGGGGCGCTGAGGGTGCGTAGCGAACATCATGAGCATGCCAGCTCGATCCCATGGTACGATAGCAGCTGGCATGAAACACTGTAAATGTGTCCTTATACAGTACTACAGAGGGAAGAACGGCAATCTTATTATTTATATGAAAATCATACATCTCCCAAACATTTCCTGTACAGAATTACTCAAACAAGCAACTACAGAAAGACAAACACGAGTGGAACGGATTGTCTGTCCAGTTCACGACGTCAATCCCATCCCAGATACTGTCAGTACTTGAGGCATTCTAGGCGGCGGACGTAGCGGTCGGGGTGATTGAACCCTCGTCGTCGTCCCCGAACGCAGTGTTGTTCTCGGTTTCGTCCTCAACACTACTGTCTGACGATGACACGCTGCCTGCCGGAAGGCTAGGGGACGATTCGCTCGGTATCAATGTCTCCGCGTCTACCAAGGGGTGAGGTGTCCGAATGAGTATGTTATCAGAGAAGGCGCGCCGGCAAAAACCACGTACCTAGACCCAGACCCTGCTGCTCCATCGCCTGTTCGTCCAAAGCATCATCATGTCCACCCGCCCCGTTATACTTCTCGTCACTGTTGCTCACAGCCTCATCCACATTCTTCCCAATCGCCCGCTCCACAGCCCTCGCATAATCCTCATCATCCTGCCTCTCATCCTCGCTGTCAACATCCGCCGTTTCCCAATCCACGCGGGTGCGCGCAATCGCCTCCATCATGGCGCCCCACTCATGTTTGGGGCCGAGCCGGCTCACGAGGTCATCCAAGGCGTCGTGGTCCCAGTCGCAGTCGCCCGGACAGTCTTTGCCGTTGTGGTAGCCTGGGTAGGCTTCGGTGTTTACTTGTCCGGATGACTTGTGAATGGTGGAGGTAGTTGAGCGGTTAAGCTCGTCCGCTTCGGGCAATCGTCCGGACTTGACGCATCTGGATAGCGACCACGATCAATCAGCACTACGGGAAAAGATTGAGCTGTGGACACGGTCCTCGCTCATGACTTACTCGCGAAACTCGTCAAGTACACCATCCCACACTCGCTTCTCGCTGCGTTCCACTTCCTCTTCTGTGACTCCAAGGACATAGCCAGCCACATCTCTCATCTCCTCAATCATCAGTCCACCAAAGTCAACTACATCCTTCCCCGCGTATTTGTTGAGACTTCCGTCCAAGATCCCTCCAACAAGCTCGTTCAATCCGCCGTTTTCAAGACGGTGGACCGCAGGATGCTCGTTGAGAGAATCGAGCACGGCGACTTTGACGCCCTTAAGGTGCGCAGGTGTGAAGTGCATTTCAGGGATACGGGATATTTGTCGAACAAGCTTGTCCTGTTATTCAAGATGAATCCGGTCATCTTTATAGACTGAAGGTGTGATGATATTGTATGTCGTACCTGAATGAGGGCCTCCAATTGGTGTAGACCATTTACTTCTGACCCATTCTTTCCTGACGGCCAGCTCATTGCAGGAACGGGATTCTGACGCTCCCATTCCAAAGACGGCATAGAGCCTTCCATGTTCACTTTCTCGGGTGATTGTTGACCGACATTGCGTGAAGGAGATGGGGCCATTGACTGCAAACTATTTGTGTGAGGATGGTGACTCGTCAGATTCTGACATATAATAAAATGAACCCACCCTGTCTCTCCTTCGGTGTTCCTTCGAGCTCGAGAGGACGGTGTGCGGACCGGAGCGAGAAAAGTCAAGACTGGGAGCTCGGTTCGATGTCCTGTCACGCCACCTTGACGAAGCCTCGCTCCCGCTTGAAACCCCGTCGTCTCCATCATTGACGTCCACTTCGCTCGCCACGCTGTCTGAATCCTTTTCATTATTATCAATGCATTGCTCGGCCAATTCATCCAGTGACATCAGCAGCTTCTGACGGGCATAGGAGGTGCTCAGTTTCGCCGCGTTTCTGAACAGCTGGAGCAAGAAGTAGGGCTCAGTGCCTTGTTTGGAGATAAGGTCAGCTGCAGAGTCGTAGAGCTTGTCTTTGGATTGTTCAAAGAGCCTAGAAGAAGAAAGGATCAGGAGATGGCAGCCATGAAAGCGATGGAAGGATCGATTGGCAAAGCCGGGATCACGTGCTTCACGGTGGTACGCACCCTTGCAATCTGCTAGCATCACGGTCCACGAGATTCCTGCTTCGCTTAGTATTGCTCTGACGCCGCTTCGACAAATGCCGCTCAGCCCTCTTCTCAATCATCGTGCGAATATCAATCTCATCCACTTTGGCGCTCTCGACCCATGCTGCGGTCTCATGTTCTGGACGTGCGGTGCTTCCGGTCGGGTAGGAGCGTTTGGTGCTTTTCTGAGGTCGTTCTGCCAAACGCTGGGTCTGCCTTCCGGCAGGCGACGTGCTGCGGGGAGGGCTTCGCGAAGTGATGCTTTCTCTGAATTGTTGACGGGTGCGAGTTTGGATCGACGCAATGCCGGGAAGACTCAGGCTGCGCGAAGCGAATGCTGGCTGCTGATGAGTTTCTTGCGGCTTCGCGGTTTCAGGTGCTGCCCCTGCCTGAATACGTGGATACTCCATCGCGGGCAGAGCCCCAGTTTGCATCTGATCCCCAACAGCTTGTCGCAGAAAGTCGACTTTGCCCTTCACGGCCTGCAGTTCACTCATCTGATGCTGCAGACGGTCCAGAAGGGCAATCATCTGCTGCTTCTGCTCACCGGTAGCAAATGCGGCAGCTCGTTTGATCACTTCCATCTGGGAAAGCAGATCCTCCATCCCATGTTCGATGTGGTCGGCATCTTCACGGCTTTGGTTTTCAAACGCCCGCATTCCATCGGTATTGCGGACAACAGAGGGTTGATATCCGATGGAGACATTCTGCGACGCGTTTCGCTGTTGCTGACCGCGTTCGTCGGGCCGGACCGTTAGTTGCAGCGACTCCCTGAACTTGTCATCCGTGGATGCCTGCTCCAACCGTTCGCGAACTGAACAATCAACGAGACGTCCGATCAGATCCTCCGTGTTAACTGCCCTTCGAGGTGGCTGCTGCCTTTCTGTCTCCCCGCCAAACATGCCATTGAATGGGTTTGTACTTGCTTTGGTGCGTTCAGATGCGGCTGCTGTAGAATTGAAGATTGCTGTCGGACCCCTGGCCGCGTTCTGAGCAACCGCTTGGCTTTGCGCCTCGAGGAGCTTCTTATACTCCTGAAGCATCAGCAGATGATGCTGTAGCTTTTGAATCTCCTCGCGCTGCTCCATGAAGCTAAACTCGGACTTCAGGTACAGATCATCCACTGGTGAAGTCTGAGAAAGCTGTTCGACAGCTTGCTCTCTTTCGAAGGGTGAGAAATCTCCCAAGACTTGGTTACTAGATTCGCTTCTCGAGTCGGGCTCTTCAGCTTGGACGGAGCTGGGCTTGGAGTCTAACCTTGTGTATGCGTACTCCTGTCGCTTGGGCTGGCGTGATGCACTCCCATCGATGCTCTCACGATTGGTCCCCAGGGGTGTAAAGGGGTACCCGGCGGTAGGCGAAACACTTCCAGGACTTCGAGCGGAGGCAGGACCTGAGTTATTCTGGACTTGCTCAGTGCTGTGCTCCCTGTTCTCCTGTAGATGTTGCAGGATGTCGCGCAGATCATCCTCCTCCCCGTCGCCGGTGATATTTCCTAAGGTTCTCAATACATCCAGTTCACGGCTGGAAAAAGAAGACGTTGGGATGCGGCACAGAAATTTCTTCACGTTGATGCGCTCAGCACAGTACCTCTGCAAAGATTCGGCAAGCTGCTCACGTATAAACTGCAGGCCCATGCGCTTGCTGCTTGAGAAAGACCATCAGTCCACTTTTCGTAGATCGAAAACTACCAAGAAGCGAGTTCAAGAGCCCACCTCTGCATATCTTTTAGTAGCTCCCGAGTTTCCTGAAAGTCACGCAGCTGCAAAAGCTGTTCCTCTCTCAACAGCGAAAGAGGGCCGGAAGCGGTATCGCCCGGAACTTGGGTAAGTTGCATATCCTCGGGCGAATCAGCTTCGGTCCCAGCAGCGACATCTTTTGAGGGCAACAGCTCCTCGGCCGATGGGGCCAACAGCGGCATGGCCTCCGTAATTGACCCGAGGCTTTTGGCTCCCGCAAAGGGGCTGCTGCCCTCCTGGAGCGGTTCCGGAGTAGCAGCGCTGATCATCGTGCGTCGGTTGAAGGTATGAACTTGCCCTTTCCGTAGGGGTCTTTACTTGGGGAAGGGGAAGGAGGCGAGGAAGATTCAATCGGACGAACGCGTAGCCAAAAACAAGGAGACGCGTGCATTTTCGGACACCTTCCCCATCACACTGAGCGGCTTACTGCTGCCGCCAGGGAAACGTATGTGCTCTGCGACATAGGGAAGGTCATCATTAACCACCGTAACATTACCGTGCAGGAATGGAACCGTTCTGGAGTTACAGCGGAGGAGGGCGATGAGGAGTTTGCGGGATTCCACAATGATGAAGCTCAGGTTTCCTTGGATTAGTGTTTTTGTTTGTTTTTGTTGTAACAATAAAGAAAGTAATGAGACAATTTCGAAGAACAGCCTCTTGCGCACATTATGTACTACAATTGTTGGGGGTCTGTGTCCATATTCACAAAACGCAGGGGGTTCAAAGATGGGGGATGGTACAGTTGAGCAGCTGCCTGGCAACGGCGCAAACGTATGTGAGCGCTGAGCTGTTGTGCGGTAGCATTCGTCAACATGTCCCTCGTCCCCCTAGACTACGGCTCCTCTTCAGCCGACTCAGACTCAGAGTCAGAAGCCAGCTATATCCCCACTCCTGAGTTACCACAACAACAACAGCAACCATCCTCGTCAAAACCACCACCCTCCCTCTTCGCAAACCTCCCTCCTCCATCCTCACGCCAAACGAACGCACTTCCACCACAACCATCCTGAAACCTATTCGCAGCTCTCCCGCCACCCCGCTCAGCATCCTCCTCCTCCACCACCAACCCACCAAAACGACCAAACGCCGACTCTGCAGACCGCGACGCGAAACGAGGGAAGAGTGTGAAGATTTATATCGACCTGCCTCGTGTTGGGGATGACGAGGATGGCGACGCAAAGGGAGGGAAGGGAGTGACGCGGGGGAAAAGTAATGTGCTGCTAAACTATCACTTCACCAACGGTGACCCCAGGTTTCCCGACGACCCACCCAGCGGTGTCCCCGCCGAACCACCCAAGTCCGCTAGGGCGCCTTTCCAAAGATCCAGGACCTTCTTGGCGGCTCTCTTTTGGTGAGCGACATGTTCGTCCACTCTCATCGCAATCTCGCGGTCCTGCTGCTGGGCGTAGGCGGGGAATCGAGCTTTTAGTGTGTCGGTGGTTGATCGCAGCTGTGTACGAATTTCTTGCTCGACTTGCTTCGTCTACATTGAGGAAGTATCGTTTCCAGTACAGAAAAGACCATGAGTGATGCAGATCCTCAATGAACCTCCCTCAAGTAATTTCGCATTCACAAATCATACCACTGTCAGGTCCTTCAAAGAAACATCAACCTTCTCCTGCGCAATCTTACTCGCGCCTCGTAACCTGTCCATGGCTACCAACTTCTTTTGCGTTGCTTTACATGCGTTCTCATAGTCCTGTAAGATGTCAAGACGATGTTGCAAAGCCTGCTGCGCTTGACTGGTCTGCTGCGTGAGCCGCTTCCATTCGTCTGTCTGCGGATGGAGGAGGAGGGTCGCCTGTTGCGGAAATGCGATGAAAGAATCGTGAGCGGATCGAATCTTTCGCAACGAGTGCATAAACAAATGAGATAGAGACATAACGTACGTGATCGGATTGGAGTCTCTCGTGGACGAGGAAAGCTTTGCCGACGCATTTGAATGCTCTACAGGAGTTAATCACGGGTACCGGGCAGCCTGTGCGCATAGAATCTACTTCCAAACGCCGCTTACCTGGCGAGCGCCCTGTCCTCATTTGAAGATGCAGCGGCCGTCAGCTGCGTTCCGATCTCTCCGGACGCCTTGCTCAGATCTACGTGTCATTCCATCAGAGACGTTCAGTAACCCTTGACTCTGGCGCCCTGGCCTTAACATACCCTTCCCATTTCGCCCCGTCCTTTCGACAGTGCGCGCCACGGCCGCCAGCGCCGCCTCCATTCCGCTGACAGCGGCCTTAGCGTTGTCGAAGAACACGTCGACTTCCTTCACCGCGCCGCCACCGAATGGACGGAGGCTGCGTGAGGATGACGAGGAAGTTGTCGGTTTTTTGTTTGTGTTGGTATTTGGGGAGACAAACTGGAGATGAAATGGGTCAGCAGAGTTGCAATTCTCAATAAAGTAGGTAGCAAAGGAGACAGAGTCCCGTCGTTGCCACAGACCGTGCAGTCACAGGGATGGCAGAGCTTGAGCCATTGTTCACTAACTAGACGGGTCCACAACCGACCCCTTGCCGTACCGCTACCAAAGCACACTCCCGTCTGCGACTCACCTCAAAATCACTTTCCAAGAACAATCTCACAGTATCATCCGCCCTCATGCAGCCGACATCCAAACAGCCCTGCAAAAACTCCGTCATCCTCGTTCTTATCTTCTCTCTCTCGTCGACCGCCCACTTGTAATCGTCGTACTCCATCCATAATAGTGACGATGGCGGCGGGATGTGAGGGATGTATTGTGGGTAGGTGTTGGTGAGGTAGGCATAGAGCCGATCGATCTCCACGGACAGTCGGGTGCAAGTGAATTTGGGGCGTGCATAATATGGATGCGTTGTCTAGGTGTGATAGACATGGAGATGAAACATCAAGCGTAAGCGACCCTTCATCGACGTTATTCAAGAAGCTTCCTCTTGCACACCGTGCCCACAAATCGTAGTCGGGATGTGAAGTTCCTGGTGCAACAACCTTCCCACTACCTAGTGCGCCACGCCCAAACGGGCCAAACCCTTTCCAGCAGGCCATCATGTTATTCCTGTATCACCACCCACCTCAACTTGAATATGGTACACGGCGACCTTGCTAGTCACCGAAACCTCAACAACCTTGACGGTGACATCACCATCTTGATCTCCCTCTCCCCCTTGTGCGTCCGATCCTTTGCCGCGGCCGCCGTCGGCTCGTCGTATTGGTGGTGGCGAGACCGACAGCGGCCGGACGGTGATGTTTGGTGTAGAGCCTGAGTGTCGTCCTCGCGGTGGGGTGCTCGTGCCGCTGTTGCTGTTGATCTTATGGCTGCTCATTTTGCGGACCAAACGCGGAGCCACTTGCGAGACTTGCGTTTGCGACTGCTCGAAGGCGCACGCTTACCGCACAAACAAACAATGTTCCCAACAGTGTTTTCACATTCAAGTGCCTCGCGAGTCGCGGACTCCCTGGCTGCAGGCATAAAAGCTGCAGGCATAACCGCTGCAGGCATCACCTAACAGTACTTCCGTCCTCTTCAAGGTAATGGGATCTGCATTCTCGCCCCCAGCCCTACCCACTCACTCATTCTATCAACCGAAAAAAAAGGATTCCGTCAGCGTGGAGAAGTGGGCCGCCTTACAAGCTGAGTTACCAAAGATCGAGGCGCATTACATCTACTTTCTCAATGAGCTTTCGCCTTACATCTTGTCCCGCATCAAAAAGCGGGCAAAGGAACTACGCGTGCCTACTATTTCACAAGTGGAGTTTGGGGACCTAGCTGCAGACGACTCCTTCGCCAGCAACATCACTGCGACATGGGATGACTTTGCCAATAAATTCCACCGTGATAACAATAAATCAAAATTCACATACGGAATCTGGTTCCCAGTCTCCGACAATACAGGCAAGCTGAAGAGCAAGGCGGATGGATTTGCCTGTCAGGGTGGAGTCTTTGTGAATGCAGACTACCGCATGTACGTGGACTTTGATGCATGCGACGGCATAGTTGAGATTGTTTGGCGAGGGTCTGAGGATGCACACGCAACCACGTCGTCCGACCGAGGCGACGACTCCAATCGCCTCGGGACCTCTGTTCAAGTTAACGAGAAGCTGGCAAAACGTGTGGAACGATTGTTGCAGCTGCGGGAGGAGGGTCTCGATGTCGCGGGACGCATCCGTGGGTTTGCGGAGACTTTAGAACGATTGGAACGCTGATTCTGATTTGTACTTCGCTTAGCTTTACATATGTATATGTGTTTTGATAAGGGTACGCCGGTCGTGATGTCTTTTCCGTGTGCGCCTCGGTGGAGTGACGGAAATGACCCGTAGGATCTCAGTGCGCTATCTGTATGTACGTATCCTTTTGGGGACAGCAGCAGCAGAGTTACCTGGTGCGCCGGTGTCAACGTCCATATTGTCGTCTTCTTCCTCATCTTCTCCCTCGTCCTCATCTCTATGTCCATTATCAGATCTTCCACCAGGGGAAGCAGATCCTCCGCGACTACCCCGAAGGCTCCTCGAAGTCCTGCGACATACAGTACTTGGCCTGTTCGCCGGTTTGTTTTTAAGTTTTGGGAGGTCAGGAAAACAGGGAACGCGTTCTTGCCGCGCGTTACATAAGGCGCGAGGAGAGAAGCGAGGAGGAGAACCCTAGTTCATGAGTCGAGAGATCCAAGTGAACAAACACACCACCTCCTGGGTGTCTCCTGTAGGAGACCACAGGGGATGCCTGGTTGGGCCCATTACATCGGCGAATGCCTGGATCTGGAGAACACGATCTGCGTTACGTCTCCAGTTGAACGCGGTACTTGACGCACACTGATCTTAAACGCTCGCTAGAACGCTTTCATTAGCGTTTCATTACCTTTGGCTGTTCCATGCTGGATTAGTGTGGCCTACCTGATCCAAGGAATGAGATTGGGTGTGCATTCAGCGGCTGTATGTACATCGCATCCAAAACGAGGGAGAATTAAAGCGCGAAGATGTATGGGAAGACGATCCGCCTGGCACCGACCAGAAGAGCGCTCCCCAGTGCATTAGGTTCTCGAATGAGCTTGAAGAGTACTCTCTCGAGTACTGTACAGTCCCTACCAAGCCGGGCGTACATGTATAAGCGAAGGTTGGGATTCATCCCTAGTTGTGCGAACCAGTGCATGTCCAGCCAGGCGGACACGGCCTGCGCGTCTCCCCTCGTTGCTCCTTCCTCCCCGTTTCGCACAGCACACAACCTCACTTCCGTTCCCAAGGCATTTGGTGTTATTCCCACCCAACACTCCACTTGCCCTTTTGAACAAACCCAGGAAACAGTGCTCCGTCTTTAGTCCCTTCGCCATGTCGTCCCGCAGAAGCACTCGGAAGCGCAAGAGCTATACTTCCGCCCCCGCTGCTGCTGATATCAGGTATGTACAATGGGCGAGGGAATGGTTGAGATGAACTACCGATGGCATGCGGCCAAGCACAGGAGGGGCGCCGACGACTGGAGGGGCGGTCTGGGCTCCTTGAGGCCATTTCCAACGTCACTAACAGACTCTTTTGGAATTCTTCCACATCTCCCAGCTCCGCCTGGTATGTCGGCTACGCAGAGGATGGCGAGTCCGTCGAAGCCATCATGCAAAAGTTCCAGGAGCTCGAACGCATGCAGATGGAGTTATCCGCCCAAGGCTCCAGTTCAACCGTCTCAACGACGACCCCGCAAGTTCCTTCCTCCTCTTCCTCGACTCCCCTTACCACCACCACCCCCGACGCGGCTCCAACGCCCATGGATACCGACCCGACCACGAGCACCTCGTCCCCCGTCTTAACCACCGACGACATTCACCAGATGCAACTACACGCGACAAACACGGACTCGACATCAACCTCCTTCACGCAGGAGCAGCTGGAGGAACTGTTCAAGCGCACGTCGGGGTTCACGGTGCGCCAGGCGGCGATGAATGTGGATGTGGAGGAACTGGATGATATGGAGCTGTGGAGGATGGAGATTGAGGGGGGGGAAGATGAGGAGTGGGGTGGGGAGATTGAGTGAGTTGTGTTCAGATTGTCGTTCGGCTTGATGGCTGGGCCGCATCGGAATGACTCACATTATTCTTTTGGCAGCGAGGAACATATAGCGTCGGAAGACGAATTCTGGGACGACGAGGAGTTTGGCGCACCGGCGCGCAGAGCAGTTCGTCGTGTGGCCGGTGCTGGTGGCGGCGGCGGCGGATCGCGGTCACGAGCGGTGGATAGGGAGAGTCTGATTGCGCGGTACAAGGTGATGCAGGTGCAGATGCAGGACCGGCATGGGAATTTCTTTGTGATGAAGAAACGGGTTTGGTGAGTTGGAGACGAGGAGTGTACGGGTACTAGGGCATGGTGTTTCTCACAGCTGTTGCTGACACGTGTTGTCGATTGCATTGACAGCACGGTCGACCCAACTCTGCCAACATACGTCCGTATCCCCCCAGCACCCATCCCTCGCTCATGGGTCAAGCTGATCGCTCCGTACGTGCCGCCGGTCGTAGACGTGCCTGGCAGCAGGTAAGCACTTCAGGCAACTTCAATTCGCACTAAGATGCATCCCGGGAAGAAGCCTCATCGAATATTTGCTCTGAAAGGTACTTTGAACACCCCGACATCCTCGGGTTCGACTACAAGCAGCTTGGAAACAGGTTCCAGGTCATCCATATGGATCCCCCGTTTTTGTTGCCGGGGGAGGAACCCACGCCGGGGAAGATTAGTGTTGAGGAATTCGTAAGTTGGGGTGTGAGGCTGTTGCGCTTGGAACCCTGATTCGAACGATGAACCCCCCTCCCCCACCACAGAGCACCCTCCCCATCCCCGCCCTCCTACCGACGGGTTTCCTCTTCATCTGGGCAGAAAAGGAGCTGACACCCCACATCATCACGACCGCAACGCGGAAATGGGGCTTCCGCTACGTGGAGAATTTCGCGTGGATCAAACGCGAACGCAATAATGAGATTGCGAGAGGCCCCGGACGGTATTTTAGACGGAGTAAAGTGACGTGTTTGATTTTGAGGAGGGAGGAGAAGGTGCGTCTCTGTCGTGTGTGTATGGATGTATGATCTTCCACAATTGATATGTGTCTGTGAACATTTGGGTTCGTTTTGTTACGCACCAGCCGGGCGACGTCGAACTCCGCCACCAACGTTCACCCGACTGCGAGTTTGATTTCATCAAGCCCTGCATCACCACTCAATTAACAGAACAAAAACCAGAATTCATCTACAAGGTGATCGAAACACTCCTCCCACAGGCTGTGTATGGGGCGGTTGACAAGGATGGGAGTGGGGAGGGGAAGAGGAGGAATTTGGAAGGGGAGAGGATGTTGAGTTTGTGAGTTTTCTGTTTTGTTTTTTTGGGGGGGCCGGGGCCGTGAGGAAGTGGGGGACTGACTGACTGGCTTACTTTTTCTCTGCAGGTGGGATGTGAAGGGACATCGACGAAAAGGGTGGACTACTGTCGTGCAGGCGCCTGTGGGGATAGATCTAGAAGGGGACGCGGGGCCGGTGGGGAAGTAGGTGGGTTGAGTGCGGTGTACAGAAGGCAGAGATGGCAGACTTGAACTCTTCTAGCATGGTGTAGGGGACATTGGCCGCACAGCAGACGAGCGGTCGAGGAAGAGACGGACGCTTTTGGTCTTTCGGGTATATACTGTATATATATGCTTAGAATATATGCAGATAACAAGTGTCCACATTAGATTCCGTTTGATGGAGTAGGGGCTTTTTTCCTGAGAAAGATTGAGGGCAGTTTGCATTATGTACAGTTCAGCGCACCTTGTGCCGCAATACTGACGGGAGGTATCTTCGCCTATCACATAACCGAACACTTATCCTTCTTCCCCGCCTGCCCCGCATGCTTCGGCGCCTCCTGCTGCTTCCCACCCCTCCCCTGCGCCTTTGCCTGACTCTGCCCCTTCCGCTGACTCCCATCCTGCCGCTGCCGTTGCTGTGCTTGTTGCTGTTGCTGTTGGAACTGTTGACTGCTAGCAGCCGCCTCATCCTCCTCCCTCTGCAACGCCATCGCCAGCGCCAAATCCGCGTTCCCCTCCCCACCACCACCATCAGCCACACCATCCTCCCCCTGTTGCAGTGGTACGTGACCGGCATGTTGCGTATGATGAAACGGCTGGAAGAACCCATCCAGGAACGCCGAATCCCCATCCACGGCATCCATCGTCTCCCACACCGCGCCGTCCACGTCCGCAAAGCCCTGGTCGGTGATGAGTGTATACAGGGCCGTCGTCTGCGGTTCGCCATTCCCTTCATCCTTGGCTTTTCCCTTCCCCAGCACAGGCGGCGGGTGAACACGCTTGTAGAGGGTTGCAAAGTGGTTGTTGCGGAAAAGCACGCTGAGGGAATTGGGCGGGAGGGAGTCCGTGAGGGATTGGAGGCCGTGGTAGGTGAGTTGGGAAGCCGTGGAGGTGAGGAAGGATTGGCAGACGAGGGCAGTGTGGAGGGTTTCTGGGGTGGGTGGGGCGGGTGCGGGTGCGGGTGAGTTTGTATTATCCCCCTTCCCATCAGCAACAGCATCCCCAGCTACAATCCTCTCCACAACCGCGTTATAGCTCCCACACTCGCCCACGACGACACGGTACGTCTCCTCGTCCTGCGGGTCGACTGTCCACCCGTGGCACAGGGTGATGCGGAACAGATCAAAGATAAGTAAAGCGGGCGTGACTTCGAATGCAAAGGGGGTGTCGAAGCGGACGTTCACGTCGAGGCCTTTTTGGAGAGTGGGGATGAGGTGTAAGACGTCGGTGAGGTTTTGGGAGAAGTCGGTTGCGCGGGGGGTTGATGGAGATGCAGCTGTTGATTCTCCGGGTGTCTCGGTGGACATCTCCGGCGGCCCGTTGGCTGTGGGTGATGTATCCGGTAACCGACACATGACCCACTCTCCGATCAACTGGGCGATGTACTCGAAATCCACCTCTGACCTCGTTCCGTTGATCTCAATGTCCCCGCGGAGGAGCAGGACGTTGCAGAGCGCAATGAGGGGACAAGGGCCGTTGGCGTTTTGGGTGAGGATTTGCAGTTGGCGGGGGATGTTGGTGCGCGGGTCTAGGTAGGTGATGCGTTTGAGGCGGTAGGATGTATCGATGGCAGCTGCTGGTGGAGGGGCAGCGGGGGCGGAGGAGGGTGGGGAGGAGATGGCGGCCTGTACGGATGGGATGGCAGCTGCGGATGGGGATGCCTCTGTGGTATGCACGGGTGCGTCGTCGGAAGCTATGTTCGGTACCGGTGTCCCGCTGGCTTCCGCTTTATTGCCATTGGTCTCTGCGGGAGCATCCACTGTTGGTTCTTCCTGCCTCGACTCACCATCCCCGTTGTCCTTCCCCATTTCCTGCTGCAACTGTGTGTTTGAAAGTTCTATATTGGAACAAGACCACCGTATGTCAGCGATCAGTCCATCTCATCGCGACATGACACTCCCAACGCGTACGGCTCGTACGGTCCGCTATGGCGATGGGACACCCTCAGATTCTCCGCGAGCCCCTAGCAGGACCTTACCTTTGTGGCCGTGAACCAAGTGGTCCTCTTTTCCGAGGGCGGGCATGCTTTGCGCGACTGACGGGGCGAACGTGGGTTGCTCCTCGTGTTTCTGGGATATTTCTTTTGACATGAGAGCTACGAGAGGGAGATGATTTCGTTTGTCCCCGGGGGCAATGACGTTTGAGGATGGGGTAAGTGGAAAGTGATGGAAGCCGGTTGCATTGTTGTGTGATGGCCAGCAGTGCGGCCTCTTGCGCGTCCCCGACTCCCCAGGCGTCGCCCGTCGCCCTTCGGTTTTCAATGTTTCAAAATGGCCAATTCTCATATATGTGGTGTGAGTGAATTAATTCTCTTCTAACCATGAAGTCTAATAGACTCCAACCATTCGATATCGCTAACCGAAAAATGATAGGTTTTCCGATAGAACAACCTTTACGGCCGCTATCCGAGGGCAGTCAAGAAGGCACTTCCCGCCTGATTGAGGTCGTTACCATCTCGACGATCTGGCCTACGAAGTGCTCCGGCACCGCGTCCATGCTCAGCACCTCGAAGTGTTTTCCATTCGCCTCAGTATACCGCTGTCGGAACAAGTTGGTCATCTGGGGTGCCGCTCCGGGGATAGTGAAGTTCCACTCTCTTCTTCTCCGCTAATAGGGTGATGAGATGTTTACCCAGTCGTCCCTCAGGATCTGCATTCGGAAACTTGTCGATGTTGCGATACTGATATTCTGCAAACAAAGATCACTAACGTACCAAATACATATACACTGAGGGCAAACAGAATGTGCAGATGAGATATATTTGCCCATGAGGAGGTGCATCACCAAAGTGTATCAAAAGCCGTACTTTGCTGTTCCAGTTCAAGTGACTGGCAGCGCCTTCTAGGCCCGCAAGCACATCTTCGGCGTAATCGTAGCCATCCTGCACCACGATCGTGTTGATGGCCTCCTTGAACCCTTCCACATCGGTTGTAAAGTCCAGTGTGAAGGGAAGACGATTTCGTTCGTACTCCCCAGCACTTTTGTGATCAAAATAGCCCGCAAACCCAACCTTCACCGTCCATCCAGGGTACGATTGGAGCGTTTCATCTACGATGGCTCTAATCTGTTCTGTAACAGCCGACAGCTGAGGGCGCATTGAACACGTGCAGTCCATCAGGAAGCCAAGGTCCACCGTCTCCGAGACTAATTGTTTTTGCGCCCGTAATCGTTCACGGACAGAGCCACGAATTAAGTGCAGTCCTGGGCTTCCCGGGCTTGAACGCACAGAAGCAGTCCGGTCACTGGCCTGTGAACTCGGTGCACGCGCGGGTTGGTCAGCCAGCCTACTAGAACTCTCCGATGTCTGCGCCTGCCCACCGGCAAGAACTAACCCATTACCGGTGGACACTGCAACGCTCCTGGTATGATGCAAAGCAACGTTAACTAGCTCGTCTTTTTGGCCAGAACGGTTCTAGTTCTAGAAGCGGGCATCACATACTGTCGGTGATCGTGATATGTGATGGCTAGGACACGTCTTGCCGGCGTATCTGCAATGATACTACTGTAATGCGGCCGCGCTGGTGAGCAGGTGCAACTATAAGCGTGGGTGTGTATCGCATACCTGCTATTCTGGTAGCTCATATCTCCGTAGACTCCGTGGAGATGGGATGACGAGAGCGTCGGAGTTACAGGAGCGACGAGGAAGAGTAGACGGTGGAGACCTGGGTGGAGACTGGAGGATGGCGGACCTGGGATGGAGTCAGAAGTGGGATGTATGTATGTACTGTATTCCGACTAATACAGAACTGGGAGAATATGGCGAAACGGTTTTTTTGGGGCATTGGCCGGTTTCATCGGTCTACACAGGCTGGTTCTGACCACAGTGCACTTTTCCTTTCCTTTTCTGCTTTGTCCCTCGAGCTTCCCCTCTCGCTCGTACTGACCATACCAATCTCGAACGCACGTTCCTCATTGCCCCTTCCACTGGTAAGTATTAGCCTTTCCATTTCTCAAACCCGTTTCTGCGCAGGTCAAAAACGGCAAGGTCGATCTCCGCGTCGAAGGCAAGTTAGTCTGCTGGGACACTCGGTGAGGTCCCTGGGACGACTTCGCGGCTTGCACAGGTGCAACTGGTGCGCGACCTCCGTCGAGATGCGCGTAGGAAACGGGTTAAAATCCATTCATTCATGCACCGTTATTATCTTCGAGTTGCGCCGGAGCTGGTTCTGGCCATTTAGTTTTCTGTCTTTTCCAGCTTCACGTAGCTTCTCACTTTCGATTCGGGCCCTTCCATTTGTCGGCGATACGGAGAGACAGGCGAAAATGAAACGACCACTTCCCCCGTGTGACTTTCCGAAGAGAGTCCCATTCCTGAACTTCCCGCCTCCTCGGATGAACTTCAGATTTTCCAGTCTCAAGAGTCCAAACGCCGAGGAGCCACTGTTAGACCGGCTACAATCGACCTTTTTTTTGGAGTTCGCTGAGTGCTCGTTTGTTCCTCGACCTCTGTGGCCGCGAGCGAAGCGTTGGGTCCCGCTATGCGTGAGGCGTGCAGAACGGTCAGCTATTCCCTGGCCAGCGGGCATTCGGCAACGAATTTGGGTTCCCAACCCATATCCGCGAGTGCCTCGCACTGGCTCCCAGTGATCTATTGGTAGTGGCGGAGCTCCAACTTCGCGCAAAGATGCGGCTTTGCGATGCCACCTGCGTGCGCCAAGCAATTGAAAGTCGAAAAGCGCTGTCTGTCCGTCGTTCATGAAGGGCGATTCCCAGTGTATCCGAAGTGCGTTAATGTCGTCAACCCTGAAGGAACCTGAGAACCTTGGCCTAAAACTCCCGACGCGAAGGCTGTGATGCCAAACGGAGCGGGACTCGACTTACAACAAATATGGAGTACGTGCGCGCAACGACTTTGGGCAGTTGCTTCATGTTGTAAGGCTTCGTCCCGACAGCAGTCTTATCGACATTCCAGTGGTGTTCCAAGGTTGAATTTGAAGCTTGGAGTCACAACTTCTGTCCGATCCCACCGCAGAGATGGCTTTTAGGTTTGTCTCGCAAATGACGTAGCTCGCTGACGCGTAGAAGTACGAGTCGGTGTGAGGCTTGGCCGAGAGAAGGCCAGCCAAGACGCCCAGAGCTCAATTCATCAAGAGTTGGCCTGTGGGCTGGCCGGCCATGGACTTGGATCCTGGACTCGAACATCGAGCACCATGAATCATGATGACATCGCAGGGACTGGATCTGGACGTTGAGCGCGCACCGAAGTGATGTGTGGGGCAGACTTGATGTGTGGGGGAGACTGGGAACCCTTCGCCCCTGTTTATGACCGCAAGCCAATAATGACCTCATGGGATGTCTAAACGTCCCTGGTCTTGCATGTGGGACAGCATATAAAAGGACGAAGGACCCTTTGTTCGTCCTCTTCCAAAAGTATCGAGATATTGCCTCATCCTTTGCGATTCAAACACCCCAACATACGAAGCAAACATGTCTCCATCTGCATCGGACTCGGCAACAGCCACTCTGCGCAACATCAAGCAACGAGGCACCGAAGCCGTCCACGACCCACAGCGCGCTTTGCACGATGTCGCCGTGAAGGTGAAGACGGCCGAAAAGGCCGTACAGGGAGCTTACATGTACCCTGTCAGCGGCGTGCTCTACTTTGCCAACCACACTGATCTCGTCAAGCCCATCGCCGGTGTGCTCGCCAAGAGTGCACTGACGAGCTTGGGTATTACCGCCCTGATGTTCTTCTTTACCGTGAGTACCGTCGTGTTTTTGAGTTTGAGGTGTTGCAAACTCTCATACTGATCTCCTTCCTTTCATCCCACCAACAGTTCCTCCCACAAATGGCCTTCCTCTCTCTCATCGCCACCCCATTCCTCGGCATCCCCGCCGCCATCGTCCTGGTCCTCGTTGAATCATGGCTCCTGATCAACGTGGTCGTAAAGGCCATCTTCATCGGTCCTCTCCAGGACGACCTGTTCGACCGTGTCCTCGCCGCCGAAGGCCACAAAGATCTGGTCGCCCAAGGCAAAACCCGCTTGACTCCCTCCGGCCCCCACGCCCACGTCGCCAAGGCCATCCGCAAGCGCATGGACCGGTTCTCACCCGCCGCAATGCTGCAGTTCCTCATGACCCTCCCTCTCACCTTCATCCCCGTCATCGGACCCGTCTCCTTCTTCGTGATCAACGGCAAGAAGATGGGAGCGAGCTTCCACACTCGTTACTTTGCACTCAAGGGATGGAACGCCCAGCAGGTTGAGCAGTTCCAGAAGTCCCGTGGACCCGCATACACCGCGTTCGGAGTCGTCGCTTTGGCGTTGCAGCTCATTCCCGTGGTCGGTGTCTTCTTCACAGCCACGTCGACCGTCGGAGCCGCGATCTGGGCTGCGGACTTGGAGAGGCATGGGGAGACCACGGGCATGCCCGCGATGACGCAGCAAGCTGCCGAGTCGGCGGTGAAGCAGCTGCAGGATGCAGCGGTTGATGCGAAGGATGCCGTCAAGGACCGGGAGCTGTAGATTCGATCACGAAGTCAAGTCCTTTAGGGAAGATCCGTCATCGCTCGTGCTTGCGTGAGCCATTCACCGGGCTTCCTTCACCCTCTGTCATTTAGTAGTCGTTATTTTTTGGTCGAAGAGCACTTGTAAAATTATACCACATCGTATCAATTGAATGATTATGGCTGTTGCTAATGCCATCTATACTCGTACGCTTTCCGTTCACCTGGCGGTGTGATTTCCCATGCCTCCCTACGGCCAAAGATGACTAGGTTTCGACTACATTCCAGGCGTCAGTTTTCCGTGTGGGTAACTTAGATTCGATAGAGATTGTCTATGTATAGCCAAAGGAGGGCCAAAGACCGTCCATCCATTTGACGGTATGCAACAAGTAGATAGTGGATTAGCGCGTAGGGATGGAGTGAAAAAGTGGCATGCACAGACATCATATGGTCAGTATACTGCAGGAACAGACGGGACTAGATTGATCGGCCGCTTCTCATCTCAAAGAACCTGATGCGGACAAATCCGGTGAGGTTCAGATCAGAGAGCGCTGTTTCGCCTGTTTCACTCCTGCTTACCTCTTCAGGTAGTTGATCTGGAAGTACACGACTCCCACGAGTGCCAGAGCTTGTACGAGCGACCAGTACAAGACACGACTATTCGTGCTATCCGCAGCTGGTTTACAAGTGGTTCCGCTTTAGTCCATGTCACTCGGGATTTCCGATGACAACATCTGACAAAGACTCACTCATCCTGTGCCGGCGTTCCCTTGATTTTAAGAAAGCGTGCTCTTCCCTGATGGCCCTGATCCCCGCGTCCAACACCCTAATCTCGCTTTGGAGGGATTCCGTTGGGTCGTCTTCTTCATATGGAAACGTAGTTGAACGAGAGTCCAGAATGATTAGACCATCCGCCGGCTCATCGTGATGCACACTTCGCGCTCTTTCTCCCGTGGTACTCACCAAGACTCATCTTCATCTCCTTCTCCTCAATCTTCCACTTCTCATCAGGCCCCACCACCGTGAATAAGATCCGTTTGTCCGCGAATGATGACCTCTTGTTATTGAAGCAGTAGGTGTATGTGCCATCCTCCTCAGCATTGAAACCCCAAGTGAAGAAGCTCCCTGCGTTGTGTGATTGCAGCGGACGATTGCCGGGTGCAAAAACCTATGGGGTGAAGAATATGAACATCACAAGGGAACTTCGGCTTCAGAAGATGCTCCTGGTGATGCCTACCACAAAGTCAACGTCCAGATTCCCACCGTCCGTTATCTCATAGGACAAGTCCACTCTATCCTTTGTTTTTAGCACTTCTTTGAAACATTGCTCCTCTCCGGCGTGTAGCAGCGTCGTAAAGGTGTTGAAAGCTGCAACCTGCGTCGATAAGATGGCGACAAGGCATACCAACGCCAGGACTTGGGTGGTAGGTGATGGCTTCCCCATGGTGGCAACTGGCTCAACGTTAGGATTGGTGATGGAAGGGGATGCGCAGGTCCAAAGCAGTCGAAAGCCCATTCCAAGTTCCAACGCGCAAGCCCCAACCGCCGCGGCTTCACCTTCTTCCTCATTTCTTCACTTCTTCGTAACCAAAACTGCAGGTGCAGGGCACGCAGCGCAGTATTTGGACGCTGCCCATACGTACTGTACCTACCTGCCGCCGGATAACGGTAAGGGGGACGGCAAAGGGTCCTCAACAACAACCTGGACAGATTTTCGGGGTCAGACTCCTCGGTCCAGCACTCGACGCAAGAGCAACAGGACCCCTGGACATCTTCGATAAGCACTCAACCCAATAAGACGACTTTAGAGAACAGCCAAAGCACATGATGTCTATATGTCGTCGCGGTGCCTCAGTATATCAGGAAAGTTTGCTTCTTCACGTTGCGTCGGCGTCGCAACGCCTGTCGTCTGGAAGCGGGGCTACTCGCACTATGTGCGCCGCGCAGGAGTCTCCCAGGGCGTCACCTGCCCAATCAAATGGAGCCAGGTCCGCCACATTGCAACCTCTCGGACTTACGCTCGCAATTCGTGGCCCGAAAAGCTTAGGAGCCGCAACCCGAAATTGACGAAGTGGATTACGGGCGGAGAACATCAACCGAAGACGTCCTACGCAACCACACCAGCGCATATTCAAAATGACGAGGGCAAGCTCAAACGCACCTACGGGGGAAGCAGCAGGCCTGGGGAGCGGGATTACCTGCGTAAGCTTTTCGCTGAGATCGAGCGGGAAGACGTCCGCTCTGCGTTTGGAACGTATCGATTCATAATGCGCTCTCCATCGGCAAGATCGACACTTACGAGAGATTACATTCGGTCAGTGATCAAGCTTCTGCGAGAAAATGACAGCGCGGAGTATGATGGCATCAGCCGTATTTCACAGATCATGGCAGATTTGTCTATCCTATCGATGGATGTAGATGTGCTGGACTATAATAGTTTACTGTCGTGCATTGTCCGAGCTGGGGATCCGGAAGCTATCCTCCTCACACTTCGCGACATGCGGTCAAAAAATCTGATCCCCAATACGACGACCTACAATATTCTACTCAGTTATTACGCCAATAGTGGTAACATCCTGGGTCTAAGAACGGCACTGGAGACCATGAGTCAAGTGCAAGTTACGCCAGATCTTACAACCTACAATACGATCTTGCAGGGGCTGACGGGTTATCTGGATGGCGTTCCAGTCGACGAACTCACCAACGTCTACCAGCGCATGATAGCGGACAAAGTCGAGCCGGACACCAGAACGTACAATCTGCTTCTAAAGGGATACGTGAGAGCAGACGATCTCGAAGCAGCAATGTCGGTTATTGCACAAATGCTTGCCGCTAGTCGCTTTCCGACGTCCGAGACTTTCGAAGCGATCATCACCGGTCTGCTCCGGAATGGGGATCTTGAAAGGGCAGAAACTCATTACCACGCTATGCTGCGAGCCGGATTGACCCCGGAATCAGTAATTCTTGAGAGATTCATATCCGTATGCGCGGCACACGGATTGATTGAGGATGCTGAGCGGTGGTTCCGAGAATTGACGGATATACGGCCGCCAAGATTGGAAGCTTTGCTACCTTTCATCAGCCTGGCAGCTCGCGCAAAGGACTTGAGCGAACTGAAAAACTTGCTGCAAGTACTGAGACTCAACGACATCAGGGACCCTCCTTCCGTACCAATAATATATCGCAATGTGTTCCGCGAAATGCTTGCATGGAAGCACGATGATGTGTTCATAGCGACGCATGACATCCTGACATCACACGGGTGTTTCCCGGACCCCGATCTTGAACAACACTGGCGGAACCGTTTAGCACCTCACTCAGAGAGGAGCACAACCATTCAAAACTCCCGCCGGTCGGATGTATCTTTTCGTCGCAAGGGGTTTCATGACGAAGCCTCGGACGTGAGTCCGGGTACTCGCTCGAACGCTCAAAGAGTCACCGATCCAAGGATATTCACTGACATCGTGGCCTTCAACCGAGAGTTGAATGCGCTGGCCAAGACCCCTGAAACGCTCCCGCACGCCATCGAGATGTATCGCGCTCTCGGTCGTCTGCGTCTGGCCCCAACCGGCACAACTTTCAGTGCCCTGATTGGAGCATATGCACGCATCCCGGATGTTGTCTCGGTCGAAGCTATCTGGCGGGAATTGAAGGCCTCCGGTGTGGTACCCGATATCGCTTGTCACAATGGAAGGATCCGGGTGTATCTCAAAGATCGAAACGTCCCGAAAGCGACGATCGCAATGGAAGACTTCAAAAGCAGCGGCCTTAAGCCGACCGCCTACACGACGCGGCTGATATTGGAATTTGCCGTGCTTCGTGGCGACTTGGACGCAGTCAAGAGCCTTCTTCACTTGGTGTGCCGAGACAGGAATGCATCGGCTTACGGCCTTCTGAACCGGGCGGTGGAGGCGCTTGTACTCGACGGACGCTTCAGCGAGGCGTACGAATGTGACATTGCGATACACCACATCCTCGCTGACGGCGCCACCCAGAACACTTACACCCAGCCCCTCATCACAAGGCGTACGAGCGCGGCAATGATGATGGGGCTATTGGGAATGGGACAATGGCAGAAAGCGTGGTACTCTTACCAGTGCGCGGCAAATGACCAGTGGAATATCCCGCTGCCGGAACACTTGGTCCTTGCAATGGTTGCAACTCTGTGCAAGCATAAAATGTTCGACGATCTCCAATGGACACTGGCATTGGCATACAAGGACGGAATATCTCGTAACCATTGGCGCTTCATCACCGACCTCGTTGAAACACTAGACCGAGCATCTGTAAACTCTTCTGACGGGGCCTTTACCTATCAACTCGTCGACCACGCTCTCAAGGATTATCCCGCTGAAAACCGGCCAACGGCCAGAGATGCAATCTTTTTGCTCAGATCGGCCGTCAAACGCCGCAGTGGGCAACAAATCGAAGGGTGGCTCAAGCTTCTTTCCGACCACCATGTGCCTTTGACCAGCGACATCTACGAGAACTGGGTTTTCGGGCCGCGCGGAACAGACTGGCCTAATCCTGAGAGTCTGGGAAACATCCTCCAGAGTGCCATCGGGGATCAGGTGCCATTGTCGGCTCACGCAGTAGCGCTCGCTCTGGAGGCCATGATCACGCATCTCGACCAAAAAGGTGCTTACGCAGCCTACTCATACATGAAGCAAAAAGGCTATGAGGTGACACAGGTACAACGCTCTCGGGTAGTGAACTTACTCGCCAATGGGAACATGCTCACCGAAGCCGGGTTGATCGCTTGGGACGAGGCTACGATTGTGGATGAGGGCATTCTCGAATCTTTGGCCATGGGTTACAGCAGTCAGAGTGGGCCGGATGCCAAAGAGAAGGTCCTCGGAATTCTGGATCTCATGGAAAGCGGGCAAAGAGACAAAGAACGGCATTTTGTCGTGACTATGAAGGCTATGCAGAAAGCTATGACCCATCGCAATGCGGGCCTCGCCGAAGCTCTGCTTCAGAAAGCTTTGAAGTCCGGGCATGCAGTGAAAATGACCGATATCATCAGCGTGCTCTCTGCCCTCGCGGCGGAGGGCAAGGTTTCGGAGTTCTTGGAGCTTTTGACCACCATGGTTGTCCACGGAATCTACCCCGAAGACATCGTACACAATCTTATCTTCAAAGCCTACGTGTCGGCTGGTCGGACCGTCGAGGCTGCACACATACTTATCAACGTGAAGACAGCCGGCCTTGTCGACGGACTGGAACTCAAGCCCGATGCGTGGGCTTATAATACGGTGATTGCTGCCCTTGCCAGGATGGAGGAGGAGAACCTTTTGCAACAACTCCGGAAGGTTGCCGCAGCGAGAGGCTTCATACCGGATCTGGCGACGCTAACGTCGTTATTACCTACTGCGAAAACCCTCGACGATGTGGAGCAGATAAAGAAAAATATCACCAAATCGGGCTTTCAGACGGACAACATTTACAACATCGCACTCGCAACAGCTTATGCCAGATTGAAGGCTCCTAATCTCTTGGAGGATGTGCTCAAAACCTCGGCTTCCAACGCGAAATGGTCAGCGGTGGAGTGGAATCTGGTTCTGAAGGGTTGGAAAGAAGTCAAAGACTACCGGCGATGCGTCGACGCATTTGAAGAAATGACATCCTTCAATGTTCAACCCGATGTCATCACAATCAACACTCTCCTGTCCGCGGCCCTTACTTCGGCCAATGAAGCGGGATTCGACATCGTTGCCGAGATGGACAGATGGACCGTCGTGTTGTCCCGGCGACAGATCAAACCTGATTTGGCGACCCTGAATCTTTTCCTTCGCAAGCAAGCAGTGAAGAATGAGAGCAACCTCTCAGGCAAGCCTCCCAAAAATCATCGTAAATCGATACGCAAGCGCCTCAACCGCTTCGATGAACTTGGGTTCTCCCCCGATCAGGACACTTTTATCGCCATCATCATCGTGCATTCGCGTGCGTATCTGGCTGGTGAGGATAAAGAAGCAGCCAAGGAGATGCTTCATGAAAGCTTGTTGTACATTGTAAATGAAGAGATGGTTGAGTACAAAGTACCTGCTTCAAGAGACGTCTACGATACCATCACGAGCGTTTTATCGGAGTTAGGCGGGGCACGTGAGATCGCGCATTGGATGAAGATCATGAACAACGCAAAGATTGCACCGGACGCGAATACCATGAAGCATTTTGTGGCCGCCTTGCTGCAACAAGGGGACCTCTCCAGTGCTGAGCTGGCGCTTTACAGTTTCTCGCATGAGGAGTCAAGCCATGATCGATCGCTTTCATTACAAGGTACTGGGGTTCCCTATTGCGACATAGCGAATTATATCCTGTCCCGGAACGACGCTCCGGCGAATGTCAGTATCAACCGAATTACGGGATTTTTGCAGCAGACTCCTGGGTATGGCTTCTTTAGTGAGGGCATCGATAACCACCTCGTACATATGGTCGCCAACGGTTATATCGGCCACCCGGGCAGCCCGCGGACAGACGTGAACGTTGTACACAGATCCATAGCTCTTCTGAAAAAACTTCCCACAAAACTCATCGACGATGTAACAGTGGCGATTGCCTTGAAACTCTGCTTGCATCAACGGTGGTATGAAGACGGCAAACTCCTCTGGAACTGGGCTTCTGGACGCCCTCGAGTACTGTGGGACTGCTCGCCCGAAAAAGCTGGCACCCATTCGATGCCTATAGCCAAGGTCAAGGTCTTTAAGGCCAGAACGGCCTCGCGAAAATCTGCCAGTCGTCGCCGATGGGGATTCATCGTCTCGCAACCTTCTCCACGCGGTTTCGAGCGGCTCAATGAGGCCTTCCTGTGCACATATCTGGACATCATCGGTGCGGAAACGGCCGAAAATCCTACCTCGACAGCGATAAAGCGGCTTGAGGATACCTGGCATGACATGGTGCAGCTCCCAATATTAGCTGAACACATGAAACCGGATGAGGAGTCAAAGCGTGAAACGCGCCAGGCGATCTTGGCAAACTTCAAGGAATATCCCACGGAGAATATGTGCAACTCTTACATCGAAGCCTTACTGAGGTGTGGCCGCACGTCAGATGCTGTGATGTTTTTCCAGAGCATGGGTGGACCAGGGAAAGTCACCGCGAAGACGGACAAGAAGAAGATCGCAAAGGGCGACAAAGCACAAAAGACTAGTCTTTCTGCGAAAGCATACTCCGCCACGCCCTCCGCGAAGACCATCCGCACAATCTTCGGGCCTTTATGTACCTCTGGTGTCGACACGTCCGGTACCTCTGAAGAGGGGAAACCTCAGCTGCGCCACAAAGTCCGACAGATCATTTCCCTTCGCTGGCCTCATCTTGTCAAAGTCGCGGATCAGGTTGCTGATGAGGAGATGAAGAAACAAAAGGCGCGGGAGGTCGTTAAGCAGGAAACCGCGAAACTGGAGGAGACCTCTAAAGTCGCGCAGGAAGCTACGGTCAAATTGCTCGCAGAGCAGAGGTTTGCACTGGTAGATGCGAATAGCGCTGATGCATCTCACACGAGTGCTCTTGCGGATCCAAGCGTGTCGCACATTTCTCCGAGCAAAGACGCTGAAGAAGATGGTGGGCACGTCGCAGCATTCGATTCGGCCATCCAAGCCGAAAGCGGCCTGGAAACACCTAAGGGAGAGGTTGCCGAGACGCCCGTGATAAATGAGCGGGAACTCATGCACGTTAGTGGTGTGTGGATCGAGGATGCAGAAGATGGAAGAAATCTCGGAGATTTTGGCGAGGAGTGTGTCGGCACTGTGGTAGATGACGATGAGCCGGAACTCATGCACGCCGGTGTGTGGATCGAGGATGCAGAAGATGCAGAAGATGCAAGAAATTTTGGAGAAATCGGCGGGGAGGGTATTAGCGATGCGAATGCTCAAGAATATGGGAAAAAGGATGAACAACCGGCGCCGCTTGAGGAGGCAGAGGATTGGCGGGCCCACATGTATGGTTTTGTCAAGCCAGCCCATCGAGACTAGTTAGAGTGCGAATACATATGCATCACATCATTCCGAAGCGGGCGTTGAGCTAAGGAGGAGTACACATAGAGGCGTAGCAGATAGGATTTCTTACTCGTGATGCATATACGAGACGGTGCAAATCGCTCCTTGATTGATCATCAATAAAATCTCATTGGCTTTAGCTTTGGAACATCACGAAAAGGAGTCACGCGCTGTCAGGAACGCGCTGTCGAGTTTCCGCGTCACCGCTTACCTGCCCGCGCGCTCACTGCCGAACTTCAGCTTTCCCCCTGCTGCGTTTGACAGCTCTTACTTTCCACCCAAAAGTTCTCTTCTTCATCTTTGCACGGAGTATCCTTGTTGCTCAAAGGAGAAGACCATCCGACCTTATGACACCCTCACTTCGGTGACATCTGTCCTCCCGTTTGCCTGTGTCTCTTTGTCTCGGTTGGCAATAAGATCGACGAGTAGTGCGCAGAGCTAAGGTTGAGTGAGGGCAGCCCACTGTCGACAAAGACATACCAAGTTATGCCCGCCACGACCACCCCGACGCAACTGGCTGACCTCCTCCGCCGTCTCGCTACCAACGAGTTAGAAGGCTGGGAAGAAGGTAGCGGTCGGCGCGTGACCCTTCGCTTTCGTTCCAGCATACAGCATACCGCCTCGACATCCACCCACAATGACAATGAGAACCCTTCTGTGACGGACAGGAGGCGTGGAATGAACCCAGCCCAGTTCTATCACAGCAGTTCGGTCCAAACGCCACAGCAGCCACGGGAAAGTGGTTCCGGACCGCGGAGGTCGCTCTTCCCCGAATGGCAAGCACAAGTTGGACAGAACAATAGGCGTGACCACGTGCATGAAGATCGGACGAGAAGTAGCTGGAGAAGCAATCGCCGGCGACGGAGTCCTGACGATGAGTTTGACGAAGACGAATGGAATCATGGCACGGATGGGAGAAATGAAGAGGACAGGACACGAAGGGCGGACAGGCCACGAGACGTTGAGGAGTCAAGGCCACTTGCGTTGGCTGGTGGGGGCAGGCAGGATCCGAGCCGAAGGTCATGCACAACACCACCGCCGCCTCATGAGGGACCGGGGTATGTTCGGGTTGTTGTCAGAGAAATTGCAAGCTCAGGTCCTACCAGTACCTCGACGCAACACGACAGCGACATAACACCTGCATCTCCAACCTCCTCGACACCTCGTCCGACGTCGCAATCCGAAGCTTCTTCACAAGACACAACACAACAGCATGCACCACAACGGTCGTCGGTGCATTATGCGAGAAGACATTCTCAAGCACAATCCCACAACATCAACGCTCCCACGAAGCAGCCTTACAACGGTATCTGGTTCAAGATTCGCAAATGGACACCTCTTGAACGGCTCATGACTATTTACTGTCAGCGCGCATCACGCAATCGTCATTTGGCTGAATTCAGCATGAATGGGCGAAGATTGTGTGGGGATCAAACGCTGGAGGGTCTACTTTGGGCCGATGGGAATGACGAAAATGGGGAAAAGAGGGAGGATGTAGCGGATGGGCCTGTCGTCATCTTGGTCAATATGCGGGGGGAGAAAGTAGGAAGGTGACAGCAGGACGGATTTGGAAAAATATATGCGTCCAGAGAGTAGGAGAGCAACGATCAGGCTGTAAATTCATATACCTCAATCAAAAATAAGCGGAAGTGAGAACGCCCTTCATAAAGGCGTCATATAATGTCCATCTTTGGTATCAGTACGCGTGAGTCCTCGCCTTCGTCTTGATAACTTGCGGGGTACACATAGCATACGAGGAGCTCGCCCAGGATGGCGGGGAAGGTGGCCACGGTCTTCATCGTGGACGTCAACCCGTCCATGAGAATCAACACAGACCATACCGGCACAAGCTTTCAAAAGAACGCTAAGGACACCCTGTTTCAGCTTCTGCACTCCAAGGTGATCGTCATGAGCAGGCAAGGGGACCAAAATAGATGCGATTCTCGGAATAACGCTCTGTCGTTCAGATTATCGCAGGGCGGAAAACGGACCAGGTGGCTTTACTTACTGTGGGAACGGAAGGTTTGGGCCGTCACCGTCCTTGCTTTCACATACTCTGTCGTTCTCATTCCTGGTTTGGTAGAAACGGACAACGTTCTCGCCGACGAAGCCGAGCAGTATCAGCATATCAAGTCATGGGTATTCGAGGAACAATCCGAGGCGCTCATGCGGATGGCGGACCTCGAGCTTCTCAAGTTCGTGGACGCGGGGTTAGAGGAAGGCCCAGGTCCCGGTGATGGTCTGTGAGCATTTGAGAAAAGTCACTGTGTTTGGCATTCTATATGCTGACCAGAGTCTTGTGATGAATGGATGCAGTAATGGATGCCATCATCCTTGCGGTGCATACATTGGAAAAACATTGTACTGGCAAAACTGGGAAGCCACTGATGTATGAAAAGAAGATCTATCTGTTTACGGACGCTGCAAATCCCATGGAAACCGAAAACACTGAGAGCGTCGTAGACAAAACGAAGCTCATGGCCATTGACTTCAACCTCATGTGAGTAACTTGTGCCACGTGCACCTGACCATGAAACTAAAGAAGTCCATGTCCAGAGGGTATGACTTTGAGGATCCGGACTCGGACATCAAAGCGGAAGGGAAGTCGGAGGTCAAGGTAGGTCGAAAATTGCGGATTTCATGGTCTATAAGATTGACTCGTTCATATCAACGTCAACACTGGCTGCGTACTAGGCGGCAAACGAAGTATGGCTCCGGGAGTTCACTGAAAAGCTGGGCGGGACATTCTGGGATGGGGAGGAAGCGAAACAAGTGCTCAGTCAACTTCGGTCGAAGACCGTACGGCCAGTTCCTATTATGCGAGGCCCGTTACTCCTTGGGGACCCGATCGCGCACCCAAGCGAGGGGATCGAAATTGGTGTACACTTGTACGCCAAAACGAGCGAAATGAAGCTACCATCGGCCAAGAAGTGGTCGAATTTAGCTGACACGGTCCCCGATGCCGAGCGCGATGCAACGACTTACGGGAAAGTTGACATGGTGCGGAACTACAAACTTGCAATGGGCGATGCACAGAGCTCGGACGGAGCGGAGAACGAAAATGGGGTGAAAGTCTCGAAAGAAGATCTAGTTCGGGCGTATGCTTACGGGAGGAAACTCGTGCCCTTCTCGGAGGAAGATGAGGAGGCCATGAAGCTATCGACAACCAAAGGTCTATCCATATTGGGCTTCGTGTCAAAAGACAGGGTAGGTTGTGGAGGCCTTTCAACTTCAGGTCAAGCGGTGTATGCTCATTTCACGTCCGACCAGATCCCTCGGTATCAATACATGTCGAACACTTTCGCAGTGATTCCTGAACCCGATAATCCTGTCGCGGCAGGGCTTTTTTACCCTCTCATGGACGCATTGAAAGAAACCGGGCGAGCCGCCATTGTCCGATATGTTCGCAATGACCGCGCGAATCCGAAATTGGGTGCCATCATACCATATGGATCGAAGGAAAAGCAAGACTGGGCGCTGTTTGTCCAAGTATGCGAAAACTTTCAATATGCACAGGGTGCCGTTTCGCCGGAGAATTTAACTGTCTTGGTCAGCTTCCTTTTGCAGAAGACCTTCGCGCCTATTCGTTCCCTAATTTTGATTTCCTACTGTCGAAAGACGTATCTGACTTGTCCTTTGCATCGCATTCGAATTCCGTTCTGGGCACCCTGCCTGGACCAAGTGGAAAGAAACACAAGCTTGACGCACGACAAGTCCCACCGGACGAGGCAGTGAAGGCTGTGGACGATTTCATAGATTCTATGGATCTCATGAATGCCATTGACAATGACGACGGGTATGGGGTGCTTGCTCTTTCCCTGTCCACCTTTCACTCGATGTGGCGCCTTAGTTCTTTTCTTTGACAGAGGGAAGATTGAAGCTTTCAGGCCAAAAGACGTCTTCAACCCTGCATGGCAGCGTCTGTATCAGTGCATCGCTCACCGCGCAATACATCCGACCGAAGGGCTGCCGCCAGCGGATCCTCAAATCCTAGCGTGCTTGGAACCGTTGCAGGAACTGGCAGAGCCTTCTAAAGCAGCTGCGGCGAAGCTCGCTGAAAGTTTCAAGATCACAAAGGGTGGGGGTGAATTCTTCCAGGTGAACATGTTCATTGTGAGCTGATATATGAGTTTCCTGTAGTCGCGAAGAAGGCAGCCGGCAAACGTGCCTGGGCAGATCGCGTGGCAGGGCAGGCGATTGAAGAAGCCGGTGGAGCAAACCAAAACGGTCAAAATGGCGACAAGCGCATCAAGACGGAGGAACAGGCGCCGATCGTCACGAGCATGCAGGATTTGACAGGCCGACAGGTCGATAAGGTGTCCTCTGCAGATCCCATCAGCGATTTCACAGCTATGATCAGTAGGACGGACAAGGATCTTGTGGAGCCTGGTATGTCTCTACGTTCCTCGCATTCCTGAACCTATCAGATGTCCTCACGAAACAACACGCTGCAGCCGTCACGCAAATGTGCGAAGTGATCACATCCCTCATCACCAAATCCTTCCGGGACCAATTCTACGACAAAGCCATGAACTGTATCCTCGTGCTTCGAGCGGCCTGCGTGACTCAAGACGAAGCGCCACGATTCAACGACTGGTTGACAAAGACCAAAACAGATCTATCCCCAAGTGGAGAGCATGCTAACCATGCTGAGTTTTGGAAGCGGATTTGCGAGAAGCAGGTTACCCTTATTACCAAGCAGGAGAATGCCGAGAGCACTTTTACTGAGGAAGATGCGGAGACGGTATGTTTATGTATTTGGGGTCATCTTCAACGGCTCAGCGCTTTTCTATGTGCGACGGGCTGACGGGGGTAATCTCGCACAGTTCCTGCAAGCTGCCACAGAAGAAGTGGGTCCAGACGTTGTCAAGAACAAACCTGTGGAGGAAGAAGACTGGGTGAGTACTCTTCGCTGGGTGCCCAACGCACCTTCCTGCATCAATGCTCCCAGATCGTATTCGTTGACTTTTCTTCTCTGCAGTTGGATATGATGGATTGATCTAGATGGCCTCGAAGTAGTCTAGTATATCTAGGATACCCTTTGCCCGGCGTATCTAAAACCAAGTGTAGCACCTGAATTAAATCATACTCTTCCACCACGTCCTTCTTTGCTGTGTATGCTCTGCAGCAGGGTCGGCTCATCATATCTTAGAGTGGCTTTGGCCTTGGCAACACGGTGCCCGGTTTCGAACGAAATTCTCAAAGCAACGCCAAATTTCGCACATCGACCAGCAAAAGTGGTTCGGAACTATATGTATTCACACTAAAGCGACAGCTGTCTACATACATACGCTCAACACGCCGTGGAAGCAATCCCATTCCGATGCCAATCTCGAAGAATATCTAGGAGCTACATTTGACCTACAAAGGAAGCAACTCAAACGTCTTCTCATATACAGGCGTGTCTACAATGGGAAAGAGGGAAAGAGCAACTTAATCCTCAGGAACAGAGAGGGTACGCGCGAGGACCTACGTATGGACCATACCTTGATAATCATTCACAAACAACGCATAAGTAGCGGTCGGCGTCGACTTTGTGGTATCGATGGTGAACCTGCCCCACTTAATGCGTCCGGGCCTCCAGGAGAAGATCTTTTGGTCTTCGGCGGTTTCGCGGTAGGTTTCTATTGGGCTGTGAACGGGGGAGTTGATGTCAGGTCGTAGGATAATCGAGACGTTCCCGTGTGGGCTGCTATCCTACCTGTAGAAAGCTTGTAGAGGACTGGATAGGACACACAAACAGTTTCAGTGGACGCAACCAATGGGCGAGTCAAATCGAACCACCATCTACCTCGTGCTAAACTCAATAACGTTCCCGGGCAGCTTCGTAACGGCCACCTCATGCCTATCCCCGCTGATAGCCATCACATTGCGGATATCATTCGTCGAAATGAAGTCCAAGATCTCCTGCCGTTCCCGCAGGTAGCCCGCCCAGGTGTCACGTTGCTCCCATTGCCAGTTCTGCGTTAATGGGACGGAGGAGACGAGGAATTTGATTGTGTACTTGTCCTTTACTGCAGGACGTTAAACGTGTTACTGCCGTTAGCTTCGCTCAAGGGAGAAATATCAAATACAAAACGCGGCCACGAACCTCTCAACAACCAATCCTGCACCCTCTTCTTCTGCGCATCCCCCAACATCGTCCCCGTCTTCGGATCCCGGTACCCACGCGTATCCATAACAAAAAACGCGGTATCCCCAAACGCATACTCAAAGATCGCCGACTCGTTCGCGTCCTTTTGCGGGTTAGTGAGGCCCGCGTACTCGTTGAAGGCCTTGAAGGCTGCGGGGTACGGGTCAGCGTGGTCGAACTCCCAGTCGTTGAGGATTTCGTGGTCGTCGTAGATTGTGAGGAAGGGGATTCGGCGGAAGGTGTCCCTGAAATCGGCGTGGGAGTAGAGATACCGGTAGTGCCAGCGGTAAGTGTCCACGTCCGTGCCGTAGAGGGTAGGGGCATCTATTCCAACGTGTGAGTGGCAACACCCACTAACTATTGCAACCGTCCCTGGTACCCACCTGCGTAGATCAGGTCACCAAGGAACATGACAAACGACAGGTCTTGTTTCCCCATCTCGCGAAAGCCTTGGATGCCCTGTGAAAGCTGATGAGCCTCGAAGCTGAATTGAGTGCTAAGATTTATGCTCGCCTTGCCTACCTTCGTCATGTATGGGAACCCAGGCTTGACACCTAAGAGTATACCGCGTTAGCGCAGGTGCAATGTGCGAAAGCTATGAAATCACACGCAACGCACAAGATGTGAATGCGAATGAATATTTCGCTTTCGCCAGATCCACAGGCGCAGTCTTGAACCGATAGTCCGCAGCCTTCGTATCCGCAAACAGCGGCTGTCCGTCCGCTTTCACCCATCGATAATGGTACGTCGTCTTTGGCGCCAGCTGATTGCACGTCGCAATGGCGGTATAATCATTGGCAGCGCTAACCACCACCCCCGACTCGCACACAGCCCATGTTTCCTCCTTCGCCGGCGTAAACTCAAGCGCCAGCGTCGCCTCCGTAGGCGCTCTCACAAACACCCTCGCATAATCGCTCCCAACCGCGCCCACACGCGTCAACTGCAGATCCCGATGCTGCTCCTTCAGATACGGCCTATACACGAAATCCATGCACAATCCAAAAAGGGTGGTATTGGCCACGAACGAGAGCACCAGCAGCGCCGTGCGCATCTTGCGGCTCTTAAGGAACGTGAAAAAACCTTCGGATGGGTGGTTATCATCTCGGTATGTCACATGACGGCGGCGGCGCTGAGCGGTGGAAGTTCTATGCGCACCTTGTGACTCTGAGGAGTGGAGCGCTGATCCTGGGGAGGTGGCGGTTGGGGAGCGCGCTTCGGAGTTGCGACGGTTGCGGAGGACGTTGCCGTTGGCGCTGTCATCCCGGGAGGTGGGGCTCGGGAGGAGTGACCTCGTCTCGTCTTCGTCATCGGACGACTGGTTTTTGACTTCGACCGCGGCTGGTTGGATACTATCGCGGTACCATACGAGGACCAAGGCAGGTAGTAGGCAGAATTGGAAGAAGTAGGTGAGGAATATCAACCGGAGCACCTGCCGCGACGGAATTCTAGAAGTATCGGACAGCCGTCAATATGTGAACGAAGTTGCTCGAAATCGTATTGGGTCACAGAGGTACTCACACGACAAGCAGAATCGGTGCCAGAAACCCATGGAGCCCCGCTGCTAACGAGTATATCCATACAAGGGTGGTAAGGAGTACCTTTGCCATCTAGGTGCAGTTTGGCCGCCCAGGCCGGGAATACTGTACAATGCTAGTCCTTTTGCAAAGTTCGGAGATCACGCCCGACTCCGGTTGGGCGCAAACAATGACCCAGTTTGCCGTCTCCTTGCTGGAGGAGACTATATAAAGGAAGGCACCGGGAATCTTCGCTATATAGGTTTCTCGGGTGGTCAAGATGTCAAGCCAGTGGAAAAGACAGCTCGTCAAAATGCATTTCCCGCGGAAGGAGCGAGTGGTTGCTGAGTGGTTGCGTCACGGAGGTCCGACCGGGATGGACGCGCGCGCAACTGTCCCCTCATCGCGCATCAACTACTATAGAAAGAGACCCATCGAATGTATTGCACTAAGACTCCTTATCTACATGGCAAGCAAGTACTTCGGCGTAGCAGAGAACTTCTGGTAACCCTTGATGACCTTGTTCACCGATTCCAAAAAGTCCTTTTCGGTAGCGAGCTATCAAGAATGGGTCGTCGATGTAAACGTGAGCCCGCCACGTCCATAGTCAAGCCACTTCCCTTCGTGGATGCCTTACCTTCCGTCGTCCTCTGATGGCGTACATGCCGGCTTCCGTGCATACACTGCGCAATTCAGCACCTTTTGAATCGCAACCAGAAATCTTAGCTTTATAATCACTCGGGCAAAACGGAAATAGCAGGTACCCACCAGTAGCATTCGGGCACAGCCTAGCAATCAGCTCATATCGAATGTCACGTTCCACACTCATGCTGCGAGCATGGATCTTCAAGATGTGCGCTCGTCCCTCCAAGTCAGGCAGGTTGAACTCTACTTTACGATCCAGACGTCCAGGTCGCATGAGAGCCGGGTCCAGTGTGTCGGGCCTTTTCGAGAATCAGTTAGAGCTTGACCCGTGTCCAGTTCCCACCACCGATTTACGTACCTGTTGGTGGCCATCAACACCTTGATGTTACCACGTGGGTCGAACCCATCCAGTTGGTTAATCAGCTCTAACATCGTTCGCTGCACTTCATTGTCGCCACCGGCACCGTCATCGAAACGAGCTCCTCCAATCGCGTCAACTTCATCAAAAAAAATGATGCAGGCTTTCTTTGTTCGTGCCATTTCAAAAAGCTCGCGGACCATTCGTGCGCCTTCACCGACATACCTGGAATGGGAGGAAGATGCGTTAGTCCCTGTATGGAGTGAGGATATTCGAGTCCTTCGGCAACACATACTTCTGAACAAGCTCGGAACCAATGACACGGATAAACGTTGCGTCGGTACGATTGGCAACTGCACGTGCGGAGAGCGTTTTTCCCGTCCCGGGAGGGCCATACAGCAAGACACCCTTTGGAGGGTCGATACCAAGGTTGACAAATCGCTCAGGCTGCAACATGTCACATTTAGAGACCATTCCCAAACGTGAATGGCCCATCCATGAAACTCACCTGCAGTAGAGGCATTTCGACTACTTCACGGAGCTTCTCAATCTGCTCCTTGCACCCACCAACATCAGCATACGTGATGTCTGGTTTATCCTCAACCTGCATCATAGTCACTGTAGGGTCGATACGTGGTGGTAATGGGATCTGAATCTGGTATTTGGTCCGGTCCACTCTGTTCAGAAGTTTTCAGTACGTTGGTAGATTTTCCCAGCTTGGTCGATATCGACGGCAGCTTACCCTACTCGCATGCCCTCTTCAACATCAGTGGGCGCAACCCGTTCCCCAAGTCCAACCACGAACTTTGCGATCTGCTTCACGTTGATGACATATTTTGCGTCCTCTCCTTCGCCTGCCTGGATGATCTTGGTGCAACGAGCGACCTAAATCCTTTCAATGTGAGCCCCTAGTTCACCCAATCTCACGATTCTTCAAAGCAATAGTTTTCCGCACCTGAAGAGGATGCTCCTCAGACATGCGTTGCTTGTCCGCAGGGATATCCCAAAGATTTGGCGGCGCTAAACCAGTGTCTGTTTCCTTCACTCCCATCTTTTCGTTGACCCGCTTCTGGACCTCCTTAATGTCCGTCTCTATCGCTTTCAGCTCTTTCGCATACGGTCCTTGTCCCTGTTTAATATGAACGAGGTGAACTCTCGATTTTCGTTCGAAACAGGAGTACCTTTGACGAGCGCTACGTACATATGTCTTCAAGATGGCGATGTCCCCCTCATCCAGCACTACAAAAAGAGAAGCATGACTGGTCAGAGTCAAAGCAACCTTCGCAGTAGTTTATTCAAGAAAGAGCAATCCAGCCCTTACCTTTGATCTTCTCCTTCTTGTCCTCATCGAGAGGAGAGTCATCTACAAGCCGACGCGGTTAGCCTGGAAGTTCAAATGGGCTGGAATGGACCACGGCCTACATTTTTCCCAGTCAGCTTTAGGAGGCATAGTTGCGTGGGCTCAGAGAAGGCGCTTCAGAGAGAAGATAACGGTGCAAGGCCGTGACGACGGGCCTTTCGATTATATATATGTTGTGTTTTAAGGGGGTTGCGGTGGTTCTCGCGGAATGTCAGCAGCTCGGGAAGGTTGGCTCGTCACCTAAGGAAAGGCTTTCTAGAGAGACGCGATCTGTCCTGTCTGTCTGTCTGTCCCGCTTCCCCCAATTCAGCAAAATCCAGTCGGACGCGTGAGGGGAAAGACCTTCCCCAACCGCAATGGCTACAAGGCAGGCGAGGAGGCTCGACAAGCTGTCCCTCGACGGTGACGCTGTGCGGAGGCCAGAGGACTGGGGCCAGCTGCTGCTCGCATTGCGTCAGAACGTACAGGTCTATAAGGTCCGCATAGTCTCAAAGGGACACAAGGAGTGGAGCGCAGGTGGGGACCCACTCTGACGAGAGGCATCTTGCGGTTTCCTACGCGTTTCTGCTCACGAACTCAACGTTCTGCCCCTTCCCACGAAGCCCATAGGAGCACGATCCAGTCTAGAGCCGATGCCGAAAAGCAAAAGAAAGTCAGTAAGGCTTTGCCCGCGTTGTTGGCGAACGAGAAGATCCCCAAGTACCTAGCCAGGTGAGTTCTCCGTTCAACAGGGGTTCGTATCGGTTTACGGTGGACTCATATCTCGTAGTTCCGTTAAAGGATGTCTCGTTGTCAACCCTGTATTGACGGAGCTGGAGCTGGCGGGAATCCCGTTTACCCTGAGTGCCTTGCAAACATTGGCCCAGGTTCGTTCCCCTCCTTTTTAAAGAGGCTTAATGTGTGCATAAGAATCTGACCCGCACAAACCTCAAAGGGTTTGCTACATGGACGGACATTACAGCAACTGTCATTAGCGCGATGTGGCATCGGCGATAAAGGCCTCTTCGGTATGTTCAAGATGCTACATTCCATCCAACATCTTCTAATCTGTCAATTCCAGCAATCGCAACATCGCTCAAATCCCTCCCTGCCCTCACCTCTCTCAACTTCGGCGATTGCTCTCTGACATGCTGGGGCGCCGCCGTCCTGCGCAACCTCCTGAATAGCAAGGCTGTGCGCCGTCAAGCCGCCATCTGGGAGTGTACATTGCGCGGCGGTCCATCAAAGCGCGATCATCGTCCTCGAGTGCGGACAACGTCAGCAAATGATGGAGGAGTTTCAGATCCGACTCCGGCTTTTGCTAGTGGACTGCCTAGTCCGATCAAACGGCTGACGCTGTGTCACAATCAGTTGGGCGATAATGGCGTCCATTATTTAATGGAAGCGCTTGTGGAGGAGATCGGATTGGAAGGTGGGAATTTTTGTCAGCATACCGGACAAGTTTTCGCTGCTTACTGTTTTTAATACGCAGCATTGGACCTTCAGTTCAATGGCATCTCAGGCATCGGTGCAGGCATCGTGCAACAAGTATTACATTTGAACAAGGAGCTGAAGATTGTGGATTTGGGCTCCAACGACGTTGGTGAGTAACGAAAAGGTGAAGCCCAGGCCACGATATACGCGGAAGGCAGCACTCATTCCAAGATTCTTCACAGAAAACGACACCCTCGACACCCTCTTCCGTTTTCTCCAGTCCAACGGAGGGCCGTCGCCAGATTATCTCGCCAGAAGCCCTCTGGATCCCTCTGGAAAGGTATTGCATACTCATTCTCTGGGCTTGACACCGCACTCCATCCTTACTCATTGCTTATGGTCGCATATGAGCGCAGCTCTCTCTCCAATACCTCGACCCTCTCGATCCACTGCGGAACACATACATCGCCCCGAAATCCCGCATCACGCCCAAGCCGCGGCCACGCGGGACGAAGAGCGGCGATGTCGGTTCGAAAGGTGCCCATTCAGGGAACAGCAATTCATTGCGCGAAAGGCCACCATTCAAAGTCGGCCCAGCAGCGGTTACAAAGTATGAGAGGCACTTGAACGACGCGAAACGACCCTCGAATAGGAAGAGTGAGTCGCTTGCGCACCCAAGATCGGCGGCACCCACTACGTCCCCGCATAGTGGGCGAAACGCTCCTCTACATACCTTGCAGGTCGATCTGGAGGCCGATCAACCCAATTTGCTCCGTCAAAACGCGATGTTGAGGCGACGGTTGAAAGATCTGGAGAGGGTCATTCTCGAAAGGAAAAACGATGATGCCGGCGATGCGCATGTCCGTGACTTGCGAAGTGGAAAGGAAACTCCGGTCGAGGAAGGGTATCAGGATTTTGGGAGGGCGAGCGTGGCTACCGTTCTTGACGAGGACAGACGACCGAGAGTCGAGCCACGAAAGAAGACAATGAACCAGCCAAGTATCACAGAACCAGTCGTATCACCTCCAGAAGCCCGACGGCAAGCACATCGCATTCCAGTTCAAACGGATACCACACCTCTGCCCCCATGCGAGCCAAAAAAACCCACCAGAAGCAAATCCCCACTGCCCACCTCCAATCCCCAACCACATTCCCATTCCGCCCCCACCCGCTCATCAAAGGCCCCACGACCAACAACCCCCCCAACGCCAAACCCGAGCCACCTCCAAAACGCCCACCTCCAAAACTCCACCTTGCAATCGCAACTCGCCACCCTTGTCGACATCATGCAGTCCTCACTACAAGGCTTCCACACACTACTGGACCGGATCGAGGATCGCGAGGAGAGACGGAGGGAGAGGGAGCGGAGGAGGCATCGGAAGAGGAAGGGGAGTCGGCGGAGGGATGGGGGTGGAGGTGTGGAAAGTGTGGGCAGTGAGGGGAGGGTGAGGAGCGGGTGGGATGGGGGGGATAGTAGTGAGGAAGGTGGATGATAGTGTTGGGAACAGAAGTTTGGAAGAGGGTGGGTGGAGGAGGGGTGGATGACTGTTTTGCTTTTGGCTTGCGTTCCTAAAAACCATGCGGACGTGTTATGGTCACACGCCGCATTTTCGAACAGACTATCCTGCTCCCTCTGGACTACGGACTGCAAAATCTTGAGATAAAAATATGAACCGGAAGAGACTCGTCAAATCCACAGACCCTATGTTGGATCCATTTTCCCTCGATAATCAGCTCTTTGAAAAAAAGTTTGGCACCAATGCCAAAAAAATACTGGGGACGCAGAACAACTGGCTCACCATGTGGCCCTCTGCTGGATCTGGAGTTGGTTCCAAGAGAAAGCAGAAGTAGAATAGCAGAAGACTACGCTCTGAGCGATGGGGCCGTAGCTGCTGTCACGCTCTGAGCGTCGCCGTCCTTGCATAACGCGTCGGAGCGACATTCGAAAGTCGTACTCGCGACCCACAATGGCAGATAACCCAACTCAGCTCTCATCTATTTACCTCTTCCTTCTCGTCCAAGACCTGCTCTCCTTTCATCCTATTTCATGATGCCAATTGGCAGTTTGGGTTGCGATCGTTGAATCCAAAGCCTTCATTGTAGATCCCGAGCTTTTCCAAATGTTTTGCAGAATGTTTTTCGAGTTTCTAGCATCCGCAGCCTCCCGTCGCTTGCGCGCCATGCCGTCTCCTTCCCTTCCGAATATGAAGAACGGGCTATGCTCTGGGCAATAGGACGTCTCGCGTCCTGGCTCAGGGGTATTGGTTGGGTATTGATTTCAGGAAAAAAAAGCCTTCTCATCAAGAATCAGAGAAGGGGGAGTGATGGGGAAGCCAAGAAACCACGATACAAATGGAGACTTCGGGGGGATGGAGAGGGAAGGGATATCGAGACGATGAGGTAACAAAAAAACGCGAGTTCCGAAAAGCAGTCTCGCACGCGTCGGTGTAGTGAATAGGTGTGAGAGAAGACATCGAAGTCGGTAGCAGTGATATGGTGGAACCAGAAAAAGCGTGTGTGGTGTGGAGTGCGAGGAGGGTTTGTGACAGAAAGCGAAAGATGCGTGCAAAAACGGTGTTGGGGACCAAAAAAGACAAAAAGAGGTGTATGCGATGATTTCCGAAAGACCGGGGGAAGCAGGTCTGAAAGGCGTGGGCAATGAGACGGATGGAGGAGTGGTATAAGGCAAAGTATCCTTGCCGAATGTGAGAGAAAAGCGCGAAACGAGTCTCAGGCAGTTCATCACCTGAAGCCCGCCCCAAAAGCGACATATCGTCCCTCGCCGGTGCCAAACCCTTCACTGACAACCACCACCTTCTCGTCGCCGTCGACCGCGCGGTGGGAGAAGACGACGCGGAGAGTCGGGCCGATGTAGACGCTTTTGGCGGTGCGGAAGATGGGGATGTGGATTGCGTAGCGGAGGTGTTGTTTTGCTGGCGACGGGGTGGTGGTTGTGGATGGAGTCGTGGAGGGGTGGATGGGTGGTTTGGCGTGGTGGGTGGGTGTCACGGAGGCGGAGTGCGGGCGCGGTGGTTTAGCTTCTGTGCTGTGGGGTGCAAGATGGGTATTCGTGGATTCAAAAGGGTCCTTGGAGTGGTGGCGAACTCCCGCTGCGGTTGTCGTAGTCGAAACTGACGCCGTACCGCTTTTCTGGTGGGAAATAGGCGTGCTAGGAACCGAACTCGTGCTTGTCCCAGGCGTGCCGGAGAACGAGTAAGATTTTTGCCTTAGGATCGTCTTACTGTTCGGCGGCATATCGCGGAAATCATACGGTAGCAAGAACAACTTGATGGCCGTGCGCGACGGGTTCTTGATCACGATCTGAAGCTGTCCTTTCGGCGGAATGCGGTATCCATCCCTTTTGGGTCGTCTTGGGTTGTCGCCGTTGTGACGATTCGACACACCAGCGACGTCGATCCCCATTGCATCCCTTGATGCTGCTTCTTGCAATGCATTGGCGCTGGCAGAAGCAGCAGCGGCAACGTCCACACATCCGACATAAGGTGTGACGCTCTCCTCTTCCCCAACCTCATAGTAGAACGCGTTGAACGGCGCAGACACATGCGGCGGGCACCTCAATCCCGGTGGGCACTTTCCATGACCCACAACCCCAATTTCAGCGAGGAACAGGATGGGTTTGGATGGTAAGGAGGACATCCGGCCGGTTAGAATGGATTCCTCGTAAGACCCGACCAGCGAGCCGTGCAGGTCCGATGGGGTTTTGATCAATGAGGCGGTGGGGGATATAGCTTGCGCGGCCGTGCTGATCATTGCCATTGTGGTGAAGAAATGGTCCCTGTCAAATGGGGAGGGGTTGAGCGGGATATTGATGGACCGGATGGTTGTGGTGGCTGATGGTGAGAGATCCATGCTTGAGCGGCGGGAACTGTGGTGGTGATGCGAATGATGGGCGGTGTGAGGATGTCCATGATGCGTCGATGATTGGTGAGCATGATGGGAATGGGTATTGCCGTGACGGTGATGTTGCCTGTGATGGTGGCGCTGACGATCTCCATGAAAATCCCGACGGCCATGGTCCGGCTGGTCTCCGCCAAGAGGAAAGTCGGCTTGAAGGGGAGGAATCACCAACTGAAGGTCAGGCCTAGGCTGCCGAGGATGCCTATCGAAAGTAGCTGATGTGAAAGGAGATGTTGCATTTAGATCAGTCATCATCTTGTCAGCAGGAGATGTGGCTGCTGCGTTAATTGACGACGTGAGGAGCGGCGGCATCGGGGGCATCGTCTGCCCAAATGGGATGCCAACGGGCCCGGATGACCCATTTGCATGAACATCTGAGACATATTCACGAGAGATGGATTCTCGATTGTGTGCCTCCGGCAATTTGAACGGATCTTCATGCATGTTCGAAGGCAAGAAGGGGGTCGAGGTATGTATACCATTGGAGCTGCAATTGCCTCCATTGGCGTCATTGCCACCCAGCCCGCTCGCGGAACTCGATTTTGCCCGCTCAAGGGAAGCTAGTTTCCACTGCGAGACCCGAGCAACGCGTTTCTGCATCGTTGGACTGGGAAAGGGACTTCCTAACGACGCAGAACTCCGTCGGGATCCGCTGACAGGTGCAGAAGCTGGGCGTGACGGCTTCACTTGATGAAACAGATCCTTATCCGTTGATTGCTGGATTCGTAGGGTATATGACGATTTAGCAACATGTGAAAAGTAACAGGGGAATGGAAAGACGGTGGTAATCGCAATCAAACCTGAGCGTTACTGTTGTCTGCAGCGGATTCCTTCGCCTTCATGAGTGGCTTCGTTGGGGACGCCTTGACCGGGCTTGTACCCAACCTGGACGATGTCAAGGTCGGAGTGACAAGCCCGCCAACGCTCGAGTCGTATACGACCGACAGATGCAATCTCCCTCGGTTGGTGGAGGCTGCTTTGAATTTGTACACTTTGAGCTTCGCAGACATGTCAAATGCGACGGGCACAAAAGCGGAGGGAGACGAGGGAGGGGATGACGAAGCTGCAGAGCTGTGGCAGGACCCAGTGCCAAAGTAGTCCGATGATTCCGATCTCCTGTAATTTGAAGTCATCCAGTCTTCTTCCACCGACGGCAATGTCGTTTGCGGCGACGACATGACAGAACCCAACCTGGACGACCGACCGGTGCCGGAGGAGTCATCTCCGCTGTCTCCACCGTTTGCGTCTGCCGCTTTCCCGAGAACTTTGAGAAGTGCCGAATGAATGTGCCCATTTTGGTCAAAGCTCGGCGAAAACGAGCATCCATCCGCCGTGGAAACGCAGTATCTGAGATCCCGCTTCTCGAGTTGCACGCTATCCGCCAGAATAGCGTGCAAAGGCATCAGCCGGATATATGAATACAGCGATTGCACCAAAAGCATGAGGTCCGTCAAGTCCGCTTTCTTCAAAGAGAACCTTTCTTCGTGAGGCTTCGCCAAGTCCGGGAAAGACTCATGGGAAATGACCCATCTCTCCAGAAGCACTTTCGTATCGTTTATGAAGATATCCAGGTTGACGGGCATGGTATTCCGCCAGAAGTCAGTATGTCCAAGAAGAGCATTGCCGTCGATATATGCCAACTGTTCGCGGAAGTTTGCTGATGGAGCGGGAGGCTGCAGCTGGTCGAGAGGGCCAATCCTTGACCTCAAAACTACGTGGGTCATCTTCGTTATGAATTCCACAACCTTCTTATGAAGGCTCTGCTCGTCGTTGACTTCGGTCATAAAAGGGCCGGGGGACCAGGCTGCAAAGCTTGGGGGCTGCATGTCGAGAGCTGTGGTGGCGGAGTCCGACGCATTGTGCTTGAGGTTCGATGTTGAGCCTTTCAAGAGTGCGCCGGGATTGGCAGGTGGCTCGTCTGTCGCCATTTGCCCCATCGCTTACGAGGGGTTTCCGACCTTCACTTCCGACTTCAAGGAAGTGTCACGATGGAAGACCCGGAAAATGCCAGGTGAGGCCCAGGTGAGGCCAACGGGAAAAGCGCTATGGAAGTAGACGTGGCAAGCTCGACTAACTTGCAAGCGACTTTGCTTGTAATAACCACGAGCGGTTTTTTATTCCAGTGCAAGAGAGAAAAACTGTTGGGGGTCCTTGAATTGGTATCCCAGAACAATTTCAGAGTTTTGAGGTGGTCCAAAAATACTGGAAGCTCTGTAGGTGAGTAAGCCTTGTAAGCTTGAGCATGTTTTTGGCACGGGTGTGCTTTTGGAACTTTTTTGACGGTGACTCTGCGGTGACTTCCTCTCTTTCTTGACCGACTCGGGCTCCAAGGGCTTCGTAATCCTCCCCACAGTCCCCAGAAGAGTCACCATGACACAACCACCGCCCGCCAACTCCCCTCCGAAACGTCGTTCCGTTGACTGCTTATGCATTTACTAGCATTCATTAATGGAGCGTCTTGCTCCCCTTTCTCGCCGTATCTCCTTCGTCTGTGGCTCCAAAGCAAGCCTGGAGGTTCGAAGTGGTGTATATCTAGATGAGAGTATGGCTATTGGCATATGTATGGCGGCCATTGCAGCCTGCATGCAGGCATGAGGAGAAACTGGATTTGGGCATTTGCCGTGTGGGCATGAAAGGACGGACGGTGATGAGTCCGTGGTAACGGGGCTTCACAGCCTTCGCGCGTTGCTCTAATATACTCGCCGCACATATAGGGTGCACAAACAATTATGATTGTGATGAAATTCAAGCTGCCACTAATAATGGTGTCACAGAAAACACCCCCCGAGTGCGCCGATCATCCGGACAGGATAAAATCCATGTCCCCCAGAACCCAGTGTTCCGGCAGCCTGGTCGCGCTATTCAAAAAAAAGTTTGGCCTTCATCAAGCTTCTCGGCTGATTATCTGCCCGATTTCGCGCCGTCAGTTTAGGGGGGGGGGCAACACACAAAATCGTAAGGAATTGTTGTACCAGTATACGGGGGGCGAGCCCTTTTGCTGCTGTGAAGGCTTTGGAATTCCCATCCCACGGGCCATCATCTCATCAGCCTTGAGAGCGCAATCACCGAACTGGCAGTCGGTGCCCTCACTCTGACTCCATACGACGCTGGTGGTTATTTGCTGGATCCACAACTTTTGGCTGCCTGTCGCCCCCCCTCCGGCCCGTTACAAACTTTTACTTAGGCCCTCGTATTATCCCCCCCCAGAGAGACGGAAAACATACACCACCCGCTTCCTTCCTCGCCCGTAATCCCCCACCACCCTTACTCTTTCGTCGGCTGCAACACACTGAACCCTGCCCCCCGAAAGAGTGGTTGTTTGGCTAGCTATCCTCAGTGTCTGTGCCCTTCGCTTCCTCAGGAGGCCATCCACAAGTCTCTTTGCCGTCCTCCTTCCGTCGCTCGAGCGAGAGTAATCCGTGAGACCAGCTAGTCCGTCAACCGTCGTTAAAGAAAGTTCCGGTATGTACTCTGTGCCTCCCCTCCGGTTCTCTTTTCCCTTTGCACCACCTACTGGCAGAGATGGAGCGGTTGGCGGCCCTCGCCACCATTTCCGCAGAATCCCAGTCTTTTTCTCACGTTGCACTGGCTCGCAGCTTTGCGCTTTTACTCCCACGCCGCCCACTCACACAGCTTACCACCGGCCTTACCACAGAGTCTACTCATCAGCCGTAGTTTCCATCCAATATTCGAGAAGCTTAGTAAGTGTCCCGCTCTAGCTAGCCTTTCACCATAATACCTTATCTCTTCTGCGCCTTACTGACCTTTCTGTGTTTCCCTTTGGCAGAAATATGTCAGCATATCAGTATTGGAACTATCCTGCGGAGTCCGGCTCATCGTCGAACCCTCCAAGAGCGCCTTACCCTCCTCACCACATGGGCGGAGAGGGGCACAGCCAGCCGCTGCCTCCACCTCCTCCACCCTCGGGCCCGTCGTCGGCTCCATATCAGTACCCTCCTCAGCCTGCTCATGGACAGGCACCACAGCCGTACCACAATTCTGCCTACTATTCCGCACAGAATTACCCTATGCAAGGCGGACAGGTACGAGAGGTTCATGTCGCTCCTTACGCTTGTTGCCGTTTAGCTTTCGGCTAAATTCTTTGTTAACGTCCCTTCAGCATCAGGCTCCGCACCAGGCTCCGCATCCGACAGCTTCTGCGAGTACCGGCCATATCGCTCATACATCTGCATATGAGTCATCAAGACACGGCCCTGCAGCGCAATATGCACCAGGCCCTCCTCCTCCGATGGGACCGCCATCATACACTGCTCCTTCGTCTCACCATGGAAGCCATGTCACCATGGCACCAATAGCATCTGGATCTCATCACTCTGCGCCACCCAAAAACAGCCATGTAAGCATGCGACATTGTATTCTCATTGTTTTCGGGACTACCATCTCAACGTCACATACCCTCTTCTAGAAACTCCCATCGTTGGCAGCTGCATTGGCTGGTCATGATCAGTCGTTCGCCTCGCCGCCGCCCACACCACCACCCGCGCAAACACTCCCGTCCATTCAAAGCCTACACGCCACCATCTCTGGCATGAACCCCTATGATCCTCAGTTCAACAGCATGGGCCGAATCGACTATGCCCATCAGGATGGCCGTGAGACCATGTCGCTAGATCGGCCTCGGATGCACAGCGGCGAGAGCTCCTCTGCCCATGAACAACAGTCGCACATGTCTGCCAGAGATTACCAGTATGGCTCAAACCATGGGCCGGCATCACAACCTCGTGAGATCCCTCGCGGCGGCTCTTCGTACTATCAACCTCGTCATCCTTACTCCGTCTCCCATGATGCGACCACCTCTCCTTCTCACTTGAAAGAGGGTAGATATCAGTCTTACCCGGAACATACACGGAGAGCAAGCCCTTCCGATATGGAAGCCACGTATGCGGAGCCCGAGCGAGACGTGAAAATGGATACCGACATGGCACCGATTCCCGAGCGGTCTGCGGCGCCTTCCAAGGGTCGGCGAGGCAACCGGACGTCATCTGGCTCTGCCCCGCTGGAAGCATCAGCCCCTCCTCCACCCTCAAAGAAGTCGCACCCACGCAAACGCTCAATAATGATGGTGGAGGACGAGTCAGTCGCTGGCAAGCAGGCCTCCGTATCCATCAACGCCGCAGGAGTCAAAACTTACGAGTGTCCGACATGCCACAAGACCTACAAGCACGCCAACTGTCTTCACAAGCACAAGTGGGAGCACACCGAGTACTGGGCCTTCGCTTCACAATTCTCGATGAGCAAACATCAACAAGTGCAATTGCTCGAAGCTGCTAGTATCCTGGTTGCACTGGGTCAGGGCAACGCGCCTGCGTCCGATGGCCAACCTTCCAAGAGCGGAAACGTCGGTGGCGGCGATATGCTCCGTGAAGGAGCCGAAGTTGAGGAATTTGACCGCGGCGGTGTGGAAGCGTCAAGCAGCGGTGGCAGACGGGTCAAGCGGGAGAAGTTGGCACGAGACAGCAAAGGATCGCAGGGACCGATCGAGGTTGAGGGTTAGAAGCGTCGGAGGAGCGAAGCGATGCATGCGCTCGATGCCTTGACAACCAATGTTCGGATTGGACGACAAAGCGGGCAGCTGGGCGAGGCATCATATTTGTACACGAGTATTGTCCCCAAATTTTGCAGGAGGGTACGGGAGAAGCATCGGCTGGAGGAAAGGGTGACTGAACCGACTTATCAATCTGTCCCGACCGAACGTTCCCGTTCGTTTTTTTCTCTTCGGTAGGGATGCATATGATCCCTTCTCTTTAGTTTACGATCAACCCATGTGTGATTTATGCGATATCGCTTTCGATTTATATGAGTCTGTCATCATATCTTTACTTTTTTTGTTTCTGCATGTCGGTCTTTTGGATGAGAATCAAAATGTAAAAAAAAAACGTTCTCAACTGGATCTCGGTGAAATGGGGAAGATCAGCGGGATAAGTGGGAATTTGCGCCTTGTTGTATAACGACTGCGCAAATGGCGAGGCCAACATGTTCCGATCTCATGTTTCATCTTCTATGTATGATGTCATGTCATATGAGCGGTGTAAAGAGGCTTGATGCGGCGAGAATCTCGATCTAGGCAGGACAATGCACGTGACCTCACGCTCTTGGTCAATGTGTAGAAGCCTAGGCTCTATTCTGCGAGGTGCAGCACACCATCTTTACAATCTACTGCACGGAGTCGGCGAAATAGTTGCAGTATATTCAGAGCGACGCCCGGGCCCTCTTTCCCGATGCAAGAGCTGGGCAAGTCTGAAGTCCGAGCCAAGAGAGTCAGAAACCTTTTTTTGCACTCGACTGCGAAAAACAAATAGAACCATCCCGACGACAATGACAGTTATGGACGGCATACTGAACTATCTCGTGCGAGGGCAGCCTGCTGTGAAGGCAGAGGAGGACCGCACGAGGAACGAGGAGATGACGTATGGCACTCAAGATACAGGGTCCGCACTTTTTCAGCAGTCGTGCTGGAACGAACTGACGGGGCGAGCGGTGTCTCGGCAAGCAAGGCAGAACTATTGCGATACCTTCGCCCGCTGATCGAAGACAGCGTGCTGAGTTTGTTCGAAGGAAGATGGGCGGAGGAAATCGTTGGGCGAACCATCAACTATCGTTGAGTATGCTTCATCCTAGCCTATCGGCCAACTTGGGCGGATGTTGTCGCTGGGTCAGCGGTGTCGGATGGAGCACACTGACTGAGGTTGTCACATTGGATAACGTTGGCATGGTGTGTTGCTGATTCATTGAGGCCTCGGCAGCCATTCAATGGTTTTCGGATATCTAAACCGCATACGGAGACCACTTCGTCGTTTTGATGCACGCTACCCAGACGCGCTCCCTCGAATGTTTCGCCCCAGCTAGGTGTAGTGCTTCAAGCGTGTGCAGCGATTTTCTCCACCGGCAGAGCGTTCTACGCAACGCGAATTCGCATTCAGCTGGTCGAAGCGAAACTTGCAAAGCGGTTGTGCGGTGGTCGTGTGTTGCCGAAGACGTTTTTGGATACCTTCCGCATGCACGTGTTTGAAGCGGCAAACCGTACCTGGCATGAATTCTGCCTTTATAACTTCAATCAGCACAAGGCCGATCTGCACGCGAACACTAAGGAGGAACGATGTGATATACGGTCCGATTTGTGGCTCGCGAACGACGGTGGACGACCCCGCCGATACTCTGATCTTGGCTGGCTGGACAGGCATGCACATCGCCTTCGCCTGGCGATGTTTGCTACCAGTACGCATTTGTGAATGATACTGACGAATTCGTTGCGAGGGTTTTGGGATGCAACGTGGCTTTTGCATATCTACGTAGGATCCGCTTGTTTCATTCCAAGATCTTCACAGTTGATTCATGGGCGCAGGCTTGTGGTCTTGTGGTCAATGTTATCGCGACGAGATGGATATGTGTATACGAGCGCCTGGCATTCCAATCGGCATTTCAAACGGCGTCACCCCCAAGCTTTGTAGCAGACATCGGCCTCGGCCGAGAGCTATGGAGTATGGATTCTGGGTCTGATTTCCCGACTTGCAATGAATTCGAAGTGAACAAGCTCATTCCGTCCCGTTGGGTTTTCCGCCCGAGGGTTTCTTCTCCTGCTCCATGGCTGGCGCAGCGGCCCCTATCTAGCAATACCTTTACCGCCTCGAACTCCGTCTATATTTCATTGTTCCTCTACCCGCTTCAATGCGTAGCAGAAGGGTTCCTAGTACCTACTCTGTCCTTGGTGACTGCTCGAGTGGTTTTCAGACGGCTGAGTTTCCCGTCTCCGTCCCGAAAGACGAAAGCGCTGAGGCTCGCCGAAAGTCGAAAGTCGCTATTGTGAGTTACAGGTGGTTGCTTGCTTGAATGAGAAGCGTGTGCTCCTTGGCGGTGCTGCTTGTAACGACGAGTGAATGACGAGTAGATAACCCCCGTGACAGCGCACATCTTTGTTTCTCCGTGGTGCTTCCGACATCGAATAGTCACTGAGTTGAGCAATGTCCAGCGACGTCCGACCGCCGACCTCCAACGGCGTATGAGGAGACGCCGTTGTTGGTCCGTGTGCGGATGGCTTTAGGGCCGTGATGGCGGTGGTGGCGATGGAAGTGTGGGAAAGTCAAACCAGTCCGAAGGCCAAACCCGTCTCGAGATCGAACCTGTCAACTTGTCAAGCCGCGTCGTCGTCGCCCATCACCTCACAAGTTCACAACCCACTTTCTATCACTTTCCCTCAAACACATTTCTGTCCCGAAAAACACAACCGCCACCATGCTGATCAAGGTCAAGGTAAGCAAACAAAGACCATGGGCCCTTCAAGCCTTCACCGAGCCGACAACACGGAAGCGGCGCTGATCCCCTTTTCGTTGCTTGCAGACACTCACCGGCAAGGAGGTAAGCTGAGCACGACTGGGTTCGAGGGCACCACGGTGGCCAAGTCCGACGTTTCGAACGAAATAAAATATTCACTTAATCTATGACGGTTTCCTTGTTGACAGATTGAGATTGATATCGAGCCAAATGACAAGGTATCTTGTTGGTACATTTGTTTGAGCTTGTGTGGACGTGCCTTTACTGACCAGGGGAATCGGCAGATCACCCGAATCAAGGAGCGCGTAGAAGAGAAGGAAGGCATCCCGCCGGCGCAACAGCGTTTGATTTTCGGAGGAAAGCAGATGTACGTTTTCGGGGAGAGAGCGCCCTCCTATTTCTTCAATGCCTCGCCGCGAATGCTTGCCACTGACTCCAAACTATGTTACAGGGCCGACGATAAATCCGCCTCAGACTACACAATAGAAGCAGGATCTGTGCTACACTTGGTGCTAGCCCTACGTGGGGGGGCCTGCTGAAAAGCGGAAAACATTATACATTCGTCGTGACTGGGGAGATATGTGCAGGCTGGGGTCGCGCGCGACGCAAGTCGCAGAGCAAAGGCGGGAGGGGCTGGGTTTCGAAACGGGAGCCCCAATCCAATGTGTTTCTATTTACATAGAGGCGTCAACTCCGACACCATTTGTGTGTTGTTGAGCTTTGCGAAAACGTCTCGTAACCGTGAATAGAATCGGGGGCTGTGCAACGAGGAAAGGCGGAAGTAGGATCAATGTCAACCACGGAGAGTGGAATTTGAGTCACCAACGAACGGTCTTACTCGATAGGCGTTTGGGATTGCTGATATTGTTTCGTGAAGTACGCTATCGCAGCATCGAAATAGTTCAAGAACTTCGGTCGAGTGGCCATCCCCATCTCGTCGATCAGCCAGCTGGTTGGCATCAGTTGCGAAATCTGTGCGGATGATCATGTGAGCAAATGTGCACCTTGCTGGGAAGTGCGATCGGTCCATACCTTCTCGATCTTCACCAAAGTGTCCACTTCAAGTGATGACCGGAGGATGGGAACAAGCTGTCGATTGAGCATCAAATCGACGACCAATGACTGGAAGAACATCCGCGAGAGCCGTGTCCATCGCATCATGTTTGCAAACAACTAGGGAGAATGTAGTCTATGAGCTGAATATGTCGGCGCGGCATTCAGCATCATCAAAAGCGCACCTTATATGACGTCCAATACCAATGTGTCTTGGACTCGATCGCTTCTTGCGTAACAGGGCGCTGCGTGGCCGTGAAGAAGTTATACCGATCACATATCCGGGTTGTGACGTCCTGGAATCGCTTCTCAATTGTCGCTAACAATCCCTGCCAACCTTGGAAGTTAGATCCCATACGTTTGTGGCCCCAAAGATGAGCGACGTATGTACCTTGAAGGCTTCATTACTGGTTTCCACGTAATCCAGGCACTGATTCACAGCCAGTAAGAGCGCCGAGGTCTCCTCGTCCGAGTATGGGTCGTACGTGCGCACAGCAAGCTGCAGCCGTGGTATTATGACTTTTGCGACTATCCGCGATAGGACGTCCGTATCCGGATTGCTCCCGTCGTGCATGTCGTTTGTGCTTATCCCGTAGTCGTGTAGTGTATGATGCCATTGCATGTCCTCGAAACCGGGCGATGACTGTTCAACGTAAGAGAGAGTCAGCTCACCATACTCGGATATTGGGATACTGCATGAGCCCACCTTTGACAGATCCCACGCCAGGAACTCATGCCGTACAAACAGCTCAACGATGCCAGGAATACTCAGCGCACCATATGCCTCATCGTATTCCTTGGCGTACTTTGCTTTCCAAGTCTCGAACTTTTGCTTGATCATGCGCAACGAGCGAAACTCATGGCCGACATCTTCGAACATGCGGGATTTGCCTTCTTCTACTCTGGCTGGCATCCAAAGATCAGTGCCAATTCCATAATGGCTACTGTGACACAGGCATAACACACCTTTGATCTCATGCATTTCGTCCTCCGTCAGCGTCTCACTGGATTCCGAGTCGTTGTCTGTCTCCATTGGCTCCGGCGGTGGAGCATGCCAATTCATGAAACTCGAAAACCAATGATCCTGAGTGATCTGTCGTCGTTCATGTGCTAGCCGTGTGCGGGCAGACAGGAGCTTCGAGTATTCCTTCTCTAGCGATTCCAACTCAGGAAACTACAAGACGAACATTAGTGACGCTTGCAAAGTGAATCCGATGGCGCCTTCCACAGTACCTTCGCATCAAGGAACTCCGCCAGATCCCCAATATACGTTCTTAGATCGTTGAAGTAGTCGTACCGATCCGAAGACTGCTTGAGATCAGATTCCAGCGCGGTTGCTTTTGATGCTGATTTGGTCAACTCTGATTCAGTCATTGCCAGTTGATTGGTGTGCTGTGCATGTGCTGTTTCCAGTTCTTGCAGATTTGCGGCAAGTCGGGCCGACACGGAGATGAGGGGTATAACTGGTGCAACAATAGGGACTATGGATTTCCATTAGTCTATGGTTCAAATGTTGGGCGCAGTACGTAGAAGAACCTACTCTTCGTGAGTTTGGGTTGTTGTGACGCTGTTGGGACCTTTGCGGTATTGTGCGTTGTGCGCTTCTTTCCTTTCCGGATCTGCTCCTTCTCCCATCGTTCGAGCTCCTCATCTTCTTGGTCGTCCTCTTGTCTGTAACAAGTCACGGGACGGGCGTCAGTTGACTGAACTTGGCGTATCACTTTGAGATCGTCACTCACGCTTCTATCAAGTTCCCTTCGAACTCGTTCTTCCGGCGCTCCTCCTCTTCCTTGACGGCCGCGCTACCAAATGTAAGCCGATCGCGCTCGTAATCTTCAAACGCTTCTGGTCCTTCATCCTCGTCGTCTTCGTTGACCAGCCGAGATTCTCGGGTCAGGATTTGTCCAACCTACACCGAGTTCCGTTTCGCACGTGAGTGGGGCGGCCAGGACGCGTTGGGCTGATGAAGAAACCCGTACCTCTCTGGAATTCGATGATAGCGCTATGAAGTTCGAAGTTGTCTCGCTACTGTCATTCGTCTCATTGACACCACTGATCGCCCCTGCCCTCTTCTGCTCTCTCAGCGTTCTCGCCGCGTGAATAGCAGCAGCATCAGGGATCACGGCATCCGCGCCTAAGGCAGGCAGCGCCGCTCCTGAGAAAAGGTCTGACGTCTGCGTGGCCCGTGGCGGTGCAGTCGTCTGGCTTTCCCTCATCTCCCGCAGGCTCTCGGCAGAGTAATCTCCAACGGCGGAGTGAGAGTTGTGCTCCTCGCGTTCGGGCACTAGATCACGATTCAGCTTCGCTTTCGCCATCCTTTTGCTCGCGGCTGACTTTTTGATCGTGAAGTCTCCATCTCCCTGCGTAATTTTAGGACCGTGACTTGAGTATTCCTCAAACAATCGGCGCAAATCGATTTCACTGCCCCCACCCACCTCCTCGTCCTCTCCAAAACTCAACGCAAACTTCTTCCCCTTGGATTTCGTTGACTTTGACGATTTCTTGCCGCCGTTCATAGACATCGCCTTTGTGCTTCGCTCCAACTCGTCGTCGGCGACAGCGGCCTGCTCCTTCTCTCCCACACCCTCCTCGCCCCGCGTGTTCTCAACATTATCGTCATCGTCGTCGTTGACCTGTATCTTCTTTCGCAGCGCTTTGGCGTTTGTTCTTCTTAACGAACCGAAACTCATTACTTATTTTTGGTCACAGCAAACGAAAGCTATCAGAGATCTACTGAGCGCTGTTGCTTGTTATTGCGTCAATGTCGTAAGTAGCTTCTCCGGCGAAGTACTGTAAGTGCCGAAGTGCAGTGAATGTCGCAGAGCTGCCCGTTGAACTGCGCCACCCGTCGAACGCGCGCGGAAAGTCGTGAAAGTCGCATTTTCGTACAAGTTTTCGAACGAGCCTTTCTTGGTGCATTGCTTGTCGACATTGGAAAGCGTAAACGGGACGTACCATTTACGGTGGAATACTGTAGTTTAGGTGCCTCATCGTTCGAAACGAATCGTCGTTGGAAGGGAACCTTTCTCAACAATGTGGACCGTTCGCGACGCTACTACCAAAAAGGTAGTGGGTTCTGCGTCCACAGTAGCTCCTCCGTCCGGTCAACTCACCAAAAAACCGGCAAAGCAAGCAACCACGGAGCCGAACGGGAATGGCGAAGTGTCCCGGAAGCGCAAAGCTCCCGACACGAAGGCAGCCACCAACCAAGGTGATGCGAACAACAATAAGCGCCGAAAGGCCGGAACGGGCGGAAAGTCCAAGGGCAAGGGCCCTCGAAGCGGCGAGAGCAGTTCAAAGGGACAGACGATAGAAGGCACCGCCGTCAGCTTCAACGAAATCCCATGGTCGCAAGTACAGACACACGAAAGCTTCCTGAAAGGCGATGAAAAAGCAGCCGGTGGTTTCTTGTTCTTGGAGGAAATCGACGGAGTCGATGTGGCGTACGAGACGGGCGCCGGCGGAGGAAAGATGATTTCGTTCAAGAAAGTGAAGGAGCATGAGATAACAGGGCAGTCAGCGGCTGAGGCTGAGGATATTGTCGAGCTTATGGACCCGGAGGCATTCGTTCACATTGATGATTTTGAGGATGACGGGTCATCATCGTTTTCGAAGGACGGTGATGATGGCGCTGACTTTGATGAGGACGAAGGTGCGGAGGATGAGGAAGATGCGGTGGTCGATGCAGACGAAGAGGTTCATGACGCAGACGAGGACGTGGCATCTCCACATCAGACGGACGAGGCAGAGATCGAAGAGATCCCAGAGCTGGACATGTCAGCCTGGGATTCTCTTCACCTCGCGCCCGAACTCCTGAAAGGCCTACAAGCATCTGGGTTCAACAAGCCAACACTGATCCAGGAAAAGACGCTCCCGGTCGCTATTGGAGGGACTCGGGACATCATCGGCGCGGCGCAAACGGGATCGGGGAAGACGCTTGCGTTTGGGTTACCGATTCTACAGTCGATTGCGACGCGGGTTAGCAGTAGCAAGGATAATGGATTGCATGCGTTAGTTTTGACGCCGACACGTGAGTTGGCACTTCAAGTTGCTGAACATATGACGACAGCCGCCAAGTTTACTCCTGCACGGGTGAGTGGCTTTCCCGTCCTTTCACTTGTCTCGAATCCTATAATCGAATGACTTCACATGCCTGTAGATCATCACCCTCGTCGGAGGGATCTCAATACCCAAGCAAAAACGCTTGATCTCAATGAAGCCGGACGTGATCGTGGCGACGCCCGGTCGATTATGGGAGCTAGCGTCCGAGAACGACGACTTGTTGGCACGGTTACGAGGGATCAAGTTCCTCGCGATCGATGAGGCGGATAGGATGCTTGAGACGGGGCATTTCAAGGATTTGGATAACATCTTGAACGCTATTTCAATGAAACGAAAGTGAGTCGGTGAAGATTTGCTCATTTGGCTGGTCGGACGGGTTGTTAACGACTAGCTTGTTCAGAGAAAAGCCGGCAACACGCCGTACGTTCATCTTCTCTGCAACATTGGTGAACAACGCGCAGATGAAGGAGAAGGTCAAGCAAAGTCATAGGAGGAAGGAGCCAACGTTACGTGAGTCTATACCATCCATTCTGCTTGTATTGGTACACGCGCTGACGGAGGTTGGTGTTGTTTCCAGAGAATCTTTTGGCCCGCCTGGAGTTCCAAGACGCGAAACCTTGCTATGTCAACTGTTTGACTGAGCAAGTCACCGCTGACAAGCTGCTCGAGACACGGATTGACTGCCTGCACACTGAAAAGGTAGCGTTTTCGACTCGAATATGGCCGCTGCCCACGAACTAGTCTCATTCTCGTACTTACCTGCACGTCTCAGGATGCCTATCTGTACTACATTCTCGCCCGATACCCGGGACGGACGATCGTCTTTGTCAACAGCATCGATGCGATTCGTCGCTTGGTCCCGGTTCTGACACATATGAAGATCCGTGCATTAGCATTACATGCGGAGATGCAGCAACGACAGCGGCTAAAGAATTTGGATCGGTATGTATCAAATCTGCAAGACTCTGGTTCGACACGGTTGCATGCATGCTCATAGATGTACATTCCCCCACAAGATTCAAATCCCTCCCGGACGCAGTCCTCATCGCCTCCGACGTCGCCGCCCGCGGTCTCGACATCCCCAACATCGAGCACGTCGTGCACTACCAACTCCCCCGCACCGCCGACCTCTACGTACACCGCTCCGGTCGCACGGCCCGCGCCGCCGCCGACGGCGTCTCCGTCATGCTCTGCTCCCCACAGGAAGTGCCCGTGTACAAGAAAATCTGCCATGTGCTGAAGAAGGAGGATGGGATACCGGAGTTTCCGGTTGATCGGTCCCTGTTGACGGGGATTAAGCAGAGGATCAATCTGGCGAGGAAGATTGATGAGGCGGAACATTCGAAGCAGAAGACGCAGCATGAGAAGAATTGGTTTAAGAAGGCGGCGGAGGAGATGGATATTGTGCTTGATGAGGATTTGTGAGTGTCTAGATTCGACCGATCCCCAGCGAAGTAACACGATGCTAACTTGGCTCTGCACCACACAGCATTGGAACAAACGCAAAAGGCACAAAAGTCGACAAAGAATCAGGCAACAAGGAAGCTCTGAAGCACACCGCAAAAGTGCAAACCCTCAAAGACCAGCTCAACGCACTGCTCGTGAAAGATCTCATCCCCAAGGGCATTTCTGGGAACTACATCACGGGCAACACAGGCGCAGATGAGGATTTGCCCTCTACTTTGATGAAGGCGTCTGGTATGCAGTAATCCCTTTCTTGAATGTGGCATGGCATGGTCTTTTATCTCATCGTTCGGTTTCAGCTACGAGCAAGGTCCCGACGAAAAAGGCGACCAAGGCATCGCAGGAGGTGAGGCGGTCCGCGAAACCGACCAGGACAAAGAGGAAGTAAATGGCCCTGCCCGTAGAAACCAGGAACCCCTCCCCTTCACGTACGTAGAGCACGTAATTTATAGAAGCACGCAGAATAGTATAGTATCCCCGTAACTTAAGGAAACAGATCCATCTCGGGCGTTGACCGTCATTCCAATTTCGCCAAGACCCAACCGTCCAACGTTGCAATGACACTCCTGAATCTTCGCAGCCGAATCCTGATCTCCGCTCATCTGATGTCCAAATCTCCCCCCTGCTTTCACAACCATTGAATCAAACTTCCAACACCGACAGGGCTAGCGGAATCAACAGCTTCTCATATTGTTAAGATATACAATGTGTGGGCAGGAAGGCAATGCAACCGAGGTCGGAGGTGGTGGGTGGTCATCGGGTCGTTAGGGTGTTTAACGGTACTGGATGGGCGGAAAGTGGAAAACAAATCATCAATGAGTTGCTCTCGAGAGTAGTGACGGTGACGGTATCAGCGTTTCAAAAGCATTATTGTTTGATTCAAGCTTCCCGCCTCCATGTTTCCTACAGTCCGTTCTTATTGTAGCTTCTGCTGATTCCTGCTTCGTTCAAAGTTCCGCAGTCATCTCATTTGCATCAATCCACCGTCCCCAATCTTTTCTTCGACCCCATTCACCCCTGAACACTGGTCACCGCTTCGCAATTCCTAGCCCGCCTTCGCAATTCCTCCGTCGGACTCTTTTTCTCACCTTAATGAAACCAATGTCCTTAGAGTACTCGCGGAAGCACTGACGGCAGATGTTCAGGTTGTACTTGCGGATGAGACCGGCCTGGTGCGCGCACACACGGCTGTGGTAGAGGAAGAAGGTGGTAGAGGAAGAAGGGGTTTAGTCGATTTGCTCCAAAACCGCATGGCCTCTCCGTCTTCCACAAATTTGGGCATAGCTTCCCCCGCAGTGGTCCATATCAGCCGTCCTCCCTTCCTACAAACCCCGCCGCTACGCTCTCCGTCGCTGTCGAGTGTTGCATGGCCTCTCTGGGTACCAAATAGAGGGGAACAGACGGACGACGCTGATCAGGAAAATACGTACCACTGGCGAGAACCCTTTCCGTACTTGCGGGGGTGGGAGAACCAAACAGCAGAGTGAGCCATGTTGACTGGTAGTATGTACTAGTCGGAGGGTGAAGGGTGCCAATGTTCCTGCGTTGCGAGAGAGGGGGGAAATGCGCAATGGCTGCCGTCGTCGCCGTTCCGATTGCCCCAGGGACGCCAGGGCGACAGAAAATTGTTGCAAGGTCACGTGTTCTTTCCAGATTTCAGTTAGGGTTACCCAGCGGGTTACCGAGGGTTTTACTGTAGTGTACATACCTTTGGTTGGGCAACCTACAGTAGGGTTAGCGCTATGACCGTGTTCTCATGCTCTTTCGCACGGCTGGTATGACGAGAGACCGCCCTGACACTTGGCGTCCAGTGTGCGAAGTGGACAGGTAGGGGAAAACGGTGCGAATCCTCCGTATATAAAGGCTTGGGGGTTCGCGCCAAAGACACAAAGGTTCCCGCCAAAGGTGCCCGTATTCTAATAACCCCGCCTCCTTCTGAGCTTGAGATGTCTTCTGGGCCATATACGAAAGTGCAATTGCGTCTGTCCTGCAGGTAAATATGCGTCTATCTGTCGTCATCTTGCCCCGTCCCCGATGTATTCACGCCATCTGTCACCCACTTAGGCGCCTTTTAAACAAGGATGTATTATCAAAGAGTGACCCGCAAGTCGTCCTCTTTACGGCGAACCCGATACGAGGAGGTGGCTGGACCGAATACGGGTGCACGGAGATGTTGAGGGACACCTTGAACCCGGACTTTGCCAAGGCTATTGAGTTGGACTACTATTTCGAGGAGGTATGGGTATTGACCGCCAAAGAGAACGCTGCCATCTTTTTGCTTTCTTACGATGTTAATCTTTGTAGGAGCAAAAGCTGAGGTACTTGGACAGTCACATAATTCGCGTTGTTTTCGGCGGTGTTTGATCTGAGAGTGTTGCAGATTTGTTGTAATCGATATCGATAAACCGAACGGGAGGATACAAGACCAGGATTTGCTCGGAACCTACGAAACAACATTAGCGAACATACTATCGGCCAGCGGTCAACATATTCAAAAGCCGCTCGTACACCCGACCAACCCCAACGGAAAAGCGGGATACCTCAGGGTCGCTGCGGAAGAAGTCACAGACTCGAAAAGTGTCATCAAGTAAAGTACGAGCTTAGGCCCCGGGATGGCGGGAGACGGACGGGAGCTGATCATAGGGTTCGACACGCAGAATGACCTTTCATGGGCAGAAGCTGGATAAGAAGGACTTCTTTGGAAAATCTGATCCGTACGTCTCGGGGAGCTGTGTGCAAACATAACATGTGGATCACTCACACGCCCTTTCACAGATTCTTTCAAATCTCGAAAGCACAAGAATGTAAGGGACAGGGTATCGTGATGGATTTCATCGCAATGAAGCTAAAAGCTTCTATGCCAGCCGGGCCGCCGGTCGTAGTCTTCCGCAGTGAACATATCCGGAATACATTGGACCCGACATGGAAGCCGGTAGTGGTCACAATAGCCGATCTTTGCAACGGCGATCTGAATCGGGAGCTGCAGTTCGATGGTACGTGGCAGTCGGATTGGGATGGAGGGCTTTCGTCAGGCTCATACCTCGCTCCCTGTAGTGTTGGACTGGAACAAAAATGGATGTAAGTGGTTGTGCGTCGCAGTTGTGATTTGTTGAACTCTCGGCTGAATGACTTCGGGTTTCACAGCTCACACTCTTATCGGAGGTTTCCGAGTAAGTTACTTGAGAAACAGTTCCCTGATAATGTTTACATTCTCACACACACACATTTCAGGCCAGAACAACTGATCTGCTCGCCGCACGAGGGAAGGACTATCTACTCGTCAATCCCAAGAAACAGGCCAGAAAGAAGAGCTACGTGCACTCCGGCATCCTACACGTGCTGCAATTTACCATGGAGGAACAACCAAGGTAAGGGAAGGAGACTCACCGTTGCTCGCTATTCGCAGGTCTGACCCCACACTCTATAGCTTATTGGATTACCTCGCTGGCGGAACTCAATTGAACCTTTGCGTCGCTGTGGATTTCACAGCAAGCAATGGAGATCCCAGGAACCCTTCGTCGCTGCATTTCGTGAATCCCAACGCTTTCAACCACTACCAAGAGGCTATCGTCTCCGTCGGAACGATATGTAAGCGGAGTTCCGATCGTGACTTGCGACCTTGGGTTTATGTGCTGAGGCTTCTGCATATTGCATATTAGTGGAACCTTACGACACCGACAAGAGATTTCCAAGTAAGTGCTGTGTATGTGTTTGATTGACATTCGCTTCCGTGAGCGCTGACAATAACGTTGTCAATAGTCTACGGCTTTGGAGCAAAGTTGTATGACGGCAACGTTTCGCATTGCTGGCCGTTGAATGGAAACTATGGACAGGTACGGGATGAGTTGTCTTGGCGGTTGGCGTCGTCCCAATGTGATTGATCTGATGTCAATTGCCAGCCCGAGGTCGTTGGCGTCAGCGGATTGCTGGAAGCATATGGGAGTGCGCTGCAAAACGTGACATTGTGGGGACCTACGAACTTCAGCCCGGTATGTCTTTCACAAAGCGTGCGCATCTCGAATCACTGTTACTCACGATGCTCCTTCGCCAAACAGATCATCAACCAGGTAGCGACACAAGTTCGTGAACTCGAAACCGAAGTCGGGCCGGGGCTGAACTACACGATCCTCCTGATGATCACAGGTAAGCGCTATCCTGCACAACTCCATACATAATCGAACCATCCGATTCTAACAGTCACCCCTACAAACTACTTTAGACGGAGCAATAACAGACATGGAAAACACGATACGCGCCATCGTCGACGCCGCCAGCTTACCCCTCAGCATCATCATCGTGGGCGTCGGCAACGCGGACTTTACCAACATGAACATCCTGGATGCCGACGACGTGCCACTAAGAACACCCGAGGGACGAACGTGCGAGCGCGATATCGTGCAGTTTGTGCCGTATCGGACTACGGCGGGGAATACTGCGAAATTGGCGAAGGAGGTATAGTTCATCAACTCGTTGCTTATGCTCGCATGTGTATTGCGTCTGATGAGTTTATGCATAACACATAGGTTTTGGCCGAAGTACCACACCAGTTTACCGGCTTCATGCGGCAACACGCCGTGAAACCCCGGCTTCGCCGACAACATACTTGGATGTCTGTCGACTCTAGTTTCAGCAGGGCACCGACCACGTATGGCCACGCATAGTGAGCACGTTCACGCATCCCGTTTTATAATACCCTCAAGCAAGTTAATGAAGAGCGAGATTGAATAATATGGCGGGAAAGATGAAGGGAAAGAGCGCTGTAGGAGGTATGCAAAATACGATTCAGCGGGCAGCGGAGGAGGCTTATGGCCTTTTCTCCCGCTTTGGGTGGAGAGACTAGGGAAACCCACGCAGGAGATGGTTTTTGAAGGGTTGCAGGCGTAGATCTTTTTTTGGCCTATTTTTTTATGTAGTCTGTAGTCCGTAAATACGTAGTTAAGCTTATAGGCCGCGTTACATGAATATAGGGAGTTCCAGAGTTTCCAGCTCTTTTGCGCATTCCAATCCCGCACCTCCCTGCTGAAACACTACCCCAGCACGGCTTCACCAAAAGCAAATCGGGATGTCGAAGATAAACCCTATTGTCAAGGTACACCCACAGCCGAAGCCATCTGGAAGAAACCGACCCACTGACGTTATACCTTCTCTAGCTTATCGTCTTGGGTGCCGGCGGGCTGTACGGTGGATACGGTAAGCCTTGAATGGCTACCCGGTTAGTAGGATCGCCCCGACTTACGACTTTGGTCTGCTCATAGCAATTCACCAACTAACGCAGCCACGGACCGACACAGAGGTGGGCTGAAAACTGGACCGAACTCACGCCGGGGCTCAAAAACTGATGTCATCTTCTCACCCTCCAGGTCGAACGCAGAACGAAGATAGGCCAACAATACACTGATGAACAAATCCTAGCCAAGTACGTTCGCCCTCTAACCCATATATTACTGCCGTCCCATCAACAGGACACGCAGATAGCTAAACATGTTATCGAACAGGTGGGAAGCCGAAAAGAAAACGCCATCAAAGAGTCCGTAGGGGGACGCTCAGGCAGGGATGGATCCGTAAATCTACTGGAGGCCTTTGGTTCGGCAGGGCTTTTGCCGAGGTGGAGGTTTTTGGACCGCGGATGGTATCTCCGATGTGAAAGACTTGTATGCGGGGGACGAAGCGTGATTGTCGTCCGGTTGTGAAGCAGTCCTTGGGCGGCGGAGGAGCCGCGGCTTCGTTTCCGGTGGACCGGCGATTTGACGGATGCTTCTGGAAGCAACTTCCACAGTGCTCTGGGACGTTTTCGGGGCAAAGTTTCCGAGCACTGGATGAGGCTGCTGGTGGCATGATCGGCTTGACGACGCCTCTGTCGCGGAGCTGTGGGCCTTCCTCTACGTCATGCAAAATAGGTTGGGAAGGGTCACTCCAAATTGGATCCGGAATCTTTCAGACATTTCGGCGAGGGCGTTTGCTAGTCGGGGTATCGGTGGTGGCAGCCGCAACGGCGTTGGATGAAGCACGAGTGCGGCGAACGGGCGGTTCGGAGGCGGGTGTGAGCGAGTCTTTCTTGGCGTTCTTGCGTGGTCTGCCTACTCCACGCTTGGCTGGGATTGTCGCTGGTGCGAGAGGTAGTCAAACCATTAGCGTTGCAGATTCGGTATTTCGGCAGATGCGTTCGCGAAATGTTACCTTCGTTCCCACTGTGCGGCTCAGGAGTTGACCTTGGCGAGTCATGCGACGCTCTCCGCTCCGGCGAAACTGCTTTCCGGTGCTCGCTGATAATGGAATCAAACTCATCTCCAGGCAAACTGAACTCCGCCACCACTTTGAATGGGTATCCGCTCCGTTTCCGTCGCGCCTCGAACGTGATCTCGTCGTCGCTTTCGTCTGCCATCGCATCCAAGGCGCCGAGGTCGTAGAAGAGGGAGAGATGGTTCCACAGCTGTTGGATAGTGAGGGTCACGCCCGTCTCACGGCGAAAGTACCGCTGCATACTTAGCATGCGGAAATGTTTGTGGACCCCTGAGAGTTGGCATTCAGAGAAACGGTAAGCAGATATTCCTCTCAGAGAATCTCCGCACAGGCATCAACCATACATACCGACCGGTCTGAACCGCACCAAGGCGTTAAACAGGATGATCTCCCATTCCGGTGTCCAATGCACACCTGGGTCCTCAGACCCGACTGCACTTGGAGGGGCCCCAGCGTCCTCGCTCACTACTGCAGGCGAGTCCACGCTCTCTCTCTCGTTCGCATCCTCAGAAGCCGGCTGTTGGTTTTTGGAGTCATCGGTAAGGGGGTCCTTGTCTTCGTCCGGCGTGAGGTTTGTTTTGGCTTGCGGCATCACAGGGAGTCGAATGAGAACTTCACTGGGGTCCCCTCAGACAGACATAAACACCTCCGACTGACCCAAAGTCTGATATTGTTTTTGAGAGTCTGTCTGCCTGTTTGACCTTCCGCTGGAGATCCCCGAGCGTTCCGTCCGAGAGACCAACGTCAATTTGGGGTTGCTGGAAGTTGACGGGAGTGGACGCGCCAGACGTCTTGCTCAGCAAGCGTCATGAAGTCATGGAGTCACGTGATTTGGAGGAAGGAGCGTTTTCAAACCGGCGATGTCGCCCCCGGAGTGCGGTTTCTCTCTCTCGCCAAACACCGTAAATCCCAGTACAAGCAAGCCGCCAACATGGGAAAGTACGTACACCCGCACAGCAGAGAGGAGAGCGCTCGGGTCGCCGGGAGATAACGTTCTTTACCCCATCCGCCTCGATTTACGGAGCTCAATTATCATACCTACAGCAAATTTGAGATCAACTCTTTAACCGGTGTTTCTTTCGATTAGGGGTAAGCCTCGTGGACTCCAAGCCGCTCGTAAGCTTCGTACCACTCGCCGTGAAAACAGGTGGGCGGACAAGCAGTACAAGAAGCGTGCCCTCGGAACCGCTTTCAGGTCCTCCCCGTTCGGTGGATCCTCGCACGCTAAGGGTATCGTCCTCGAGAAAATGTAAGTTTTTCAGGTTGGAAAGAAGCGTCCGTGAAGGACTGGCGGGACACTGGCGGGAGACGGTGGGCTGTAGAGATTAGCTGGAGCGGGGGAAGTCGAAGCGAGGTCGAAGCGAGGGTGGGATTCAAATTCGAATCAGGGGTGCAGGTGATATGTGACCAGCGGAGTCCACGACATGCGCTCAAAATATGCCGAAGCGAAGGGCCGCTCGATGCGGTAACGAATGGAGCGCTATGCATAGAAGATGCCGAACCAGATGGCGGAAAGGCAGTCGAAGTAGCACATTATCTTGGGACTTTCACGTTGGCCCATTCACTTGAGCTTGAGCGACTGACTGGATATTATCCCTGTCCATTTCCTCAGCGGTGTCGAAGCCAAACAGCCCAACTCCGCTATTCGTAAATGTGTCCGTGCTCAGCTGATCAAGAACGGAAAGAAGATCACCGCTTTCGTCCCCAACGACGGTTGTTTGAACTTCATCGAGGAGAACGTAAGGATTACTTATTTGCACCCTCTTCCCGCCCCGGCTATAGTCCTAACCAGAAAATGTCTCTGTCTCCTCTTAGGACGAAGTTCTCATCGCCGGATTCGGTCGTAAGGGTCGTGCCGTCGGAGATATTCCCGGTGTGCGTTTCAAGGTCGTCAAGGTCGCTGGTGTGTCTCTCCTTGCGTTGTACAAGGAGAAGAAGGAGAAGCCCCGTTCCTAGAGCAGTTTCCGCGGTTCTCGCCTCGTCTTGTGCATGTACATTTTATCTTTCCATTACACACCGTATTGATTACGTCCTTGAGTGAATCGGTCACTGGACCACTATTGCCAAAGATCAAAGGCAGCTGTTCATGGCGGGACATGGCGGGACAGGAACCAAAGCATGTCTGCTTGCGGCTGTAAAGGGTCATCATATCTACAATGCGCTATCATAACACGCCGATACACATATACTCAGTTCTTCACTAGAAAGCGTGATCGCTATCTAAGTCCCTGCCCCGAAAGTCTTGGCGAAGTCCGTATACTGATCCAGCATGTCACCCGACAACGTCGGTTTGACGACAACCAGCGCTGCGTCAAAATGTTCCTGCTCCTTTTTGGGGTTCAGAGAGTTTAGAGAAGTCGCTCGTGCTCTGACCAGCAGACCAAGGGGCCAGCGAAACTTACCACGACACTCGTCGCCGTCCCATGCGCCCTCAACGCCTCCATAGCCGCCTCCCTGCATACCGCCTTCAAATCCGCCCCAGTATACCTCTCCGTCCTCTCCGCCATTCCGTCCAAATCCACATCCGCAGCCACCTGCATCCCCTTCGTATACAACCTCAGAATCTTCCCCCGCGCCTCTCTATCCGGCGGCGGCACGTACACCACCCGATCGAACCTCCCCGGCCTCATCAACGCCGCATCAATCATGTCCGGTCGGTTGGTCGCGCCGACCACAAGGACGTCTTTAGCGGCCTCGACGCCGTCCATTTCGTTGAGGAGGGCGGAGAGGACGCGGTCCTGCACCGAGTCTGATTTGGTGTTTGATGAGGAGGAGGACAGGGACCGTTTCCCGACGATGGCGTCGATCTCGTCAAAGAAGACGACGGAGGGTGCCCCTGCGCGTGCGCGGTGGAAGATGGTGCGGATCTCCTGTTCTGAGTCGCCGACGTATGGGGAGTAGAGCGCGGCGCCGTTTAGGGAGAGGAAAGTGGCGCCGGAGGTTGCTGCGATGATTTTGACGAGGGTTGTTTTGCTGCAGCCGGGCGGACCGTAGAGGAGCACGCCTTTGGGGGGTTTCAGACCGAGTTTGCGGAAGGTGTCGCGGTACATGAGGGGCCATTCGACGGATTGGCGGAGTTTTTGCTTCACGGGTTCTAGGCCGCCCACGTCGTCCCAGGTCAACTTCTCCAACGAGACGGAAGTGCCGCGCTGGGTTGAGGGTCCGCCCATGAGTGCCAACGCTTTGACGAAGGCACTGTAAGGGACCGCGGTGAGGTGAGATGCAGACGACTGGCGGACCGCTTCCATCGCTGCTTCGCGGCACAGGGCCGAAAGATCGGCACCAACGTATCCATTCGTCGCAGCCGCGAGTTTACGGAAATCGACGTCGGCATCCAACGGCATATCCCGCGTCAAGTTGGTCAGGATCGTGAACCGCGCTTCCTCCGACGGCACATCAATTGCCACCTCCCTGTCAAACCTCCCCGGCCGTCTCAGCGCCGGGTCAATCGAGTTCGGCAGGTTCGTAGCCCCAATCACAATCAGCGAACCCCTCGACGACATTCCATCCATCAAGGTGAGAAGCTGAGCGACCACCCGATTTTCCTGTGAACGCGTGGATTCACGGCGGGGAGTCAGGGCGTCGATCTCGTCGATGAAGAGAATGCATGGCGTAATGGGCGAGGCGAGGTCCTGGGCTTCTTTGAACCGGGAGCGGAGACGTTCTTCGCTTTCGCCGAGGTAGGCGCCGAAAATCTCTGGGCCGTGGATGATTACCTGCCATGCCAACCGATGAGACTCTCGTTTTGTCTCCCATGTAGTACAAAGTATGGCCCTTACCAAATTTGCTCCACAAGCTCGCGCAATATTGCTAACGAGAAACGTTTTTCCAACTCCTGGTGGCCCGTATAATAGCACGCCTGCGACGCAGATGATCAGTTCCCCTCCATCACCATGAAGCGCATGAGAGACTGAGACGAACCTTTCGGCGGCTCGACATGAAGCTTCTCAATCATGGCAGGGTACAAGAGCGGGTACATGATCACATCCATCAGGCCCTGATACGCCTTCTCCAGCCCGGGTATGGGATCGATGGGTTTAGGGGTGATCTTCTTGCCTAACGAAAGCTTTTCGAAAGAGCCGACAAGCTCATGACTGGGGTCGGTCGTCTCTGAGTTGCTCGATTGATCTGATGCTCCGATAGACACACGGGTGGATTTGGCGAACAGAGCGAAGGTTTGTCGCGGGACCATGTCTACGATCTAAATGTGTGTCAGTGGGAATATGACAGCTTTGACTCAGCGACATCTCTATAACTGACCTCTATCTTGATTCCTGTTCCGTCCTCTATAACGCAGCCGGGTGACAGGACAAGGCCCGAAAGCAACGTTTTGGCCGCCTGTGCATCAACATCCCAATCAGAGCCCCATATGTGCCGAAATCATTGATCGCCACACGCACCAATCTTTTTGCCGCTTTACTAGACGTGTTAAGATAATGCTCTTCAGCATCGCCTGTGCTTGAGGCGTGTTCAACGGTTAAATTGATGGTCACAACGTCCGCCGGAGTAAGAGACCGTGGGAGCGTTTTCACAAGACCTGTGGCGGATGTTCAAGCTCGTCGTCGGGAAGCGGGCCTAAGGAACGAAACCAAAAACATACATTTCTGTGGCCCTGCTTCTGTGCTCCATTCTGCATGTTCTTGCGCACTCGCTGGACGTCGAATATAATAGCTTGGCTGACAAAACGGCTGAAATTGGCCGACGGGCTCGTATAGCGCGGGCCAGGCGCGGCAATGCAGGACCTTCGAACAAAACCAAGAATCAACACTTTGTCACTCTTCTGCCGGCGACTAGGCAATACGACAGCCCTTTCCATGCCTGGCATGACCATACCTCATCGCCTATAATCACCACCACCCACTGATTCACCTCCAGTTTCCGTTCTGCAAAAAGCTCTTTCGGTAACCGACACCTATCGAGGTTTCGGTCCGTGAACTCGGCGGGGAACAAGCGGAAGGCTGAGACATATGCTCCGGCACTTTGGCTCCTGTTAAGTGGGCTGTCATGACTCCGTGGCGAGACCATGAAGAAGGGGGTCCATGGAAGCTCCCATGCCATTTGCCGGGAATTTTCCAAATGTGCCTAGGAATGCAACCCTGGCTCAAGCCCTGGCTCCAGCCTCAGACCCTTTGCTGACGCGTTCTCTTTGGGGAAAGGACGCTCAGGTTTCTTGCTGTTTCTTGGCCCACCGTAACTTTGAGAGCCACGATGGCGGCAAGACAAGGGGATGCGGACTCCACAACGTATTTACTGGACATGCCACCAGAGGCTCCGATGGGGAGTGGAACGGTGCTGCCTTGTCCACGAAATCGGTTATCCGCAAGGTATAGCGAACGAGTCGAACACCCCGGCAATCTGGTATGTCAGGTCACTCAGCCGATTTGATTGCACACAGGCTAGCAAAACTCCTGGAATCCCACAGCTTCCACGTCGGCATCCTCATCCTCGTCGCCCTCGACCTCGGGTGCGTCATAGCCGAGCTCGTCGTCTCCTTCATGGAACTCGAACACCAGTGTGACTCCACGGGGCAACCTCTCCCCAACCCTGACGAACCCGAGGAAACTCTATGGCTGCACTTATTGAGCCTCGCCTCGTTGGTTATTCTAGCCCTCTTCATCCTCGAGCACGCGGCGCGGATGTGCGTGTTCGGTGTCAGATACTATATCCATAACCCATTACATCTCTTCGATCTGACAGTCGTCCTCGCATCGCTGGTGCTTGAGGTGGTTCTCAAAGGCGCCGCGGGGGAGATTGCCGGGTTATTGATTGTGTTGAGGTGTTGGCGGCTTGTGAGGGTGATTGATGGGGTTGCGACGGCGGTGGAGACGACGACAGAGGAGAGGATGGTGAAGTTGGAGGAGGAGAATAGGGGGTTGAGGGAGGAAGTTCGGGAGCTGAGGAGGAGAGTGGGAGTGGATGGGGCCTTTCGGACCGCTATGGGGTAGTAGAGGCATAGTTTTCATTACGTGGAATAGGGTATGTAGGTATACAGATATACATTCTCGGTACAGTTTTGGTCGACCCCCCGAATTCTAGGATTGCGTGATTGTCAGCTAACCCACGTATGTACACTTTCCGCAACAGAGTCTATCGGTCCGTCCGCAGTGCTTCCCACTCATGCCGCAGGATGCTGTATTGTTTACAGTCCATGGGCTTCCCATGCTTTCGTACGAGAGCTCGCAGCGTCCCATCCAACTTCATTCCGGCCCTTTCCATGACTCGTGCGGATGCTAAACAAACAAGAAAAGGGAGACCACTGATGAGGACCTGCATCCCACGGGAAACGACGCATGTGTAATCAGGAACTCACCAGCGTTCTCAACGAAGCACTGCCCGAACACTCTCTCCACGCCGACATCGTTGAAGGCGATGTCACACATCGCTTTTACCGCTGCGCCCATCACCCCATAACCCCCGTGCTCCGGATCCAGCCAGTAGCCCAGCTCCACTCCACACGGCGGCTCCTTCAGCAGGTTCCCGTCATCATCCCTCAACAACCTTTCATCCCGGCGAAAATCAATCCACCCGACGGGCATGCCATCGCCCCCAGTATCCTTGGGAACAGCACGGATCATGAACCCAAGCACGGCACCCTCACTTGCAAAGTTCGCCTGGTTCTTAGTCACCCACTTCTCGCATAATTCTAGAGTGAAGGGATTGGGAATGCTTAGCGTGCCCTTGTAGATGGGGATGTTTTTGATCGGGTGCGCGAAGATGGCGGTGATGTGGGGACAGTCGGTGAGGCGGGGTTCGGTTAGGATGTAGTCGTGGGTGGGGGATGGCGAGGGGATGGCGAGGGAGATGGTGCGGCGTGGGGATGCGGGTGCATCGGAGTCGGTTGTTTGTGTCATGTTATATGTGAAGCATCGGGCGGTCTTGAGATGAGGTTTGCGTTGTTCGACGGACCTCAGCCGGGAGCGACCTGGTTTTATTCGAACTCAGAGTTTGTGGATAATGCGACCAACTGACAGCGCGATTCTGTCATTGCGGGAAGCCCAATGATGCCCATGCCATGACTCAACTCATTTAATCATTCGACTCATGCCCGCAAACCAAGACTCTTTAAACCTCGGCCTCCACGTGATGTTGCGTCGCAATTTATGTCGCCCACCCATTTGAAACGGTGCCGCAGATCAGCGCGGGCGAGCGATTGATTGGACAGAATGCAAGAAATGGACCTGCATGATGATCCCCTTGCGTTTCACCTGCGAGCGATGCTGCTGTTGCTGCATTTGGCGCAGGATCCCTCGCCCCCATACGCGCGCGATAGCAACTGTCTCGTCTCAGGGATTCCCCCCCCAACCAGCAGCGCCGCTCAGCAAGCGACAAACAAAGGACTCTCATCACTCCCATACCCACCCACCCCCTCCACCGGGTTTTCTTGGCTTTCTGTTTTTGTTTCCCACCTGCTGCCCTTCGTATATACATTAGGCACCGCCAGCATAGCTGCGAACAGTTTCCGCCCGCAACTTCCCGTGGCCGCAAACCCGCAACTTTCCAATATTGACATTGCAACCCCACTCGTGACAACAACCAACTCACAATGTCGGCTCGACCGGCGACAAACAGCATATACTATAAGGGCGGGGGGGCTAACAACCACCATGTGCAGCTGGGAGAGCGCCGCCAGAGAACCAGGAAGAGTAAAATAAGAGTCAGATTCGATAACTGGATGGTCAATGAAGGTGGGTTTGGCTTTGTTCACCTATCGTACCTCTAGTAGGAGGGTTCCCAACGCTTATCTGTTCACGAATCTATAGGGCCACGGCAGATCTTCACAGTCTTATGGTTGGCGATACAGGTCGCCTACTTCGCCATCTCGTACCAACAACTATGGACCGCCAGCAACCTCACGACGTTCCGGTCCGTGCTCGGCCACGGGCTACCCACCGCTCGTGCAGCAGCGAACGTGATCAATTTGAACTGTGCGATTCTCCTGTTCACAGTGTGCAGGAACTTGATCTCGATGGTCAGGACGACGATTCTCAACAAATACGTGCCGTTTGACAAGAACATCACGTTCCATATTGTCATTGCGTGGTGTATTGTGTTTTGGACCTACATTCACGTTGTGGCGCATTACTTCAATTACCTGTATGTGGAGCAGGCTTTGGGACCGGCGAAGACGGCCCGCGGTCTGGCTTGGTTGTCGGGTCCTGGATGGACTGGTGGGTACTTGTGCTTGGGCTTCCTAGTCTAGTCTAGACTGAGCCTGATTCACTAATATTGGGCTCCCTTGATAGGTCAAATCATCACGGTGTCCTTCTTCTTGATGGTGACATCAGCACTGGAAGGCGTGCGAAGGAAGTACTTTGAGATGTTCTGGTTCACGCACCATCTCTTCATTGTCTTTTTCGGCGGTCTCCTCATGCACGGCGCCTTCTGCTTCATCAAAGCCGACATCCCCGCCGACGGCAACAAGAACGTCGACCTCTGCCGTGGCGGACCGACCTTCTGGAAGTGGTGGGTCCTCTCCGGCGCCGCCTACCTCCTCGAACGCGTGCTCCGCGAAGCCCGGGGCCGCAGAAAGACCTACATTTCCAAAGTTGTGCAGCACCCTTCCAAAGTCGTCGAGATCCAAATCAAAAAACCGTCCTGCCTCACAAAAGCGGGGCAGTACATCTTCATCTGCTGCCCCGAGATTGGCAACTTTGAGTGGCACCCGTTCACCCTTACCTCCTCCCCACACGAGGAATTCATCTCCATCCACATCCGCGTCGTCGGCGACTGGACCACCAAATTCGCCAAACGCTGCGGCTGCCGCTTCGGCGACGCCGACGAAGCCGGCATGGCCGCGCCCACTTCCCTCCCTTTCATCATGATCGACGGCCCCTACGGCTCGGCCTCCGAAGACGTCTTCGAATACGAAGCCGCCATCCTCGTCGGTGCCGGTATCGGCGTCACCCCCTTCGCCTCGATCCTCAAAACCGTCTGGTACCGCATCAACAACCCCACCGGCATGGTCAGCCTGAAAAAAGTCTACTTCTTCTGGGTATGCCGCGACAAGGACGCCTTTGAATGGTTCCAGGACCTCCTCATGACCCTCGAGGAGGAAAACATCGACGGGTTCCTCGAGATCCACACCTACCTCACCGGGGGGCTCAAGATCGACGAGGTCAAGAATATCATTGTTAATGACGAGGAAGGGGTGTCTGACGCGATTACGGGTTTGAGGGCGCCGACGAACTATGGAAGACCGAATTGGGACGCGATTTTCAAGATGGTTAGGAGTAATCACCCGGGGACGGATGTGGGCGTGATGTTCTGTGGACCGAAGGTGTTGAGTGGGGCGCTGCATAAGGCGTGTAATAGGTGGACGGAGGCGACGGAGAATGGGACGAGGTTCTTCTATGGGAAAGGTGAGACTTTCACGTTCCGTTTCGGGGGTATATTGTTTGATGAACATGTAAGCTGATCAACCTCTCCCTGTCTTCCACAGAAAATTTCTAAACAACCGCCTGGACGTATTCATCCACTCTATACAAACGCATCTCTCCCCGCTGTACATACAATCACCCTCCCCTGCCTTAAAATTACGTTTTTGGGTGTGTTTTCCCCCTTCCCCTTCCCGAGTCTCCCTGCCCTCGATGCAGCCCATCACTAGAGTAGAGACTGCCTGACCGAATGACTATCTTCCCTAGCTAGCTCACTAGGGCCCCCAGTTCCCCCCAGTTTTTTGTGTTTAAGCGCAATACGGCGTATATGGGAAATCCAATCGTATTCGAGGGTTTTCGTAAGAATCAGTCTTCCTCGCTGCTATCTGAGAATTTGATGTGTTTTCGGGGCGGTGGGTCGTCGGTTGGTGGTGGGACTTCGGCGGGGCGTTTGGTCGGTATTGACGTTGCTGTGAGTGGGGGCTTGTGATGTTGTGGGGCGGTGGATCTGGAGTTGTGTTGCGGTTGCGGGTGTCGCCGTTGCTGTTTCTGATGCCATTCCTTTTCTTCTTGCTTGGAGAAGATGTGGTCCCAGTACTCGGCCTCCTCGTCGCCTGTCATCAGTTCCAACGAGATGTTTGGGTATTTAGGTTTCCCCACGACCGCGTCGGCTTGTGCTTCATCATCACCGCCCTCTTCAGCTACTTCGTCCCCCCACTCAGCCCACTCACTCTGCACGTCCGCCCCATCCCCATCCGTGGCCATAGCAATCGCATCCTTCCCCTTCCTCTCCTTCACCTTTCCCCCCTGCAACAACGTCCCCGTATCCCCCTTATGCATCTGGCACACATACTCCCTCCCAAACCACACAACCGCCAACCTCGCCCCATGCATGGTCTTGAACCTCACAATCCCTTCCCCGCCGCCGCCACCCTTGCGCGTCTCGACAAACGAAACGGGCGCAATCATCTCAAACAGTTTCCGGAGCACGCGGGTGGTGGCCTGTGGGTGTGCGCCTGTGAATTTGGCGAGGACGCGGGTTTGGAAGACGGCTTTTTGGACGGGGTGGTGATTTTGAGAGAGTTGGTGGAGGTGAGATTTGCGAGATGTGTGCAGTGATGCGTAGGTATCTGTTAGCTCGTTCCAGCGGGGTTTGGGGATGGTGCGGATCTCGCCGAGGGGTGTGGAGGGGTGTGGTGGAGTTTCGATGAATGTTTTCAGATCGGTTTCCGTCGTTAGTGGCCGCCACAGGGTCCCAAAATGCCGCGCGGCGTTCTCCATCTCCTCCTGCGTCTCAAAGACGACAAACGCCCAGACGCTCGCCTGATCCCCTCTTATCTCCGGAAACACGCACCGCTCGACCGCCCCGAACGGTGCGAAACATTTGCCCAGGGCGTCGGAGGTGGTTTTGGCGGGGAGGTGGTCCACGTAAAGTGTGCGGGCGTCGAGGAGAGAGTAATCGGGGATGGTGTGGCGACGGCGGATGGATTTACCGTCGATGCTGATTTCGAGGTGCGGGGAGTGGTCGCGGATGGCGTGGGCGGCTACGATTTCGTCGGTTGTGCCGAGGGTTGGGTGGAGGAGGTGGGTTAGGGGGAGCCCTGGGGAAAGTGAGATACGAAGAGTGAGAACCATATATACGCGTGCAAATATCGATAGATCAAGTGCCCGGCCTGGGGCAGACGGGGATAATCCCTTCTCAGCCACTTGGCCGCATCACCGAGTGAGAATGGCCAGGTAGCCGGTCTCCAGCACCCCTCGCATTCAACTCACATCCATCCACGGCCTCGCGAATGCGAGTAGCAGTGTTCAGGTCATAGCTGAGGACGTCGTCCGAGAGACAGCGAGCGATTTTTGTGGCAATGGCTTGCTCTTGGGAGCGGAAGGCCTCCTCTTTCTGCTGAAAGAGTGTAGCCATTCGCTCGTGGGTTGCTGTAGGCTCTGCCAGTGACTGTTGGGTTGCCTGCTTGCCATTCACAAGTCGGGTCGGAGAGCAATCCTGCCCTTCTGCAAAACGCGTCCTCTCCCTCCTCTCCCTTCCTCTCCAGCTCTCAGACGTCCGTCCCCGTTTCTCCCACAGAAACCCCCAGCTACAAGCCTTACAGTATATACATATACATTTGACGTACCGGCAGCCGCTCTCTGTCCTGCATACCTCTCTCTCCTTCGCCCTCAAGAGTATTGTCATCCAATCGCCCCTGTATCCGTTTCCTGTGCGACCGAGTCTCCGACCCGTCACGTTCGCTGTCTTCCTCGCTCAACCCTTATCCTCACCGGAGCTCCTTTCGCTATTACCTCTCCCTGGGACAGAATGGTATGTCACGGCTTATAGACTTCGTAAACCTTCAAACTCACTCATTCCATTATTTTACAGTTTGGAGGCTACTACGACGATGATCATGGCCAAGCGCTGGGTTTCGGGACTCGACAGGGGTCTTTCGTAAGTTTTGGGTGTTCCGTGCATCCTCCGTACCCACCTCTTTCTCACCACTACGTCCATCACATGACAGACCGAGACCTATCGCTGCTACTCTGCTGCAATGATGCAAACTCGCACGGAACGGCCCGAGTTTTTGTATGGTGGGAAGATTGTGATGCCTCAATCGGCTTTCATCAAGCTTTGTGAGTACACGTTGTTTCAACGTAATTTTCCACCTTGCCTGACATGGGACTAATTCATTCTACAGCTGCACTGCACATCAGCTGGCCAATGCTGTTCCAGCTCAAGAACACCGCACAAGACCGAACATCACACTCGGGCGTCCTCGAGTTCACAGCCGAAGAAGGACGTGTCTACCTCCCGCAATGGATGATGCAGACACTCTTGCTGCAAGAAGGACAATTCATCGAGATCAAAAACGTTGAGCTCCCATTGGGAACGTTCGTCAAGATCCAGCCCCAGTCAGTGGACTTCCTCGACATCACCGACCCGAAAGCGGTGCTGGAACAGGCCTTACGGAACTTCTCGACCCTCACCGTCGGCGATATCATTACCTTTAGCTATAACGACAAACTATACGATATCCTTGTCCTAGAAATCAAACCAAATGGACCTGGTATCTCGATCGTCGAGACAGATTTGGAAGTCGATTTCGCGGCGCCGCTTGGGTACGTCGAGCCTACTCCAATGGGAAGGCCCGGACAAGCTGTATCAGCCGCGACACTGAAGGGAAGCACAACGAGCATAGCGCAGCATGCCGTAGCCGACGATATCGGCTTCAAGCCATTTGCTGGGAAGGGACAGAATCTCGGTGGGAAGGGACCTGTGAGTGGTGGTGGTGGCAGCAGCAGCGGTGGGGCGAAAGAAGATACCCGCGAAAACGACATTGCGGACACCAACATCCCGGCGGCGCTGAGGTTACCCGCTGGCAAATTGTTTTTCGGATACCCCGTCGTGCCTGTGAAAAAGGTCTCGGATGGTACCGAAGCGGCTGGTGACAACTCAAAGCCGTCCGGGGGTGGGCCGTCGGCGTTCACGGGTGCGGGTCATACGTTGAAGGCTGCGAAGAAGGGAACTTCGCCTGCGGGATCGTCCTCATCGTTGGGACCGAGACCGCCGTCTAGTAGTGGGAGTAGCAGCAAACGACCAAAGTAGGCCTTTCAAAGGCTCGTGAGGGAGGTGATACAGGAGGGTGGTAGTTACGGGAAGACTGTACTATAAGCGCATCAGTGGGTGGTTCTGCTGTTTATACGGTGTATTCTGTATCAGATCCTTGTCAACGGAAAAATATGTACATACGTTTGTGAGTCTGTGTGTGTGTGGAACATCAAGCCCATTCTTAACCGGCCGACTTCGCCCGAGGCCCCATTTTCCGTCTCCCCTCCCTTTCAAACTCCCTCTCAGAATCGCACCATGCGCCCACCACCGTCCCTCATCCCCCTGATACTCCGACCGACACCCCTCACCCTCCACCACCTAACACCCATGCTCAACCCAACAAGACTCAACACAACAATCGCCCAACGACGCGTCCACCTACTCGCAAGATCACTTACGACTGCCAGCGGCACAGGAGATGGAGGGACAGCTGTGAACACTGTGAACCCGGCGTCGGTGGCGTGTGTGATTATTGGGGATGAGGTTTTGGGAGGTGGGTTGATGGGGACGTTGGGGTGGTGTTTGAAGGGGGAACGGGGTTGAGGACGGGGAAGCTGGAGGGCGTGGGGGAGACGGCGAGAACTGGGCTTACGTTGTGATGTTCGTCTGGTTAGGAAAGACGTTAGATACCAATTCGCACTTTCTCGGTGAGTCTTTTACTCCCTTGAGCTCTCGGGGGTTCGCAAGTCGAGAAATGGAACCTGTGACTAAGTTTCAATGTGATATCCCTCCCACACACAGCCAAAAAATGTTTTGATCACGGCCTCGACCTCAAACGCATCGTCGTCGTCCCCGACATCACGGAAGATATCGCCCAAACGGTACGGGAGATGTCCGCATCGTACGGGATCGTGTTCACCAGCGGTGGCATCGGGTACGTCAACATTTTCCTCTCCCCAATTCCACCCCACATTTAAACATATGGTATCCACTTCAGCCCAACCCACGACGATATTACCTACCCCTCAATAGCACACGCCTTCTCCCTCCCGCTGCACCACGACACGCGCACCCTTGAGCTGATGCGCAAGCTGACCCCGCGGAAGGATGGGAAGGAGGTGGAGATGACTGACGCGCGGAAACGTATGGCGTGGGTGCCGTATGGGGAGGAGGTAAAGGTCGTGCATCCGTGTGAGGGGTTGTGGGTGCCGGTTGTGGGGGTTAGGAATGTTTGGATCTTACCTGGTATGTATCATCATCGCCAGAACTCGACTGATAGCGCCTGATGTATATGTACTGACTGTTATGGTTTAATGGCAGGCATCCCCCGCCTCTTCGAACGCCTCCTCACCGCCGTCCTCCCCACCCTCCTCCCCCCCGCATCCTCCCACCCCGCGCTCTACATCCGCGTCCAAATCGGCACCATCCTCCCCGAATCCACCATCGCGCCCGCCCTCACCTCCATCCAGGCCCGCGCGGCACCCGACGGGATCAAGGTCGGGTCCTACCCCAAGTGGCAGAGACATCCTGTTCGACCTGGGGGGGATGGCCTGGACGGGGGGAAGGGACGGCCGGGGGTTGTAGTGAGCCTTGTGGGGACGGACAGGGAGGTTGTGGAACGGTGGGCGGAGGTTGTGAGGGGGGAGGTGGATGGGTGGGTTGTTGAGGGAGATGAGGATTGATGGTGGGAGGTGGGTGATGGTGGTTTCTTGGGTGTCCGATGGCTTGGAAGTGTTGAATGAGCTGCGCCCTCTACGTGTGCACGCATTATTGGAATCACTGTTATAGTCGAGAGCGGAGCGTACGCATGGGCGCACTGCCAAAAAAAGGCTTTCATATCAATAGCATCATGCGAACGGAGGATAGTTTCAATCTCGCGAACAGCGGACTTCTACACTGCCTTCGCTTCTGATATCACACTTCTCCGAAGGGCAACTCCGAAAGGTATCTCCGCAGGTTTCGGACGAATCCAGGCACAAGAGGCGCAGGGATGCGGCGCAAGTGGGATGTCCGAAATGTCCGAAAGCGCACACTCCGCCTACTCACGCCCACACGCTAAATAAACACCCAGATGCCCTCAACAAACCGCAACCTCGAGGTCCTCTCACTCCCTCCTCGACCCCCCCTTCCTATACCAACATAAGCCACAACCACCGCTGCCTTATCCAGAATATCCGCCCCGATAAACACGCACACATATCCCTTCTCCCTCCGTCCTCCAATGTGAAATCCCTGTGTCTGTCCGGCTAGTTCTGAAATTGAAGAAACCATCCGTTAGTTTGAGAAGCGACGGTTTCGATAGCCCTTGTCTTTGGTTTGTACTCAGACTTCCATGTCTCGATGTCTCAACATCGTAGTTACTCGCGCCTCTTTCGGTTGTCAAACGCTTCTCTTTTGTGAAAGTAACCTGCCCCATATGTGCGAGGTACCATGCCCTTCGCGCAACCATTGGACCAGTAGCGATGCTCGCTAGCCCGAGGGCGTACATCTTGATCATAGTTACAGGCGATCTGCGCACGGAGCGTACATAATCACGAGGCTGACACCAGGCAGAACGTTTCGTCGTTACATCTAAACAGAAGGAGTACAAAGGGAAGGAGTGAGAGTAGACAAATGACAAACATGAGACGTACCGTTGCTGTCCTTGCATACCAATCCCTCAAGTACTCCAAGAGATCCATCACGGCTCTGCTGTCCTCCTCTGCATTGCGAAAGTCGTAGGTCTCTTCAGGCAGGATGTCCGTCACCACATCCGACAGCGAGCGGCGAGGGAACGCGATGGAGGCAGGGCGCGTCACGTTGGTCACCTCCGCAATGGTCTTCGATCTCCTGCTTGGCCAAAGAAGGCGAACTAGTTGGCGCAGGTTGCGGAACTTCCAGTGGGCTGGTTGGGATGGACGCGTCCTTTCCATCAACACCTTGTCGCAATGGTTGGTGGACCAGGAGAAAAGGGTCACTCCTTGGGCACAAAGGTGTCTCCAAAGTTCGCCAGGAATTGCTCTTCTGGTTCTTTGGCATTGGAATTGTCCTCGTAGAAGTGTGAGGCGGGAGGCTGACGGGTGCCGTCAGGCAAAGCAGCTGCCCATCCAAGCTCGAAAATCCTGGCCACGGCAAGGGGGACACCAGTCTGGAACTCGTAGTCGTAGGCGACCTCGACGCGCCGCCCTCCGCTACGCAAGATTTCCGACCATATGGTGCCTTGCAAGCGTTCGTGTATCAAATCGAGGCGGGGTAGGCTTCCAGGTACGCGGCCATGGTCATGCAAGCCTCGTACTCCAGAGGCTCGCACTTCAGCCAATAACCTGCTGGTCTGGCCCAATCCCATGGCCAAGTGGGTCGGGCAGGCTCCTCTCCCGTTGGCCATGGTGAGGTCGTTCTGTAGGGCAAAGCATTTGTCTGTGAGCGAGTTCTATCAGAGAACACAGCCTTCTCGTTGCAACGCTCACCATCTCTTTGCATTTGAAACACTTGAGGCCTGCTGCCCACCACGTTCTCTGCTTTGCCTTTTTTCGCTCCACGTCCTCTGGAGTCCAGCGGGCTTTGGCCCTCGCATATGTCTCCCTGTTAACTTGTCGTTTCCGGGCAGCGGTCTCGGCAGAGGTCTCAGCAGCCTTTAGTTCCCTCGCCGCCTTCTTGCGCTCTTTTTCCTCTGCTTCCTTCTCCTTCCGGGCAGCTGCTGTGGCGGCGCGCTCTGTCTTCTTGAGCTCGGCTGCGGCAGCGCGCTCCGCTTGCTTTGATGCGTTCGCGGCAGCTTTTCGCTCTCGCTCTCGGGCCTTTGCGTTCGCGGCTTGCTTCGCAGCGGCAGGTCGCTCGGCTTCTAGTGTTGCATTACGTCGCTGTCTCTCGGCGTCCTCTTCTGCTTCGGCGGCTTGCAGCCAGCCGTAATCCCGCTTGTTGACTCCCTTCAGGGTTGCTCTGAGCATGGTCGGGAATGTGGATGATCGAGTGAAAAAAAGTCGTGGGAATGTTGCAATCTTGAGGAATCCTGGAAAAACGACTTACCCAGAAGGTCTGAATTGATCCAGTAACCCGGGAAGGCAAGGCCGTCTACGGTCCGTCTGCCGGCCTTGCCATGGTGGACGAAAGTGTCGGGAAGAAGCCCGAGGAGATCCGCCATGTCCTTGAGCGCCTCCTGCGGCCACCACCACCATTCCCCCTCATCCTTCACCCTCGCAGCGAATGTGGACATTTCAGCTGCTGTTGGCGCAAACGCGCCACCACGTCCTGAAATGTTTTCAATTTCATACGATCGGCGTCGTCTACCGGCTTCTTGCCGAGCTTGGCTTGAGCCTTGCCAAAACGGGGTTTCTTCCCCCCCTTCTCCTCCTCCTTGTCATCCTCCTCCTCCTCCCGCGCTCGCCCCTTTCCCTTCGAGCTGCTCGCGGCCGCAGCCTCCTCCTCCAACCGTCGGGTTTCTTCTTCCTCCGCCTCAAGCGCCTTCTTCTTCGCCTCGAGCGCGGCCTTCTTCTCTTCGATGGACGACATACTCACAAGAGAAGGTATCTATCAAGCAGTGCAGCTCTTCGGTAAGTTTACCTCTGCACCTCCGCTAATCAAGAGGGCGGCCAAACAGGCAGGTCCCAACCTTAGAGGGGTGTTTAAAAAAAGTTATTGTTGTTGTTGTTGTGGTTGTTGTTGTTGTTGTTGTTGCGGAAGGCGTTGTTGTTGTGGTTGGCAGAGGAGGAACGCTTGAGCACCCCTCTATTTATATGCCAGCCTGCATTCTGCCCCCAAGCAAATGTGGGGGAAAAGCGGGGGGTGGGTGGAGGTAATATAGATAGCGGCTGATAGCGGCGGACTGACAGCGAAAAGCGACAGCGCGTTAACTCCGCTTATTGGGATTTTATTCTATTTATATTGCAAAGACGCGTCTGCACGTGGTTCCTCGCCGTTCGATGGTACAGTATGTGACGCCATGTCACGGTACGGGGTAGATGAGGGAGAGTGACGCAAGAAGGCCCGGGACAGGAGAACACGGAACCTCCCTGCAGCCTGGAGGCCATCCGCATTGCTCAGTGTCGGCAATAGCATCTTATGAATATCCCCGTGTAATATGCGGGGGGGTGTGGCGCAGGGGTCATGTGACCGTGTGGCGTTCTGATGTCCGGATGGCGGCCACACCATTTTCTTCTCGGGTATAAAAGCCGTGCGCTCCCCTTCACCCCCTCTGGTTTCCCTCATCAGTAGAACAATTATCAATCCTCCATTAAAGTTCGTGGCATTTCTACAGCTCTCCCGTTGTATGGCACGCGTTCCCGGAGTAAAGATGCTAGCCACCCTTAAACGCAAGATTGCGTAGGCCGAGCCCTCGCTATTCTTTTCGGAGAATGTGGGGGAAAGGCGCATTCCGCATCTTTTGCACCTGTCGGGTGATACATTTGTGTCGAGAGAAGATCGATGGCTGGTTTGCGCTGTAGGGTGCCGGTGTACTGTACGTCGGTTTTCTGCTGTAGGGTTTCCCTCGTCGAATCGGGAAGGTCTCTGGCGGAGTTTCGGACTGCAAGGAGAAAGCCATTTCCGGCGTGATTTGCTAACAATCATGATCGAGAGTTTCGACGACTTGGGGAAAGACGGCTCGGCCGTCTTCTGCGTGAATGCAAGGCGGTCGTTTTTGTCACCTATTGAAAATAGAAGATGGCGACACTCAAAAATCGTCGGTCGCCGGAGCAAATCTGACGAGAGCACTCAGGCCCAAACGTCCTGAAGGCAATGTTGTCGGCGCTGGAATGCGGAAATCACTTCGGAACAGTCACACGTTCCTGCGAAGGAGTCGGCATCCGTAACCGGCCTCCAGATGGTTACGCTCCTTCCAGGTGCCATTGCGTCCATTGCAAGTTCCGCCAAATTTTCGCGCACCCTGAGCAAGCGAAACTGTGGTTGGAAAAGCATGCTATAGACCCGCATCAGTCAAACTCTATAGACGCTGCCTACTTCCCATCAACCACCATGATGTTAGCTCCGACAAAGCCCAATCCCATCAAGCTTATCCCCCGTCCCCGGTATTACCGCCCATGAAACGCAATAATGGTCCGACAGAAGCTGCCACTCCTCCACCTCATCAAAAATCTCCAACTTCGCTATCCTCTCCCTCTCCTCCAGGTCCAAACTCTCCCAAAACATATTCATATCCACCGCCCGACCCGCATCCCACCCACACTCCTTGAACCTTCGCTTCTGCGCCTCCAGATCCGGCCATTCGCTCCATCCCAACAAATCAATCCCCCGCAACCGCAGGTTTTGCGCCATCACGCGGCCGAATGCATCGTCGGGGTGGATTTGCTCGTACACTACAAACACGCCGCCGCCGCCGCCTTCACGGACCAGCGTGGATGTAGCGCTTAGGATTGTCCGTGAGAGCGCCGGTTGGAGGTATATCAGCACGCATTCGCATAGGAAGAGGGTTGGAAGAGTGGAATCGAGGCCGAGCGAGTTGAGGCGGGGGATGAGCTGGTCGGAGAAGGTGCGGAGGTCGCCGGAGATGAGGTGGTAGTCCAATCCGTGGAGTTCTAGGCCGCCGCGCTCTTGCATCGAAGGGAATATGATATGAGGAATGTGGGTAGGGAGGAATATGAAGCGGTGACACACTTACCGATCTTGAACGGCCCTACGAGCTTTGTCAACGGCGGGTTTTTGGCGATCGTCTGCCCTTTCTTTGAGACGATCTCTGGGAAGTCAATCTCGAAATACTTTCGAGGTTGCCGGCCTGCTGACTAGGAAAAAAGACAACGAGGTATCAGCACGCCCACCCTGTTTGATATTTACGTCGCACTGCAAGATCCCGCATTCAACGCACCTTCAAGAGAAAATATCTCGTATCCGATCCAGCTCCCAAACTAACGATCTGTTTCCCCTGCGGGTTTCCGTCCCCGCTCGCCAAGAAATGATCTATGAGTGTCTCCAGCGCCTTTGACCGTGCAAATGTTCCTGCATTCCTAGCGGTGAGTATGAGTAAGGAGTAGGCGGCAAATATGTGCAGAGGTATTTTTTGATTTACCTCTGTTAATGACGGGGGGCCGCTTTTGAGCCCGCCGGACGAAGTGCTTTGCGTAGGGGTCGGGAAGGTAGCCGAGATTGACCGCCGCGCTGGAACGATTTCAGTCGGCGTAAGTCCAGTGAAGACAGAAGCACTTCCTTTTTCCGCTGCCGCTCAACTTACAGCCGAGAGATGGAAGCGTCGTCGTTTGTTGAGCGGATGGTGTCGTCCTCGTTGAGGCCGGTTGTGGCGATGGTTTCGTTGGTGGGGAAGGCCGGCATTCTGGTGGAAGCGTTCCTGGTGGAGGTGACTGTCTATGTTTGTGGGCCCGTCTGCTGTGCTGATGGAGTCCGTTGTTACTGGGTTGTGCGAATGGACTGTGGTCGAAGTGTGCGATGGGGGCCTCTTGTGTTTTGTCCGGAAGTTGTCCGACCGCCTCGTTCCCCTCAGGACATGGGACGTCAAGACGCTCGGCACAGTCCCCACCAATCGCACTACCGCCAACGGCCATCGCCAATGCAACACCAGCAATGCTTCGCTCACTTCTAACCGACCAGCGGCCGCCCGACACCAGGTGAGGTAGAAGGGAGAACGGCGAGGGAGGTGTGATATCCCTCGCAGGGTCACCGACGTCCATGGCTTCTTCATACCGTAAGCTGAGCAATATTCTCTTCGTTTCGCGGTATCTCAGCTCATTCCCAACACGCCGACCGAACGTAAAAGTCACATACACGAGTCGCAGGGCTGCCTCAGCGGCCACGGATCGGCAGACGCCACATACGTCGCAGAAATCAGATGCCGACGCGAGATCGCAGCAGCCGGTTCGGCGGCAGGAGCAGGAGAATATGGGCGCGATTAACATCAACGTGAACGCGGGTTCGAATTCTGAAGCAGTCAAGGGGGGGGAGATGAAGCAGAAGGAGCCAAAGGAGGAGTGTGAACGGACGTTGGCAAAGTGAGTGGCTTGCTTGTCCGGCTGTATTGAGGGATCTGAAGACGGGAAACTGGAAGAAACTGTGACCGCTGGTGCTAATGAAGCATCGTCGTGTAGGAAACGGGCGAAGACGCATGGCGGTAGGCCGTTGACCATCATGCATTTCTTTCAGCCCGCAGCAAACGAGAGCGGGAAGAAGGCCACAACATCTGCATCCACTGCGGGAGGGAAGGGCGCCGCGCCGAAGTTCGTAGAATCAGCCGCCTCAGCGCAAGCTTCTCAAGGCAGTGCGACCGTTCCCACCAAGCGCTCGCTCGAACAATCCCTCTCCTCGCCAACACTCACATCTACATCACCACGTCCACACTGGCATACCCCATCGTCGAAGAAACCACCACTCCTCTCATCGACGTCCCCACCCACAACCCTACCCCCATCGACAACCCCACCCACCACCTACGCCCAACTCCACCTCGACCTCGGCCAAAAATCCCTCACCGCCTGCCCGACCTGCAACATGTCCTACGCCCGCTCGCGCCCCGACGACGTCGCCACGCACGCGCGGTACCACGCCGCGGCGGTCGAGGGCGTCATGTGGGGACCGGCTTCCTCCTCGTCATCCGCATCCGCAGGAGAACGTGTTGTAAGGGAGTTTGCGGATGGCGCGAAGGTGGTGTGTGTCGAGAGGGAGGGGTGTGGGGTTAAGGTGTGGAAGAAGGCACTGAGTGTTGTCATCTTGGTCAATACGGAGCTGGGCGCCGCTGCGCCTGCGGAGGTCGACGAGGGGAGCAAGATCTTCCTCTACATAACCCCCTCCCGCCGCGTCGCAGGCTGCGTCCTCGTCGAGCGCATCACCACTGCATACCGAGTCGTCGTCTCTGACACCGCCACCGATATCCAGCCAGAGAACAACGATCCACCTCGGGAGGAGCTGGTCAAGAATGGAAGTGTTGCGTTTCGGAGGTGCGGTGACTTTCTTTCAAAGACCATGCAAGGTTCCCATCTCTGGTTTTTGCTTACATTGTTTGGGTATATGATAGTACGTGTCCTGTACCGGCCTCCTGTGGTATCAGCCGGATCTGGGTACTCAAGAGCGAGCGGAGGAAGGGGGTTGCGGGGAGGATGTTGGATGTTGTTCGGTAAGTTTCCCCCTTCCCCGTGCTCTTTTTCATCTATTCTTTGTTTGTTTGACCTCCAACTAACGAATAGAAATTATGGCCCACAGCACACGCTTCGTCTTTGGATACACACTCTCCCCCACCGACGACATGGCGTTCTCGCAGCCGACGATGGCGGGCAAGGCGCTGGCCGAGCGGATGTGTGGCGGGCGGAAGGACTTTTTGGTTTATTAGCGAGATATGTTGTGTTCTTGGGAAGGGTGCGAGTCGCGAAGGGGGGTTTGAGTGGAGGGTTTGAGTGGAGGCGAGGGTGGTGGGATGGGGTACCTGCTGCCTGTGGGGGTTGGGGGCTTGTATACATATACATAGCAGGGATGCGAGATGAGGAGTTGAGGGATGGGAGGGTTTTTGCTGGAAGAAGGGCGGTCAGAGAGGGACGGACGGCCAAAATCCGATAAACTAAGAAGTCTCGCAGAAATCTGTCTGCGGCATACGAACGGTAGAAGAACCGTGACAGACCATTCTGGCACTCTAACGATTCCATCCCGCACCCAACGTGTTCTCCATGTATATCGGCAATCCTAGATACACTTTGTACATACATAGACGAGATACATACACATAAGACTGCAACAAAAATCATGCGCACGCCGAACTGGTGAGATTGATAGTGGCCCTATTCTATTCAAGGCGACGAGGAAGTTCGCGGGCACCGCATGGTGAAAGGGATCCGACTAAGCGGCACGCGCGCAACGTGTATGTAGGTGCAGCACCGCCTGCCTACGGGGTATGATATCCTCACTGCCCAGACGCACATCACGTCGCCGCCGCATCCTCCGCATGCCTAAGTAGCTGCTGATCCCCCCCTCCCCGATTTCGCCTGCGTCCTCGCAATATACTTGACTTCCTCCTCAGCAAGCCGGACCATCTCCTTTACCCGCGCCGCTTTTTGGGTTGCTAGGACGAGGAGGTTGTATCTATGTGGAGTGTGTTAGTGAGGGATACTTTTTGGAAGGAGATTGGGGAATGGGGACGTACTCTTGTTTTAGCGCGGCTTCTATGCGACGGCGTTGGGAGTCGCCGAGCTCGGTTGCGGTGATGGGGGTAGACGCGGGTTGAGACTTTTTTGACGGGGTGTGGGGGAGTTTACGTTGTTGGTCTTGGAGGGCTTTAACTTGTTTCGTTAACTGGGAGGAGAACATGTGAGTTTTTCGCTCAAGGGATTAGACACCCGAACAGAAGAAGAACGGAACAAAAACAAACCTTCTCACTCAAAGGCCTAAACCCCTCCTCAAACCGCCCCCTCAACGCCTCCAACTCCTCAATCCATCTCCTTTCCGCCTCCGTCAGCGGCTGCGTTTCGTCCATCAGTATCTGCAAGATCAGCCCGAGTTTCTTGCGGTAGAAGTAGTCTTTGGCTTGCAGGCGCGCGAGCTTGGTTTCGGTCTCGGCGATGACGGTCGCGGTGCGGGAGCCGAGTGTGGAGGTCCAGAGGTTGAGAAGGCCGGCTTGTTGGCGGACTTCGACTTGTTGGTGTTTTATTCTGTGCGTGGGGGGCCATAAGGTGTGAGCGTTCAGGTCGTACAGTGCAAGCGTATACACTCCAGTTCCTCACACACCAAAACACGACATACCGTTTCTCAAGATCCAGCACCGCATAATGCCTCGCTAACAAATCTTCCTTCCTCGCCTTAATATGTTCAAAGAACGCCCACAGCGTCGGTACATGCGCACACGACGACAGCGGGACATTCCCCTTCAACCCGGGCTTCGCCTCCAACGCCGGCGGCGGCTGGCGCATGATATCCGGTTCCTGGAACAACCGCTGCTCGATGGCGGGCTTGTAACCCCCCGCTTTCTTTTCTTTGAATGTTGACGGGGCGGCTTTGATGCGGGGCGGGAGCACGTCGCCGTAGAGACGGGGGGTGGAGGTGAGGAGGATGTAGCTGTAGCCGAGAAAGGTTGAGGTGATGATAGAAAAGCCGGCGACGGGTGCGTCTCTGTATGTATTTGGGAAAGGGCGGATGAGTTTCAATGAAGGAAACATAATGGATGCATGGTTCAAGATAAATAGGTTACCCTGCAATCCGCCCCCTCGTGCTAACCACCAAATTGATCTCGCTCTGTCTCGGTGCGCCCAGCTCATCCTTCAACCGCGCGCGTACCGCTTCATTCGCGCTTCCAGTCGCAAGTTGTTGCAGGCCGTCAATCAATGGGTCGACGTTGATGGCGTGCACCCCTGACGCGTGGTATGAGTACACAATCTCTGGGTACCGCGGGTCTGTAGCGAGGCCTGAGAAATGATCAGCGTCCGATTGACGTGGGGTGGCGGGCAGGCCCAGGTCGATGTCTTCCAGAGACATGCAGACTGGTAACGCTGCTTCTTCCTCCGTTGGCTAGTGAAATGAGGGGTAAGTATCTTGGAGAGGGGTGGGGCAGCAACGTTCGAGATCCTTACCGGGGCAGCTATATGCCACAGAGGCTGTGACCCATCCACATCCAGGCACACTTTCAGCATCCCGGACTCAAACGCCAGCACCAGTACATCAAGCGGTCCCTTCTGCAGGCACACGATATCATTGGCGGCCTTGAAATCCGTGCTGACGTTGGATGCAGGTCGGAAGAGGAACGGACCGCGAGCCTTGGGAGTCATCTGCGTTGCCGTTCTGGGAAGTTTCACGGCGGTGGGTTCCCCTGACAGCGCGCGCAGCTCGGCTTTTTGTTTGACGTCGGAAATCAGCTCGTCGATGAGGCTGCCCCGCCAGTAGGCTTGGGTTTGTGAGTACTGGCCTAGCAGGGCTTGCTCCTCTTGCAGTGCGCTGTCATCGGCTCTAAGCTCCGCTAACCGTTCGGGAACTAGCAAACTCGAATTTGGGATGATCGGGCATATCGAGTAGACGTCCCCGCTTTTCGTCAAGGTATAGACTGTCATTGAGCCCCACTTCCCGTCGTTTCGCCCGAATGAGAAGGACACGAATGTCTCCTCGTCCAGGTCTGAGCCAAACAAGCCGGCTTGGTTGGCTCGCGACGGCAGGAGGTTATGTTCAGTCCCGAACAAATGGTACGAATGCTCCAGGGTTGAAGCCCCTGCGCTCACATTGTGAATCCTAATGGATCTCGGTCAGACCCAACTCCGAGATCAAACAGTTTGCCCGTCGGCAATGAACAAGCAGAACCACAACATACCCCAGCGTCCCGTCCACATAAAGCACGACCAAATGGACATGCTTCTCGCTCAGAGGGTGCCACAGGACTTTCGCAATGGCCAAGCTGTGCACATCCTCAAGCAGCCAGTACGCAGGCTCCAGCGCCTCACGCTTCGCCTCGGTCCACATCATCCGCGGAACAGCGACAATTGCTACGCTGTATTCCCCGACGAGCGCAAGGCAACGGCCGCTGGAGTTGAGTTCGATGTGTTTTACGCGGAAGTTGATGTCGGGTAGGCTGAGTTCCTGTAAACATGGAATCCTTCAGCGAGTGGAAATGGAGATTGCGCGATGCCATCAACCATTAACCCCCCATCAACCCATCAACTCATTCAAACTTCATCCATCCCAACCTTCATCGATCCACCATCCACCATCAACCCGTCAACCATCCACCATCAACCCGTCAACCATCAACCATCAACCATCAACAAACACGTGGGTGAGGGGAGTATTGCGCCCTTGGCGAAAAGTGGCTCGCTCCGCTCGCGAAGGAGTTCGCCCTGGTCGACCCGCGGTCTCCCCGACCGAACCAACGCTCGGAACCCACCTTAAACTCTGCCATCTCCACCGCCGCCTCCAAATCATCCTCCACCTCATCGAAAGCGCCCTTCCACTTCCTCAAATTCATCACCCTCAATCTCGGCGGCACACAATTCAAGCACACAAACGCAATCGCATCATGCACAGCCAACAACCTCAACGGCGGTCTCGCCCTCGCCAGTTCAGCACGATGCGCGGGCGGCGGGTCGCGCAAGCTGATACTCGACACATCCAGCAGGCTGCTCGCGTCGTCGTCGCCGGGCGGGATGAGGGAGATATCTGGGCTGGAGAATTCGGAAGGGGAGGGAGGGTATTGGTGGAGGACCGGGTGGGCGGGGAGAGATTGCAGCCAGTAGCCGGGGGGAGGGAGGGGGTTGGGGGTGGGCATGGTTTCGGCTTGCGACCACTCTAGTGAGGGCCAGGTTGCAGGGAAAAAACTGTCCAGGAAGGTCCGGTCCGGCTGCTATGCTCCTATGTTCCGTTTGGCGTGCGTATGGCCTGTTACGATGAACGTATCTAGGACAGGTTAGCGTGGGAAACAGCGAGAGATCGCCGGAACAGATGAGCAGCAGCACCAACTGATACCTGATGACCCTGCTAATTGTTTCAGTACTTTGGAACGGTAAGCTAGAAAGTATTCAATACAGGATCCTCAATACAATTGCATGGGGAAAACAGGAAAGGTAATGAAATTCGATCCGTGAATCACCGGCACATACACGTCTGCCCTTCACGTATTGCTACATAAACGCTATGTAAATCACCATCACACTCTCCATCTCAGTCCACCGCTTCTGACAAATCCCCGCCCGATGCGACGTATCTAGCAAAGGTCTGGTCATCCGACCAAACCTTGATTACATCTCGCGTAGACTTGTCCGCCAAGTTGTCTATTTCCCCTCCCCCTTTCATACGTCTTAGTACCGCCGTTTTGAAGTGATACTCTAGGAATTCAGGGTTGATGAACAAGTCCTCGTAGCTCCCCCCGTCGGCTGCCACACCTGGGTCCGGGGTCAATAGGTATTTGCCCACCAACCCAGCCGGGACCTCCTTCGACATCGCCACTATGCGCCATTTCTTTGTAGTATCCTCCCACAGGACCGACCAGTACTGCAAGTCAAATGCAGTGTGGACAGCCGAGTCCATCAAGGCACCGTTGCAAACATCGTTCACGCCCATCTCCTCGTAACCAAATGAGAGCACCTCCGTGATCTCTTGGGGAAGCCCGATGTATTGACGTTGCTTCCAGCTGTGGGGGATGATGTGGGCGCCGACCAAGAGGTTGGGATATGCGTTTCCTGTCACCACACAGCGTCGGTCCCAGAGGGCGAGAAAAAGCGTGAACCTGGCGTATCGTTGCACCTCTTCCGGAGTGGGGTCGGACTCATCCTCCCCGGTTGTGTCTTCCAGCGAGAGAGCTCCAACAGTGGTGGTTAGGTCGGTTTGGCTCGGGGGTTTCGACGATGGCTTTTTCTGTGGGAAAAGGGTGGGAGATGGTCCTCCGACAGGTTGAAGTTGGGGATGGCTCGGAGATTTCGGGAAGATGACATAGTGACCGGAACGTAAGTCACCGGTGGCAGCTGTCGTGCCGGACGGCTTTGTGCCTTTTTGGAGGATGTAATGCTCGGTAAGGACGGGAAGGGGCGTGCCCGTGAGGATGGAGAGGTATGTCAGGACATCGCCCTTTTTGACATAATCTGTGGACTCCCGGCCGACATACACCACTGCCAGCTTGGTGTTGTTGGGGTTGCAAATGGTGAGGTGGACCATATAGATGCGAACTAATGGGTTTGACAATTTGGAAGACAACTTGGACAATTGGGGAACGATCAGGCACACTCAGCACAGGCAGACAGGGGACAGGGCTGAGCTTTTGACAAGAAACGCGCTTTCCTTCTCTTCTGACTCAGCGCTCACATACGTTCGCGCAGTTGCGCCGCGACAACTCCGCCGACGCTTTTTCCACAGCTCCTTTTTCAACATTGCTTTTGGGAATGGCGAAACCACACACACCCAACTGACCTGAGCCTTTGTGGGATATCTAAACCAGGTATGAGGAGCAACGCTAGCTGGTCTGTTTAGGGCAGGAAGTATTTGGATTGCTGACCTTTACTAAGCAGAACTCCTGAAAAGCGCCAACCCCCAAACAACGTGCTACTAGCAAACCTTTGGCGCCCTGCGAAAGTGGAAGAAGCCCTCCTAGCACGTTGACACAAAGGGTATGGAGAATGTGTCCTCTATATTTCAGAACGGGCACGCTCATATTGACTTGGGCATCAAGTTTTAGATGCCACAGACCCGGAACCAGTTGCTCCGTGCGGCGGTGGCAAAGGACAGGGAAACCCATGTGTTTTGCGATATATGGAATCAGACATCAAATGAGCCCTGTTCAAGAGCTCCCCTCCGCCGCAAGGCCAGCAGTGCCAAGGGAGTTGCCCAACACTTCACTCTCTTGAATGAAGAAATGCGTTCCTGGCTGCGTACTTCCCAACACTTCCATCTACGGGCCCCCGAGCTTGCCGACACAGTGCAGTTGTACGGGTGCAAGTCCTGCATGAAGAAAGTGAGAGCGGATTGGCGGAGCACGCTTCCTCTCCCCAGCGGTGACGGCACTTCTCCCCGCAGCGGTGACACTCCTCCCCCCAGCAGTGACGGCACTCCTCCCCCCAGCGGTGACGGCACTCCTCCCCCCAGCGGTGACAGCACTCCTCCCCCCAGTGGCGATGCTGCCAACCTGCCCCCTCCCACTGTGCGTACTCAGTCTCACGTTGATATTCGCCTCCCCAAGCGACTCATGCGCCCACTTCAGTGGAAGTTTAGAGGTAATGCCCCTCCTGACGCTGAAGGTCGCCGCAGCCAGTCCCGTACAACATCTGGTGTCCTCGAAGGTTCATCCGCAAAGCCGTGGGACAAACTGGAGATGCTGTTCTTCCTCGGACTCACGGATGAGGTTGAAGATGAAGACAAGGGGGATGACAGGATTGACGAACCGACGACGCCAGGGCCTGAGGGGAGGACCTACGCAGCAAAGCTGCAGATGCTCATGGAGAACCCACTTGAGGATGAGCACGGCCAGCTCCTTTTCCCTATCGGAAACATGGAACGGTTTATTGATCATATGAATACCACATGCGATGGGCTGTTTGACATGAAGATGACCACGGTCGTCGGGGACGTGCCTCTGAAGCGCAGCTCAAAGTGGAGTGAGAAACACCGCGATAGGATCCGCCGCAGAGTGTTCATCTCGATCCTGCTCGATTTTAGCACCCAACACCTTCATGCGAATCACCTCCAGCGCTGGATGTCCACCCAGCTCCAGCTTTCCAACGTCAGCACCGATCAGCAGACAAAGATCGCCAGGGTTGGCCTCTCCCTTGTCCCGCAACCCAACACTGTCCGAGCGCAGGCTGCCATTGCCGCTCACAAAGGGGACGTGTCCGCGCAACTTGCGCTTCCAAACACATCCGCCGTGGTTCTCGTTGATGATTTCAATTGGCATCAGGGGAGAGGCACGCCAAATGAGCGGGGAAAGTGATCGATTACCCGGACAACAGCAAATGTTGGAGTGCGTACTTGGGATGTATCGAAGATGCCTCGCCTACCTTCTGGGCTGGGGCTGTTGCGCCCCAATTTTCACACAATCGGGTTTGCAGAGGATCAGCATGTTCTTTCGCAGTATTGTCGGCTGTTGGATCGGACACTGACATCCTACATTGTCAAACGTGGGAACGGAGGGGAAATACGCCATATGTATGACACCCGGCGCTTGGATCAGGTGTGCTCCATCAAAAACTTTGTGGCGTTGGCAAGCTGTAATAATGCTAGGTCCGTTGCCAGAGGCTAGCTCTGTCTCCGCTTCGATGTATTGAAAGAATTCTAGAGTTTCTACCTCTCAGGGCGCCGCCCGAAGGCTTTTCTTCCCTTCGGGAGTACTTAGCAGTAGTTTGCAGAGGAAGCAGATGACTGAGCAAACTCTATGTTGTGTGAGATGTAGTACCGTGAAGTATGTATTGAAGTCTGGAGTAGAAAGTGGACGTGAGGTCCGAAGGGGAAGAAAAGAGTGAACTCCCATATGCGTAAGCATGGCGTAAGCGGGAGGTGAGTCACAAGGGGAACTTAACTACTAGAACCCTAACCGGGGACTAAGCTACGGGAACCCTAGCTAAGGACTCTTGAGGATGATACCTCCAACAGGAGTCGCCCCAGAGCGTAGAACTCCAATATAATCTATGCTACACGTGATCTCATGCCCTACTTGCTTCCCCGCACTAAGGTGACACCTGCCGCACCTCATTACACCCCCCTTAGAGCCAAGTGTCACTCCGACACCGACCGCAGCTGTCAGTCGCTCCCCGCTGTTACTTGATGTGGAGCTGACACAGGTGTCGGCCATGTTATGAATGGGCGGAGCCGACGGAATAGAGGCGACTTGTGGTGCAGGTTGTTGACAGGTAATGGTATTCAGACCGAAACAAGAACTAGAACAAGACTAGGAAGAACTGGTGTTGATCTGCTGGGGGATCAGGAAGTGGGGAGCTCAGGGGAGGCGGCTATTTATGCTTTTCTGGGAAGGCTGGGGAAGCGTGGGGAAGCAGAAGGGTACGGAATGAGAGGGAAGCCAAGAGAAGCGCCAAGGGTGGGGGAAGCATAAAAACAGAAGACTGGGGATGGGGTGGCTACGCTGAGGCTGTGGGCGGGTACGTGGGGAAGTATGGAGAAGGGTTTGTAAGCGCCGAGTGTTGGGAGGTGTGGCTACGTGCGGCTGCGTGGAGAAATGAAGGCAGTGGCAGGTGTGGGGTAGCGCGGCTGCGTGCGGCTGCGAGGTTTGGCAGATGTCAGGTTTTGACAGGGAATTGACATTGACTGACTGTTGGGATGCTGTCATGAGGTAAGCGCATGGTATGGACGCGTCGTCCATAACATCACCCCCTCCTTTAGCCACGGCGTCCGGATGTTGTTTTGATGTTGGCAGGCTTTGGTCGGGGTTTGTCGGGGTACTTTTGGTGGAACTGGGCAACAAGCTCTTGACAGCGGGCAAGGTGTTCCACTGGCTCCCATGTGTTCTCCGAGCTTGGCCAACCCTGCCACTTGATGAGGTACTGAAGGTGCGTGCGTCGAATACGGGAGTCAAGAATGTCTTCCACAATCCATTCCTCCTGTCCTTCGACTTCTTCTGGTGGGGTGGGTTCTGGCTCAGTTCGCTCCGGAATGGTGAAACGTGGTTCAAGAAGGGAGACATGGAAGACGTTGTGAATTTTGTAGGATGGGGGAAGCTTGAGGCGATATGTGACCGAGTTGATCTTCTCCGTGATTGTGAAGGGGCCAATCTTACGGTGATCAAGTTTCTGGGAAGGTCGGAGAGTCTTGAGATTCCGCTGTAAGAGCCAGACACTGTCCCCGGGTTTCATGTCTGGGCCAGGTGCCCTCTTAGCATCGGCAAAGCGCTTCATGCGTCCTTGGGCCTCCTTGAGCTCAGTGGCAAGCTGTTCATGGATTTCCTTGAGATGGTTGGCACGAGCTTCGGCTGCAGGATTAAGGGATTCGGTTGTGGTGGCGGAAGCCAGACTGAATCGAGGATGGAACCCATAGTTGGCGTAGAAGGGGGTTGTCTGGGTGGCGGAGTGGATGGTGTTATTGTAAGAGAACTCAGCAGAAGACAAGAGTTCCTTCCAGTTATCTTGTTGATAGTTGCAAAAGCAGCGAAGGTATTGCTCAAGAATCTGATTGGTCCGCTCGGTTTGTCCATCGCTCTGGGGATGGAACGCCGATGAGAGGTTGACCTTGGTTCCCAGGAGAGCGAAGAGACGTTTCCAGAAGTGGGAGTTGAACTGTGGGCCACGGTCAGATACAATATCGTCGGGGAGTCCATGGAGCCGGATGACATGGTGCCAGATCAGATCTGCAGTTGACTCAGCGGTGGCAGTTTTCCTGCACGGTACAAAGTGCGCCATCTTGGTGAACCGGCAGATGACAACGAGCACAGAATCAACCCCATCACTGGCGGGTAGATCCGTGATGAAGTCCATAGAAATTGACCCCCAGGGGCGGTCAGGGACCTGCAGGGGTTGGAGGAGTCCGTAGGGCTTGTGTCTGCTGGTCTTGGCTTGAGCACATACGTCGCAGGACCTGATGTAGGACTTGACAAAACGCCACTGGCTAGGCCACCAGTAGTTGCGTGAGATGAGCTCCAGGGTCTTTGACATGCCGTAGTGTCCTGCCAAACGCGTGTCATGCATGTCCCGGCAGATCTCAGCACGGAGCTTGTTGGTGGGGACGTAGACAAGGTTGTCGTACAGCAGAACCCCATTTTCCTTGGAGAATCGCTTTATCCGTTCTTGGTCTTCTTGCGATTGCTGGGCAATGGGGGCCCTAAGCTGTCACCAGATGGTTTGCGCAAACACATCGGATGCCAGGGCAGCTTTGATTTGGTCAAGGAGCGAGGAGTCCAGTGGGGTCAGATAAGTGGCGGCCAGGCGGAGATGGTCAGGGGTGAGGATTGTGGTTTCCTGGGAGCGGAATGCTTCTTCCCCCTCCCTTAGCTCGTATTCAGAGCGACGAGAGAGGGCGTCAGCTTGGTGTTGCTGGGTACCAGGGCGGTATGTGATGACAAAATCGAAATCAGCAAAGAAGATTGACCAGCGGGATTGGCGGCGGTTGAGGGTACGGGTAGTCATGAAGTACTGGAGGTTCTTGTGGTCACAGTAAACGATGACCTTGTGGCGGGCACCAATGAGGTGGTGTCGCCATTGAGCAAATGAGTCTTGGATAGCCAGGAGTTCCTTGTCGTAGATCTCATAGTTGATTTCCTCAGGAGTAAATTTGCGGGAGTGAAAGGCCACGGGGTGGAGTTGATCTGTGTCATTGGGTTGAAGGAGGACGGCGCCAAGGGCAAAGTCGGAGGCATCGGATTCGACAATGAAGGGCTTGTCAGGGTCGGGGTGAGTCAGGATAGGTGCGGAGGTGAAGGCTTTCTTGAGGGTTTCAAAAGCTAGGTGTGCAGCGTGGGTCCATTTGAATGGCAAGTCTTTGCGAGTGAGCGTGGTCAGGGGTGCAACGATCGCAGAGTACCCTTTGATGAATCGCCGGTAGAAGTTGGCAAAACCAAGGAAGCGCTGGATGCCTTTGACATTCGTCGGGGGTTCCCATTCGGTAATGGCAGCCGTCTTCTTTGGGTCCATGGAAATGCCTTGCTGGGAGATGATAAACCCCAGGAACTCAACAGAGTCACGGTTGAATTCGCATTTTTCCGGTTTCGCATACAGCCCGTGCTGGCGGAGTCGTGAGAGCACCTCTCGGACGTGGTTGGGGTGGTCTTCTGGGTTTTTTGAGAAGATCAGAATGTCATCAAGGTAGACCACAACAAAAACGTCGAGAATGTCACGGAATATGTCGTTCATGAGGTGTTGGAATACTCCAGGGGCATTGGTGAGCCCAAACGGCATGACATTATACTCGAATAGGCCGTAGCGACATTGGAACGCTGTCTTCCATTCATCCCCTGGCCGGATCCGAAGAAGGTTGTAGGCTCCCCGGAGGTCAATCTTGGTGAGCCGGCGTGCCCCTCGAAGACGATCCATGATGCTGTTAATCAAGGGCAAGGGATAGCGATTCTTGATGGTGATATTGTTGAGTCCACGATAGTCGACGCACAGATGGAGGGAACCGTCCTTTTTCTTGACAAAGAGGACTGGGGCACCGGCGGGAGACTTGGAGTGCTTGATGAACCCCTTAGCTAGGTTCTCTTCAAGGTAGTCAAAGAGTGCCTGCATTTCAGGCTCGCTGAGACTATAGATCGGGCCGAACGGTGGCTGTTTGCCCTCTTCTAAGTCGATGGGACAGTCGTAGGGTCGGTGCTCTGGGAGGGTATCCGCGTTCTTCTTGGCGAAGACGTCCGCAAAATCTTGGTATTCTTCAGGAATGATGGCCTTCGGATCTTTTGGAGGAGTGGTCGCCAGGGCTTGGGAATCTGACTTGGTCAGATTGGCGTAGGCAATGAATGCCTGGTCATGCCTTGCCGCCACACGGAAAGCTGGGGCGCTGATAAACGATACGTGGATCGGTGTGGGTGCTGGGTCCAGTGTGTTGGGTGTCTGGGCTAGGGAGACTGAAATCTCGTCTTGATGGATACGGATCAGAGGTTCAGGGGTTCTTGAGGGCTTCGGGCTAGGTTCTGTTGGCAGGGCATCCCAGGAGGCGTATTGTCCAAAACCGCAATGGCAGCGGACGCAAAGAGTGCGAGTCTTCCAGTGTAGCTCCACATCATGGAGCTCAAACCAGGGAAGCCCCAGGATGATTGGCGCATGCGGGGAACAGGTCACATGGAATACCACCTCCTCAAAATGGTCGTTGACCCACATGCCCAAAGGTTGGGTGTGATGGGTAATGGAGCCCGCATGGCTGGGACGTCCGTCAACCAGTTCAAGGGCAATGGGGTCCTCCTTCTTGACAAGTGGGATGCGGTGCTTGCGGGCATAACTTTCGTCGATGAAGCACGACATCGCACCGGTGTCAAGTAGTGCTGAAAGCTGAACTGGAGCTCGCTGGGCCGATATCTGCAGGGTAACAGGGTACTTGAATGGTGAGGATGGGCCCAAAATCCGCATGGGTGAGGGTATCTCAGATCGGAGATTGACATTGTTGGTGGTCAGGAGAAGGGTGTTGCTGGAGATGCCAGGATCGGAGCAAGGTTTTGTGGCTTCTCCCTTGGCAGTACTTGCGTGGTGAGAAGGCCCAGGACAGGTGTTGCCCAGCTGCTCGGCCTTTACTGCAGCTGGACTTAGGCAAAATCCTGGATGGGTGCAGGTTCCTTA